TTTTTTTTTTTTTTTTTTTTTTTTTTTTTTTCCTTTAGAATAGTCTCGCAATCGATAGCTGTTAGTAACCTGGAGAAAAATAACTAGCCAATCCAATTCATTGCTCGTTACCTAAGATTCCCTTTACGTATCATTGACTTAATCTCCATAGGCAATTTTCCCTTAAAAAGCATCCATTAAACCCTTATAAAACCACTATCCTAAGCAAATTCACGAAGACCCCCCCGGTCATCCAATCCATCCCTCCATTTACCCGGCGCCAAAACGCCCATCAGTCACATGCATGTCTGCCGGGGGAGAACATCTCAAAGATGAGGTAAGTCAAGTCAACCTCTCTCTCTCTCTCAACTCTTACTCACAAATGACAAGGGCACGCGACGACAAGTCGTTCTGGCCGGCGGAATCGCGGGCCTAGTCTCACGGTACAGTACACCTCAAAAAACAGTCCAACCCCAACAAACAAAGACTATATAGAATACTAACTACTATCCCAAAGATTCTGCGTCGCGCCCCTCGACGTCGTCAAAATCCGCCTCCAACTCCAAATCCACTCTCTCTCAGACCCAACCTCCCACCTCCACATCCAAGGCCCAGTATACAAAGGCACCCTCTCCACAATCCGATCCATACTTCGTGAAGAAGGTATTCCAGTACGTCCTGTCCTGTCCTATTCACCCTATCCCAAACCACGATCTAATCTAAGTCACACCAGGGGCTATGGAAAGGCAACATCCCAGCAGAACTAATGTACGTCTGCTACGGCGCGCTCCAATTCGCGGCCTACAGAACAACAACCCAAGCATTATCCCAGCTCCCCCATCGCCTCCCCCCGCCCGCCGAATCATTTATAGCTGGCGCAACAGCCGGCGGCCTAGCAACGGCATCAACATACCCACTCGATCTCCTCCGGACGCGATTCGCAGCGCAGGGCACAGAACGCGTCTACACGTCGTTGTTAGCATCGGTGCAGGAGATCGCGCGGAGTGAGGGACACCGGGGGTTTTTTCGAGGATGTAGTGCGGCAATGGGGCAGATCGTGCCATACATGGGGTTGTTTTTTGCGACCTATGAGTCGTTAAGGCCGGTGATGTCTGGGTTGCATGGTTTGCCATTTGGGTCGGGGGATGCGGCGGCTGGGGTGGTCGCGAGCGTGTTGGCCAAGACGGGAGTTTTCCCGTTGGATTTGGTGCGGAAGAGGTTGCAGGTGCAGGGTCCTACGCGCTCCAAGTATATTCATCGGAATATCCCGGAGTATCAGGGGGTGTTCAATACCATGGCGTTGATCGTGCGGACTCAGGGGCTGCGAGGGCTGTACCGCGGCTTGACCGTGAGTCTGATCAAGGCGGCGCCTGCCAGTGCCGTGACCATGTGGACCTACGAGAAGTCGCTGAAACTTCTCCAAGACCTCGAGGTGGCGGCTGAGTGACGGCCGCCCAACCAGGCATTATTAGATTGTACAGTATAGTATAGAATGCATTTTCTGGTTTTTCCCTTTGGTTTCTGAGACGGTGGAACGGGCATCCCTCGCAGGAAATTAAATGTGTATTCATATTTTACTCGCCATATTCTACCGACTGACTATCGGACAAGAAGGAAATAGAACGAACGCTAGGGAAACACGAACAGAAGGGGGTGTCGAAAGTACAAGGAGAGGATACAATTTTGGCACAAATTAAACAAGCCAAGAAGTAGACAGACGAGCAGAGAAGGCGCAGGAATACGAGTCGATCAGTATTCAGGTTCTTCCTCCAGCGGTTCGCCATCGTTGGCGACCTCCTCGTAGTCTTTCTCCAGCGCAGCGAGGTCCTCACGGGCCTCGGAGAACTCTCCTTCCTCCATGCCCTCACCCACATACCAGTGAACGAAGGCACGCTTGGAGTACATAAGGTCGAACTTGTGGTCGAGACGGCCCCAGGCCTCAGAGATGGAGGTGGTGTTGGAGAGCATGCTGACGGAACGGTCGACGGGGGCGAGCTCGCTGCCGGGAACCCGCACCGGCTTCTGGTAGTTAATACCCAGCTTGAATCCGGTAGGGCACCATTCAACCAGATTGAACGAAGCCTTGGCCTTGACCGAGGAGATAGCCTGGTTGCAATCACGGGGCACGGCGTCACCGCGATACAGCAGAACCACAGCCATGTACTTTCCGTTCCGAGGATCGCAGACCACCATCTGGTTGTTAGGTTCGAAGCCTACAGATAATTGTTAGTTATCTTCATCAGTACCTAAGGAGAATGCTGGGGTACCGTACACTGGAAGGTAAGATCCTGCACCTTGAAGCTTTCATGGGAGCTGCGGTTGCTGGACACAACGGGGGCGTAGGAGATCAATGGATAGTGGATACGGGGGAAGGGCACCAGGTTTGTCTGGAATTCGGTCAAGTCGACGTTGAGGGCACCGTCGAAGCGAAGACTGGACGTGATGGAGCTGACAACTTGAGCGATCAGGCGATTCAGATGCTCATAGCTAGGGCGGGGAATATCTAGGTTCCGACGGCAGATGTCATAGACTGCCTCGTTGTCAACGAGGAAGGTGCAGTCGGCATTCTCAATGGTACTGTGGGTGGACAGAACAGCATTGTAGGGCTCAACAACAGCAGTTGAAACGCGAGGAGAAGGATAAACGGCGAACTCTAGCTTAGCCTTTTTGCCGTACTCGGCGGAGAGACGCTCCAGCAATAGCGCGCCGAAACCAGAGCCAGTACCACCACCGAAGGAGTGGAAGACCAGGAAGCCCTGTAGAGAAGAACAGTTATCTGGTTGAAGATCAGTAATAGACTCCGGGCGGTTATGACCGGGATCTGAGTCTCACCGGCCACACGGCGGACGCGATCAGCGACACTGTCCACAAGCTCTTTTCCGATGGTATAGTGACCACGAGCGTCTGTCATGTATCAATTAGCTTTTGTTTCCCTTGATGATACACCGTGGAAGCCGTACAGTTGTTGGCGGCGTCTTCTTTTCCGCTAATCAAAAGCTCGGGATGGAAGAGCTGGCGGTAGTTACCGGTGCGGATTTCATCGATAGGCTAGTAGTATGTCAGCTTAACCAATTCTCGTAAGTATCGTGGTCTTTTCGGTAAGACGATTGCGTACCGAGGGGTCGAGATCAACGAAGATAGAACGGGGGACATATTTGCCGTTGCTGGTCTCAGTGAAAAAGGTCTCAAAGGAACCACCGGAGTTGACTTCATCGGCTGCATCCGGGTCAAGACGACCATCAGCCTTCAGGCCATGCTCTAGGAGGTATCTATATCAGTTGAAATTAGACTGGTTGCGAACTCGTTGCTAGAAGTGGGGTACGTATATGCTGGCATATCGGGCAACGGAAGAGCGGTGAACGTACAACTCCCAAGCGCTGTTACCAAGCTGAGTACCAGCCTGGCCAATGTGAATGTGGCAGATCTGGAGATTTAAAAGATAGGTTAGAATTATCCGCAGTTACATGAGAAACGAGAAGTTCTTGGAAAAGTTGACCGCGAATGGGTAAACCTCAACTGTGGTGGCTCAGGAGAGGGGCGAATGCGGGGGGGGTGGAAAGTAAATAAGGAGCAGATAAGGTGTGGTTCATACCTCGCCTCGCATGATGGCTTCACAAGATAGACGTACACAAGAAATGGTGAGGCAGGAGGAGATCCCAATCGTTGGATGGGAAAGGATTGAACGAAGAGTAAGGTAGTTTGAAGGAATCGAGTTCGAGAGAGAAGACAGGAAGGTGGAGTGATAGTCCAACGTTCGTCCTTGCCCGTGGACCCAATAAACAGAGAGCCAGCCAATCGGGAGCCCTCATGCTCTCCTGACCCATCAGCTGGAGGATCATTACTGTACGTTACCCATCATAAGGTACTATTTTCTGTTCGTTATCTGGACCCTCGATCGCTACCCTCCCACTGCCATAGCAGTAGGTACATGTACGGAGTACATGTAAATATGATATTGACCTGAAGGAAGACCTCAAGAACTCTTTAAATTCATAGATAGACGCATGAATTCGCTTCTCTGCCCATACATCAAGCACCTGCAGTATATCACGACGCTTGCATATAAGAATAACACCCGGGGTCCCTGGCCCGCTCATCGATCTCCGTATCTACTCCATCAGGTACCATACAATAAACTAGACTTTCCCCAGAAGATTATGCACTTAACCTCTGGATCATATAGGCTGGGGGCAGTGCATTATCCTTTCCATTTTGGTCACTATGTTGATGCCTGGGGCTTGAACAGCACTATACCTAAACGAGAAACCGTACGATTTAATTGATCCAAGGCGGAATGGTCCATAACCTATGAGCTAACTCACTGCTGGTCGAATGGAAAGCTGTTAGCTTGCTAAGAAACTACATCATACATCTCAGGAGTCTGGGTTCCATACCTACCTAGTCTTGGGGGAAATTTCTTGACTTTATGGCTGTTGAGGGCTGATAGTAGTAACAACTTCCTTCAAACATCAGGTCGCGTAACGGTTTGCTTGCGGGATGAGGGAAGGTACATAATATTTGTATAAAATCATAGAATTTATAGGGATTATCTTGGGCTGGATAGCTTCTATTGTAGAATTGCTAGTTCTTTCCGTAAACAAGCAAGCTGGAAGTAGACAGTCATACACACGGTATAGCCTAATAACAGTACTAATGGATGAAGAACGACAAGATAGAGGGAAAGAAGGAAATCAAAGAGAGATAAAGAGAGATAAAGGGAGAGAAGGCCGTGGCACCCACAGAGATCTCTCTACATCTTCTATAGGCGGGGTGTTCATCGTGTACCTATAGAATGAGCGTTTCTCCGTTCCGTTGCTTCTACCAAGAGATTAAAAATATTATTCATCTCTCTCTCTCTCTTTTTATTTTTAATTTTTTTTTAATTTTCTCTTCTTTTTTATTTCTTCTTTTTTCTTTTTTTCTCCCGCCCACTCCGCCCACCATCATAATTTACCTAGACCTAAACATGGCATAAGCGAAAAAGAAGCGCAGAAGCAGCTAGAGTGTGAAGACCACCTCTCCCCGTGGGTAACTCCATGGTGATTCATATTGCAAGACCCTTACTAGAAGGGACAGATACCAGCATGCTTCCAACATAGTCAAGATCGTCGTGGTAGCGATCTAGTCCTGGCTAAAATATTCAAAACTGGCACTAGTTGCGCTGTTCTTTGATGTAACGCATGGTGGACAAGTGTTGCAGAACACGGAGCGTGTCCATTTCCCAAGTATGTAAATACAAGACGCTCTCTGGTGCATATAGGCTTGGCTTCAATTAGTGAAAGAATTAGCCATTATATGACGATTGGAGCCTATATATTAGATATGTATAAATTTTGTATATAGTTTCGCTAGTTCTTTAAGAGTGTCTTGATTAGGTACGATTTTCTTAGGTGATAAATTTTCTTGATTCATGATATCACCCTGTCCAACTAGATTGAGTCGTACTTCCAGTGATCGTTCCTTTCTTCATATCAAACTGACACTTTGACATATATTGGTTATTGATAGCCCACCATGTGCTCATGTTTGTGGAATGCGGGGACTGAATGCCGGTATACCTCGGCACACTTGAAGTATGCAAACAGGATAGAGAAATGGCTACATAATCTGACTGGCAGTGCAGTACGGATTGATATAGGCGAATGATAGTTCTAGAATATACAATATTTATCTAACCACATGCGTTTGCAGAGGCCGACCATGGGGAATTGGTTCGAAATGGACATCTGCCGGATAGACGGAAGAACAGCCACTGTGGAGTACACTGTTAACTCTTCGGTTAGTTACTATAAAAGAGTTTATGAAGTGGGTAGGTGCGAGGCCTACCGAATGGTGAGGGGATATCAAAATTTGGGACTGAGTGGTCATAGAGGATCCTGCCGTTAAGTGGCTGATATAGAGCGGGGAACATGTCAGTAGATTCAGTGCTAACAGATCGAGCCGATAACACCAGGAAGATCTCATCTCGACCAACGATCGATGGGATGTACTTTGTAGTGCTGACGGTGCTATATCACGTATGGGGCGGGGTCAAAGTTAGGGTGTGATTTGTTTTTCATTTTCATTTTCATTTTTTTTTTTTTTTCAATAGTGCAGATAGTAGGAATTGTATCAAATCAACAATGAACTCGAAGTTGATCTGTAAGACATGCATTCTATATCACAATTGGTTACTACATATGCACTGGCCTTGCAGAACAAAAATCAGGTTATTGCCCAATATTTTACTACTCCATAGTTACAGATAGGTTCGTTTACTAATAAATACAATTTTTTTGTTGCAAGATCGGTTCTATTAATATTCGCTTCTTTTAAGATTCAGATTAATTTATCCAGTAATCTAGTACCCTCGACTAGTATGAGATCCACTACCGTAGTTATCTTGGACAATGGAACTGTAACCGAACTAATTACTTAATGACATTGTTTCTTAAACTACAACTGATCCATAGAAGAGGGCTACAAACTGAGTTTCTCAGCTGGCGGGAAGCACTGGCTAGACTAGTAGGAGACCCAACGCCGCATGCCGCTGTCAAAAAGGGATGATTGACACATTTTTGAAAGAGAATGGGGAATTTGTTGGAAATGGAATCAGAGCTTGCGGCAAAGGGTGCCTGAGGTGGCGTTTCTTGGCGGTGGCCAACTTCCCATTGTGTGTTTTACTTTGTCCAACCAATGGCGGCCAACCCGGGACTTCGCCGTAGGGTTGTTGCACGACACTTATGAACCTGAGTTAGTACTTACTAGGTCTGGAGTATTCTTCCCCAAATCTGGGTGAATCTATGCAAGAACTCATTCTTTGCAGTAACGCCAGGGTCACTTACGCATGCTGGTTTGAAACCTGCGTCTATCATTATCTAGACCCCCGGTTAGGGGTCTCTTCGACCCTACACGTTCTCGAGACCGACCAGAAGGCTGCGGTATGGTTCTCATTGGTCGAAGCTTCTGGGCCGGGTCCACGCTAGCCGGAAAGCTAAGGTCCCACTGGGACCACTCAGGAGGGGCAGTGGAAAGTGGCCAGAACCACTGATCCAAGCAGACTGTGAACGGATATCTCGATCTGGATTAATGCGAAAAAGCCACATCAGCCCTTTGCCCCTGGTTAGGATCAGGCTCTCAGGTTCTTAAAAGATAAAAATACAATTTAGGTTTAGAGGTCGATATAAGAGTTTTTTGATAACGGGAAGGGCTTGAGTTGGAGTGAATGATTCTGAATATGGACTGGAGAGGATTGGGAAAAGGCGAAGATATTATCCGACCCAAAGAAAGCCCTAATGAAGTCAATTCGCCGACGATCCAAACCCATTGACATCAAATGACAAAACGGTTTGGACTGGAGAAATTCTTCGCATGTTGAAAGAGTCTCCACCCGTCCTTTTTTCCCGTGCGATCGGCATTTTTGTGTGCCCGCATCGTTATTGGAAATTTGCTGCATAATTTCTGTGCTTGTTAATGCTTTCCAACAAACCTTGATCTCTTTCTTTTTTTCTTTTCTTTTTTCTAGTTAATAACTGCTACTACTTACTAGTATCATCTTATTTTATACCTCATTGGGATCTCTCCCCTTTTGGCGCCTCTGTCTTTCTTCCTTTCTCTTTTCCCTCTTTCCTTCTCTTCACCATCGGTTTTGCTTATCTTTCTTCTCTGCACTGTCTCTATATAATTCTTTTCCACACCATATATTTAACTTTCTTTTCTTTCTTTTCTTTCTTTTCTTTCTTTTCTTTCTTTTCTTTCTTTTCTTTCTTTTTTTGGCCTCTCGTATAAACCTCCTTTCCTCTTTTTTTTTTTAGGACCAAGACGTCCCGGGACTATCCTGATACGCACCTCAAATCCCGTCTGCTTCATTAGTGTCTGATACCGGGAAGAGGAGTCCCCACTAGCGTTGGTGAAGGTATGTCTCGTATCGTCCCCATCGCCCCGACACCATATTTATATGCTACTGCCTTTTCCTTTATCTAAATCATCCCTACCCTTCGAGACTTCTTCAGTCTTCTAATCCCAGGGGTCTCATTCGTTCTTTTCTCCCACCTGGTCATTCTCTCTCTCTCTCTTTTTTATTTTTATTTTTTTATTTTTTTTTTAAATATACCTTGTTTGATTCTGACGGTGACCTCAGACCTACTGCGTTCCAATCAATATCATCTTTAACTTACCTAATTAAGCCCCCAAACTCTTTACCGAGACTCCTGGCCTGGTGCCAGCATGTCGACCCCGGTCGAGGAGCGCACAGCTCCAAAATACCCGGAGAAGAAGGACAGGACCGATGGTCACTCCCCAACCTCCGACGAAGGCACTTATATCAACGAGGGCTCGCAAGACACTCACGACAACCACCTCAGGGTGGACACCTCGTATGAAGACGAGCTGGACCGGGCAGCTTTACGCTCGCCTTCTGCCCAGAGGGAAGAATCCAAACGCCTCGAAGATGATCTAGCTCTCCTCGAAGCAGAGCGTATGGCGTCGCGCTCCACCCATGAGGATACTGAGAAGGATGGCGAACGGACCTCGATATCGCGGACTCGCTCACTTCGCTCACAGAATGTAGACGAGTTCGACGAGGCCACTAACCCCTTACATGAAAAGGCCGCGGTCTACAACCCACCGGAGGATCCCAACACGAGCATCGCTAGATTCATCAAGAAGATTCATGCGTCAAGTTTTCTCGTCCGCTACATTACCTATATTGTGCCCTTGGTTCTTATTTTGCTGATCCCGCTGCTGGTCGGCGCACTGGCTTACCCGAAGGCGAACGTGGGAGGTGTCAAACTGCTGTGGTTCTCTGTTTGGTTGGAAATTGTCTGGTTGACTCTGTGGGCCGGTAGAGTACGTCTCATTTCTTTCGTCGTGGTTGCGATTGCGGTTTAGCTGACAATTGCTTGTGTTAGATTATGGCCAAATGTATTCCTGTCGCTGCAGGGTTGCTGGCTAGTATCTTCACAAACAACGCGAAGAAGTGGCGCGACATGGCAAAGCAGTTGGAGCTGCACGCGACCCTTTTCTTTTGGTGGTTGGGCGTTGAGATTTCTTTTCTGCCCACGATGAAAAGTCACCATGTGAACGGTGACTCGACAACGCGTTCGTGGGAGAAAACAGTCAATAAGATTATCATCTCCATCTTCGTCTGGACGATTTTGAACTATATTGAGAAGATCATTATCCAACTGATCGCCATCAATTTCCATACACGGACTTATGCTGATCGAATCGAGATCAACAAATTCCAGATCGGCAGCTTGACCAAATTATACGACTTCTCTCGCAATAGGATTACTCAGAAGGATGAGGAATTTGAAGAAAAGCAAGAGAGCGGTGGCAGTGGCGCCAAGACCCCATTGCATATTCCACTACAGTACGCCGGAAAGGCGCAGCGAGTAGCCAAAGGCGCGTTGAATAAGGTTGGAGATATGGCGGGAGCAGTGGCCGCAGATTTCACTGGCCGGAAGGCGACCAATAGTACTCACCCCTACCAAGTAGTTCTGACCCTGTTGCGGACCACTTCGGGCTGCCAGGTTCTGGCCCGGCGACTCTATCGGACCTTCGTGCGCGATGGATTTGATACTGTCTTTGCTGGTGATCTTAAGGAGGCCTTTGACAACAGCGACGAAGCCGAGGCCGCATTTATCATGTTTGACAAGGATATGAATGGCGATATCTCGATGGACGAGCTGGAGGCGGTTTGCGTGGAAATCGGACGGGAACGCAAGGCGATTACCGCATCTCTGAAGGATCTAGACTCGGTCGTCTCACGACTTGACAATGTTTTGGAGTTCTTTGTACTCGTCATTACATTGATAGTCTTTTTGTCTCTCATCTCGACTTCGGCTTCTGGAGTACTCACGTCCGCGGGTTCCAGTATCCTCGCCTTGTCTTGGCTCTTTTCAGCCACTGCGCAGGAGTTTCTGCAGTCGATCGTCTTCGTCTTCGTCAAGCATCCATTCGATGTAGGCGATCGTGTGACGATTTATGGTAACTCAGGTGACGCTGGCTTGGGTGATGACTATTTTGTCAAGCAAATCTCGCTTCTCTACACGGAGTTTAAGAAGATGCAGGGTCACGTCGTCCAGGCACCGAACAGCTATCTAAACACACTCTTCATCCTCAATCAACGCAGATCTGGCGCCCTCGCTGAAGCCGTCCCTATTATCATCAAGTACGGCACGACGCTCGAACAGATTGATGCCTTGCGCCAACGCCTGTTGGAATTTGTCCGAAGCGAAAAGCGCGAGTTCCAGACCAACATCTTGACCGAGATGCGTGCCGTGACCGAAAACTTCTCCGTGACTCTCAACGTTGTCTTCTTCTACAAGTCCAACTGGCAGAATGAAGGACTGCGTCTGCAACGTCGCAACAAGTTCATCTGTATGCTCATGGTCGCCTTGCAGGAGATCGGCATTGAGGGCCCACGCATGAACCTCCAGGGTGCCCGTGTCGACATCCCCTTCCATGTCTCGGGCTTCCCATCTCAGATGTCCACAGCAGACAACAGAGATGTCCGGCCGCCACCGACCCCTGTCCACGACGAAAGTACTGGTCACAGCAGCTCCAGCGCCACCCGCCACCCATCGATCCTACGAAAAGGTATGAACACCGCCGCTGCCCGTGCTCGTGGCGAGTCGTTTCAGCCCCGCAAGCATGTAGACTTCTCGCTAGGAATGCGCGAATTCTCCTCCGGTGATGTAATGGGCGATGTGTTCGAAACCCGCTCCCCTCGTATTGATGACGTCGTCCGCTTCTCCAACCGTGAAGCTGCTCAGCGTCGCATTCAGGAGGAGGAAGAGGAGGCCGAACGCCAAAGTCGCACATCGTCCTCCAGGGCACGACGTCCATCCAACCTCAGCGTCCCATCTCAACCGGGTGATGGTCGTCGGTCGACCGAATCCCAAGGCACTCATAGCCTGTCCTCCATCAGTCGCAACCGCTTCTTCCGCCACCGCTCCAGTACCAGCCGGGAGCGTGACGATTTGGCAGAGCAAGGCCGATATGACACGGGCGATATCCGCCCTGTTTCGCAGGGCGCCAAATAATCTCGAACCGTTTTGTATACGTACCTTTTCATTCTCTCTTATATTACTTTTCTGGTTAAAAACACATTCGATCGATCATACATACTGCCATCTATCTGATACCTACGCGCACATGATCCACGTTATTTAATGGGTGATACTATGGGCGGCATCGTTCTTCTTTTCGGTTTTTGGATATGATGGGGCAAGACTGAGTCTCTAAGTTCATGTTCACGTGGGCATATGCATTTTTAAAGCCGGCGGTTTTGTATATGCGTTCTTAAACATAGTACTCCACCCTATAAATGTCAGGTTTTCTCATTGTCATTTAATAAATTATTAGACTTTACGAGATTGATAATTAGCTAGCTTGAAGCATTTTAGCCTGATCATACAGGTGCATCTTGTGAATAGTTCTTATAGACTTTCAATCTGAAACTTATCTTCACATCATTAATGTGTATAGAAGGGGACAGTCCACACCAAGTAGTGTTAACAAATCGATTGACCAACCCCACATACCTATACATGATATATCTTCATTCGAACTAAGAAATACAAAATCTCATAATGGTATACAACCCACGAATAAAATACATAATAACCAAAGAATCAGACCAAACACCCCAAGACGCCATATAAATAAATCATAAGTATCATATCATAAAGTACATATAAAATATCTACTGAAAAAATCAAAGCCATAATAAGTCCTATACAATGCATTCCGAATGCTAGAAAATTTGCTTTTTTTTTTTTTTTTTTACTTTTTTCTCTCCCTCGAGACTCAATCTCAAGTCAAACAAAAGCTTTCTTTGTCCTGCGGTTCACCTTTTTTTTTGCCTCTTGCCTGGACAGGTTTGTGTATTTCATACATACATGACTTTTTTTAAGGTTTTCAGATGATAATGGGGATGAGTGGATGGAACAAAGGAGAATGAAATATGTGGAAGCTATTGAAGCAAGCAATAGAAGAGGATATTTGAGCTGAGCAGGAAACAAACATGGAAAGAAAAGGAAAGGCAGGTAACTCAAATGGCCTGATTGAGATAGATGATAATTGATGGTACTCCGAAACACCCGCTTGACCTGGCGATGGAAATTTGGAAAGAAAAATGAGTTTAAAAGAAAACAGAATGGAGAGTACTTTGACAACTGAGACAAATCCGATCATAAGAAAGAAGAAAAAAATACAGAGAAAGGGAAGTAAGCTATGAATGAACAGGAGACGAGATGGGATATCTCTGGTGAGCAACAAAACAATGCAGCTCCATCCTGAATGAGGTGAGCAATATCTATCACCCAAGGCAAACGGTCTATCTTATCAACCAGAGTGTAAACGCTCTCTATTTTGGTCCTTGGCGAGGGGTAACCTCTGGGTCTGGGTCGAGGGAAGGGGTATGTATTGGCCGCGGAGTAGCTTCGGAATCTGGTATTGTATCCGTATCATCGTCAGTGCTGAGCATTTTGACGAATGGTGTGTTTGGGTCAACTAGCATGGCCTCGTCGCCATCTTCTTGCGTGAACACAATGGGAGGAGTTATGTGGCCCTTCTTGAGCGTCTCCGTGCTAGTTTCTGGACTATTCACAACGCCTGTCTCACTATCCCTATGGGCAAACGAGGACCCTAGATGTGGCACCGTCGAGAAACCACGGCTGATATTTGATGCGGAAAGTGTGGGAGACTGCTTAGGGCTATAGTTCTCATCGACCGACCGCGCAATAACGTCTCTGGAAAATTGAAGCCCCTCAAATTTGTCCTCTATGCCTAAGGTGCTTGGGGATTCCGCTCGCTCCTCAGTGATGCTCTCGGAGCCTCCGCTCCTTCTTCTATCCAGCGATTCTCTCTCCTTTTTGAGCAACTCTTCACTGCCACTGACCACACTGCCTCTGCTGTTGGTTCTCATCATCTCTATACCCAACTTAGAGCCTGGGCGGGTTGAACGATTTCTTGGGCTTTGTGTGCGTGAATGGGAACGCCCAAGTTCTTCGTCTTCGTCATCTCCAGATTCCGCGCATTCATAACGTTTCTTTTCCAATGACTCTCTCTTTGCCCGAATCGCTTCACTAGAGCGTTGCTTTCGAGGGGTAAGCGTACCGGACACATCCATGGCAGCTGGGGCGGAGACAGCATGAAGCAGATGCGGTAGAGGCGCAGCTTCTGAGCGGATTCGAGTATTAGGATCAGTGACTCCTTGGGTTGAATCTCCTTGACTTGCAGCGGCATCCCCAGATATACCTAGCCCGCCTTGACTCGGACCCCATTCATCATTCTTACGGCTGACGACCACAGAGGCATCCTCGGCCTTGACAGATTCCAAATCACCGAAGTAGCTACTGCCGATGGAGTCTGCACGGCTAGACCCTTGATACGAGCTCCCGGGTACCGGTACAAAGCTAGACGATGTAGTTGAACTTGGACTCTGTTCGGTAGGAACAGGCATCTGACGCGGCGTTGCAGACGGCACAGCTAACGGGTGTGAGAGGTTGAAATCATTTGGAGGGGGTTTCCATTGGCAGAATTTGCACAATGCTTGGGTAAGCTTGGTCAAGGTGGGAGGCTTCTCGATCAGCGCGTCAAAGTGGTGGGTCTCTGGTAAGTCTTTCAAGTAACCCGTGACCGCAATGATAGGGGTATGGCGATTTGTACTTCGTGTCTCTCGAACCATACGCGCAACATCGGCTCCATTTACCTGTGGCAACTTGAACTCCGTCATAATAATATCAAATTGCACTTCACTGAGGGCGTAGCGAGCAGCCTCTGCGCCGTTCACGGCAGTGATTGTACGGCAACGGAGCTTCTCAAATAGGCGTTCCATCACCATCCTGGAAACCGGATGATCCTCACAGATAAGCACGTCCAGTGGTCGAAAGAAAGGACCGTCAGGCATGTTGATCTGGGAAAGGCGTCTAGAGCTTTGACGTTGTCGTTGGTATTTGAGCAATTGCTTTGTGCGTGGGTCCTCATTGTCGGATGAGGATGGTGAGATATCGTTGAACAATTGGCTGCGTCGCTTGTAATGGCCAGCAACATATGATTCTTTGGCAAGGGACGAAGATAAATCACCATCCTGGGACCCAATTGTCTGCGATCTGGCTCTCGTGGGCGCACTACCATGACGAGACGGGCCCGAGGGTGTCTTATCAGGTGAATGGGCTATGGGTCGGCTTGTTTTCGCTGGAGAAGATGCGGTTGAACTGATTTTTAGGCTTGCCATACGACTTTGGTCAGAACTAGCAGGTTGACCAGAGGCACTGGAGTGGTGGGAGTTAGCTGAAGAAGATCCAGATGTCTTTCTACGCTCATGGTTATGATGACCAGTGCTGAATTGAACAAGCAATGGGGATGAGGGCTGAGATGGACGACTGGGAGAAGAGTTTGCTTGACTTGACGGTGATGAGGGCCGATTGTTTCCTTTGGTTTGCGACATGGTTCGCTGCAACGGCATTGGCAAAGGACTTCCTTCCAGTGAAGGACCAGATGAAGGCGGCGCCGGGCCTTGTCCCTGGTTCTGGCTCTGCGCTTGCCCTTGGTCCTTTGCTTGTGAAGGTTGCTGGGGGTTTGTGGGAGAAAACTGGCGCTGCTGTGCTTGCATCGCCTCTTGGCGCAGTTTCTGGATCACATCTTTGTTTGCCTTCTCAAGCATAGGAAGGTTCTTGAAGGAGAAGCTGCCAAAGTCGTCCTCCAAGGAAGGCTCACTCAGCCTTCTGCTACGCGACTCGCGGACATGAGGCGGTATGTGCAGCGGCATCAAGGGTCGCTTTGCTGAATTGATCTGCGAGCGTACCTTGAAAAGGGCGTCGTGGGGGCGATCTTGATATGATCCGGTGGTCACAGGACGAGGGGAATCCCCATCCTCTAGTTCCTCAGAGAAGGCTTGCAATGTAGCTCCCCGGGCATCAAAATACTCGGTGTCCTCAGGATTCTCAAGGTTTGGAACAAATTGAGCTTTGTCTTCCAGTAGGGTGTCCCAGTTAATATCCGAGAACCAAGGATGGCTACGGATCTCTGCGCCCCCATTCGGAAACTTTTCTTCTGCGTTGGCTCCAATCCGCCGGGCAGGATCCAGAGTCATTAACTTATTCATTAGATCGATAGCCTCCGGAGTAGTCAACAGCTCAGCTTCTCCCGGCCAGTTAATTCTTCGGTGGAGAATGTTGTCGAACACTTCGTCCGGGGTATTCGCATTGAAAGGAGGATAGCCGAAGAGGAATTCAAACATAATACAACCCAAGGACCACCAGTCACTCATCTCATCCTGCCCTACGCCGTTGATTGTCTCAGGAGCCAGATAATCCGGAGTACCAACAAAACGTCGGCTGTGGTCCTCAGGGTCGAAGAGCGCCATCAATGGCGGCATCATAGTTTGCTGCGGCGGAGTTCCGTGCGGAGCTGAACTAGGTATTGACTGGAGTGGAAATAGGCGAGGGGATTCGCCCGCTTCACTTTGACCCTCTTCCTCGGTCAAGCTACTAGCGCCAGGTACGGGAACAGGTAATGAGCCCTGCGATTCATTTGAGTCATTGAGGGATAGGGTCCGGAACACTGAATTCAGCCCTTCGCTACCAACACTATCGCTGCGATATCCCGACGCCCGGCGAGAAGTCTGTCGGCTCAGTCCGCTCTGATTGAGGTTGAAATAAGATGGTTGGGGAATGCTGCCAGCAACATCGGGGGTCATCAATGGCGTAGACCCTGGTGAGCCGCTACCCTGAAAATCAAACGAGGCTGACCGAGAGGAGGTGATGGATGTAGCGCGAGGGAAAGGTCCCTGTTTCAGAAGATCAGGAGCTGGTTCATTGTTCATACTCTTCAAAACCCGTTTCTGACGCCCGACGAGGCCCATCCGGGACAATCCGAAATCCGTCAACTTAAGATGACCCGTTTGATCAATGAGCAGATTATCTGGTTTCAGATCTCGATGGACGATACCTCTGCTATGAAGATGTTCTACCCCGAGAACTACTTCTGCGATATACTTTTTAGCCCAATCCTCAGGGAGTCCAGCTAAGATCTTAACAAGAGATGCACAATCACCCCCATTGAGGTATTCCATTACCAGATAGAGATAATCTTTGCTGGAAAACGTCCAGTATAATTTGGCAACGAAGTCACTTTCTCCCTGCCACATCATAATAGCCCGTTCCGCTTTGACATTGGTGACCTGATTCTTGGCAACCATATCCGCCTTCTTCAATACCTTAATAGCGAAATATTCCCCAGTGGTCTTCTTTTTCGACAAATATACGCTACCGAAGGCACCTTTGCTGATAGGCTTGATCACCTCGAAATCTTTGATGGATGGCGGTGCTGGTCGGGGTTGCGGCTGGCTAGCTGATGTTAGGTGTGGCGACACGGGTGGCCGGGGAGCGTCGGATGAAGTTGCCGAGGATTGGCGACGATGATGGCGGAAGTGATGATGAGCTATTTCCCCGGCGTTCGTCGATGGAGAAACGATGGGAGACGGCAAGCTTTCGGCACCACTAGAAAGGCGAGGTTTGGGCATTCGCAACGGGGAATGGGGCCCAGAAATTCGAGCGGGCGAATGTCCCCGGCGAGGGGAGCTCGATAGCCCAGGAAGTACTAGACTCCTGCGCTTTCTGTCTAAGCTGCGATCGGAACATGGAGAGTCCGTTCGTATGGCGCCAGGGAAGGCAGATGAGAGGACGCTGCTATCACTTATCTCTCCAGCATCGAAATCTGCCGATGCGAGACCGCGGCGAGAGGGCTGAGACGTACCCAGCACGCCGGCAACGCTCTTGTGAGAACGCGGAGTGGGACATTCCATTGGGCTGTTTGACCCAGTAGATACGGCAACCGATGAGGATTTTCCTTCAGAGGAATGGGGAGACTGATGTCGATCAGGAGAGTTCCGCATGGACATGGTCAAAGCAGACATGGGACGAGGTAACGATATGGACTCTCGAGGCTGGCTCTGGCTCGATACAGGGCCAGGGTCGGTAGTATCATCAAGGATGTCCTGCGTAGCCTCATCCTCGGATGAGCTAGTGTCGCTTAGCTGGCCGGCTGCGATACGCTCGGCCTTGCTGAGGGCTGCAGTAATACATTCTTCCACCAACACAGTATATTCGATGCGAATTCGCTCAGCGTACTCGACAATCCTGCGGTAGCGAATAGTGGCGTCCACTTTTGCCTTCGCCACTTGCTCTGTATCCATGCACAAAGCAGCCAAGCCTTGCTCTTGTTCTAGGGTATTGGTACTCGGTGACTGCCACTGAAGAACCTGGGAGATTCGGGATTCTGATTGTGGGGACAGGGTTCGAAAGTCGTCGCTTATGTCTACGCGGGTCTCCTTTAGTACCGGCATGTTGATCTCCAAAGCCGTATCGCAGAGATCCAGAATCAGTTCGACAACGCGAGACAATGGCCGTCGGACAGCGAACGAGCGACCACGGGAATGTCCCACGCCCGAGACTGAGTGGTCTCTAGACCTAGGTGGAGTGGCGGGGGCAGAGCTGGAATTAGAAACAGAGCCCGACGATGGTGCCGATACAACAACGGACGGTCCAATGGGCTGTCCTTTGTACTCTGGCTGGGGTAAGGGCGGGTTGGTTTCGCCTAACACCAAGGGTCTACCTTGCCTAACCTCAAGAGCGTCCAGCACCTTTACGATCGCATGGCGGTGCTCATTAAGGTTTTCCTGGGCAATCTGAACATCCATTTCAGCCCGGTGTTCTTGTAGACAAAGATCCGAATGTTTCTCGAACCACCAGGGTGTGATTTGACGCTCGCAGATTCGGCACAATACCGGGTTCGGGGCCGGATGCTTAGAGGGGTCGGGTTCGGTGGCAGCAGCTTCTGCTAAAGTCGTCAAGTAATTCGCTAACACTTCCGCTCCGACACCTAGAGACTCAACTAACAGAGGAGGGAGGTCAATGGTGACTTCTCGTGGTTCGGTGAACGGTCGCAACATCCACATAGTCTACATTTAATCACCCAGTTAGCTTTTCATCCATCATCCCCGCAATGAGAGTAACACCTACATGGCCAGTCCCGTCCGCCGTCCGGTCAAACGCCATGATTCCCTGTGCCTCCATACTGAGGATATCATGGTTGTGCTCCTCCGTCTCTGCAAGCGGCCCCTCCTGGCCGCCCGCACCTTCAGTTTCACCGGTTTCTGTAGTCTCCGCTTCCAAGGGCCGTGGTTCAGGGCTGTATTTCAGAACAGAATCGGGACCCATCTGCAATGAGAAGCGAATAAACCGACTTCGAGAGTCATCTTCCTTCATAGCCTCCACCGCGTCTTGAAAGGCGTTTTTGTTATCGACGATAAGCTCCGAGATCATTCGTCCTTCCACTGATTCTGGGTCGGTTCCCACGACCTGTTTCCACGACGGACTGACCCATTTGATACGGCCATCGAGATCCAGGTCGACGATTACGTTCAACGTCTGTTCCGCCACCTCCTTCAAGTCCGCACGTTCCTCCTGCATATCATTGTCGTCACTGTAGGAGCGATTCGAAGGGATTAAGCTAGGAATGATGCTCCGGGCCTCCTGCCGTAAGGCAGTTACGGCCGGAGGCGCCAGGAACTGGGGACTCTGGGTGCCATTGCCCGCCATGGTGACTGGCAAGGGTTCTGCGGCGGTAGGGAGGGATCACCGCGAGGACGCCAGTTATCGTATGCAAAAAGACAAGCGAAAAAATCAACGATGAGCAGAGCCAGGCAGACCGTCTGCCGGGCAGAGCGGGTGCCCTTAGAAATGATGTTATGGATTCATCCGCAACATCAACGGGCCATGGCTAAATTGCGGGGCGTGAATTGAAGCGAAAACGACCCTGGTTGATGGCGGAATACTGAAATGTTGTTTTTGTAGACCTCAGAAAATGGTGGGAAAAAAAAAATCACCCCCAAGTCACCAAAAAAAATTAGTTATCGTGATCACGTAAGGACTGGAAAGGGAAGGGAATGAAGAAGGCAGTGTCTATGCGGGGAACGGCGCGACGGAGGCGTCAACGCGAAGCCAGGGTGATCGACAAGAGTCAACCCCAAGACGAGGTCGACTGAATGGAAGAGAGTCAAACAGATAGATGTGCTAAAAAGGGCGGGAAATCCGGCAAAGGACGATTGACAGCATGGATTGACGAGAAAAAGAACGGGAGAAGGGGGACGAGGGGGAGAGGACGAATAATAAAACGGTAACGAGGCAGTTGAGTTGAAAGGCAAGAGAGTGGAAGTAAGTGTGAAGTGTGAGTGGGTGGAGAGATTAGTAGTACATCGGAGTGTACGGAGTAGGTAAGGATAGGCCGTAAAGTAAGGTAACGGTCGCGAAAGACAAGCAGCCAAGTGACACTCGCAGAAAAAAGAAAGGAAAAAGAAAAGAAAAGCTGAAGTCCCAGGTGAGGATGGTGGTCCAATCCCTCAGTAATCTAGTCTTGACAAGAAACGTATTAACTAGTCTTTCCTGACGTTTTGCCCAGAATTTCATCCCCCATTTCCCTGAAACTTCATATTCTTTTCTCTTTCACTTCTTCTGAGAATTGATGTTTGACCCACCCGCTTAGCTGTAATTGTTCGGTATCGTCGTTTTAGTCTAGCTTCTAGTGACAACAAGAGGAACCCATTTCGAGAATAGTATGGTTCTTATTCTTATTTTTATTATCAATGATCCACCATTGATAGACAATTTATAGTATTCTGAACGAGTAAATACAACACTGGTGACCGACCACGCCATCAACCTCCTACTCTCTTCATCTAGACCTTTCGATCCAAATAAAAAAAAAATAAAAAATAAAAAACTAGTTCTCCAACATTCTCCAAAACTTACTCCTGCGGTAAGAAAACCCAAAATATCATATATACATGCATATACAATGTATATATGATATAAACTGATCGAAGCTCCCCGAACGTTCCTGAGTCCACTACATCATGGGAGTTCGCCGAAAAGCTGGCACGGACCTGGGCTCGGCCTTCAACCATCAGCAGGGTAGGTGACCTTCAAGAGACCATGGGAGCACAGGGCATATACACACACACCTGGAGCTGCATGTGGCCAACCCTAACTGATGATTCATACTCCTACTGCATTTTGGTCTTCGACAACGGCTTGTTTCTCGGAAACCACCAATGTATCGATTGTTTATTATGATAGGATTTTGCCGAGCTGTTTGGTCCATGTTTCTTCGTACATTGACATGGTTCCCCAGTAACCAACACAACCAACACACGCCCCTCCCCCAATTTAAGTACAGTACATCAAAATCTGCAGTGATAATATAAATCCCTTCAGGGAAAAGAAAGGAAAAGAGAGGAGAGGGGGTACCTCATCCCGAGCCACACGACCTCTCCCTACAGCCACCATCCGCCACCAAGAGATCAACCCATCCTAACGGTCGGCTATATCGATCGGTTCGAAATGAATCCCATCAGGCCGCCCTTGTACAACCTGGATGATGACAATGATACATTTTAATGTATGATAATATTTGGAGATTCCCGATCAGTTCAGGTCTAGAAACCCCTGCAGATTCTTTTTTTTGTTTATTATTCTTATTCTTATTCTTATTCTTTTTCGGGAAGGGGGTAAAGTCGGAACTGTGCATACCAGCCATATAGGGCCGTGGTAGTACTAAATTGCATGTTTGTTCCCTCTGGCAGCCACTGGACGTCACCACTCTTGCAAACAACGGGTAAGCTGTCTCGACGGCCATCGTGGTCCCATGGAACCGCTCCCGGTCCCAGAAGATCATTGCTCACTTGACCTCCTTTCGCCTCTGGTTGTTGGGACTTCATTCGGAAGGAGATCGATACAACTTATCTTCCAGAAGTAGTAGGGTAATTTGGGCGTAGAAGGTTACGGATTGCGGAGGGGAAAGACCTAACTGAATCATGTACTCTATTCCGTCCGCTGTGCGAGGGAGAGACAAAAACTTGGTAGCAGGCGTAGATGTGGAAAACCTAGGAGGTTGGCCCTGTGCATATTGCGTGTTGGTAAGCGGCATAGTCTGCAGACTGTCGGAGTTAATTCTTAGGTGACTAGGAGCCTACATTGGATAGGTTTCGAGTGGATTATCCGGTATCCGGAGGGTTGTGTTATTCTGTACGGATATGTTTTCTTCTTGGTGGATAGGTACTGTATAACGGTGGTAGCCCCAGAAACCCGGCAAAAAGAGGATATATGAATGTCTCATTGTTGTTATTGGTTCCGGGATAATGATTGACCAGTAGGAATCGGCCGCCCAGCACCAAAATAGTAAGTCATCAGGAGACCAAGACCTCAGAGTAGGTAATGCCCTTAGGTAATGAATAGTCTCGAGCTGAAGGGCTCAGTCTGCCTATCTTAACTGATACTGTTTGTAGTAGTTACCTTTGGCATGCCAATAAACTTTCTCAAGTACTCAGTCACCAGGACCACATCAAAAGCTAAGATCAGTCATCCTTTGCGGGGTAAATACTAGAGAAGGGGAAAAAAGAAAAGAAAATTTCCACTGGCGGCCCTCTTTTTCGCTTCTCAGAAAATCATGTCTATTAATGCATGGATCAAAGACATACTTACAGCACTAACTTAGTACATGCGCGCTGTGCTTAATAACCACGAAATATCCCACCCGCAAACATCACTGATCCCTCCTCCTTCAGGCAATGATCATTTTTTTCCACCTCCCCCATGTAATGGTAAAATTCAGTCTTCTACAGTAGACTCCAGCATGGGAATGACGATAGATATTGATAGAAAGCCGTTTCATCATCGTGGGTCAAACTAAAACTCACCCTTGTGCAACTTGACGTCTTCATCAATCAATCAACATTCCCAGTTTCATCAAATGGACCAAAAATCCGGGGAAGTTAGAAGAGAAAAGGCACAAAAAAGGACCCAAACAAAGAGAAGCATCTCCCCCCTCTCCTCAAGTTTCTCTCTCCCTCCCTTCCTTCTCACATTCACATCGCTCCAATTGGGTTCTGCAAACCCCCACCATTCCAGCTGGTAACCAAACCCAATTGATCGGCATCCAACCACGATTCTGCGATTGCTTCTGATCTTCAGAACCACACCCTTAATAAACTCGAACTTCACAGGTGGAGTTTGAACGGGGAGGACGGATGAGATGATGGTAGGATGTCCTACTAGTAGTCCTAACCCACTTTCTTTTCCTTGTGCCCACACCCCCTCCACCTATAGCATTAACCGTCAAAATATATTAAGATCTATGGAGGTTGTTGTTTGCGGAGAAATGGCGGTTCAGTTTCCATGTTATGTTAATATTATTTTTTTCCCCCTCATATTTGAGAATCCTTCCGCTGATACGTGGCAATCCGGGTCATCTGACGGATAGGTACATACATACATACAATACGTACAGACACAGAAAACTCCTACATCATCCCCCTCCATACATCATGCATGCTGCACACAGACAAGACAAGACTATAACAAATCAGGGTACAATGGTAGTACCTTCATATCGTTTTGCATTCTAATTTCTGATTAGTTCGATTTCAAGGCAATTCACATTCATTCGTCCTACACAGGCAACGTCGGCTAGGGGAGAGGAAAAGGTACGAGTACATTTCCACATGAGGGCAGCAAATCCCCATACGAGATCAGCCATGGAATGAACCGATTTTCGTGACCATCCCAGCGAGTGGACATGAGGTCAGAACGGGGCCAAGCCCCACCATAGAGTCTTCCAAAATCGTTTTACTTTTTTTGCGTTCCAGTCGGGGCTTTGCTTTTCTCCCTTGGGTGCGTTCAAGTAGAAATATAGCTATATGTACCTGAGGTTGATGGTGCGATTCGGATAATTCGTAAAATTGTGTGTGTGTGTTTACGGTCAGCCCCCTATATCATACGTAAGTCACCGTGGGTTTCACTTGTTCTACTCGGTGGCTCCATGCTCACTTTGCAGGATAGCCGGGATGTGGTTGGGGGCTGTCATTGGTGAGCCCATTTTGCAATCACCATCTATCTACCGAATAACATCTCAGAGCTAAGCTCCTTCATCCAGCTCAGCGGATACGCCCGGATTGCGGATCAATGTCTTATCATCCTAAGCTCCACCTTGTCTATGACCTATAATATCTAAGGCAATCTTCTCCACGAGCATATCTAAACATCCATGGCCACCGAACTCCCAGGTAGATGAGGGGATATGATATAAAACATACAGACAACCGCTTGGGGATGGCCAGGGGAAGAAACGAAAATGCGCTGGCATCTACCACCCTCAGTCCTTCGATTCCAGTCACCCTGGCTCGGGTATCGAGGGCCGCCAGGCGATTAGAGCGAGTCCCCATCTTGCATGTACCGGAAGCATGCCATGGAGCCATGGCTATATCCCGGATGATGCCAAGGATCTGACTATCAATCTGATCCTCTTCCCCTGGGAAGTATTCATCTCCGATAACAATGGGTGTCATGGCTTCACTATGGAAGATGTCACATGTCCTCTTGAATGCTGCAATCACTACTTGCTGGTCTGTCTCCGTAGTAAGCCAGTTAACGTGAATTACTGGAAGATCGTTCGTATCAGCTGAGATCATGGAGACGTTCCCACACAACGTCGGTGTCATAAGCACCGGCATGTTGCTGGCGTATTGCTTTCCATCCTTTGGTTGCATAGTAATGGGGTCGGAGAAATTACCAACGAAAGCGGTGCGGCGACATACTGGTTTATTACATCCAGGGAATCAGCATAATCAGGGCTTGGTAACAAACTGGAAACATACCTCAACCTCCGGCCAGTCTTAGGTAAACCAGGATAGGTCTTTCTCCGTTCTTTCAGAGAATGCGGATCGCGAGCTGTTTGGGAGCTTTTCGAAGGCCACGTAGTCGAATCCATGATTAGTCAATACTCCAGTATGAGAAGATGTATACTGAATTATTTGGCTTACCACGTACGAGATGTCCGTGAACCTGTTTATTAAATGTCTCTACATCCACCTGATATGTTGGTCCAAAGAAGACCTGGTCCCACAAATTTTGACCGACCCCTGGTAGACCCACAACAACAACAACTATCCCATGCTCTTGGAGTATAACAGTAGGACCAATCCCTGATACCATGAGTAGCTGAGGGCTCTGGAAAGCACCTGACGATATGACGACCTCGTGCGTCGCGCTCAGTTCATACTTAGAACCAGTGGTGGAAACCACAACTCCTGTTGCTCGCTTTTGATCAAATAATATCCGTTTGCCCATTGTGTTCTTGTATAACGTCAGAGATTGTAGGTAGACTGAGGATGGCAGTGACCTAAAAAATGCCGATTCCGAGCTGCTTCTGGTTTGATCGGCTAGTCGCATAGTCAACGGACAATAAAAGGAACCTGACAACGACCCACTTTTAAACTCAACTGTTTCTCCAACGCCCCCCGATTCTAATCCAAGCTTGAGCCAGCTAGGAAAAGACGAGACAGAATCAGGATAAGTCAATTCGACAGGCCAGCTGTTTTTATCATATGCCTCTTCTCGATATCTCACAGTGGCGTTTGCAGGACGCAGCTCGTCGTTGGGCGCAGTAAAGTTGATCGGCCTTTTGGAAAAGGGAAAAACGCTGTCAAAGATGTAACTTTCCTCCATCGACGAGATCAGCCCACCGCATCATCGAACCTATAGTCGGCTTAGTTCTAGTCATTCTTTAGTTTTATCTATGAAAGAAGATAGGAGTCCACTGACCTATGGTATATCATATAGTTGCTTGCCGTCCTGTTTAACAATAAACAAAGTCAGTATATAGTAGGCAACTCGAGACTCATTGGTAAGTCATACGATCCTGCTACACATTTGGCTTTCTCCTAATGTATAGTCCGGTAGTTTGCACCCGGTCCAGCATTGACAAGAAACCCCCCTAATCGATGGGCGTTCGAATAGCCGTAGGATCAGCTCCAGTACCAATTCCAGCAGCCCCACGGACCTTCGCTAGTGGATACTTGGTCTCATAGAAGTCCTCAGCTTCTACCAAGGCCACGGTGAATATTTGTTCAGCTAGACGCGCTGCTAGAGTCACTCCAGCATTACCACCACCTACCACAAGGTAGTCAAAGGATGCATCAATTCCAGGAATGCCTTCCTTTACACCAGATAAATGCCCCGCGGGATCGCTGTTTTCGTCTGCAGTCGATTCTGGAAGATTAATCAGCCAGACCAGCAACAGAAGTAGTCGACGAAACACATAAGGAGGATTTGAACTAGACACTGCTGGTATAACTTATCCATGATATTTTTCCCGACGTGACTATATCAGTTTCGCTATTCCAGTTGTTGTTCTTATGCCTAACTGACAAGGTATGACAAAAGGGTAACAGAAAAGAACGAGTAGAACGAAGAGACACGGACAATTATAAAAGCCAAGGTCAGGTGCCGCAATCCACGTCCACGCCAATTGAGGAAGGTACTACTTGACGGTCCTTGACAGACGCACTATACTCACTCAGTTCTGTGGTTGCCAAGGAACAAAACAGTGAGACAGCCACATGTAACCTATATGATGATAATGCACGCATACCATTCGTCACTTGCTTGGCTTCTTGTCAATATCTGGCGCTTTACCCCTGGGCAAGATGACGCATTCCTATCTTCCTTGATACTCTTAAGGTAATCCCAGTAAAGAAGCGATCCCGGAAGTTTGGAATTCAATAGATTCCGAAGTAGAGAAAGGTTCCAAAATCAGATGACGAGTACTGGTTTTGGGCAAATCTAGACCTGGTAGGTCTTGAAAAGGGATTTCCTGGAATAGTCATGGCATGCCGACTCCCCAGCCAGATTTAAAACTGTGTCTTCTTTTCGGTCTCCGACGGGCGCATTTAGACAGGCTATTCAATTTAGCGGTGCCTGGGTTGATATGGAGGCTTCTTGATCCAGCAAACATACAGACATATACCGTGAAAACGCTTGAATGGACTGAATCTATAAATCTCAACCATCATAATACAGCCACTGTGAAGGTTGACAATCGATATATGGCTATATATGGCGAAAATCACTCAAAACCATGTATCATTAAGGTATATGCCTGGTAGAAAGAAACTGAACCAGATAATAGTTCCAGAATTACCTATATTACATCGTGCTGCCCATACACCTCCATCATTCATTTGCGCTTTCCCATTACTGTCCCTTCTTCTCACCCTCCAGTCGCTCCCGTTCTACCACAAATCCGACGGCACGAGCCAGGCCCTCATCAACCGGGACGATGGGTGTGTACCCTAGTCGAGATTTGGCCTTGTCACATGAGTAGTAACGAGTCATACATGAATACCGGACCATCCGCCTAGTCAACCGCGGCGTCTTGCCAAAGATTCCCAGTACTGTCTCCGCTACACCGCCAACAGTGCCGAGGATCGCCTCGGGGAGTTCCCACACTTGATGAGGCTCGACTACCTTGCCAGTCAAAGCCCAAGCAGCACGTGTCATATCCCAGAAATAAACCGGGGCATCGTTGGTAATGTTGAAAGCCTCTCCATCAACCCGCTCATTGTCTAACGGTTCACTCTGTTTGGAGTCAATGCGGGTCTTCGTAGCAATCAGACGGAAGGCGGCGAGTAAGTGGGCATAAGCAATATTGCCAACGTAGGTAAAATCGAACAGATTGTTGTTCTCACCCAGCTGCATTCGAAGAACGGTGTGGGAAGCCTTGGACGAGTGTTCCAAAATCTTGTAGGTAAATGTAGTGTCTTTCTCACCATAGATACCAGCCGGACGAATAGCACAGGTCACCATGCCAGAGGGCGACGTTCGGTTGTATTTCAAAACGAGTTCTTCTGCGTCCGCCTTGAATCGCCGACTCGTCAGCAAACGTTGACTCGAGAAACCTAAAGGGTTCAGCATTACCTACCTTAGTCTCCGAGTAGTATTCCAACTGCCGCTGTCCTCTGATGTAAGGCCATTCCTCGTTCACATTAATCAAGTCACTTTGCGTGTCGTGAACCACCGAGCTCGAGCTTGTGTACACGAAAGCCTTGCACTTGCCGCCCCAGTCTCCGCGAGCGCCGCCCGCGACCTCCAGCAATGTCTTCGTCCCATCCACGTTCACCTTGCGCAACAACGGCTTGTTTCCTTCCAGGACATTTGGCGTAGCAGTGTGAATAACAACATCAGGCTTAGCTTTGCGGAACACGTCCAACATAGACTCGGCCGACGTGATATCGCCATCGTAGTATTCGGCGCCGGGCAACCGGTTGTTGGTGGTTCGCAAGTCGACCACCGCGACCTTCGCTATACATCTCGGATACCGACCGGTCAATTGGGGGTAATCGAATCGAGGATCTCCTTCTGGTTTCGGGAGAGCGGCGCTGACATCGGTTTCTGAAGGGAAGTTGAGCAACTGATTGACAATGTGCCAGCCCACGAATCCGCAGCCACCGACCACCAAGACAGAGCCCAATTCCATAGTGGGACGCTTGTTAGACATTATGCCGGGTGATTTGTCAATTTCAGCGACTGAAGGTGGTGGAGATAAGCGATAGAAATTGAGGACGGGGAGTGTTGATCTCTTGTTAGGTCGGGGGTGCGACAATTTAACTGGGATCTGCTCCAAGCTACGGAGAAAATGGTCTGGGGGCTAGTCAAAAAGGCCCGAGACCCCGCTAGTAGAGAAGCCACATTGCTTTCAACCGTGATATGATGACCACGAAACCCATTGTCTCTTTCCCATTGAATTATTTAAACCTACTTACAGAGGTTTACATCGGTAGCATCAATACATAACTGGGCATTATCTTTGCAAAACCAATCTAGAAACGTCCTAATCCCAGCCGATAAACCATATTATCATCACGCGCCTAACTCCAGATGACATACACACCATTATATGCGATAGAGCACGGCGAAGGATGTGAAAATTAGAGCAAGAAGAAAATGAGACAATTGCAGACTGATAATATTTCAAAGTTTGGACCAGCCGAATTGAACCGGAGTTGATGAAGCATCTGATGCTTAAGTGAGTAGTAAAAAAGCCTTGGTAGGCAAGGAGATCTTCATGCATACGCTTCCCTACATTGTTACGTTAGGATTTTGCGAATATGGTGGTCTAAGGGATAAACGGAAACCCACTCAGCGCTTCTTTCGACAGATCGTCGCAATGCCCTGTTATAATTTTTGCGATCTTCTGGACTACCCCAGAAAAGCTTGGTTGCCCCGGGATTCACTGTAGTGCGAGGATCATACGGCGGAGATTCTTCTTCGAGTGCCGCCACAATCGCTTCGATATGGTAACGCATCTCGTCTGTTCGCCGTGGAAAATAACACAGAACTCCCTCTTTGGATACGCGAACATGAAAGAGAGATGTCTCCACAAAGACACGGGGCTGTTCGTCCGGGAAACGTGGGCTTATATAGATCTTGAATTTGAATATGCCACCGTCCAAGTGGCTCATAGGCCGACCAAAGTACGTAAATGCCCAAAGAAATGGATTCGCATCGACAAGGTTTAGATCAACGGCAAAGTTCTTCTGGCGCTTGAAATCCTCGACAATCTGTGCATACTGGCACTGCAGATTTGAAGCAATACTCAATTCTTGTTTCTTGATACCAAGGCCTTCGAATGGCCAATTTTGTGTCTCACAAATAATCCTTTCTTTGAGCAAGGCTAGCCGCCGCCTTAATTCAGGGTAATCAAAGTGCCCATCCATAGTATTGCCCTGGCTTTCGAAAGGCATTCTGCGGAATTTGCGCTTTCGAGAAGTCTCCGTTTCCGCAGTATTAATCATTTGGATGTAGGATTCATAATACCATAAGAACCGTCTTTTGCGAAAGTCGATAAACTGTTCAATACCGGGTTTATCATCGTTCTGTAATTGGTCTTCGTCGTCATCCTCGGACGGTTGCTCTGCGACCAGGGTTGCTCTTCTGTCTGGCAAGATACCTAGCGACGATTCCAGAGGCTCGATGACTGCGATTCGGAGGTTCTCATGTCGAATCTACGTATACAAAAAATGCTGTTAGCACATCCTCACGCCAAATCAGAAAAAGCCATCACCTTCTCTACATAGCATTTCTTGCACTCATTATCCTCCGCAGTCTGTGCCTTGTCGTATCCAGGTTCATTCTCGTAAGGATTGTTAGATAAGAGACTCTGGATGGAGAGCAAAATAGATTCTAGGCCTTGTACAGATGACCATTCTTCTCCGCGTTCCCCGTGCCAAGTGCTACCAGGCCTGTCAGCCATAGTTAGTTTGTACACTTTCAAGATGACATTACCCGAGAATAGACCTGGTCTCTATCAGCACATGAGCATTGTTGGTTCCTAGGGCCTTCGATATTGAACTCACAAGCAGACCTTGCCCGAAGCATAGATATTAGGGTTGAATCGGCAGCGTCCTTTATTTGTCGTCAGAGCTCGGACACTCGGAGGGTTTGCAGGATAGTCTGATGCCGCTATAGATCAGTCTTCTAGGCACATGCTAGTGCGATCCTCTCACAGTCTAGATTGCCTACCCTTTCCAAATTTGATAGCAAACTAAGGAGAACCCTTCCCAGTCAGTAAGACTAGGATTATGTTGTTGTCGCTATTGTATCAAGTGCAGCAAACACAAACCTCGAAAAAACCGAACTGGTAAGGGGTCTCTGGGGGTCCAAGAATGATGGCGTAGATATTTCGTATGTCAGACTCATCGTAAGCTACCGCCAGAGCTTAGAGCCAGAACCGACAAACGATTGTAAGCTTATTACGGGAAAATTGACGGTAGGGTTCTTTTAGCATCTCATGATCGGAGACTTACACAGGTCTGCGCCTTGCTGGATTTGTTTGATTTCCTGGTAACCCACCGAAAGAAACCCCTCGTTAGTTCAAAAGTTTTTCTCAGGGTAGTTTCGATGGTGGAGGAAATAGTACACTTGTAATGCGGAGGATCGCCTGATCAGACATTCTGCCATAGAACCGAATAAACGAGCTCTCGTCAGCGGGTTTGACTTATAAAAATATGGATATGACAAAAAGCGCTTATAGTCAGTTGTAAGCAGCAGATGGCGGAGTAAGAAGAGGAGGGCGCTTAGATGATAATAATGACCATTGATGTCGCAGCCCCCAAGGCAGCGGGAGATAGACCAGGTGGGTTACGTTCTGAAAGTGAGTACTTATCAGGTGAGGGACATCTGTTTTATTCAAGCTTTTAATGATACCTTGGGTCAATGTCTAGCACGCATCAACATGCGAAACATAAGTGAAGTAGGGAGCAACCGATTGCAGACAAACAAGCTCTGTGTACCTGTTGAGTTGTACGCAGTTCATAATTAGGTTGATGAGAGTATCTCCAGTATCGTACAATTGTCAATTGAACATTTTATCTATCTCTATAGTTCGATGGGGGTCTCTTTAAACCTATCTTCGTTGTTGTCATATTTCCTTAACAGAGATAAGCCTATATTGCACAGCAGAGTTTGTGTTAGTAAAGGTAAGTAAAAACCTGAACTTATGATACAGGTAAGCAAGCTTCTGGAAGTATTAAAAGGAAATGTCACTAAATTTTCCTTTTTTTTACTATATTTTCAGAAAAACCTACATTATTCTTTCTTGTATTTGTATTTTTATCTATTGTGTACTTTTGGGAAAGGCTGAAGTGTAGGTATGACATACATACATACATACATACATACATACTGTACGGGGTACAGACATACTACGTATACATACACATTGCTGGTAATTCAGTTTCTTAAATACTTCTATTGAAATCCCACACAAGCAACCTACCTCACCGCCTACTTGATGCTAATACTGGTAGATCCAAGTCCCCTGATACATATAGCACTGGATATTTCCCTTGACCAACCGACCTGTTGACCCTTTGAAAATACCTTATTCCTTGTTTACATGTCCATCGTGTCCTTATAAATTAGAATACAACCACTTATTTCTATTTAAAGGTTACCACCCAGACTCTCTTTTCTATTTACTTAATTAACTTGTCAGGGTCTTTCAGAAATTTAAGACCCCTGAGGCTCCATTTACTACAGGTACCATTCATTCCAACATTCCTGGACAAGACTAGCTTGACAAGACGGTCACCACCCTTGCTCTCCATATATGACATCCTCTTGAGGAATGCTTTGAGAAAGAAAAATAAATAATAAAAATCATCACCATAAACAACAACAACAACAACAACAACAACATCATCATCATTATTATCATCATCATCTTATACAAAAGCAGAAGACGTTTCAACTTATTGTGACACTGGTAATAAAGCAACTCACTTTGGGCAATTTCCTGTTAAATAATTGCAGTACGTTACGTATTTTGAATCAAACATTCTCATCCCAAGATGCCTTTACTTGCATAAACAACGTCAAGGGTCCCGAGCGGGCAGCAAACTCCACTTAGCAACATACTTAGACTGCCGGTGTATGACTAGTTTCAGAAATACCAAAATGGGGAACACGCTTATTGCCCCGCAAATGAGGGAATAAAAGAGAGAAAAAAAGAAAATAAGGGGTCAGGAAAAGGGTTGGTAGGCTAGGAATGATGGCTACAATCCTTATTCCTTTCTTGCTCTTGCCCGTACCAGGTTCTGATCCAGTATTGCAGTCGCTTGTTCATCACAGAAGAGATGCTTGTCCTTGTAAAACTACTTACTATTAATATACAATCTAGATGGTTTCTTCTGTGTGTTTTATATCTTATTGTCACCTATGTTTCTTCTATGATTTATGTTTGTTTATATTCCACTGATTTCTGTCCAATCTCTCAATGTGGATTGTTACATAGTAGTCAGGCACCAACGTCTCATTCCTGTCACAGATACCTTGTTAATACACAATACACACTGGCCACAGGCGGTGATCCAGGCGGTGAATGTATTCACGTGATGGACTCTAGCGGGTAACCAGCAACATGAAGCATAGGGGGGCACAGCGACAACTGCCCAGCAGGACAGACACCCACTCTGAGAAACACGCGATCTCTGTCTCCTATTACCCTCTCTCCTTATCCCTCGTTTATTTGGCTGTGCTGGATTTTGGATCTCACCATTTTCTGCTTGCCTCTGTACTCTGAGTTCCAGGGTTTGGACTGGCAACCCTCGTGTTTGCAGGAAATCAATCAGGAATGGTTGTGATTCCGGCTAGTGTACTCCGCCGCTTGTTGGTCTCACTTTGAGCTTCAACCTTTTCAATCTCGCTGTCCTCGACACGGGCGCTTGCGCTTCCAGACGTCTCGATATTTAAATAAGTCGCTTACATAGACAGGTGATACGTGGAAGGTTAGATCTATTCAGTCGATCACGCGCTCCCATTCCTATTCCTTGAGTTACTCCTAGAATTTCCCCGCAAGTTTCATCTACATGGCGTGAGGTAAGTTGTGACGGGAACCACCTCCAAATATCCTCAAAGAGCCCCGCGCAAACGAAGTCAAATTGTTCTCTGACCTGAACTCTTTCTTTCACTAAAGATGCGATAATCGCTTCATTGCTCGTCCCTAACTACCCATTTTGCAACCTCCGAATCATCCTTGTTTATTCCCGCACCAATCCCTGGCTCGACAAACCAATTCCCTTGATCTCGGCCCTAACCATAAACACGACCTCTCTCAGGAATCAGTACACCCAATCTCTTACTTCATCCTCAGATACATTTGAATACAAACGCACAACGGCGTAGTTTCACACGGACATGCCTCCCGGCGACGTTCCTTTGCCAGACAGCCTCGTGCCGGGCAACGGGGCTGTTCGCCCCACGTTAAATACTAGTGGTTATGGTGGAGGTAATCAGATGCAGACTCCCACATCACCTGCAGATAGCAATGTTCCGTTTGACTCGCCGCGTGCAATAACTGGGGGATGGAGTACGTCCGGAAACAGCCCCGTGGATGGAGCCCAGAATCCTGACGGCCGTATGGGTCGAAGATACGAGTCAAACAATTCCAGCCCAAGGGACCCTTCGACTCCACGCGATGCAGCCGGTTATTGGGACCGATCAACTCCCCGGGACAGAACTCGCCCTAACGGCCGGCAACCGACAAAGTCACCAGGTGGCGCATCAAGGATCTGTAAAAAGTGTGGTGAACCCCTCACAGGTCAGTTTGTACGGGCATTACTTTCAACATACCATCTTGAATGCTTCAAGTGTGAAGTAAGTTTCCATCGCTACTCTCGTAGCCATTCTGTACTTTGCAACTGATTTATTCCCGTGTAGGACTGTGGCCAAATCGTGGCTTCGAAATTCTTCCCTGTCGATGCGGAAGACGGGAGTGGACAATATCCTCTATGCGAGACAGACTACTTTCGGCGTTTGGATCTTCTCTGTCATGAATGCGGCGGTGCCCTGCGTGGCTCTTATATCACGGCCTTAGATCGAAAGTATCATATTGAGCATTTTACCTGCTCTGTTTGCCCGACAGTCTTTGGTGCGCAGGACTCGTATTATGAGCATGAAGGCAAAGTCTTCTGTCACTTCCATTACTCGACGCAGTTCGCACAGCGGTGTCACGGTTGCCACACTGCAATCCTTAAACAATTCGTGGAGATTTTCCGTAATGGCCAAAATCAACACTGGCACCCTGAATGCTATATGATTCACAAGTTTTGGAATGTTCGTTTAGCTCCAACCGGCCAGCCTCTAGAACCTCCTGAGGTAGAAGCCAATGCCACCGACGAGCAACGCAATCGAGTGCGGGAGGAAGAAGATGTGATGGAGGAGAAAGTGTACAAAATATGGAGCATCCTATCAACTTTCGAGGAATCGTCGGCCGCCTGCATCTCAGATATGCTTCTTCACGTTAGCAATGGTACTTATGTGGACGGAGTCCTTGTTGCGAAAAGATTCATTGCACACGTTGATGTTCTTTTTTCTGCGATTGACCAACTTGCAGCAAACATCAAGGCCCAAGGCATGAAAGGTGAGACTTTGTTTTTCGTGAGTGTTTATCAGTTACCTAGCAAAACTAAATCCATTATTTAGACCTCGCCTATGGCCGCGAAGCAAAACTCCTGTGCAAGAAAATTGTCGCCTTTTTTGCATTGTTGTCGAAGACTCAAGAGACCGGCGTTCGGAAACTCGGAGTCACTCAGGAGCTTCTATCTTTAGTGACGGGTCTTGCTCATTATCTGAAACTTCTCATTCGCATTGGTTTGCAGGGCGCTCTAAAGCTAGAGAGGGAGTCAGAAACACCTGAAGGTCTCCATCAATTCTTGGATCATCTTGGAGATCTTGAAGCACTTAGGCCTCTAGAAGAAGAAGCGACTACTGCAGACTTGATGGCTAATGTCGATGTTCTTGCTGATCAGCTCTCTGATTGCTGTGCCGCTTGCAAAGACCCAATAGATGACGAGTGTATCAAGCTTGGCGACAGCAGGTGGCATATCAAGCCACCTCACTTGACTTGTACGTCATGCCAGAGGGATCTGACTGCCATTCCTCAAGATGCGTTGTGGAATCCTAAGGATAAGTGCGCTTTCTGTACCAGTTGCGCCTCTGAGAATGGCTTCACACATGATACACAAGGAGGGTTCACTCGAGTGTCCAAACTCCAACAGTTTGTCTTCCTGTTACAGGTTGCTCTTGCACGGCTACTTACCGTTCTTCGAGCTGGTGGTACTATCCCCGCATCAGGTATGTTTCCAACTAAGAATTATCGTCTTGAGCTTAGATAACTGATCCACTTCAGATGAAGCCAACCTGAGATCGCATGACGGCAGTGACGGCCAATCAGCTCCTGGGGGTGAACTGCGTAGGTCGGCAACGAGATCAAAATCCTACTCGCATGCGAGTAAAGAGGGAACGGAGGAATCTTCTCTTGAACAGACTGTTGGTGAAATGCGACGTCTAAGGTCGATCCGAAACGAGCGTACCTTGTCAACAACCTACAAAAAAGCACGAGCGTCGCGGATCATCGATGGACCAGAAGGACGGAGCGTAAGGCCAGGTTCATCGGGTGGTGAAGGCACTGATCCCCGTGGTCACGGTTTTCAAATTGTAGAAGAAAAAGACGCAAATGGCGAGACGGTCACTGAGCTGACATTTGGCAATCAGGACGCTCTCACTTTGGATGATATTCCAAGGATCGTTGCGGCCGAGCAAGCTAAAGAGCAACGTCCCAACGCATACAAGCACGCAGGAACAAGGCTTGTCGGAACCACCGAGCCACTTCCAAGGTACAACTATGGCCATCAGCGTGGTGTTTCCGGTGCTGGCTTAGAACGGCACCTCATGGAACAGAGTGGAAGGGCCAAAAAGTACTTCTCAGAATTATCTGCGCTGGAGTATTTCATCGTGCGACACGTTGCTGTACTATCTATGGAGCCTCTGCTGGATGGCCACTTCACTTTGGAGGAGCTTCTTTCGTTTATTGAGTCCCGCAAACCGACGATCTGGAATATCTTTGGCCGTGCCTTTAACAAAGAAGCCAAGAAAGGTGGAAAGAAGAAGGGTTACTTCGGCGTCAACTTAGATTTCCTTGTCGAAAAGGAGGGCACAGAGTCCAGTCATGGTGTCGGACCTGGTGCGCTTCGCGTTCCCGCTCTAGTTGACGATGCTGTGTCCGCCATGAGACAGATGGACATGTCTGTGGAAGGTGTTTTCCGAAAGAACGGCAATATTAGGCGGCTTAAAGAGATTTCAGATCTGATCGACAATAAGTATGAACAGGTGGATTTAACAAAGGAAAACCCTGTGCAAATCGCAGCCCTTTTAAAGAAGTTCCTTCGCGAGATGCCCGACCCACTCCTAACATTCAAACTGCATCGTCTTTTTGTAGTATCTCAGAGTAAGTATTCTGCCTTTCGATCCTGATAGCGCGTTGGATAATATTCTTACACGCGTCACAGAACTATCCGATCCAGAAAAGCAAAAACGGGTGCTTCACCTTGCTTGTTGCCTGCTTCCGAAAGCTCACCGAGATACCATGGAAGTCCTATTTGCCTTCTTGAATTGGACATCATCCTTCTCGCACGTAGATGAAGAGTCAGGCAGCAAAATGGACATACACAATCTTGCCACAGTCATGGCTCCTAATATTCTCTATCCAAATACCAAGAATGGCACTGTGGATGAAAGTTTCCTGGCGATTGAGGCCATCAATGCGCTCATCACGTATAATGATACCATGTGCGAGGTACGTAGATTTTCGCACACTATTAATGTGTTACAGATATGCTAACTTGGAGTAATTCAGATCCCCGAGGATCTGCAATCGGTTCTCACGGACACCAGCTTTTTGAAGGAGAACTCTGAAGTCACCACGAAGGAAATTTTGAAACGCTACGGTGATATTGCGCGTGGAAGCTTTTCCCAGAGGCCCGTCAATGGTGGCGAAACTTTTACTATCACCAGCGCGAATGCAAACCGGGGAGCAAACGCCCCAACTTCCGCACGTATCGAAACGGATCCATCCCAGGATACAGCGACGCAGCTTCAAGGCTCTGTACGTCATGTACAAGGCCCTGGTCATGCCCATTCAGCGAGTGCTACCCCACATAGCAACATGGAGCTGGTGCCAGCAGCGACAAGCGATAGTCGCGAGCGCAGCATTAGCAATGGTAGTCAACAAAATCCGGCAGATGCCCAGCCTCAACCACTCACTTATAGAAGTCGCACAGGAACAGGGCCCATGGGAGTTGCCGGTTGATCAATATTCTATGCTAACTTGTTTCGGAGATGTATCGATCAAACTCCCCTTTCCTCAGTTCTTGGTTCTCTGAATACTGTTGGTGTGTCGTTGGGCCGTTCAGCGTTCTTCCATTTTGACAGGGTTGGTTGGAGTTTTTCTGATTTACTTATATCCTTCTTGTCTCGCATCGCATCGCAATTATCTCAAGACTGAAGCCAAACAACCTGCGTTTATTGGTTACGTCTTTCGCTAATGCTCTTGCCTTTACCCTTTCTGCCTGTTCACGGCTCAAAAGTGCAATATCGTTATAATGGTGGGCCTTGCTCTTACCTATTTGCATATTGTTGTCCCTGGATTCTCTATTGGTTATCTAGAGTATCCTGTCTGTCATTGCTTGCTATAACGCATTTCTGGTACTCGAGTGTCCCTATCCCTGATCTCACTATTGCATCCCAACCGAAACCTAGCGTGAATATGTGCTCAATCCTTCAACAGTCTTCTTTCTTCATCCTATTTATTTTACACCGGTGTTCCAATTGTTTTGATTCTCATTGACAGTGTTGTGAGAGTATTGTTTGGTTTGCTTCGTTTTCCAGCCAGTTCACAATGGCTGCAGAGATACCTGTGCTGAGTTTTTATATCTTCTTCTTCTACACCCTTTCATTCGCATTTTACCCATGCAGCAGCCTACTTGAGCTGATATCCCGAATTGTCTGTGTTTGGTCTATTTACATCCATAATTTCATGCGATGTTCAGATTACATACAGCTGTGAAACGACGGGGTGGAATCTTTCTCCTTCAATTCTGTTTCATTCGTAATCTTCATAGGTAATGGTAGATCCGGTTCAGCGATCTTTTTTTATGGCTCAGAGCCTTGGTCTCGAAACACACCAAGAGCTTGGAGATAAATTATATAATACATTGTGACAGTTGCAAAGGACTCCTATGTATCATTGTTTCAATAATGATAATCGATGTACCTGTAACGAAGTTCAATTCACTAGTATTTCATCCAATCAGCCAGAGGATGATGATTGCCAAACTCCAATAGCATATCCCTTAATCAAATAATTGATTAATGCAAGAAGCTCGACTTAGTTCAACAGCGCAAAAAGAACAGCAGTCACACAAGCCGGTTACAAGACAGCCCAAACCAACTCTAGACCAAGTAATGCGAGGCAATGAAAAAACGCCAATAGACCCGCTCGAACTCCCAAAACATCAAAGTTCACACCGTTGCACGATAAACCCTCGTTTGCAGACTTTATTGAACGTCAAAAGACTATAGATGTAAGGTTTCTTCCTCAGGAAGAATATAGAGCTTTAAGCGCGTTTGCGCAGGACCCTTCGTCCCGTTGTTGTAGCTTCACCTCCTACGGGGGCGGTAGTCTTCCTGGTAGCCGACGCGGTGCTGCGTTTGGCAGTCGTGGATGTTTGGCTCTTCGCGACGGTCTTCCTAGCTGTGGAACTTGCAGTTGATGCGGCTGTCACCTTCCTCGCGTTGGCACCCGTCCTCGTCGGCTTAGTGACGGTTGTGCCGGATGAAGTGGAAGACGAGACGCTGCCTCTGCGTTCAAGCTGGCGGGTAGCAGGTCGTGGTAAGGGTGAGCGTGTCGTCGTCTTGGATACTGTAGTAGCCCTGCTTGCTGGTCTCTTGGAAGCTTGCGAAGCCGGTCTGCTCACTGTTGCTGTGGTTGGCGTGCCTTTTGTAGAACGAAGACGCGCACTTTCCAGGGACCCAGCCAAGCTGGTTGGAGCGGCCTTAAGCGGACTAGAAGGCTTCAGCGATGGCATATGCCGCGAGAGGTAAGATGAGTTCTGTGGCTTCTCTGGAGATGCTCGAAGTGGTGACTGGGGATAAGTCCGAGAGTTCGATGATTTCGGAGAAAGAATTCTAAAGTCTGCCCCTCTAACTTCTTGGGAGACCACCCGTGAGGTTCCGGCAGCAGCGCCGGGCTTGGCGCGTCTCTTCGGGTTCTTGAGCACATCAAGCTGTTCTCCTGCCGCAGGGGCATTTTCTTTATCGGAGTAGAGACCGTCGTGACTGTATCGCTGTCAGTAAAGTGTCGTGCAGAGGATCGCGATACTGGAGACTGCGTACCTTTGTCTCTTTGTCCTGCGCGGACTCGGACTTGCAGCAGAGGCCTTCTGCATGGCAGGATTAACAGAAATAGCTGCAAAATTGCGTGTCCCTTTAATCGGGCTTATGAATTTCCTCGGGGAGGTGCTCTCGTGTTGCGCCCGGAGGGCGGCATTGTGCTTTTCCAACAGTTCGCCCATGTTCGCCTTTCGGAGGGCGATGGGAATCCGGTTAATGCGTCTTTCAATCCGGGCCCGGAGATCATTTGCTTGGAGCGCATATTGCGCGCGAAGTTTACGAGCCCGCTCGGTGACTGTGATACGGTCAGTGTCGGTAATTAGGGGGCAGTACGCATTAGAAACGCACCCTCTAGCTGTAAGTTATCAATAAGCGCTTGTTTTTGGCTTCGGGTTATCCTGAGCCTCTTTTTCGGAGGACTGCCTGTAGGTGTTCTAGCTTCGTCGACGGAGTACGCGTCGTCATCGTGAGACTTCCGCTTGGAGGTGAGAGAAGCCATTATGGGGAAATTGCTGGTTCAATGACGAGTTTGACGGGTCGGAAGAGAAATTCTTTAATTATGGTGAATAAATGTAATATTTTGGGTTGGGTGGAATTGTCGGGAAAGCGAAGGGATGGCGTGCGTGAGGTGTGAGAGTGGAAGGGAAGCAAGTATGCGTTTGTTTTATGGGAATAAACAACCGCTGACTTAATTTGTGGTTAGTCCCGACTGGGCGGCCAGTGTGACATTGATCTCTCCCTCTCAGAGCTCCAACTCTCCTCCCCATCACCGCCATCATCATCATCTTGCAAACCCCCATCTTCTACTGCCCCCGCAGAGCTTTCAAGGTACTAAGAGAGCTCCATTAATTATATCTTATTCTACCTTTTTTCATTGCTCCCTTCTATAAGCCTATCTGGTTCCGATAGACCGCCGCCAAGATGTCGTCGCTCGAAGCAACCATGATCATGTTCGTCATCCCCCGTCCAACGCCTAGCTCCACGTTCCCCCAACTAACTCATCTACAGCGTGGACAATAGTGAAAGCAGTAGAAATGGAGACTATACGTAAGTACCTTCTCCGGTCGCTCCGTTGTTTCGCCGTTGACGCCCTCCAGCTCGACAAGATGGCAAGCACAGATTGATGCCGTCAGCGTCATTCACACTGCCAAGATGCGCGTACATCCCCAATCAGCTGTCGGACTTATGAGTATGGGTGGAAAGGGCCCTGAGGTTCTGTCAACGTTTACCTCCGACTTTGGTGCCATCCTGGCCGGTCTGCACCGCACTAAGATCCATGGCACTGCCCACCTTAGCTCTAGTATACAAGTGGCCGGCGTATGCCTTGACTCCACCATCTCAACTTTCAGAATACCTGGCGAAAATTATGCTAACTGTATGCTTGGCCATAGCTTGCTCTCAAACACCGTTCCGAGAAGTCCCAGCGCCAACGCATCGTCGTGTTCTCGTGCTCTCCGATCGACGAAGATGAGAAGACATTGGTTAAACTGGCTAAGAAGATGAAGAAAAACAACGTGTCTATCGATGTCATTGCCTTCGGGGATCTTGAATCCGATCAAACTAAGAAGCTAGAGGCCTTTGTCGAGAACGTTAAGGGCGGCGACGGCTCACACCTTGCCATCATCCCTCCCGGACCGAACCTGTTGAGTGAGGAACTCCAAATGACGCCCATCCTAGGCGGCGATGGCGCTGGAGCAGGCGGAGATAACGCAGGCGGTGGTGATTCCGGCGATTTCGGTTTCGAAGACGCGGCTGAAAATGACCCCGAATTAGCGTTCGCCCTGCGCTTGTCCCTGGAAGAAGAGAAAAACCGGCAGGAGAAGGAGAAGAGGGACCGAGAGGAGCAAGACCGCAAAGGCAACCTAGATAACATTCCTGAGGAAGGACAACCGGGTGGTGAATCGAGCGGGGGCAAAGATAAGAAGGAGGACGGTGACAAGATGGACACCGCGTAGAGAAGGAACCCAAATAACTTGAGGACGAATTTGATGCATACCCGGCGTTTTCATTGTGCTTTTCGTATTTTCTTGTATTCTAGAAAGCGATCCTAGTCGATACGCTTTTGGAAGGATGTGACTGAAGTCTATCGTATGTGTCATGACCAAACAAAGGCGAAAAAGAAAATTGTAATTACAAGAGGGACAATTGTCATCAAAATGCGTCATTAATGTCACGACAAACCGACCTTCCAGCAGTCTATTACCTCGAACTCGAACACCAGAAGGATATAAAAATGGATCAGGTCCTCCCCCTCAGCCACCCCGCAAGATGTCGATCGAACGCCTCACACCTCACCGGCATCTCTAGTTGGTAGAACGGGTTCTTCATAACATAATCCGAATACAGCTCGTACACCTTCTTCATAACAACATCAATGTTCCCCATCATCGGATCCGTAAATAAAAGAAATTTCGTCCCCGTCAACGTCTGAAAACAAGTCAATCGGAACTTATCCGTCTCAAGGCTCTCGAGACCCGTCGCTCGAATCCCCGGGTTGGGATACGTAAATGCCGATGCAGAAGTCGGCGGAGTGGGTGTGCCAGGGGTTGAGGGTATATTGGAGGAAGTTGGAGTAGTCGCTGCTGCGGGTGTCGTAGAGAGGGGAAGCCTAGGAGTTATAGAGCGAGTGATGGCGTGAACACTACACATGAGGCATCGTCAGTTCGCAGGAAATAAATGTGTGGGCGGGAAGTATCTCGTTGGCGGGATGGATTCGCTCAACCCACATACCCATGGAATGTACCAGCTAAGACGAGATAATCATTCGTAGAGAGCTTGCGCAAGCCGGGCTGAAATTCACGCTGGTAGACTAGGCCTCCGGCCTTATTGATGATGATGAGTGAGAAGACGGTCCTGTCCAGTGTCAGAGTTCCGGTCGCTTTGATCGAGGAGCTTCACGGACATGGTGGGTGGAGAGTATGTAGCCAATTATATCCTATCTTAGAGGTGATATATTATTGTTTATGCGACATCGCCTGGGTCGACTGGAGGGCTCGGGAAATTCGGAGTGGTGTATTAGGTTTCCGAGAAGTTCATTGCATCATTATGGTTATCTGATTACTCCGAAATGTATGGCGGACAGGATACGGAGGTGGGTGCTGCTGGAACTGTCCCAGACTAGGAGCTACTCCCAGTCGTGCTAAAGGCTTATGTAGCACTAATTGTAGCCAGCACACATCAACAGATGGGACGATGGCGCAGTTGGGAGCGCGTTCGACTGAAGTTCACTTCATCATATAAGCCCTTCCAGGCTAATCGAGAGGTCGTCGGTTCAAACCCGGCTCGTCCCATTTCCTCTTTTGTCTTTTTATACCCGTCATACTATTTTCTAGTAGATGGAGGGGGAGACTACATGACCTTGTATGAAATATTGTAGAAATAAAAGTGCTTCGCCTATGATTCTTGTACAAAAAGTCAAACAAGGTATTTCTATCTAAAATATAGAGTTAGTCTCCTTTATCTATAACAAGATCATTCTTTAAGAATCGCATGTACATCATCATTTTTAGGGGCCCTAACTATGTTGGTCTCGAACAAATCTTCCCTCCATACTCCCATCCAAGTAATTAAATACACCATCAGACCATCAGTAAGGACCGCAGTATGATTTGACCTTCATAAATATTCCCAGTTCTCTTAGACTGTAGAGTGAGACGCATAATACCAGCACCAACGCATTACGATCCAAAGTGCACGGAAATAGTAAAGTGAAGGCTGCTGACAGCAATTACATAATAAGTATTCGGTGGATAACTAGTATATGGTAAGTCAACATTATGCTGATGGAGTCTGCGTTATCTAGGTTAGATCTCTTATACCGGTTTTGTACTCGTCAGTAAGCCATGTAAGGATAATTTATACTGTCCATTATACGGTCAGTACATCATCGACAGAAGGGCAATTGACGAGTGTGTCTAATAGTAAAAGGCTCACCCTTTGGAGAAGCTTGATTGGGACGCTCGCCATGACACTGTGCATGATGAGTCTCAATTCCAAGTACAATTTCCGGACTCCCTTGTAGGACGCACTCCGAGACATGTCTTCTTTACACAAATCGCAAAACTCCGTTAAGATGCTCTCAATCATCAATTTGACTGCTTCTTTGGAGTGAACTACGACCGTGTTGACCTCAACAGTCTTCCTGCTGGTGATACAGAGCCCTTCACGCCAATATTGTTACTCAAGGTACATGTGGAGGATAGTCTAGAAACTATATCAATGGGTTCCTTAGATGTACAGTACTACGTAGTGAATTGGTAGTATTTGAGCATGACACATAGATATGCCCTCACGAGTGGACATTTTGAAAGAATGACTTTTACGGGGATACTACGATGACCATCGATCAGATCAACCTTAGGACTGATAGGTTCCCTGGTTGACTAATCAAGTATAGTAGGTGTATGCACTGAATTCTTGCCCGTGGGGCGTAGCTTCACAGCCTTAGCCTCGTTTGCTATACTCCAATACCTATATATGCGAGCCACAGGACCCATGGGCCAATTAGATTTTATACCAACGCATAATCAGGCATCCATACAAAATAATGAAGGCCGAAAAACGCTAAGGCCTCCCGCTCTATCAGCAACTACTGTACCTGGTTTGCACAGCCAGTTCAGAAAGAGCCTAGAGCGAACGCGGAAGTCATTTTCCCTTCCTAGTCGAGATATCTTGAACCCAGGAGAAAATCTGCAAATTTCATAACAGTCGTGTTTGTTTCTTAACAGAGCCTTGCAGCTGTATTTCTCAGCCAGACCTCTTTTTATTTTTATTTAGTTTCCGTCCTAGACATGCCTAATGACACAGACATCATACCACAGCCTGCACTCAAAGTTCCTTCCCCGCACACAAAATTCATGGTCAGTTGGATATGTGTGCTAAAGTCCGAGTTCCGGGCAGCCGTGACCATCCTGGACGAGAAGTACGATAGAGCCGGCCTGATCCGCGGTGAAGGGGACAGGAATCACTATGTTCTCGGGTGAGTTGGGACGCATAATGTGATAATCAATCTCCCACCAGCGGAAATGTACGGACGGATCCATGCATCCAGAATTACCATGGACATGAGAAGTACTTTTCCGAGAATACGATGCGTCCTTCTAGTCGGAATCGCAGGCGGAGCGCCCTCCGAGAAGAACGACATCCGGCTTGGTGATGTGGTTCTCGGAACTAAGATTGTTCCTTATGCAACGGTCAAGGATACCGATCATGGCTTTTTGCGTACGGGCTTAATAAGAACTCCGCCAAGTGAGCTTTTGGAAACCATCACGTTCCTGGAGGAGCGTCTTTGGTCGGAGAATGTGAGTCACTTGGACTCTATTGAGCGCATTCGAACAAGAACCGCTAGAGGCCGGATTGCGTTTCTCCGCCCTGCATAAGATCGGCTTTGTAAAGATGGATACGACCACAAAGGGCCGTTGAGCGATTGTCTGTAGCCTGAACCACAGTAAAGAATGGGCCTGTATCCAAGGGAGAATCGTGAAGGAGATCCGGCGCGGTTGTTTAAAGGGGGCATTGGGTCCGACGGCCATGTCATGAAAATTGCTTCTACTCGTAAGGATACCGCCAAAAGAGAGGATGTCCTGTGTTTGAGATAGAAGCTACAGGAGTGATAGACATTACTCCTTGTCTGCCCATCCGGGAATCTCAGATTACGCGGATGGGCACAAAAACGATGACTGGCATCTATATGCCGCTTTGGAAGCAGCAGAATGTGCGAGGGTGCTCTTGCTGTCTGTTTCGCCACAAATTGTTGCGCAATTCTCCATGACCTTCTCCGGGAGATCTCGTGGATCGCTACATAACAGGTGCGGTCGGCAACCCAAATGCCATTTCTGGCAACGACATCGAGAAGCTGAAGCAGAACCGTGATAGTTCAATGGAGCGTCATGCTTTACCCAAAGAGTTCATGGTGCCGCAGCTTCGAAAGATGCAGGGTGCATCGCCCGATGATATTCCTGGCGTCCGAAAGAATTTGCAAAAGCTCAAAGACATGCAAACAAAGCTGAGGATGGGGCTGGAAGATCTTGATCTAACAATGGAACAACACGACGATTTACTTTAAGTCAGGATCCAGTTGTTCGGGAAGAGTACTTGAACTTGAAGTCCCAGGTACAGAGAGATACAGATGCAATGGAGAGTTTATACGAGGCCGCCCAAAGTAGTCTGCAGACTACAGGTAGGCTGCTAGAACGCTTGTCACAGACTGTGAACAACAAATCTTTGGGTATTGCAAGCACTGTATTGGGAGCAGTTGGGGAGGTTCTTGGACATGCTATGGTGCTCTGGAGATCTAGGAGAAGGGTCTCTGCCCCTCTTTATCGATTTGTGCTCCGGAAATTGCATGTCATCCCCAGCGCTTCACGTCGACCATACAACCGAGATGGAAACTCTCCTAGTTTAGTCATAACAGTAGAACCCTCGAAATAGAGAGTTGAGAGTCGGACAGAGAGGGTTACCCGCGGGTCGTGGCGAGGTCTAGAAACGAGAGACACTGCAACTATGGATTGAAACATGCATAATATTTGGAAGGTCATAATATCAAAATAATTGCTTTCTCCTCAACAAATTGGGACGATGGCGCAGTTGGGAGCGCGTTCGACTGAAGTTCACTTCATCATATAAGCCCTTACAGGTTAATCGAGAGGTCGTCGGTTCAAACCCGGCTCGTCCCATTTTCTTTTTCTGTCTTTTTTACCATGTTCTTTTTTTCAGACAAAGAAAATGATGATGATACATACTACTAGGCCGGTTCAATTACTAGTAATTACCTAACTAACTACATATTTTTGGTGACTAGATGTCACGGGAAAGTACAAAGGCACACTACTCCGTACTACACTACTGTCTCCCACGCTGTTCTGGGATACAGTAAACCATCAGTCATAGAACTATATCCAGCCCGTTGCAACCGGCCACTACATTATATTAGTGCGATAAGGGGAATTAAGACCTTCAAAGCCGAAACAGATCTCGACGATAGCTGATAAGGCCCCATCCGATCCATCTCTTCAAGTCCGACTACATCGCGATGTCCGAAAGTGTAGTTAGTATCTTGTTGCCTGGTACAATCACGAATTTTATTTGAAGTAAACGATTGTTACCAACCCGATTCCTGGCTGGTTGTCAGTTGAGGGAATACAATTTTTCCTGCCTATAATCGACAAGCAGGCTTCGTTTGGTGCATTTTTTCTTTCTTACCTGCGAATAACTTCTCACGACATGCCTAGGTGGGTAGTAGAGGGGACTTGCTTTGGAGGGGGGTTCTTCATCACTGCTATGGGTTGTTCAGGTAATATTCCATATACTTTCGGTGACTTTGTCCGAGGATGAATATGCCGATATAGGTCTAAACTCTGAAGTATGGGAGCCTGGTTGCATAAATACGTGGCCCTTACTATAGGTGTTCTGCCCATTTATCCAGTATTCTCACAGGCAGTATCATATATCTATCAAGTCTAGCCAGTCCTCCGCAGTAATAGCCACAATATCCAAGGAAGAAGTCAGTATACTATCCAATCCATCCTACTGGTCCGACAATTCTCATAAACGATAGATTATCGAAATAAAGGCCAAGGCTCTTCACGAGCACATCTCCTCCAAGCCAACGGATACCTTCGCCGGTAAGCCTAGGGGTCTAGTCAAGGTTATCAACGAGTTCGCCGGCGAAAACCGCATGATGACCTTCAAAGGACGCCAAGATCGAGGTATCTAAACAGTACTTGGAGAGAATTGACCCACCCCCAAAGGCCCTTATTGGGTTTGGTGGATATGTCGGTGCCTCGGCCATCGCATGGGGTGCAATCCTTCGTGAACTTAACGGAGCAGGCAGCGCTGTTGGTATTAAGGCCTACACGTTTGAGCTGAGCTCAGTCAATGCTAGCATTGCACGAGATTTCATTCGGCGGGCCGGCTTGGAGGATATCGTACATGTTGAAGGATCAGCTGCACACTCGCTGAGGATACTATTTGAAGAGGGGAGGCTGAGGAAAGGTGGCATGGATGTGGCCTTTTCTGATTATTGGGAGAAGTTTTATCTCCCTGATCTGCAACTTTGCGAGGACCTGAGCTTGTTCAGAAAAGGTTCCAAAGTCATTGCCGATAATACAGACTTCCCCGGCGCCCCTGCCTATCTTGAGTATGTGAAAGCTGGCGGTAGACAACGCGGGCCTTATCGGTATGAGTCTGAGTCAGTCGAGTGAAGCTCAAAATTCGGTCCTCTAGGTTCCCATCTATACACGTTTTTACTTGGACTGGTTGGGGCAGTGTGCTAGTTGGCTTTTAGAACATTGTAGAAGGAAGCAGTGTTGTTGATGCTTAGGCATTTGTTTCGTGGACATTGGCTTTTGTGTGTGAGTTTCCAGTATCGTTGTGATTGCAGCGCCGGCCTGAGGTATCCTTGTTTGTACATTTTGTCTTATAGAGAATCATATATCGGGTCACTCTATGTAACCTAGGACTAGCCCGGGAAATGCACAGCTATCTTACATGACTCATGTAGGAGATATCAACTAGACTTCACAGGACATTTTATGCAACAAAGTAGCCTGTAATTATTATGTGGCATGGTAGTATGATGTCGCATTTCCAGTTTGAAATAGGGCTCATCGGGTGCAGGTGACACATCAGGTCAGATTCACTCATGCGTAGGCTGCGGTGCGGGTTACAGAACTTCAAGGTGTCAATATGTCAGGGTAATGGTTGGTTAAGTGTTGAGGATTTTGTTGATCATCGCGCGGAGATTTGGTGTGGTCCCTACATACTACTTACTATACTGGCATTGGAAGAATAGCCTTAGTAATATATATTAAGGACTTGGGCCCCAGATTACATGTCTAGTGCTACCAAGCTCAACCATGCACTATCACGAGTATATACGGAGGACAACTAACCATCAGACTTGATCTGCTAATACCCATGTAGATCATGCTTAATCGCGTAACACAAAAAGTAAAACACGCGCACATGTCAATTGACAAGTGTGCTAAGCAGCGGTGACACAGAGGAAAGGGCAAAAAGCAAAAATTACATTTGTGGGACGAGCCGGGTTTGAACCGACGACCTCTCGATTAACCTGTAAGGGTAGGTGATGAAGTGAACTTCAGTCGAACGCGCTCCCAACTGCGCCATCGTCCCAGTTGACAAGTCTAGGTAACTTAATATGCTTATTAAACCATTATATAAAAAAACGAAAGGACTACACCAACGCATGAAAGCAAAGCATGTGATACCGCGGAGTCAGTGGATTATTATGCGGACCCTGTACTTCCGCGGCTTTCGCAACTAGGTCCACATCGGCTATTCTTTGGGTCGACCGAGCGTCACAATTATTCTATATGTAGCCTATCATTCATTCCACGGCCACTACTGCCTCAAGTACATATCCAGTATCCCGTTGCGACCATGACGACTCTTTTTACCATCCCTATCTCGTCTACAGGCGGAACTATTGTCTGCTCTAATCCCACTGCTTCAGACAAAGATAAGAATATCTACCTTCTCACGTTCACCTCTCCGAAGGATAACAGACTCACCCCAACATTCATCGATGCTTTTATACTCGCATTGGATATCATCGAGCATAGATACCCCAAGGGCGTGGTAATTACCACTAGCGGCATAGCTAAATTCTACAGCAATGGGTTGGATCTCGAGCTTGCCCTCAGCACGGAGGGCTTCTTAGATAACTGGTTGTGGAAGCTGTTTCGCCGGTTTTTGACGTAAGTGACAACGTTGAATAACTTCCTCTGTTGAGTGCATCACATGCTAACTCCACTAGATATCCTATGCCCACCATCTGCCTCCTGAACGGACACGCCTTTGCTGGCGGTCTCATGTTGGCCATGTATCATGACTACCGGATCCAAAATCCCTCAAAAGGTCTCTTGTGCATCAACGAGTTGGAGTTTGGGGTCCCGCTCCAATCGCCCATGATGTGCATATTCCGGGAGAAGTTGATCCCATCCTCTTTCCGGGATCTCATTCTTGAAGCCAAGAGGTTTGGAGGCCCTGAGTCCCTCAAGGCTGGGCTTGTAGACGGCCTCGGTGGGCTGGAAGAGGTCTTGACACTTATCCGGGAGCGTGGGCTACAGAAGAAAGCGGCCACTGGTATCTATGGTACCATGAAAGAGGAGATGTATCGTCATTCCCTGGATATCCTGGATGGTCACACTGCAAATTTGGCTTGGAGGGAGCAAGTGGAGGAGAAAAAGGATCAGGCGCAAAAGGATGCCCTAAAAGCTATTGAGGTATTCGAGAAGCAGCGGAGTTCCAAGCTTTGAATCTGCTTCATGGTCTTTGATCAAATTCGGTAAATAATGATGTCTGGCGCTGCGCAGTAGAGTATATGTCTCATTTTTGTAAATGATTTTTTTTTCTTTTCTTTTCATTTCATTTCATATTTTTGACTCTGTCTTCGTTAGAGTATAATTAAAAGATATATCATCCGCTGAGGCGCTTGTGTCTGATTGCACTTTGAACAGTAGATCATTGATTTGCAACCTTCAACTCATAGCTTGGCTATGTTCTTATACCTGCATATCGCCCCTCTTATCAATACCCGCCGGCTAAACTGAGTGTCTATGCCCGAAAATTTCATTGCTAGAAGCATTTGATCACCTTTGTAATGTGGTAGTGGATCGCCACTTGAGGTTGTGGCAGCTGGGTGAGCACAGCCTCCCTTTGCCATTGTATCGTTAGGGTTGAGCCACGCCAACACGTATTTATAGTATAAGGCGTGGTGATTTGGCAATTGGTAGCAGTAACCTAATAGTGCCTAATAGAAAACTTCTATTGCTAGTTGTTTCTATTAATTACCACTGACCTTTTGAGACTAAACCCAAGTGACGTTTTCCTGAAAGGAATTTTTCTTCTTCTCACGGCCCGGATCTTCATTCATTTTACTTGACCTTTTGTTTATTCTGCCATTGGTGTCATAAAAATAGCTGCCTGGGCGTTTCTTTCCCAATAACTATTGAATGGATACCATCACGTGATGGTTTCCCCGACAGAACCGAAACAAGCGTAATTTCAAAGGCGGGCGGCGATTCATCACACCCTGTCAGCTTCACAACAGTAACGTTTCCCTACCCTTCTTTTACATTCATCCTCCACACCCAACTTTCGAAGATCCGAGCTATCTCTCGGAGGCTCTCATCATATACTTGCTCGTATAATTTACGAATTCGACTTTCTCGTTTCCTGCACCCCTGTAAAGGGAGAACCCAGCAGATTCCGCCTTTTCTCCCGCTAGGCATCTGGTGATCCACTAGGTTCCCCGATCCCAGTTCTGAACGCTTCGCATCTATCGCATCAAGTAACCATGTCTGAACCACCTTACGACCCCTATATTCCTTCTGGCTCTAGTGCCAACGCCCCAGCTGGGGCCAGCGCTGCGCAGAATGGCGATCCCAGGACGAGGGAAATCGACAAGGTATGTTGATCAACTGCCCTTGCTACATTCATCGCGAAAGCCTTCTCTCTCTGGTGGTGTGGGACACGGGATCGTTAGCAATGTATGAGTCTGTCTCCAGACTCACATTCACAAATCTCCCATAGAACACATACCCCTGACATCCGGCTATACTTATTTTACTGGCCATGGAATCTCACACTAACTTCGCCTTCTGCTGTGATAGAAAATCCAGGAAACTGTTGATACGATGCGGTCGAATATCTTTAAGGTTTCGGAGCGTGGCGAGCGTCTAGACTCGCTACAAGACAAGACTGATAACCTGGCCGTATCAGCCCAGGGTTTCCGCAGGGGTGCGAACCGCGTGCGGAAGCAAATGTGGTGGAAAGACATGAAGATGCGCGTATGCCTGGTGATCTGTGTCATCCTCTTGCTTGTGGTTATTATTGTGCCTGCCGGTATGACCTGCCTTTTATCCGATAATTTCTGTACAGAAAATACGACCGAATGCGCTAACTCATATTATTTAGTTGTCACGACCAGATAAGCTATGAAATGCAGCGACAGTCACGTTTGTCTTGGGAATGGATGTTTTTTCAACTGGTTTATCTGTATTTGAGACGGTGAAGCTTCGATTTCAGCCACTAATACCTCCTGCTTTTCTCGGGCGTCCGCCACTTGGTTCTAACGACTAAACTCTTGTCTCTATACGCCATTGACGCTATGAGCCGAATGCCCTATGATACGTCGACGGTGAAGATGTAAATGATACTCTGGATTTTCTCGTGTTCGAGTACGCGAGTATTGTTTTTGCTTCTTTTGTTTTTCTTATGTGGCTTTTTCTTATGTGTCTTTCCTTAGCCTTTAATGAACTACCCTCTGTGCATTTGCTCATACGTATGACTCCATTACATCGTAAGTGGGCTCGAAAGTGGCTTGATTCTTGCGGCACAGGTCATGGAGTGAGACTATATTTACCGTAAACTGCTAGGGACATTTAGGGTATTGAGGTACAGTTAAGCTGGGTCTTCGGAACAAAGCTTGCAGATAATTGACCTATTGACTTGTGAGGAGTGGATCAGAACCCCTAGGGCGGTTTGGTATATTAGGTAAACGATCAGATAACGACGGACCCATTGCACTACAGACTGACATCTGAAGAATATATCTCCATTTTGGGAGCAAAGGGCGACTGTTATTCGCTGTGGGATGTCGAGAATCAAAGCCGTAAAATACCGAAGGGGGATCTGATAATCCTAATAAAATCAGATAGTGCTAACTTATTGGGGAGAGATCCACGGAAGCCAGCAATACAATTATTTTTATTACGTGGGATAGAGAGCGTTAGGGCCTAGAAAGAAAAGCGAGGTAGAGTCATTCTCTGTTTCTTTGCCATTTTTGTTTCTCTGAGTCACCCTGCTCAGGTAATAATCTTCGGCTCCGAAAGTCGCAGTCAATTCAGGTACCAGATTTTGCTGACTTTGATCGGCCATTTTTCTTTTTTCTCTTCTTGGTTTTTCCTTTCTATTTTACCCCCTAATCCTGCTCATAGATTTTCTCAGTGGTCATCTTAACCCCTCAGCGACAATATCGGGTTCCCTGACCTTTTTTCGGGCACGATTGAGGGGAAAAACCGCGCAGGTGGGAAGCCTGGCTGTGAGGAGTCCAAAATAAATTACACGCTAGTGAGTGACCGCCCCCCAAAGAAGAAGGAAAAGCACCTCCGAGCGCGGATGGCCGACGATAATCCCATATCTTGGAACTGGGGGTGCGGCAAATTCCTGAGAACCCGCAGCACCTCCACTTTTACTTTCCTTTTTCTCTCACTACTTATTACTCATAACGCCCTTCTCGTCTCTGTCTTCTTGAAACACTGACCTTCTCGCTCCCCCTTCCCCCAGACTTCCCTGACATAGGCCTTGCAGCTGCCGCATGCTGGTTGGCAAGATGTTCTCCCTTCGTACCGCCGTGAGGAGAGCTTCAACCAGCAAGCCTCTCCGAGCGTTCTCCGCACCGCACGCCGTTTCTACAGCGAGACTAGGCGCTCGTCACTCCCTGAAAGCCTCCGCGGTCCCATTGCTGCAGGGCCGCCATTATTCCCGCGCCGCCGATCCACAGCTTTCCTCTACTCGCTCCACCGTCGTCCAGCTGCTAAGCAATATCGGTTCCAAACGTGAGGTCCAGCAGTACCTCTCCCACTTTACGTCGGTATCTTCCCAACAATTCGCAGTGATCAAGGTCGGCGGTGCTATCATCACCGAGCACCTTCAGACTCTTTCGTCTGCGCTTGCCTTCCTGAACCATGTCGGACTCTACCCGATTGTTGTCCATGGTGCTGGACCTCAATTGAATCGCATGTTAGAAGCCGCTGGTGTGGAGCCCCAGTTTGAGGATGGGATTCGTGTGACCGACGGCAAGACTCTGGCGCTTGCTAGGAAGCTGTTTTTGGAGGAGAACCTGAAGCTGGTCGAGGAATTGGAGCGCATGGGAGTAAGGGCCCGTCCTCTTACTGCAGGTGTCTTCTCCGCCGACTACCTCGACAAGGAGAAGTATAACCTAGTCGGTAAGATCAATGGTGTCAACAAGAAGCCAATTGAGTCTGCCATCGAAGCTGGCTGTCTCCCAATCCTGACCTCCATGGCGGAAACACCAGACGGCCAGGTTTTGAATGTTAACGCTGATGTGGCTGCTGGTGAGCTGGCGCATGCACTCCAGCCTCTCAAGATCGTCTACCTTGCCGAGAAGGGTGGGCTGTTCAACGGTGATACGGGCGAAAAGATTTCTGTGATCAACCTCGATGAAGAGTACGACCACTTGATGAGTCAGTGGTGGGTGCGTCATGGTACCCGTCTGAAGATCAAGGAGATGAAGGAACTTCTCAGTGACCTCCCTCGTACTTCCAGCGTTGCCATCATCCACCCGGCTGATCTGCAGAAGGAGCTGTTCACGGATTCGGGCGCTGGTACCTTGATCCGCAGGGGTAACAAGGTGCACACCAAGGCCTCTCTTTCGGAGTTCGAGGACCTGGAGAAGCTCAAGGATGTTTTGGTTCGCGACCGGGAGGGCTTGGATGCCCGAGCCACCGTTAACCGCTATGTGGAAGGCTTGAAGGAGCGTGACTTCAAGGCGTACTTCGATGAGCCTATGGAGGCTTTGGCTGTTGTTTTGCCTCCCCGGCAGGATGCTTCTTCCCCATTGGCTCACTTGGCTACTTTCACCATAACCAAGTCTGGATGGCTGACTAACGTGGCCGACAATGTCTTTGCCGCCATCAAGAAGGATTTCCCTAAGCTTGTGTGGACTGTTAAGGAAGACGACGAGAATCTGACCTGGTTCTTTGATAAGGCTGATGGTAGCCTGAGCCGCGAGGGAGAGGTCCTCTTCTGGTACGGCATTGAGAGCGGCGAAGAGGTCAAGCAGCTGGTCCAGGAGTTCAACGAGCACGGCCGTCAGATGTTCGGCGATATCAACCTCGAGTCGAGGCTGCACCGCGCCGCCCAGGCTGCCACCAATATTGGCAAGGGATTTGGTGTCAGCGGTGCTTCCGTTGAGCAGAAGCGTGCGTTATCCACTAGTAGCAACGTTCTGCGGTCTGCTCGTTTTGGACGCCCATCGGTTTTCAACAAGAGCTCGGTCCGGGCTTATTCCACAACTAACCCTAACCCACCCCTTGGGGAGAAGAACATGTCTAACACCCAGCCGTCCAAGGTTGCTCTCATTGGAGCCCGTGGTTACACTGGTCAGGCCCTGATCAATCTGATCAATGCCCACCCCCACATGGATCTCCGCCACGTTTCTTCTCGCGAGCTGGCTGGCAAGAAGTTGCAAGGTTATGATAAGAGAGAGATTATCTACGAGAACCTCAGCCCCGAGGATGTCAAGCGTATGTCTGCGAATGGCGACGTTGACTGCTGGGTTATGGCCTTGCCGAATGGTGTCTGCAAGCCATTCGTCGAGGCTGTGGATCAAGGTTCGGAGAAGGGTAATGTCATTGTTGACTTGAGTGCCGACTACCGTTTCGATAACAAGTGGACTTACGGTCTGCCCGAGTTGGTCTCCCGCTCTAAAATCGCTCAGGCATCCCGGATCGCCAACCCTGGTTGCTACGCGACAGCGGCTCAGATCGCTATCGCTCCCCTCGTTCCCCATCTCGGTGGACAGCCTACCGTTTTTGGTGTCTCTGGATACTCGGGCGCTGGTACTAAGCCAAGCCCCAAGAACGATGTGGAGAACCTTACCAACAATATCATCCCTTACAGCTTGACTGATCACATTCACGAGAAGGAGATCAGCTCTCAGCTGGGCACCAGTATTGCCTTCATTCCTCATGTTGCTGTTTGGTTCCAGGGAATTCATGTATGTGCATCTTCAACCTCCTGTCTTCTCTTACCTCTTTCTTGTTGTTTTCACTTTTTTTTTTCCTTTGGCTTGATGCAAGTAGCAGAACTGACTCCCTATAGCAAACCATCAGTATTCCTCTGAAGGAGGACATGACCTCCCGTGATATTCGCAACATTTACCAGGAACGTTATGCCGGTGAAAAGCTTGTCAAGATCATCGGTGAACCCCCGGTAGTTAAGAACATTGCTGGCCGCCATGGTGTTGAGGTGGGCGGATTCGCTGTTCACTCTAGCGGCAAGCGCGCAGTGGTGTGCGCCACCATCGATAACCTGCTTAAGGGCGCAGCCACTCAGTGTCTCCGTAAGTTGTCCCTGCTTTCCTCATTATCAATATGCAACATGCTAACTATTGGCAGAAAACATGAACCTCGCCCTCGGATATGGCGAGTACCAGGGTATCCCTTTGGAATAAATGGCCTTTGCTATACTCATCCCTTAAAACTCGATATAGTGGAAGTGTAGAAGTGTAGGTATATGACCTATCTCGTGGACGCGGGGGGGGGTTTCGTTTTTGAATTGAACAATTGTGTCATTTTTCTCACATGTCTCATACCCCGGGTGCCTCTCATCGGTTGCTATGGGTTTGAGATACTCCACAAAGGGTCTCTTGCCTCATTTTCCATGGCCAACTTAATCATGCCTTGTGTTTCCTTGAATTATTGGTGTCCGACTCAATAGATCTCAATTTTCTTTGTTCTCTCAACTTGCATGGAAAATGAATGCTATGTTGTGCCCGATTGGGCCCGGCGCTGATGGAGAGCAGAAGAATAGAGGGAGGATCAAAAGCATTTTGTCCTATTATTCATCCAGTATACTGATTGTCCCATGTGTTTTCCTAGTTGTCTTTGGTTTGGATCCCGATATGGGCCGTAAATCGTTTTTGAGCAAGGTGAAATGTATAGTACTGACCTTTCTTTTTTTGCCAAATGGTTGCTTTATATAATCTAACTTTGTATCTGTGTTATCATATATTAAGCCCTTTCCGGTGTTCGCTTGGTCATAGAAAACTGAGGTCATGTACTTGGGCATAGTGGCTAGCCTCAGGACCCAATGCGAGCATCAGGGACCTGTATAATTCCCCAGTTCCACTGCTTCAGATCCGTCGTCCTCTCTCCATAACCCGACACGTTGTCCCTGGTCTCATTTGACTACGATAACCCCAGAACTGTACAATTTTACAATTCACCTCTCTCCGAGTTTACTATTACAAGTATTCAATTGAGACGAACGGCATCTTGGTGAGTGATAACCCCTTGACTCTTGTTTGATCTGATCGGCCGAGAATAAAACTATGTCATTGTGCGATCTTAGCCTTAAACTCGAGGTTAAGTATACTGATCCAGATTAGGGGACATAAGACGTACTGGCTAAATATCGTCTCTCTCTGTGATTCGGATAGTCGATCCACGTATCTCGATCACCTGTTCAGTGTGAGATACCGCCAACGCGTACTAATTGTGATAACAATTAAAGCAGAGTCTAAGAAGGAGTTTTAGAATAGAGGCTTATAGGACGCCACGTGTGATCTGGGATAGTGGGCCTTCAAAATGTTCTACAGCCATGAAAGTAAGTAGCGTCTTTTCTCACATTTCACTATGTCGTTCTGCGATGTGCAGTGTCCCTTGATGAGAATACCGAGAAACCTTACTGACGAGTCGCTTGAATGTAGTGCTCACATCACCCGATCATGGGGTTGCTACAATATGGTATACAGTTTTTTAGTTCCTTGATCTTCTAATCCTTTCATGCGTTGCGTGACGGCAAAGCGTATTGATAACGAAAGATTTATTTGATTAATAGCTAACATGTTCTTGCCCACAGGCTGGTCGCGACCCTGGGATCAAAATCCATCAGCAGAAAACTCAATAGAAAGACCATATTAGATGTCGACGTTCCGAGGGCCTGTCATGTTATCATGGACCCGGGGGCGCCAATGGCACTGAGGCTCCAGGGTAACTTGCTGTACGGCTCTTAGCCGACATCTAGTGTTTATAGTATTTAACTAACAGTTCTCATAGCTATGGAGTCTCTCGAGTGTACAGCCAACAGTGTAGCTACACTCTTACAGACGTCCAAACAATGCACGATAAAATGCGAGCAATGTTGAAAGTCCTACCGGGGGGCGGCTTAGATCCAACTGCCGGAAAGGCTAGGTAAGCTGTCCTGGAGAGCATCAAAAGCAGATAACTGAGAGATACTGTCCTAATGCGATGGACTTTTAGACCTGATCAGCTTATCCTACCTTACGACCCATCATTTTTACCAGAGTATGATCTCCCGGGAATGAGAATAGACCTTTCTAAGCTTTCCCTACCACTCGACACTGTTACAAGCCAGCAGTCCGACCTTCTATGGCCGAAGACACCAGATCTCTGCCAGTCTGATCTCTCGCAAAGCCCCAGCCTACGACTTAGTTTCTCATATAATGATATGATAATGAGGGACGCAGATGGACTTGATTCCGAAATCAACGTACCTAGCTCTGTTCCTAGAAGCTTCGATCTGGGCGGTTTCGGAGCTACAACTTTCGATGAAGAAGCTGGTATCCTCCTCCAACCTGACTTTGCATTTGACGAGGATGGAAATCTTATCGAGCTTGGTATAGCGAGCCGACAAACCGCAAAACAGGACGGAACAAGTCGGCATGTTATTGAATCACTTGTTCCAGACGAAGCAAGAATCAATGAATTGAACGATCTTACATTTGACTATCAGGTAGAATCTACTAGGTTCAGAGATGACCATTCACTGATCTTTGTTTACATTAGCCAATGCCAGTCGACAAAGAGATGGGGACCACTGTCAAGTATCAGTCCGAAAGGCCATACCATGCCGGTCAAGCTACTAAGAGATGGCGTAGTGAGTCCGAATCAACTGACGAACTTCAGCGTATCCCAGATGAGGGTGCAGCAACTATGCGTCAAACACGGCGAGCCCCTAGAATACAAACATGGGATGATCGGACTGCTTTACGAAATACCGAATTAACTAATCTTAACAGCGATTATATGCAGAACATGGCTATAGCTTCAAAGCAGAAACTGAAGAATAAACTTCCAACGCAAGCAAAGAAGAATGCTGCTTTCTGGGTTCTCGGACAAGGAATTGGCTCAGTAGGGCTCGGATTGGGTGCATTCCATGTACCACATCCTTTGCAGCAGTTTTCAGGAGAGGAACTTTATAGTGCTCTCGATCCAACTACAAGACATAGAGGGCACAAGAGGAAATGTTTTCCCAGCGAAGACAGTGAAACAGGCTCTGATGTACGCCATGTCCGTGCTAGAGAAGGATATGAGGAACAACTCGGTCGAGGTGGGCCTGTCGATGAACATGGCACTTGGCAAGAGGTATACTATTCGGCACATATTATGGGGCTTAATCCTAACGAATCTTACGTAGGAAATTGAAATTGGTCGTCATGCTCCGCCCGTTTTCCACGATGATAACTCGTTCTCATCCCAGATGCCTTGGAATATCACAGCTTCTGTCCAGAGCTCTCAGCATGGGTCATCTGCAGCAAGTGGCCTTCGTGGAAGAGCAAGTGTAAGCGAAACTTTGGCTTCACGAGACAGAGATCCCGCTGCATCACTTGCAGAACGTGGACGGTCACGTAACCGTCTAACTAGCGCAAGTCCTCTTGCCGGTAGAGGTTTTGCATTCGACGCGGATGCTTTTGACAACCTAATATTACCTGAAAACGATGACATAGATGTTTTGGGAAACTTTGACTTGACCCAATATTTACAGACTGAGCTTTTCAGCGGCGATTATGCACACACCGGGGATAATGGTCACTCAAGTAGGTACAACCATCAGTTGGCTCTTCAGGACCGACTATCAAAATCAAGCCTGGATCAAGAAAGCTTGAACTTCCTTGACTTTCTGACAACAAAGCTCGGAGAAATGCCCATTAAACACGTTCATGGACCAGATGAAGACGTTTTTTACACCTCACCGGACAATTCTCCTGACAGAAGGGCAATAAGTTTCTCAGCACTTCTGCCACCAGGGGAAACTTCTCACTCCGTTGCCACACATGGCTTGATGCATATACTTACACTTGCAACTAAAGGCTTTTTGCTGGTTCGTCAGGAAGCATACGAAGATTGGAGCACTCAGTATCATATCCGGTATGAGTTTGGAGAGATCTTCTTACAGCTATCAGAGATGTAGTTCCCCTCCTGCCTCACTCCTTCCGTTTTCCAGCTGTCATTTCTTGAGTTCAAAGCTCTGGTGACTCTTTCCCAATTTGTGCAACTTTATCACCTCGATCATTAACTGATAATCACTCTTATGATTCGGATAAAAGCTCAGTTTCTATCAAGGTCACTTTTCTTTAACGTCTTCCATGGGAATTCTTCCCTTTCTCACTGCTGCCCCTTGTGTCCTTTTATTGATTGATGCTTTCTACTTTCTATTGAACTTTTCTTATCTCCATATTTTTTTCCAGTCATCAAGCTCATATCATTCTGTGCTAACTTCCTTCAATCCTTGACACATGCTGCCAAGTCTGCGTTCATCATGAAGTTCTCAATATTTCAAGGTCTATTCCCTTTACCAATGCACAAAAGTGTCCACATCCGGAAGCACATCTCCGCTAAAAGTTTTTCTTGTCTTTATCTATTCTCTGATTTCGCTTTTCATTGCTCCTTTCTCCCAAATCCCTATTACGTAAAGATGTACAAGTATGCAAAGTAATATATTTCAAAACATAAAAAAAAGCAAAAATCAATACTTTACAAACTGCCAATAAAACTCCAGAAGTTATTCTCAGCCAATGAACCCAAACAAACTACCCAAACCGTACCCCGACCCAACCTAACCGCATCCAGGATAATACTGTACAGTCCAAATACCATACAGTATTAAACCCACTAACCAGCACATTTATGACGTAATCAAACCCAATTAAACCACCCCTGCATCCAATCCATCCATCCATCGACTCATTCATACCTACAATCTCACTCGCTACAAACACACACACCAACCCAACCCAATTGAACTCAATCCTACAACTTAAAGAAATAAGGGCATAAAAAGAGAACACCCTATCCGCAAAAATGGTCTTCCGCTTCGTACGTCCCCCAATTCTCCCCAACCCCAACTACCAAAGAAAAACTAACAAAAAAAGCCCAAAACTCTCGACCCAATAACCCTCTTCCACAACCCCAACCTCCAGTCCTCAAAGAACGCTTACAACATCCTAAAACGCGCCCTCTCAGCCGCCGAAGATGGCGAACCGTCGACCACAAAACGCGGCGAGTTCCAGCTCGAAGTGACAACTGAAGCGCCGACAACCGACCAGCTCCGGAATATTCTGGACTATGTGACGGGTGATCCGGCGGGGGCGGGGAGTAATCAGGTGGTGTATTCTGTGGAAGAGGTAGTGACGGGAGCGAAGGATGCGGAGGATGCGGTGAAGAAGTTTAAGGAGAGTGGTGGGAAGGAGGGGTTTGTGAGACCTATTGTAAGTTCTCTCTCTCTCTCTTTTTATGGTTTGCTAATGGGGGTTTTTTTTCCTATAGACGGTGGATTGGACGAATGGACGGGCTGTGGTTGGGGATAATGAGTCGGAGATTTTGAAGATGGTGCATCAGTTGGATGTTGATTAGATTGGGATATAGGATTTTGATTTGGCCGGGTTTTTTTTATGGGGAAAATTTTTTGGATTTTGATTTTGATTTTTTTTTATCAGTCTACGATACCTCTATGTATCATACAAGCAATTACACTCAACTCCAGACCATGACCCCTGACCCGGTAATGCATACAGTCAGACATGAACATTAAACGTATACTCGCTCATCAAACCTAGTCATGGTCGTTTCGAGATCCAGCTCGTACCGTGCCAGTAAGGAGGAAGGGGAAAAAAGAACATGAAGAGGAAGATATGCGCTAGAACATCGTTCCGAATGACCCATCCGTCGCAATGGGTTTACGCGGTGAGCCGCGTCCCCCGTCCATCGCTGGTTTTCGATGCCTATATTTGCTCATTAGAAACCACAAGAGACCGTGCATATAACCGGACCACTTACCTGAATGTGAATCCGACGAATAGACCCTTATTCATCTTCTCGTCTCGTTCCGCCATTTCTTCCAGTGCGCGTTGCTTGTCATGGACCTCCTTGTATTTGGCCATGTCCGATTCGCTGGTGAAATCGTCGAAGTAGCCCGCGTCCGTCTCCGAATCCAGTTCGGGCACAAACGGCGCACGCTGCTCGCGTAGACGATTGAAGTCAACCTCCGCGAAATAATCATGTGCGTGAATCTCATGGATATTCTTGAACCGTTTCTCTTTCGAAGCCACCAGCTTCGTGATCAAGTCCCATGTCCGCCGTGACAAGAAGTAGTTCGGATCTTCATATACCGGTTTCCGGAGCACCTTCGGCCAGTTCTTGAGGTTCTGCCAAGTCTCATCCACGGTGGAACCGGCAAACGGTGGGTATCCAGCCAGGGCCTCGAAGAGCATGCACCCCAAGCTCCAGTAGTCAACTGTGAAATCATACTCCTCACCTTTCAATACCTCCGGTGCCATGTAGTCAGGCGATCCCACGATGGACTTTGCATAATTGACCTGGCGGTCACGGAGGGTGCGGTATCCCTGGCGTCGCTCGGCCATCGTGCGCTGCTCCATCGGACGACCGAACGGCACGGGCGTGTTGCCCACTTCCTCTAGCTTCACGCGCATAGATTCGATCTTGCCCGGATTTAGCATGCCCGCCGCCAGACCAAAGTCCGTCAGCTTAACGTGGCCAGTAGAATCGATCAGGAAGTTCTCTGGCTTCAGATCACGATGGATGTACCCTAGCGCATGCAGCGCGTCGATACAGCTGAACATCTCACTGATATAGAACCGGGCGTGACGGTTGTGAAGGACTCCCGTATTGTTGAGGAGTGTGCGGAAATCTCCACCGGGCACATATTCCATCGCAAGGTAAATCTGGTCCTCGTCCTGGAAAGCATAGAGTAATTTGACCAGCCAGTCACTCTTGGCCGCCGTCAGGATATCGCGCTCGGTCAGAATATGCCTAATTTCATCCAGTTTAAATAGTAACTTCTTGCTCATAACCTTCAGTGCGCACACCTCCCGGGTATCTTTCTTCTGCGCCAAGTACACCTGTCCATAGCCACCCTGGCCGACCTGCGTCAGGATCTGGAAATCGTGTTGGCGGAGACGGGTGCGGCGCTTGCGGAGGTGGGCCCGTTCCCGTCCCAAATATTTGAGCAGGGCCGGCTCGTAGTCTTCCATGGGAGTTGCGGGCGGTTCCGGGAGGGCGGCTCGAAATTGAGTATAGCGATTCTGGCGATTGTGGACGTAACTGAGCAGGTCAAAATAGTGGTCGAGGAAATCTAGAAATGGTCAGCAGGCTCGGTGACATCAGTTAAGAAAATGCGCAGACACCTACAGAGCTGTGTCACATTTACCAATCGCTTGACCCGGGGATTCTGTAGTTTCTCCATCTCCTCCGGTGTCAGCCCCCGCATCTGAACCTGCCGTCTTGAGATACTGTCCACATCGCGTGGTTGATACGGTTGGTGACGGGAGATCGCAGCTGCAGCGGGATTTGGACCGAGGTCTTTAGTCAACCGCGTCGGACTTGGTGGTGTGTTTTCCTTGTTTGCTTTTCGCGTGGGACTACCTGGGGGTTGCCGAATGACACTCTCACTGAAGTCTTCCACCGATCCCTTCGGAGCAAACATAGGATGATTGTAGTGGTCGTAGGTGCCCTTGTTGGGCGAGGTGGGGTTGAGCTTCATCGCTTTTTCGAAGACATTCGGTAGGTCCAGGGCGCCCGGGGGGAACCTATTTTTGCTGGGACTTCCCTGCGGTGTTTGGATCGGACTGGTAAAGCTATTCTGAGAAGGCGTGGAGGGGCGATCTAAAGACTCGTTGCCCGAACGGGTATGTAGGAGGGGTGGGGGGTTGGGCAGCCGGAGTGCTGGTCGATCGTTCGACTCGTGGGCGATGTTGAGTGCCATCACCACGAGGGCGCAGTTGTTTTGAAATTAATCAGAAGGGTAAAAGTGGCCGACAAACCCTTTGATAAGGGCGAGCCGAGGGGCTGGTTGCTTTGTTGTCCGCTGGTCGCTGGAGGGGGAGCCCAAAGGTTCCAGAGGAAAAAGCAATAATCAAGGAAAAGCAACGCGGTACAGGAAAATCGGTGAGAGCGAGAGAAAAAAGAAATCAAAAATCGAATTTAACCCACTCAGGAAAAACCAAAGCAAAGCAAAGAAAAGAAACGAGCAGTACAAAGAACTCGTCTCGAAACAGCCACTGCCGTTGAAGTCGGGTAACAAGGTCGAAGAATGGCCTTGTTTGCTATGGGGCAGTTTTTCAAAGAGAGAGTGAGAAAGCGAGTAAGAAGGTACAAAGACCAGAAACACACTAGGGTTGCGAGATGAGTGAAAGGATCTGAGATTGTGGAGGTTGTAAACGAGGAGACAGGGAGGGGAAGGGGAAGAAGGACAGGGATATTGGCGATTGAAGCTGAGATGGGAGCTGAATCGGGAGCCTGAGGCCCAAAGCGCCTGCAGCCAGCCACCCAATGGCTTCATCTCTCCCCACAGTCATTGGACCAACCGGAATGCCTGATGGATGCTTTAATCTCTCCTGCGCTCGCCTTACTCGCCGTTGCTCCGGTAACTCCCTTCCTTCGATCCCTCTAGACACGGGAGATCCAGATGCACCTGCCGTGATTCCCAGGGGGAAATTCGAGTTTATCGGGTCGCTCATCGAGGCACTGCCCGCTGATTGGATTGTCCAGGACTCTGGGAGTGGCTGATGGATATTTCTTTTGCGGGTGGGCTTCTGGGGACCTGCAAGTCATCGACCTAGCCTAAAATCTCCCACTAGTAAGCCAGGGAAAATCCTTCCACTCTTCCTTGCTCGGAAAAAGAAAAAAAAAACAAGATTGAGATTGACGATCCATGAGGCTGATCTAGTCCGTGGTTCCATTCGGAGGATTTGGACAGATTACAGATAGATTTCTACGGACTATCTACTCAGCCATTCTACATCGATATCCTCACCGTTACATTTAAAACATACCTGTGGGTAAGCGTCCACTAGACAACAGTAAACATACCAGAAAAAGACCCTGCCGCGCAAAGAAAGAGGCAGATCTATAGATAGACTGGAGGTAAACAAACAAAAGGACGTCATTTCATCGATTAAAAGTGGAGACACCAGACTAATGAATTGAAATCCATGGAATGGATTTCTGGCAAACAAAAATAATGAATAAAAAGAGAAAGTAGTTCCCGACCAAAACAGTCGTCATGGCCGTTCCAATCGATCCCATTTATCCATCCCTCGTGAGAATGCAGGTCAGATTTAACAGTCACATCATGGCCCGTTGTCCAGTCTACCAAACGCCCATCAGCCATATCATCACACAGACTCGTGTATTTACACTCCCACAGAAACACGCAAACCATCAGACCACAACCAAGAAGAAAGAAGGATTCAACTCACGTAAAAAGCCAAGCCATACGACGGCGTCGTGAAGGTGATCTTCGATCCCTTCGGAAAATAAAAGACGTCTCCCGGTCCCGCCGTAACCTTCTGCCCCGTCTCATCAGAGATCTCGAATTCGCCCTCAACGATGATCTTCGTTTCGTCGTAATGATACTCGTAAACTAGGGGCGTGCCTTTCTCCAGACGGTAGAAGCCGCCTGAGATGGGCTTTTCGGGATCATTCTGCTCACTATACGTCGTACAGATTACGCATCAATATCTTGCGGTTGGGCTGGAATGGCGGGAATGGCGGGAATGACGGCTTACCTCGAGACTATGTCCCCAAGATAGGCATTCTCGTTTGCAATGAGGGGTGGTTTGAAGGTGGACTGGGCTTTGGCGTGGTAGGTGAACGCGGCGGGCATTTTGTTGGGAGGGGAGAAAGGGCTTGAGGTTATACAACTGGAATATACCAATTATCGGAGGAAGTAGTGCTGCTCCTATCGACGGAGGATTGATCGGTTAACTGTGTTGCTCACATTGTGCAATAAAGGTCTGCCGCTTTATATTGTTCATTGAGTTACTACTTGACTCCGACTCGCATTTTCTATCGTAAGCAGTTGCAAAGTCCCGACATACCCTCGGATCCAGCTGCTGGAGTTGGACACAGGAAGGGCCTTCGGGGAAATAATACTCCAACACAGAAGACCCTGCTTGCTCATCCCTGAGGGGAAATGAGGGGAACTCGTCGGATCAACGAACTGCGATCGACCTGGTACTATCCGTGATAGTCTCTAGATAGCGATGCGATAGGTTACATACGAACTGCACACTACAAAGTAGGTATCAATACCAGATGGTTGGTAACTATCAGTTAACATTAGTTAAGGTTGGTATGGTTAGGTTCGTCAGGACTCTGTAACTAACTAAAGTACTGGATTGTTTTGCCCGGACGGGTTAGTGTTTCCCTGTCTCTCATTTCTTACCGTAACGTATTTCATGCTTATAATCCATCTGGTGAAAAAACGATTACTTATTGGAAGCTACTAGGTAACAGGTAGTATCTTCATGTAATTAGTTTTTGAAAAGGCAGGCGAAGATTCGAGTCAGAGATAACCTCCCAGTCTATGTATGTATATGTAATCAAGATAAACCCATGAGAACATTAGGCTAAATAATAATCATTATCTACAACCTCCCTCTTATTATAATATACTGTACAGCAAAACACATAGATATCAAAAGTAACCGCAACCCAAGATAAATCAATGGATATCACCAGGACTTATAGACTCATTGACCCTGCAAATCAGACACACCTTCAGACGAAGCTGACTTCTTCCTACAGCCCCGGAAAAAAAGTAAAGTGTTAGTTTATGTCATCTAGATAAAAAGACCAGAAAGTGATGAGAAAACATTTCACTCACTGGCGGGTCCATTCCTCTATGTCCCTTGCCATGTTCCCCGCACCGCTGGATCGCCTATCCGGGTGATCATTGTGTGGATGACCAAAGTTCCCCAAGAGAGAGTTAAACGCTTAATAATAAGCGCATTAGTTGAGCTTCAATCACACTGCATTGTGGAGAAAAATTGTTGACTTACCTTGCTGACTTTCATGGTTATCCTTTGATTGTGTATAGCTCCTGCCCTTGTCACTCTTGAGGTGACCGTGCTTTTGAACGAGATCCATTATGGAACTTGTGTATAGAGTAAGAAGATTTGAATGAAAGCAGTTGATGTTTTATGAAATATTATAATAGAATAGATAGTTAAGATCGTAATGTTCAAGAAGGCAGTGGTAGTTAAATAGCAAGTTATAATATATATATATGCTCCTTCCCCATTATTACATCATAGGGTCATACACTGAGGCAAACCCTCGCCCAATAAGACACTGACAAGACCTTGAATTCGCATGAGCATCTAGGATTAGGAATATTCAATGTTATGAAAATGAAGCAATGAGAGACGATCTGCTCCACGTCTTGGCAGTGACTTTAACAAATGAAGATTCTGCCACAGTTGATATGACGCACGCCATGAATCATGATCCGATTTTCTTTATTTGGGACAGAGTTAAGATCTTCGGCGTTGGCCTTGGATTTATGTCATTGCCAAGGGGAACGGGAAATCATTTTGGAGACAAAGGGGACGAGACGATTGAGGCTGGGAGCAGAAAAGGGATTTTGAAGGTATGTTGGTCATGATGGTATGGGGTGGGACGACAATACAGTTTTCCTATGTGTACACAGTAACTTATGTATAACTTCGTATATGTAAGTCGACTCAGATCAGTCAGGCAACCCATCATCATACTCCACATATATCCTAGGACAGTCAAGAATATCTTGAATCTACTACTAAGATAAGGTAAAGAAACCTCGAATAGATTAGAAGCGACTGACTACTTCAATTTAAATCCGTAATAATTATTTAACCTTAACAGGAATTGCCCCGAAAACTCCTAGTAAGTAACTCTGCCTAAATTATGGGGGCGGAGAAGAAGAAATACACACCGTTTGGAAACCCCCACTCGCCCGGGGAAAGATCACCCTTTCGAGTATTCCTGATAGGATACTACTCAATACTGCAATACTCTCCTGATCCGGATCAGATCATCCGCGGTACTGATTACGAATACATCCCTAAGTTCCTCCCTTTAAATCTCACACCGCCCGTGTCCTTGAGTTTTCATTTCTTTTTCTTTTCGCTTCTGAAACCTCTCCGTCAAAACGAATTTCCGTTCGGTCCAAAACCCCCAGCCCAAGCAACAACGACACTGTTCATGACGGCACTCAACAACTCGACGCAGCAGACACCCAATGCAGAACGCGATCATTATCAATCCTGCGCAAATACCTCCCATCTGTCAAGGCGGGACTGACGATTCCTCCTGAAATTTTTTTTCCTGGCGGCTTGATCAGTTTCAGTTCCAGAGTAATTCGATAGAGTGTTGTACATATACGGCATATAACCGTTTTCTACTGCCCAGTTGACGCCATATACCTACTATACCTGGGCCTTTCCCTCCGCGGCACTAGTTACGAAACTTCATACCTACGGGAAGCAGGCCTCCGGTTCGCCTAGTACGGTACCAATTATTATATCCCATGCGCCAGTTTGTTCGCAACGTAAAACCCTGAGCTTGCTTCTACCAAGGCGATCAAAAACCACGTCAATGCCCGGACAACACCCATCGGCCTATAAAGAAAAAATAGCCATCGCAACCCGAGGCTCCTCACTCGACCTCTGTTTAAGCCCAAGTCCGTAACTTCTCCTGGAATAACCAAACGCCTTGCTGATTTGCACACCAGATAGTAAACGCCCAGTTGCACCAAGACAAGCCAACGCCGTCCAAAAATTGAATCATACAAAAAAGCCCTCGCGCCCTTTGTCAACCATGGCTACCGTGTCGATAACAAGCGATCTAGAGCCATATTTGGCTTCCCTCCGCAGCTATCTAGCTAGAAGCAAACCTGCGTCCCAGGACGGGGTTGACGAGCAATCGCCACGCTCGTCCAAGCACCATGCGACCCAGCATTCTCAACCGCCGGTGCAACACCCTCAAGGTATCAAAACCAGTGAGGACCTTGGTGATAGCCTTGCTATGATGGAGAATCGTTAATAAAGACTGAGATCACCTAGCGCTTTTCTCTGTCTTTCTTACTTCATCCAAGAAATACTATATGATTGTACTGTCAATCTCTAACCCAACAGTGAAGGGATAAATGAAAGAATGAAAAGCTTACCTTCCCAGCCCCATTCTTGCATAACATTTACCCAATGTAGTCTTCCTCTCACTGTCTTTTCAAATTCGATGTTTTCCAAGGGAGAAACTGCGGAACTCCGTCGGGGGTTTCCCGGTCCTCTGGAAGATATCGCCCAGTCGTCAATGATTGGTCTTCTGTATGACTCTTTAGCAAAACGAGTGGGATTATCTAAGTCCTCAGATGATGCAATGCTCGCATAAGATAATCCGTTTCTTCCAATAGTTTCTCGATCGTCAAGAGAATTGGAACGACCAGCACCTCGGAACTGCCGTCGTTGCTTTTCGGCCTCGAACTGATCTCGGCGAGCCCAAACTTCGTGAACTACGTCTACACAGCGATCGATCGAGCCCAGCATGAGACGAGTCTGGATGGATTTCCACCGACTTAACACCCATTGCCTGTCTTCCCCCTGATCAGCTTCGCATCCCGCGGCCAAGAGAGGGAACATTTGAATGATAGTTGTGCGAGAGCTTGGGGGAACTGTGGCCAGCAGAAGTAACACTCGCTTGGCGAGTTCTGACGCTGGCTCACAAGGCATCTCTGGGACAGCTTGATGGAGATACAGAATCGTTGCCCAGCGGTAAGCATGTGCGATCTGTATACTATGTTGCACTTCTGAAGTTGGGTCTTCGGGAGGTTCAAACCAGTCCGGGGGTTCCCACTGCTCGACGCGTCGTTTCAGCTCAATAGCCTCGGACACGAGTGATATCGAGTTGGAATTCGTCCTGCGCACTCGTTGAATCAATTGAGCAACACGGTCTATGAGTGGGAAAAGTGTAGTGGCGCAGCCCATAAGAGGGTCAATCTCGTGCACCGCATCCCTAGGAAGCTGCAGGATGGATAAATCAATATCTTGATCCCCAGATTCCTCCAGAGATGTCAAGCGTGCAATCACATCCATATACAACCAAGTGTTGTAGAGGAACCGAATCCTATCTAGATCCGCTGCGCACAAACCGGGTTGTAATCCGAGTCCTACCACTTGCGACACTAATGCTTTGGCTCCTCGTAGGTGCTGGATACATGAACGAGTGTGTGAGTCCCATGTGTCGGCAAATGCTAGGGCTAAACTTGTAGCCAAAGCGGCATCGGCTCTCATATTTTGTATGTCCTGCACCATGTACGTGATACTTCGACGCATGTGATCTACCCCGTGAACCCTCAAGGATGGGTTCTTCTTGCTGCAATGAAAGGCCGATAGAGAAAATATTGCGTGGTACAAGGCTGGGGTGTCCTTAGCCAGTGGCCATACCAACGTCCGCCACGGGTTTTCATGGGCGCCATCTTTCACTGACAGAATTCCACATGTGTATCGGTCGAAGTGCAAGATCAACCTCTCAGGGCTACCAGCAGCGATAGTAGGCTCTCTGAATAGACCAAGGCTAATGTTCGCATCTCCAGACCGTGGGGACACGCTCGTTCCTGCGAAGTCGAACAAACCTGGGCTAAGCTGGCTGGACTGTCGCACGATTTCTTCTATATCGTCATTATCACCTTCTAGCAAGGCAGCGAAGCTAAAGTCATCGGACTCATCGATGGTCTCTTTTCCGTGGACCGCGAGTGTAGTCTCTCCAGGGCTTGTATCAAACTCAACTGTGGGGAGTGAGATATCTGATGGCCATGGAGAATCATCTGATGGTGCGATTTCTGCCAAAGATGGCACGAATATATCTTCATCAATATGTCCCAAGTTCGTATCGTCTAGCAGGTCGTCTGTGCAGAGAGTAGGATTTTTCTGTGTAACGCGACGCCTACTCAACTGACTTAGGGGAGAATCATTCAATTGAGAGGCAAGGGTAAGGGGTTGGGCAAGATTTCTAGTTTCCGATGGAAGAGGCTGTGGAGCAGCTGTTTGATTATTCACTTGTGCTGTTGAGTGTTCTGTAGCTGGAGAAGTTGAAAAACTTAGGTTCGCCTTTCTATTAGGAGGCGACGGGGTCCCTATACGACCATATCATCAGTTACTTCGTGAAATCCGTTGGGGAAATTATTGCTCACCTTTCTTGCTTTTCGCAGTAGACACTCTCCCGGCGACGTTGGTTTCCTCGAAGGGACGCCATTTGAAGTCCTTTTTGTATCCTCCACATTCCACATTTCGTTTCTTACACTGAAAGCAGGTTGGCTTTGTTTCGTCGCATTTTAACCGCTTCGCCTTGCAAGTGATACAACCTGAATGTTGAAAGAGTTGACAACGTCAGCGCACTGCGCGTTTATAGATCTCTTTTCTCCTTCTTCTCTTTTCATTTTTGCTTGTTCGGCATCCTTCTCTTTCCTAAATAATTTAAAGAACTAGTGCTACCGTACCGTTACGGCTTTTTGATTGCTTGGGTTTTCCAGTGATGGCGGCGTTTGTGGCGGTCTCTCCTGATACTGGCTTCTTAGTGGTGGGAGATCTGAGAGGCCTAGAAAGTCCACTAGTAGAGGGGATGGCGGGCTGGGGGTCTAAGATGGTGGATGGTGAAGGGATTTTGATGTTTTCCATGCCCGACCAAATTAGCAGTGATGGCATGGGACCTGTCCCCAGTGAAAATAGGGTATAGAAGGGCAACAACGGTGCCAAGACGGGGGAGGTGTGAGTTGTACAAACAAAAGAGACAATAACAATGACAGAAGAGCGTCCAAGTCAGTGTGCACAGAGATGATGGGCTTCAACTCAGGATCCAGATGAGAGTAAACAGATAAGGGTTAGCCGCATCTAACGGAAAGCAAGTGGGATAGATAGGGAAGGGGTTAGAGTTCTCCAAGTGATAGATAATGAGAGCCTGAACGGTGAGGAGAAACCCGCATCAGTGATAAGAGTCGCACTAGGGCAGCAGGATTGCGGAGACAACTGGAGCAAGGCGGAAGGCGCGGGTTCGACGCCGAATCCAGTGGCTAGAGCTCAGACAAGAACCGAGTCCCCATCGGCACCGGTTGGAGAAAGGTATGTTTTCTTTTCTTTTCTTGCACTGTATCTCTCATTAATGGAGGAGGTGGGGGGGCGTTACTAGAAGGAAAGTGGACACTCACCTCGTAATTAGTCTCAGCGGGGATCCCATCCGTCGGTTAGCCATGGAAGAGCCAAGACGCAAGAATTAAAGCTATGGGAACTTATATAGATGGCAGAAAGGGGTCGGTTGATAATGAAATCGTCATGAATCAGTGATAGGATGGACCGACGCCACTCGGAGGAGTTATCAATCGAAGATGACGATTCAGGTGCAGGTGGTTGGTTCGTGGAGCGAAAATCCCCCTCTTCGGATTCGATAGGTCTTCCGATGAACGGAGTTAATTATTTAATTTAGGAATGGTTGATAGTACCGCTGTCACTTGGCCAACAACTTGTAAAGTACTGTACATACATACATCCTACTATACTGTACATCTGGCCAACTCGTAGACCACCAACCCCTCCCCACATCACAACCGCCATGTGCGACAATATTGATGCATGGATTATTGAATGTGTGGCAGAAATGGTTGTTAGACCTTTTGTACTTTTAATTAATCTTTTATTTCTTATTCTCCTCCCCCTTTTTCCAAGTTTACGCTTGAAAGAAGTTCCAAGATGTCGGGTGTCAGGTTTTAACCTTGGATGACACCTGGTTTACTGGTACTGTACCAGGATTTGTAAAGGTGTCTCTTACCTACTACTAAGTTATAGAGTGAGGTGTATATCGTGATCATGGGACACGTGATACAGCAATAGTAATACCACACCTGTTTAGTAACCTGTTGTTCCAGATTCATGGAATTCGAATCATTGTCGGCCATGTGTAACTATTTTAAGTCCTAGCGGAAACCGGCAACCTGTCAATGCATGGAACCCCCATCATAAGACTGATTTTCTTTCCCCGGTTCTACTGATTCGTGAAGTGACATTGAAACTTAACTTGGCTTGTAGTTCCATGGTTGAGAATCGTGTATAACCAGGCGATAAACACCCTTTTGTATAGAAGTGTAACAATACAAGGAACTCATCGACTGTGGTTCAAACATTTACTTAGAGCGACAAGGCCTCATCTACAATTAATGGAAACAGCTCGAAGGGTAAGAGATGCGGAGAAATTTGGAGAAACTTAGGTGAGGCACTATAAATCCTTTATGATTAATATTATTATTATTCTTAGGTCCTCCAACAGAAAAGCAAAAGTTGAGTGAATGAGATAAATGCAGGTCTCCACCAGGCAATGATTGACCACATGACCTAATCCACTATCTGCAGGAGCCTGAAAAGAACGCTCTAGGTACCGGCCAAGAGAAACTATGTACCGGACATATGTGGCCAGGACTTCGGCACATCTCCGTGGACACCGAGTATTCCATGATAACAGGTTTGGCAACTCTTTGACAATCTTGATCAGAGGAAACGCTAAGGAGTAGATTGTCTCTTCCATCAGATTGCTACCTTCTTAGGAGGCGTTTTCTAATACCTTCTCGTTGTTTCACACTGGCTATGAAATTCAAATGATCGACAAATATCATCGATCAATTACCCGACAACGGATACATTCCCTCAGACTGATTGATCGTCTCTCCGGATACCTCTTCCCCACGTTCTTCTTCTCCACGTTCCCCCGCTCCCCGCTTCCCCAACATTAATCTACTAGGGAAGTTTACCTAACATGCAAAGTCAATATCTCACAGACGGTACTTATGAACTTTATCGGTTGCTATGGGCACTTCAATATTTAGACAAAGCCCTTCGTGTCCAACCAAGAACGGAATCACCCTTGACGCCCTTGACGCCTTGGGCAAGAGACCTGCGCCGTCATCGCTAGAATATGACACGTTAACATATTCAAAGAGTTCAGAATGGTCATTGTCTCAATGATACATCCGTCATATTTCATTTGTACAATACATCCAGTTTCTAGAGCCCATCATGAAGTACAACTGCTACGCGTTTGGGATTTGTAAAGCCGCAAGGATCGCCAGGTCAGCTGACAGATGGAGTTGTCAGGAATAGCTACACATTGTGAGTCGTCAGGTTCTGGTGACATTCATCCGGTGAAAACATATCAACTGATCGGTTCACTTCAGTGTGTCTTGGACCTAGGATTCGAGGTACATACTCCGTACATACAGCAGATAGGTATATTCGAGAACCGCAGGTTCTCATTTCTAGTGCACCGTATTCAGTAGCCTGCGCCAACAAAATGCAGACCTACGCCACTGATAAGTCATGGGGTCAACCCTTACGGACTTCATTTTTTGTACAGTGAGTCACAGTATTGTTGGGATCCCCATTTGTACTGTAAGATCCGTTATTGTCATGGATGACGCGGACAATTTTACGAGGGTGCTAGCCCTTCAGATGCTCACATGGACGCTTCTCTTGCATTTTTACAAACGCTTGACTATCTCCTAGATCGAAGAAAAGTGCCTAAAGGGGGACCATCAGGCGTTACTGAAACTCTAGGAGATGCTTGTTACCTCCTTGATTGGCTTATGGATGCACCCGGGATCTAGGGCCTTCTTGACACCGAACTTTTGGCCTAAGACAACGTATTGGGCCGCGCAGAATGCTCTCTGGAAGCACAAGCCATCCTTGTCGCGGAATGCCTTTGCAAGATGTCCTTGCACCCGGTCCCAATCGAGAAATCCCAGCTGATTAACATTTTCTTGTGTCAACAGCCGCTTCAAGACCTTGTGCACGGGGCCATCCGCTTGGTACGTAAATGGTCCGACAAACGGGTGCTTTGTACGGTTATAGATTTCCTCTGTGACAAAGGGCTTCATTGCTTCACGCAAAATACTTTTTTCGCGGAAGGTTTTACTCGCAGGATCGTATTTGATTCTGAGGCTTGGTGGGATATTATTCGCGTATTCTGTAACATGATGGTCTAGGAATGGCGGTCGCGTCTCGATCTGGTGGACCATATCTATATTATCACCCACCCAGCGGAGGATATAGTTCGCGAGCACGGATTTCGTCCATTGGTATTGTACCGAGTTAAGAGGATGCCACTTCTCTACCATTTTGTTAAGGACATGTGCGCCAAAGCTCTCTGCAAATGCCGTGGCTGGCGTTCTGAGCGCAAACCGATCTGTCCATGACAGGTATGGCAAATCGTTAAATGAGCCTAGACGGCTGTATAAGGTGGTATTGTTGAGCATACGCTTTGTTGGCGCAGACGTATCGGCCATGTCTGTCGGGATTATTTGGTTTCTTTCCTCCATAACTTTCCAAGCATCCGCAATATCACCATGCTTAGCCAAGGATGGTGGCCATGAAAAGTCAGGCTCCAGAAGAAAATTAGGCAGAAAGTCATGATAGCCTGCGAAGTGTTCATCGGAACCCTCGCCTATCAAACAAAAAATTAGTAACACAGCCGACATTGAATTTACCTCGGATAGTATCACTTACCGGTAAGAATAACCCTTTTCCCATTGGCATGAGCGGCCTCAGCTACCGCCAGCCGTCCCATTCCATTGACATTCGGGGCTGGCGTTTCACTGTACCAGACTGTGTCCTCGAATCTCGAAGCAATAGCCTCCTCATCCATGTATACAGAATGAAATTCGACGCCCAACCACTCGGCCGTTCGCTGCGCGATATCTAGATCTGTTCAGAAGCTATCCTCGTTACAAAAGATACGTATACCCATGACGTACCTGACTCGTCGAACCCACTGTCTTTTTCGAATTGGACCGTGAAGCAGCTAATCTTAGCACGCTCGCCACTCATGTCATTTCCAAGTCTATTTCCTTCCCGGACAAGCTTTACAGCCATTCCTGCTATGGCAGACGAGTCTAGGCCTCCACTCAAATAGATACCTACTCCTACATCGGCACGCAGTCGGAGTCGAACAGCATCAAGCATGAGCTCCCTAACTCTCTCGATGGCTTCATCTTCGGACTGCGGGTATACCGTTTTCTATGGCTATTTAGAACCTAAGTGGTAAACAAGCTAGTTTGGGCGTGGCCTTACTTTATCTGGATACTCAGTGTCCCAGTACGTTCTCACCTCAGGGGGCATGAAACTCTGACTGATCATATACTGACCGGGAGCGAGCTATTGGATAGTTAGATTCAAACAACATTAATAAACGCATCGACGTATTATAGCCCAGGAAGCCATGCATAGTACATACTCTATGCACTCCTTTGAAAAATATTCGTGAGTCAAATAGCCAGGACTTTTCCCTGATACTCGTGATATCCCACTCTGGCTTCCAACCAAAAGGCAGGAACGATTTCATTTCCGTTGCGACTAAAAGCCGATTACCGACGAGAGTATAATACAGCGATTTGATGCCGTACCGATCCCGGGCCGCAAGGAATAGGTTGCGGTTCGCATCATAAAGCACAAGAGCGAACTCGCCCCTTAATTTGTTGAGGAACGAGATCCCGTAGTGCTGGTAGAGCGCAATGACAATCTCACAGTCGCTGTTACCTTTGAACTTGTACTCCTGGGCCAGTTCTGATCGATACTGCTCGTGGTAATAGAGTTCTCCGTTGACGACAGCATGAATAGCGTCCTCGCTGTCGTGGAAAGGCTGGTTACCTGCAGGACTCAAATCGCGGATTGAGAGTCGAACATGTCCCATGCCTTATTCTAGATTAATTTCTATCGACTGGTCGTTCTTGGAAGAACGCAGAGTGCATACCAACTTGACGATCAGGGCTGAACCAAGAACCACGTGCGTCCGGACCTCGATGGTTAACTAGGTCCAGGCTTTCCTGCATCTGTCGCTCTAGACGAGAAGTGTCATTGGAACATTGTTCGCAGCTGGGTTCTCCCTCAACAGTGAAGAAGGCTGTCAGTCCACACATGGCGGTGATACCACAATATAGTAGTGACACCAGGGTAAGATTCGGAAAAGCGATACAAACACCAAAGTTATTTGTACTTGTGCCAGATCCTCAGAATACAGGGAGTCGGGAGGGGCTCGTAGGGTGGACGGCCATATGTACGTACGTCAGACCGCACTCTGAGCAAAAGCAAAATAGAGCCCATTGCAACATAATCCAACCACTGCATTGAAACCCAAAATTGGAGCGAATCACGGTGCACCTTGCGTGGTAGGTCGGTGTCAGTGTTAAGCAAGAAGTTACCCAAAACGCAATCAGCCTCTGGAAATTTTCATTTATGTGGAAGCTATATAGCATGTATGTGCGTTTATTGGCAGTCTGTACTTTTTATAGTGCGGTCTATTGGTTAAAGCCCATGCTGTTACTACTAATAAATATAAGTTGGATGTGACCATAGAGTCGCTGACGGTATTCATTTGCTGAGAACAAATTTAATGTTGCAAGATCTAAGGTGTAACGTCTCTATTAAACACTCGATAGCTCAAAATGTAGTGATACGACGGAAATTATGTTCCATTGTAACTACTACAGAGGTATATTATCTAGCGAAAGTCGGCACTTTACTTGGTTTTGTATGGCGGGGGAACGGGAGCCCCATACCGAGGTTGGCGGGTCGGCCCAATAGGCTATAGCGGAGAAGGCAAACAGTAACCCCGGCTTTAAATGACAAACACATTGAACATCATTCAACATTCTTCTTTTTCCCTCTCTTTCCTTTTCCTCTTTACTCCATATATCGCGATTTACTTCCTAGTCACTGATAATGTTTCGAACAATCCCCCGTCGAATCCCTCGACGCCTGCCGATTCCCTTGTCAACATCACGTCTCGCCCTTCGTACCATCACTTGCGGTTATCCGCGGATGTCGGCGCCACCACTACCCGCCGTTGAACCGCCCGTGTCGACCGCATTGCCATGCGATTCCTATCAATTGCTGTCGACGGCTGACAAAACCGGAGTAAATGAGGATGCTTTGTACGAGCAACAAATCAAAGATGTGGAAGCGTGGTGGAATTCTCCCCGTTATGAGGGCATTAAGCGGCCCTATTCGGCCGCGGACGTCGTCAGCAAAAGAGGCTCCCTGCAACAAACTTACCCTAGCTCTTTGATGGCGCGGAAGCTTTTCAACTTGCTGAATGAGAGGGCAGCTGAAGGAAAACCAGTCCATACCAGTATGTGTTTATCCGTCGATATGGAGCGGCCAGTCCTTGTCTAACGATGTCCTTGCAGTGGGCGCCATTGACCCGGTACAAATGACGCAGCAAGCTCCGAACCAAGAAGTTTTGTATATCTCTGGTTGGGCATGCTCTTCTCTTTTAACGACCACCAATGAGGTATCGCCAGATATGGGCGACTACCCGTACAATACGGTTCCGAACCAAGTCCAGAGATTGTTCAAGGCTCAGCAATTACATGATCGCAAACATTGGGACGCCAGGCGGAAAATGACCCCAGAGGAACGGAACTCTACCCCATACGTGGATTTCCTGCGACCTATCATCGCAGACGGTGACACTGGGTATGCACTGTTATTGGAATATTGCCAAGAGACTCATTAACTAATTGCCTCCCTTTCAGACACGGAGGACTCTCTGCGGTCCTAAAGCTTGCCAAGCTCTTCGCTGAGAATGGTGCTGCTGCGGTCCACTTCGAGGACCAGCTCCATGGTGGAAAGAAGTGCGGTCACCTCGCTGGCAAAGTCATTGTGCCCGTGGGAGAGCATATCAACAGGCTTGTTGCGGCTCGTTTCCAATGGGATCTGATGGGTGCTGAGAACCTGCTCATCGCCCGTACTGATTCGGAGAGTGGCAAATTACTCAGCAGTGCTATTGATGTGCGCGACCACGAGTTCATCTTGGGTGTCACAGATGATGTGGAGCCTCTGGCGGAAACCTTGCAAGCAATGGAGAGGGAAGGCGCTGCCCCTGCAGAAATTGACGCCTATGAACTGGATTGGGTGAAGAGCCACAAGCTCGTCACATTTGATGAGGGTATTGATGTCCTGTTGCCTATCTGAATTACCAATACTGACTCCGATAGCTGTCAACGCACACCTCGAGGCAGAGGGAGCCCCCCAATCCGTCAAGGATGCCTACAACAAGCGAGTCCAGGAGAACCCAGACCTCTCAATCACACGCCGAAGAGCCCTCGCAAGTGATTACACCAAGACACCAGTTGTCTGGTCTTGTGACATCCCCCGGACCCGGGAAGGTTACTACCATTATAAGGCTGGCTTCGCAGCAGCCACCAAGCGAGCCAAGGAATTTGCACCCTACGCAGACCTACTGTGGGTTGAAACGGGAAGTCCAAATGTTGAGAAGGCCGCCAAGCTGGCAGGAGATGTGCGGAGCGCCTTTCCCGGCAAGAAACTAGTCTACAACCTGAGCCCTTCATTCAACTGGATGGGACAGGGTTTCACTGAGGAAACCCTCAAATCATTTATTTGGGACCTTGCCCCCCACGGGTGAGCAACACTGCTAACATGAGCAATACACCGGCTAACAATCAACCTACACAGATTCGTATTGCAATTGATCTCCCTTGCCGGCTTACACACCAACGCCACCGTGACAACAGAGCTTTCCCGTGCATTCAAGGACGAAGGAATGCTCGCTTACGTGCGCCAAATCCAGGCACGGGAGAAAGAACTTGGAGTTGAGGTCCTGACCCACCAGAAATGGAGCGGTGCGCCGTACATAGATGGTATTCTGGGCGCTATCCAGAGTGGCAGCAGCAGCAACAAAAGTATGGGAGATGGAAACACAGAAAAAGGTACGGTCTTTCTTCAACATTCCGAATCTAGGGCCCCGTTACTAATTTCGCATATAGGTTTCTAAGCAGGAAATGGATACGGACTTGGGGCCAAACAAGAGTCAATATCTCGACCCTATATTCGTGTTTCGTACGTACCCCAGTATACCTTGATATTACGTATTATAGTCATGCATTGAATGTAAAACCGTAGATCTCTATTTATGACAGTATGTTTTATTTTCACCACCTTACAGCCAACATAACATTATGTATCTTCTCACATCTCGTGATCACGCAAATTACATACTTAGCTATACCACTCAACTATAGCATAAAGCTAAATCCTCAAAAAAAAAAAAAAAAAAAAAAAAAAAAAAAAAAAAAAAAAAAAAAAAAAAAAAAAAAAAAAAAAAAAAAAAAAAAAAAAAAAAATCCCAAACATCTAATACCAAACAAAGACACCTTCAGCACCTTAAATCCCAGCTGAAGCATAAAAACAAACAACCGCAGCACAACACATTAAAAGAAAAGAAGAGAAACCCCACACAAAGAATCCAACATAGAACAAAAGAACCCAAGAAACTCAACTTGATACTCCCGGAAATAAAATTCCACAAGTATAAAAAATACAATTATATAGGCAACCTATACATAGTACATACAGTATACACACGCAGTGTAATTGTTAGTAGAGAAAAGAAGCGTGCGCTGAAGAATATAAGAATATACATGGGGGGGGGGCGGTGGAGTTGGTTTACTAACTAACCCAGGAATCTAGTTATATATTAAAGAGCTAGCTAGTAATTTACCTTTATTTTACTTGTTTAATATTTTTTATTCATCTATTTTTCTTTTTTTAGGTTTATGGTTATTACTATACTGCGTTACGATTTTAGCTTCTTTGGTATTATACAAAAACAAGGGACAACTCGTTATGTACCTGGGTATGGATATACCTATTTGTACTCCCGTACCTGTACGCTATACAGGTGGTCAGTAGGTATTACGGAGTTAGATACCTATATCTGTAGAGTTGTGGATTTTATTTGTTTCTATGAAGTTAAGGGTTTATTTTCTCTCTCTTTTTCATTTAACTGCTTTATTGGGTTTGTTTCTGATACGGCTGGGTTGTCTTATATAATTAATGCAGTGGTCTTGTTATATCTGAGAGATTTATATATCTCCGTTCAACTGGGTGTTTTCATTCTTGTAGAGATACAGGATATTCACATCGCGCTGCTGAGACGAAGCTGACCAGAAATAAAAGTAGTAATTCACCAGTCTTGCACCTTGAGACAAAGAAAATGAGATACCTTACAGTAGTAACAAGCACGAAAGAAGAGAAATCGTAAAGAACATGGGTGCTCCACAGACGCATCAAGCGGACCCGTGATTGAGATAAAAAGCACGTATCCAGACCAATGGGGCTCAAACACTGGAAAACACAAGACATACTCTGGGGCAAATAGAGTGACAAGGCAGCTTGAAATAACGACCAAAGAAACTAAAGCACAATTTTTCCCCTCAAAAGATTACTCGCTGAAGAACCGACAAAACAGCTGCAATATAGTAGCAGATTTAATTGACACGGAATGAATCAAAGATGACTATAATACGGTCAGTAACAAAAGCCTTAACCAGCGTTATGACTACTACTAACCTTCGTGGCCCCTGCGGCAACCACTGCCAACCCACATCAACGTGTTCAAGAACGCGTAGCGCTCATCACCAGTCTCCATTGTGAGATTGATGCGATACTTGTATGTGTTGGGGTTGATCGTGTCCGCGACTCCTGGATCGTTAACCTTGTCTAGAACATCCTTGGCGCCGGTAAGCCATCCATTGGTCTTCACAATGATATAAGCTGGCGGGTCATCTGCGGTCTGAAGCATGTAGCTTGCGCGAAGGCTAGTGGCGGATTCCTTGGTCACAATCTGCGAATCTTGTCCTCCGGGCTAAAACTTAGTTAGCATATGGAACTCAAGACCGTTGGCACCTCAAACTCACCAGCACAACACCCTTGCCCCATCTGCCAGCCCATTGACCACCGACAAACGTCACCCAGTCTCTCTGACCCCAAAGACTCTGACCAACCGCCACCTTCGGGTTCATCTTTATGCTCATGCGGAAGTCCAGCTCGAGGCTAGGCGCGGGGATCTGCAACGAGCGAGCGACGTCGCCTTCGGGGAAAGTGTGGAGGAGGTTGTTGGCGGGGATCGAATCTTTCATGACGCTGAGGTAAGTGGGGCATTCAAGGAGGTGCTGGCGCTGACGGCTAGTATTCTTCGCGCGAACCTGCTGGCAGTAGATGCACTGGACGGAGAGACACTGGGTCCCAGTCAGACATGGGTCCTCGGCCTTATCAGGCATGGCGTTTGCGCAGGCGTTTCTTACCTTGTCTTCCTCCTTCGCACGGAACTCGACAAACGCAGCATGGACATCATCAAGAGGTGGGGCGGGCAAACTCGAAGTCGAGTTTTTCGGCTTGGACTTGGGCGTCGCACGAGGAGTTTGCTGGGCCGCGGGGGGTGCGGAGGAGCCGGTAGGACCGGAAGTGGGAAGCGAAGGCCGGCCTTGCATGTTCTGCAGCGGCGTCTGCATAGGGGTAGCATGGGGATTGACACCGTTCGACATCATGGGTCCGTTGGGAGTCGGCAGGGCACCTGGGCCAGGGCCAGCACCCGGTGCCGTGGCAGCAGCGCCATTGGGAGTTGGAGGATATCCATTGGCCGCTCCGATACCGTTAGGGGCGGCCTGAGCAGACTGAGCCTGAGCCTGAGGGTTCGCATGGCCGCGGAGACCGGGACACTCGAGCAGGTGCTGCTTCTGACGCGAAGTGTTCTTTGCGCGGATCTGCTGGCAGTAGATGCACTGGACGGAGAGACACTATCGATGGAGAGGTTGTCATGTCAGTATGAACGTTTGGGGCGGCGTGTTGAAATATTACGGAAAATACAAAGTCACGCACCTTATCGTCTTCCTTGGCGCGGAACTCGACGAACGCCGCGTGAACTTCCTGGTCGACGGTACGACCCATGTTCACGACAAAAGGGTTGATGAAATCGATGGTGGATGGATTTCCTGAAGCGTCTAGATTAAAGAAAGAGATGATTGAGACGGTGCCGTCGACGGTATCAGATGAAGACAAAGGGCGCTGGTTGAGCACAAGGCAACGAGACTCGGGGGGAGAAAGTGAAAAGGAAAGAGTTGAGCAGGAGAAAAACGAGACGAGACGAGACGGTGGCGGTTAAGTTACGCGAGCTCGTCAGGACGGGAACCTTACCGTCGGCGTAAGTTTGATCCCGCGGCTGATACCATTCCTAAAAATTACCCATCATTGAATCTCATTTTTCTTTCTTTCTTTCCTTCTTTCAGCAATTTATTGCCCATCTCGAACTATCCCGGGCTATACCTCTATTAAAGTACATTGATTTATTCACACTCTCAAATCCATTGTCTTTTCCTCCTTACCGCGTTCATGGCGTGAGCCTGGTCCCTCAGCAGGAAAGTCTAAAAACATGTCACGCGGCAAATGCTGACCAAGATTGATTTACCCAATGAGCATGATCCAGGAATCAAGCCCCATACTGCATACTACCTGGATTCAATACAGTTATTTTAAGAACAGAAAGGATGATGGATAGGTAAATAACCCATAGGTGTAAAGTGAATGTGACTGTGCAAAACTTGTCAACAAAAATCAGAGAGCCATACTTATAGTCCTCTCTTTCCTGTGATACCCGGTACCCTTGTACTGTACACCTGATACATCCATACAAAAGTACACCTGGGTCAGGTACCGATCGGCGCTTACAGTTCATCATACCGCGTCAGCAAAATCGCACCACCAACCCCAGTTTCCTTTCCCATCTGTATTAAATACCTCTGAAAATCATCCAATATCAACTCTAGTAAAAACGCGTTAGTGACCGCGAAGATCTAAACCTTCAGATCTTCCCGCGGACCAGCATTATGCAGTCTTCCCAGATCTTGATCAGATCAGATCCAAGCCCCCTATGTAAGAAGGTGCTGTAGGCACAGCCACCACCAAAAATCACGCGTTCCGTGTCTGCACCGACTGGGCTTGCACCTTATTCCTTATTCTTCTTTGTTCTTCTGGCCATATTGTTCTGGGTTGAGAGGATAAACTAGAGGGTGATGCCTAGGGCGAGGGTTCATTGATATAGATTTGCTTTTCCATTGCTAGCGGATGGAGCTAGCTCAACCGCGTCGGATTTACAGAACGTGGATAATCTACTAGTTAGTTTACCGTAGAGCTGATTACTGTGTACCTGGGATGTGACGGGTTTGGGGATGGTTACTTGTTCTTTGGTCTTGGTTTTGCTCCCTTGTAATACTGTATCTTCATACAATGTGTATGGCCCTAATCATGACCGTTGTTTTTCAGTTAGAAAATGACCATCTTGTCACGTTATGCTTGACAATGTTTGATTTTCTGGGAGGATCATGCTATGGACCTGAACAGGGAAACAAGAAAAATAATAACAGACCATACTTGGCACTGGACTGCAGGATAAGAAAAGAAATACGAGTACGTGATGGATAGAAAAATCTATCAGAGCATAAAAATAAAACGACCGACCAGGGACTCGAACCCTGAATCTTTGCTTTACTATGGTGAAATCACGATAGGAGAGCAACGCCTTACCATTAGGCCAGCCGGCCGAATGCTGAGACGAAAGTCCCGCCTAAGGTTATAGAAGTCTAACTATGGCAAGCCCGGCACAAAATTATTATGAAGTAGGATGGGTCCATCCCTTGAATTGCTACCCATCAATTGTTATGATGAATTATGTATGCCATCGTGTATGATATGGGATGGTTGACTTGTGGCAGAGTAGAACAACAGTGAATTATGTCCATTTCGTCAGAGGAGGTAGGTATATACAATCGTAAAGCATACATGAGATCCTTGAAGAACGCAGATATTTACCATCCGAATTTCTCCACGTGTAAATATATACCCTGCGCCCCCGTTCCTTTATGGACGGCTCGTTCATCACTCAAATACACCACACTCCGGCGTACATCATCTGAAAGCCCCTGTGGTCCACAGGCTACGACCGCGCTTTCGCCTTCGGCTTTTTCTAAGATTTTCCGAATGATGGTCCGCGGTTGTGGGCGACCAGAGAGCATGGGCAGCTCGCGGGGCTTAGCTGATGCTGCTTTAACAGTTGGCTTTTCTGGCTCTGGATCTGGAGCCTGAGAGGTAGGGGCATGGCCAGAGCAGGAGCATTTGTGCTCGGTAATGCTGTCCTTGTCTTCATCTTCAATAGCAGTGGTGCAGCAGCATCCACCACCCGGGAGGCAGCCGTCCTTTGGCGGGAAGCTTGCTGACGAGGTTTTGTAAATGGAGTGGATTGAGACGTCGTCTTTCTTGCCGTGCTTCTCGTCGGTGGTATCTGCAGGTTCAATTGGGTTTGTAATTTGGCGGGCACTGACAATCGTGGTTTCAGGCTGGGCCTGCGAACAGAGAGTATGGCTTGGTTGTGGCTGTGGTTCTAGCTTGTCGTCACATGTAACATATATGCTCATTTCGACCTCTCGGACCAAGTCCGGTTGAGCACGCCGGCATTCTTCTACGTCAGTTAGCACGGACTGTAATTGTGTCTCGAACCAGCTGAGTTGAGCGCGCGACTTGATCACCCAGACAAAGCGGATGCGCTTAGTTGGAGTGAGACGGGTGGGCTCAGACGATCCTAGACATTCCATCTTCCATTGGGACACAATATCCCGCAGACAGGGGATAATAAACGTCACACCCATGCCCCCGGCAAGTAACACTACGCTGTCGAATTGACGGAGCGTTCTTATCCTTCCGTATGGCCCATCAATGAACACGGCGCGGGTCGGTTTCATGGGGGCGGTGTCTTCGGAGCCTAGAACATGGTGATGTTTGGATGCATAGCGGAAGAATCGCCTGGTGCCTCCTTTCTCAGCGCGCACAAGGAACTCCATCTTGTTGTCCTCAGGGATAGAGGCGATGGTGAAAGGATGACTTTGCAAGGGCACTATCGAATGACATGTTAGGAAAACATGCTGGCCAGGTTCCCATCGGACGCCTGGGTTGTCGATTGTAATGCGGGTGATATTCCCGGGCAAGGGGGTGAAAGATGCTCGGTTGGCCCAAAGAGCGTGCTTGGTGGAACGGTGAAAGATGGACAAATTTGCGTATGTTGCCCATGCGTATCGAGCGACGCGGTCAAAAACGAGCAACCCGATAGGAATCCACACCCATACCTTCACTTCTTCCGCGGCGTGCAACCAAACTGCAGCAATGAACCCTGTAAACGTCACTAAGTGCTGAAGAACGAAAAATTCGTAACTCAGTCGTCGTATGGGCGCCATGGAAGTTAGGACGATGAAGGTCAGGATGCACCATGCGGCGAATCCTCGTTGCGACAAGGGGTCATTTTTCAGTTGATACGTGATATAGTCATAGCGTCCCCAGCTTCGGAACCAAAAGCCCATATGAATAGTGGCTGTCAGCCAGAGAGTCCGTGAAATCCAGCGGTGGAACCAGTTTAATCTCTCATAACTCATGCCAACTAGGAGCCCAATGATATTCTGTCTTCCCGCCAGCAGGAAGATCAAAGGCATCTGGGCGATAGCTACGAATCCGGTGCGATAGCCGACATCTTCCCATTTCCATTGATCTGTCGTGTCTAACTTGTAGAAGCAGAAGACTAGGACCACGATTAAATTGGCCAGAATGATAGATATCGGACCCAGCGGGGCAAAGTGAAAAGTGCGGCCGCCTAATGACCATGGAGGCAACGTAGCGTAGCTTGCTTCTCGAACAATTGCCGTCAGAGTCGCACATGTGTTGAAGAATAGTGATTTGGGCTTTGCTGGGGTGAGAGTAGAGTCCCGTAGCCTGGACTTGGTGGTAAGCTTTACCGGATTTGTTGAAAGACAGGAGGGTCTTTACTGACCTTTGGAAAGCGAGCAAATGATTGAAGACATTGACTGCTGTCCCAGCAGCTATGGCGCTCCCCACCACTGCCCAGTACATCTTCTGGAGATAGAAGAGGCCTGGCACACCATCACCCATGGACATGTGGCCCATGGGACCCATGTCCATCCCACCCATTGACATAACGGAGTTGTGCGTGCTGTTTGTATGTGGTCTTCAGTTGTAAGAGTAAATAGGTGACTTTGGAATAATAGTAATGTATTTAATTAGTAGTATTATTGCGGGGTATCATGACATCCTCAATCTCGCACGTGGCAGTAAAGTAGCCGATTGAGTTGTACGCAGCCTACATACGGATCTAATCCATCTGCGTAGATTGAAAGGCCGGGAATTTTTCGGTGAAAATCAATCGGTAGTTATGTTCAACGAAGAGCGAAGGAAAAAGGCAGATAATAGGAGAGAGAGGAGGGAGAGGTTTTGGGCCAAGTAGAAGAGACCGGAAAGATTCAAATTGCTTATCGGATAGAATTTGATCACGTCTCCAGAGAGTTAAGTAATTATTAACGCGTGTTGTCTAATGATTTGATTTAATTCCCTATGAAATTGATATGATCTAAATTTTTTTCCCTTTCTTTTCCAAGGAGAATTCGAAGACTAATAATCTGCTCATAGATGTTTGCGGATGGAGCCTTAATTTCCGGGCGGTGATTGGCCTGGGGCTCCTAAAATGTGCTCACGTCTCCACCCTTGTGCCCGCTGGTGTGACACTTGGCTCTGGACCGCATTCAAGCTGATGGGTTTGTCTCAACTTTTAATAAATAAAGATCCAACGCCGTCACTTACCATCATGTCGTCTCTCCGCTACGCTGGGTCTCCATTTTCACTCTTTTTATCCTTCCCTTCCTCCCTCCACACTCCCGACATCATTCCTTGACAAGAATGACAACAACGATTGCGCGAACCCATTGAGAAAAGTTTAAGTCGTGAACTTTTGATACGGAGGGGTACACTTATCGCAAGCCGAACAGTCAACTGGATAATCACCTCCAAGCCGTCACCATGGATATGAGCAGCATGGATCACTCGTCACACTCTTCCTCTTCCTCCTCATCATCCATGTCGATGACAATGGTCTTCTTTAATGCACACAATACGCCCTTATTCTCAACGCAATGGACACCCGCATCCAGTGGCGCGTACGCTGGCACTTGCATCTTCCTGATTGTCTTGTCGATTATTAGCCGACTCCTGGTTGCGTTCAAGGCTGCCATGGAGCAGCACTGGTTGGATGCTCATCTCAATCGGCGCTACGTGACTGTCGCAGGCAAGTCCACAGAGGCTGGACGTATCGATGCCGACCCGGATGCAAAAGTGGCTTCCCTCGTATCGGCACAAGGGGTAGAAGAATCAGTTAAGGTTGTGCGTCGGGTCACACACGATCCCCTGCCGTGGAGATTCAGCGTCGATCTGCCGCGTGCATTTCTTTTTCTCCTGATCACTGGCGTGTCCTATCTACTGTATGTGTTGACTTGTGGCTTTATCTCAGATCTTGTACTGACCTATTTTACAGCATGTTGGCTGTCATGACTATGAATGTTGGCTACTTCTGCTCTGTATTGGGTGGCGCCTTTCTAGGTGAACTGGCCGTGGGGCGGTATATCCAATGGAATGAGCATGGCCACTGATGGCATATTCATTATTGTAGGGAGGTTTCCCTATGCTTTCTGAGGTTGGGAATTTGGACATTCGTATGTCATGACGGGTTTGGAGTTAAAAGGGAGCATTGCATACATTTAGCGTGGGATTTAAGGCATTTCGATTACCTGTTCATGATACCTCTGTCAGTTGTTATTATCATGTGTCCTTTTCGAACAAGTTCTTCCTAAGTGGTGCGTCCTTTATCGCCCGTAACACTCGATATACCCTTCTCCATGGAATTTCCATTATTATCAAGATTTATGATTATTAGAAGAAGTAGTACCTGAGATCATATGCAGCCAATTGACTTTAACCGGGGTTGGAGGGGAAGTGGCGGTGCCTCAGGCATTGGAATGCCACTGGATTTGATTTTATTGGGCCAGCTTGCCGACGTGGAGGACTCCACCCCGAAAAGCTGCAAAGCTTGAGAAGATATGAGCACATTTCTTAACCCTTTTCGTCTTAGTGTCTTAAATCCTACATTCAGCTTCAGTCTGGACTGGATTCAAAGGAGCCTCCCCATATCTCGTCTATGATGTTTACATAGTGTGGAACTTACACCCGACACTTTAATATCGAGTAAAAATTTCAATCGATAATACTTCTAATATTTATGGGGAAAAATGCCGAAGTTACCGGCCCAGGTCCGCGGCTCCTGGCTATGGCTACCGCGCATACTACCTATATAGTACCATGAATTCTCCTATATTCCCTTGATACTCTTTTCTCTCACTCTATATACCTCTAAGCCATTCTTGTTTCTCCTCGTTCCACTCCCATAGTGACCATGAAGCTCTCAATCCTCTCCTTGGCGTCTCTTGCGCCCCTGGTTTCCGCCCACTTCAAGTTGAACTACCCTACCAGCCGTGGTTCCAGTGAGGACAAGATGAACCAGTTTCCCTGTGGTGGGATGTCCCAATCCTCGGAGCGCACCAAGATTTCCCTTTCTGGGGGTGACTTCCCTGTCGCCTTGACAATGGGCCATGCTCAGACAGCCGTGGAAGTACTTCTCGCTCTTGGGAACGACCCTGGCACCAATTATAACATCACTCTCCACCCGACTTTCCGAGTGGAGGGCTTGGGATCTTTCTGCCTTCCTAATGTCACTTTCGAGGAGTCCGTGGTCGGCGTAAAATTGACGGAAGGGATGAACGCAACGCTGCAGGTGCAGAGTAACGGTGACCCGAGCGGTGGTCTCTACGCGGTATGTGCTACCTGTTTCGTTCTAATAAACTGCGATTACTATGATATACGAGATTGACGCTTTATTCTAGTGCGCTGACATTCAATTCACGAACACGGACTACTCCGAACCTTCTTCTTGCTCGAATAATACCGGTGTTAAGGCGACCTCATTCCCCGAGGATGCAGCAAAGCGCAATGCCAACGAGTCTACTGCTGATGGCAAAGCACAAAGCGGATCGTCTACTTCTTCGTCCTCAACTACTTCCTCCGGTAGCGCTACTTCTACTGCTGGTGCGGTCGCTCTGGAAACCGCCGCTTGGGGAATGTTGGGTGCCGCTGTTGTCGGTGGAATTGCTATGCTGTAAACCCTGTCCTAGGTGGGCCTTTCCCAAAATTTGGGTGAAAAAAAATGAGCCGGTGGCTCTTTTCCTTTCTCTTCCTTCTTTATCCTCTCTATATAAGGAAGAAAAGAGCTTTATGGTCATGAGTGATGATTCTGTTGTCCTGTGATAAGTTTATTGTATATAATTTATTTCTTTACATCCTGCAGCTAGCCACAAACCGAACAGGCTGGGCTTTGTCCAAGATAAAACAAAAATATAATTCAATTGGCGGCAAGATCTCGTATTTTGGCTTCACACACGAGATACTATATTAGGGCAATGCTTACGTCACGTGCATCAATATGTTGTATTAATCTGTGTATCGCTTAGGCTTCCATGATCCGCAGTTCCTTCACGCATTGAGTATTGATACAACATATTTTCTATGGATCAACTGCTAAAGCTCCGGCCGGTCAGTAAATGCCCAGCAGGTAGCAAAAAGCTCCCAAATTGACACCCAGCAGGTCGGTCGCCTCGAGCGATGCTCCACTGCTCGCCATCATCTAAAGTTCTACCACAACGTAGCAGTAGCAGCCACTTACACACTTCCCAGAACATTTACCCTCCCAATCAAAGCCTATGTCTTCAAGGCCTGCGAAATACTCATTGGGCAGCACCCAATTCTCACAGCTGTTCCCATCGGCGAGGAGACGAAGGAACCCTACTTCGTGCGTCTTCCGAATATCGACCTGAGCCAATCAGTTTCCTTCCAGGAACGTAAGCACGGCTTCCCAGGTGCAGATGACCAGGACGAAGAGCTAGACGCGCTGCTGAACATCGAGCACAACATCGGCTTTGAGCTCCCGCTGCCGTTCTGGAGACTCGTCGTTTTAACCGATGATGCCGATGATATCGAAAGTCGGCTTACTGTCGTCTTCGTATTCCACCATGCTATCTCCGACGGCACATCAGGGAAGGTCTTCCACAAGTCATTTCTCCAGGCTTTGCAATCCCTGTCATCATTGACCGCCGACGACGTCAAGGAGGTGGTTCCCTCTCCTAACTCACCACTTCTTCCACCCGGGGAGGCCATCCACCCCCAGCCAGTGTCCATCTCGTACCTGGCGACTCAATGGTTTAAAGCCAAGGTCTACGACCCCCGGGACCCGGGTTTATGGACCGGCTCGGAGATCAAAGTCCCGTTGGAGACTAAGGCGAAGCACTTCGTCCTCCCGCAGCACATCTCCTCAACGCTCAGAGAACGCAGTCGTGAGCACAAGTCCACTATCACAACCGCTCTGCAAGTCCTCATCGCTCGCGCTCTCTTCACCCACCTCCCCGAAACTTTCACAAAGGTCGCGTGTACCAGCGCGATCTCTACCCGTCGCTTCCTCCCACCCCCCATCACGGACGATACAATGGGCGTCTGGGTACAAGAGTACATCGAAGGCTTCGCCCGAAACGACCTCAGTGACACCGCCTCCTTCCCCTGGTCAGAGGCCGTCCGGTCCCGGGCCACACTCGCAAAAGAACTTGGAAAGGAAGGCAGAGACGCTTCTGTCAACCTTCTTAGGTACGTAGATGACTACCATAAGGACCTTTATCTGTCGAAGGTAGGTCATCACCGAGGGACTACCTTCGAGGTGTCGAATATCGGGGCTTTCCCTGCGGGTAAGGCTGCAGAGGGGATGGCACGGATCGGACGTGTTGTTTTCTCCCAGAGCGCGTCGGTTACGGGGAATGCGTTCGAGGTCTCGGTTGCTTCTGGGGGTGATGGGTGTTTGGTGTTGACGTTTACGTGGCAGGTGGGTGTTGTGGAGGACTTGTTTATTTTGAATGTGATGGAGTCGGTTCGGCAGGAGATGTATGACCTTTGCGTGTGATTGGTTGTTGGGTTGCTTTTCTTTGCTCTCTTGCTGTATGTTTGGTTTGCATGGTTGTGGTTCTAGAGTATAGACTTTATATAATAATAATAGAGCAATAGATGTATTTTGCAGCCTGGATTGACATGTTTTTGTTCAAAGCGAATTCTGCGCTGGATCTTTAAGCTGCTGTCTCGGGTTCGAGAGGTGAAGAATTCCAGTTCAACGATTACGGGGAAAAAGACAGACATGGAAGATAACTACAAAATAATGGCTTAGTAGAACACTGGTCTTTCCAGGAGTTTTATCTGGTCAATTAGATCGAACACAGTTACGATTGCAAGAAGACTTTTATTTGATCCTTTTTTTTTTTCCCTTTCGCTTTTCTTTCGTATTAAAAGATACAAATTGTCAATCAGCTCGTATTAGACATTGAGTGTTGGAGGAGCTCTCTGGCTTCCTTCGGTAAACTTCAACATGTTCAAACAAAGTTCATCAACAGCAATAGACGAATACATGGAAAACAAAGATCAAGATTTCTCAGACTTTGCTCCATCGACGACTTTATGGGTATCATTTTTCGCACAGACCGTACGACGAACCAGTGACTCCAATGCCCAGCTCCAATGACATCCAATTGCGGAGTTCTACGGCATTCAGAGAGTCCAAGCCATAGGTAGATAAGGCCTTAAGCGGGTTGAGAGGGTTTTCGAGCCGCATGATCTTGTGAAGCTTTTCGTTGGGAATCTCTAGCATATGGACTATTAAGACGGATAAACTGGCGTCAGGGTTGCTGGCGGAGAACTCCCTGAGCCCTTCGAAATAACTGCTTCCTTTCTTGAATTGTCATTATCGCTGTCTTTGTTGATAAGCAAGAGAAGGTGACTATCTCTTTGCAAGTCTGAGTTGGCTGGCTGCGGGATCTGAAGGTGAGCAGTTGGGAAACGGTCTGTGGGTTCATAGCGGAAGTCTGCTGAAGGGTAGAAGCCTCGAGAATTTCCCCAAGTCTTCTCTCATTAATTTTCATCCGCTGGTTCCAGCCGAAATGATGCTCCATGCGCCCTTGCCGTACTATGTAGCCTACCCCGGCGACAGCTCCCAGGTCGATCGAATTGGCGGCCAGTCCGAGAGATTGACGGTATCGTGCGAAAGAATCCATGAAGACGTTCGCCGCAGCATAATTACCCTGACCACGCTGACCAATAACTCCAGACATGCTGGAAACTATGGTGAAGAAACCAAATGTCAGACCCAGCTCCATGGCCACATTATGAAGGTTCCATGTGCCGGTGACTTTGCTGGCAAGTGTGGTATGGAAGTCATCGACGCTCATTAATTCTTACGGTTTGTCCTAGTAGAGAGTTCCTTAGTTAGCACTGATATTATAAAGGAAGAGATAGGGAGTCTGTGATTTTTTTTCTGACATACCTGGAGGACCATGGGGCCTTGAATGATATGCCTCGAATGGCTGGTATTGTCGACGTGAACGCTCGTTGGACATCTGCGGGAGACGTGACGTCCCCAACGAATTCCTTGACAATGCATCCAAGACTGTGGCAATTTTCTATGACATCCTGGGACCGGCTATCTTTGAAACCCAGGCGAGACAAGACGGCAAGCTTCTTTGCTAGTGTAAATTGCCAGTCTTCCGCAAAGCCCTCTCAGGCCTCCAACATTTAGCTATGAAGCGGTAGAATCTAGGGTTAGCACGGGGCGTGTGAGGCTGAACAGAGACCGGCCCCGGTGCATGAGCCTCATTTTTGATAATGAACTTACCCATATGTTGTCCGCTCCGAACGAAGGCAAATGCACCTTGGATATAACTTGGGTAGAATGTCTTAATAGGATAGATAGGAGTAATGTGACTATCATTGACCAAGCGGAACATGTATGCGAGTACACTACAGTTGACAATTAAGATTAAACGAGCTAGCCGTAATCATGCATACCTCTGTATCAACCCATCTGGGACATGGATGTGGGACATATCGACGGCCCTAAACGAACAGTTCCGATCGAAGGATCCATTGGGAGAAAAGATCGGTCGGCAATGTCCCTCTTTCCAAGCTCAACCATAGTTCTGCCATCTGCGCGAAGACGTCAAGATGTATTAAGCAGGTCTTTAATGATGGTATTGATAATCAAATCAGTGCCCCGCCTACCAGTTTGTTTCCTTATTTGGTCGGCAAATTGGGGGTTCGTGGAGGAGAAAACATGATCTCTCAGAAGACCACAGCGACTGCAAATGTGGCCCTTCTCGTTTGTGCCAACGGTAATGTAGATCTTCGATATTTGGTTAGAAAATTATATATATGATCAGAAGGAGCACGCCGCTCACCTCTGCGCCCACATGTTGAGCAATTTGTATACACGCCTGGTCTAAGCCACCGGCCGCTGAGTGAATCAGCACAGACTATAGTGATGGGTTATTTAAGGTGCCAGTTTGTACTATATAGGTATCGTAGTTACCTGTCCACGCTGAAGGTTCGCAATATTAATCAACGCGTAAACCGCTGTAGTGCAGACCACAGGAATGGTAGCAGCACCCTAGAAGTGAGAATGTCGATTAGCAAGTATGCCTCTGGCGGAGGCAGTATTGGATGGGATGCGCATACAAGAAAAGACATTGATGATGGAAGACGATACACCCGTTCAGTGGGCGCTCTGACTTTGTTCGCCATAGAGCCCTTCTGGAGGACGACAACACGGTCTCTAGCCTAATAGTTACCCCCACGGTTACCAGCCCGGCGTACGATGCCTGCACATTCATGACCAAGTCAGTGTGAATCTTCAGGAACAATTTCCATAGCACAGGCCACATCCTTGATAATATTAGCATGTTAACAGGTTACGCTGTGGATATTGGCTTGACCTACGTTGAAGCTCAAGCCCATTGCCATGACCTCAGCCTCGACTTCGTGATCATCAAGGAATGCAGGGTCTTTAGATCCTTCGCCCCATGTAACACCATCGAAGGAGCCTAGTTTCTGTGCTTGTAGAGAGACACATTCTATCCGCATGATGTAAAGAGTGTCGAGGCTGACGCCTGGCTAAGGGTTTATTATGGGCCTCATTGAGTGGATCAATCCTCGGTGATGTTGGAAAGTCAGAGACTTAGTCCCCTCCGTCTGATTTTCCGTGGCGTTGGCGAGTAGCGGAGATGAGGCCTCATCCCTCGCTGGGGCGAGCCGTCCATTACACAGATCGGAGAAAGGAGGTAAGCGCTCCACAACATCATACCTGGTGGATGTTAGATATTCAACAAGCTTTGGAGAAAGAAGATGATCCGATCTGAACTGGGTTATGCTGATGCACCTGGACTCCTCTTACTGCGCAGTTAGTTCTTCAACAAGACATAGGTACATCGAGAGGGCACTGTGGGATTGTATTTTAATTGGTGACTGGAACCTAGCCTTGCCGATGAGATTTTTATGCGGCCATTGTCTACCGATTTTTCTGCGTTGATGACCACGCCTGAATCCGAAGACTCACCCTCACTCGAAGGATATATGTGCTGATTGATAAATAGAACGAAATTACCTGGGCTTGCAAGTTGGTGTGCTTGCTTGGAAATGGAGTCTAGATGTGCATCGGGATTATCATGAGCAAATTTGATAACGATGAGGCCAAACTCTTCGACGCTTAGATTTGCTATACCTTTGCTACTCAAGGTATTTGTCTTTGAAAGCGTATCTTCTTCGGCAACTTAGAGGCGACAATCTGTGCTTGGCCTTTTTATCAAAAGTTGTCAACCACAGGCTGGACGCATCTCCTGGGCCTACGTTGACTTCCAACGCCCGATTTGGAGCTTTTTTGTGGGCGAGTAGCCGTATCACTCCATGCGAACTATGCCTATCTCCTAGTACATATAGGGCGAAAACCTCGGGCAACGTGATATCGGGCAACCAGAGAGATGCTGCGTATGCTTGGGCCACATCGCCCATGTTTTCTGTATCGTAAGTTTGGCATCGAAAGCCTTGAACATCAAGAAGCATGGATCCAGTCACCGTGGCATAAATGGAGTAATTTGCGACGTAGTTCTGTGGATCATCTGGTTGGCCTTTTCCGGAGTAAGAGGCCCAGACCTTCCATAGAACAGTCAGTTGTAGGGTTGATGATTAGGGAATCGATACCTGCAGAAAGAAGCATTGATATTGATAAGTTATCCCTATCTCCAGTCCGCATAGGTGGTGATGTAGTTTGAAGACACCCATCGAGGACGGCGGGGTGTATCGGGTATTATGACTGGGTATGTTGGGAAGATGGCTCAGCAAGCGACAGTGCACAGCAGGCACTACGCATCCCTAAGAGGCATTCGACACTGTCGATTTTCTGAAAGGCCGGTCCATGATTTAGCCCACACCTGGCCAGACTTTGACTCCAGAGGCCGCCCACGACTGCGTGCTTCAGAGGCTCGAATCAAGCGGGAACTCTCCTATCCCTAGTTAGTCTAAGATAAGTAGGGCTGGGTTCGATATGGGAGCTTTACCTTGGGATATAGAAGTGTCTATCCTAACAAAGTTGGTACAACGGCCACCAGGTTCCTGGTGACTGATAGAGAAGATTCGAAAGCGACGCCAACTGCTATCTTTGGCAGAAGGTGAGTCAAGTTCAATGGCAGTTTTCACTTCCATGCCTTCTCGTAACACAAGGGCTTTGAGGAATTCCACATTGCGGAATCTGTATTGATATTGATTAGCAATACAACCATACCAAGGAGACTTCTGCCACTGGTTGCTTGGGTAAATTGCCATAAAGCCTCTGTTGCCATAGCGATGTGTCCTGAAGCAGGAAAACAACATCTGACCCCGTAATGTAATCTCGAAGCCAATCTATGTCGACTAGTCGGAGTGTCTTCTTCCAACACGGTGCGTGCTAAGGAGTTCCCAATACTTTAGTTCCTAGAAGATTATGAAGTGGAAACGTGCGGAACTTCCAGTCTTTGCTAGCATCACACTCTGTCAATACTTCACGGCATGGCTCCATTGATAATTTGGCAGGTCTACAATGACAGAACCTTTCGGCCCCACCGGCCTTCCTATTAACTTCTTCCATCTGGACAGTATACCTGATAAGGTACAACTTCCCAGCAAGGTGGTATATCGACTCGGATGCAGCACTTCCTCTTTTGAGGGCAGAATAGTACTGTATAGGAGCGCCATCGTCTCGACAGCTATCCCATATCTGAAAGTAAACGTTTTAACGGTATGCACACAGCTGTGGACTTTTATATATGTGTAGTCACGTTGTAAATCATTTGCGGGGTTTACATTATAAAAATAAAAACAAAGTGTTATTTCACTTCTTCTCAGGAATGAACCGCCTTGAATAAAACCCATTGAATGAATTTCTAAGTTAGGGAACTAAGTTCTGTTTTGTTTTTTATTAACCTTTGCCTTCGTCCTGTAAAGGGACTCAGCTGAATCAATAGTTGATTAGGTAGTCTATCACCAAGAGACTAAGCTAAAGAGAGGAAAAGAAAAGAAAACATGAAGCTATTGTGTTGTGTTGCCCTTATAGACAAATGGTCACGTGACTATCATTCATTCACTGATTGCCTAAACCTCTATCCGTGACACGTCCAACGTCTGCGTTGTGATCTCAGGGGAAAGAAGGGCGGAATGATGCTGTATCAGCTACACATACGTAGCCTACTAAGGATCGGATGCCATTTCGATGGATACTCAATTCTATGGACGACTCTATCGACTATCTCAACCGCTTCTCCTCTCCTTACTACTAATGGGTCAAGCCTTTCAGGAGTTGGAGTTCGGTGATCGGGCCAAGCCACGAGGATCACGTGGTCTCGTATAGAATCATATCAGCCTGCAATCACAAAAGCATGAGTACGTAAAAAAAATATATTATTAGTGAGGCTTCTTGTTTATGCGGATCAATAGTGTATCTTAATCTACGCCTTATATGGAATATCACAAAAATTCCTAGAGAGGAAGAGAGGACATATTGAATATGTAGATGGGAATCGAAGCTTTACAGTGCATTACGATGCACGATTTTTACGTCGTTGATCTAAATCTAAAATCAGGAAAAAGCAGACTAATAGTGAATAGAATTTAGTATGATGGAGTAGGGAGTAGAAAGACAGCTCTTCAGTGTGTTAGAAATGATCAGTGCTACTTATATACGGTAGACCACGGCTAAGGGTTCGAATATCATGAAAGTAAAAGCGCGCCAAAAGCGTAAACACCAAGTAGACCAGTAGAACTGCAGAGAGAAGACGGAACTAGCATTAAAGAACCTTGATTAGAGTTGGAGGAGAGACTCGAGCCAATGGAAAGCAAGATCTAAAAGAACAAATCACGCATAGAGAGTAAGCCAAATTGGGTAAGACGGACAACCAACAGCGTAGGAAATGTAAAGGCTAAATGGGCGAATAGTAGCAGAAATCGACGAGAAAGAGCAGCAGCAAATAGAAGATTAAAGAAAGTGGACCGAGCTGTAAACCGGAACGCAAGGATGTAGCGAATATTTAGTGTATTTGAACACCAAATCGGAAGACCATCCTTAAGAGCACCAGCATTCAGGAAGCGGCGGGGCGTGAACCTGGGGATCAAGTTTTGGCGGCAAAATTTCGCGTGTGCCCCACGCGGGCACGCATGGCCGAAAGTACACCCCTTTCTCTCACTATCGTTCGTTTCAGGGCGCTAAGCCCTACCCTGGATCCCTCCTCCTGCCAAACGCAGCCTGGTTACCTCAGCGAATGGGAGGAGGGTGACGATTATGAAAAACGGCCGCCGGGATTTATTTGCTACCTAATCGCGTGGAAGATTATAATCAGCCACATAATTGAGGCCAGCTCTATAAGTTCACTAACATTGATTGGAGGCCAGTGGAAAGACAGCTTCGTAAATGGGGCAGTCTGCTTCGTTTGGGCAAACAGCCCAAGATTACTATTTAATTTAAGTATATACACGATGATGATGATCTTCAGCATCGTACCTCCAGGAAAGGTGACAAAAGAGGTGCTTCAGCCTTGCTGCCGCCGCTCTGTCGTGTGAGTGTATCCTAGTTCTGTTCTAGGTCTAAATCTAGCCCATGTGCAACATTTGCATGGCCGTTAAATGGAGCTGGATATGGTTATGACTAGTGTTGGCATGTGTCTATATAGGATTAGAGCTCTAGACTGCCTCACGGACCGTTGCCAGGAATCAACTACGACTCTAGCAGTGGGCTGGTACCCCCTGTATCTTAGGCAGATTTAGGAAACCCAATACGGCAATGGATCCTTAGCTATACACCAACTTCTCTTCACGGTCGTTACATTGATTCCTATCCCTGCACTCCGTGGGTCCCACGATTAAGCACAGTAGGGACGGTATAAGATATTCTGAGCTTATGGTTTATCTAGGTGCGTTTAACTTCTACGCACTGATAAGAGCACCCACCAAGAGCTTTGAAAATGCGTATTATAGTAATAGCAAACTATAATTAAGTTCCATAGGAAGGATACGCTCGCGGTGTAGATTTTCATGAATTTCTAGCAGCGAAATGGTTTCTAGAAAACAAAAATTACTACTACTACTACTATTATCATTTTCTTCTTTTTAGGAATGTACGGATATTACTTTCAACTTTGGAAAGCGGGATTAGCTACCAAGTTCCAGAGATAACTGTTTTCTGGCCATTCATTAGGTGGGAACAGTATGATTCAAGTTTAAGGCGTTGCAACGGCCTAGGGAGGATGGGGACCCGAAAGCTCAGAGTGAAGCCTCCGAGCCGTTAGTGGGCCACTAAGTGCCCCCTTAAATGTAGACCCACATACTCTCAGTGATTGGGTGTGAAAACAACTAAAAAACAACTTTAGAGAACCTAAATGATGTTTAGACTCTTGCTGGCAACGATATCAGGAAAGGCAGACCCTGAAGAGCTAGAAATCCGACCCAGTATATAGGTCATGTCACACAGCAGGTCACGTCTTGGGTAAAAATCTTCAAAGCACAAGGGTAGAACTGGTGGATGGAGGATCCATGCACCAAACTCGATCCCTGAAAAACGTTTGGTCCGTGTTAACAACCAATGCATGAAGTGGCTATGCTTTTGGAACGCATACGTCTGCAAGGATCTGGTAGTGTGGTGAGGCTAGTGCAAGGCATGACTCGACGAGTAGGTAATTATGATCTATAGTAATGTAATACTCATGCGTTCTGCTTATCTCAGGATTATTTATCATCCTAGTTTGCTGTTAGCAGATTATCGCCAACACAGAGAACTACAAGTATAGCGGAATAGTTGACAAAGAACACAAATAGGACATGGGATTAAAAGCGAAAAGAAAGATGTGGAGAAGATGGCTCGCTAGCCTCAGCCTCAATTGCATATCGCTCATATAGCTCCATTGCATGGACCGAACCTCACGGCTTCTTCTTTCGGCCACCTCCTTTATTAAATTAACCCAAGATGGGTAGTAAATAGGTAAATCCGTATCACAGCTATGAGAGAGCCGCTGCAAATGAACGTGCAATTCGACTCTAGCCCGCCATCGACTTAGACAGTACCGAAGAAGGGATGAAAATATCCTACCGTTTTGATTGGCCAAAGAGGCACCACGGAAGCCGTAACTCTCCAGCTTGCAAATCATCATCCTTTCATTACTCTCCTTCCGTCTATTGCTAGCGACCCGAGAAATCAACTAGACGTGCCTCAAAAGTGTTGACAGAATAACGCCACGTTTCCTTGAGGGAGTGGATTGGAGTGGACCGAGGTCACTATCCACGATATAACCAGAAATACAAGTCCAGATACTAGAACCGCATAGAGTTGTGGACAGCTATCCGTCCTCGGACAGGAGCAGGCAGACAGTAGTCGTTTACAGGTTCCTTTCCATTCCAGGCCCTGGCGTTAGAACGCAGTCGGGGGATGGACGACCCCAGAACACGTTATGACTAATTACATGAACCACAGACCAGAAATGGTGCCATACTGAGTGTAGTTGATATAGGAGGATGCATGGATGCCGTTCTGGGAAGTTTTAATCTGGGTATCTAACAGAATGCTCCACCTATGACGAACCAAAGCAGCCAAGGCAACTGATATAACCTCCGAGCCAGGACCGTGGACGAGATACAACAAGCTCCTTGATCGACTTCATGGACTATGCATGTCCTCATAGCCGGCCGGATGCAGTCAAGGCTCTGCATAATGGGGATGTCGGACATGTACCGGGTCAACGGTCAGCATCTGGGCTCCACCTTTCCAGGATTTAAAACCGTACGTTACTCCAGCTAGACAGGGTGGTTCCGGCTCAGCATCTACTCTTGATCCAGGACCGGTGGGTCATTACATATGTGATAGATTAGCGTCTGCCGGGTGTGTCCCAGTCAGTATGTAAGCCGGCAACTAAGCCCCGAATATCTGGACCACTTAATACCCAAAGATGGTTCACGGTAGCTAGTAACTTCCTCGACAAACGTAAAACTTTGCCCATACGTTAAGCTTTCAGTGAAGGGTCTTTCGCCAGGCTCAGCAATTCCCACCCTCCATCTTCTGCCATGCCTACCATTCAGAGTCAGAGTGTAGAGTTTCCCACGGCTGACGGCCTCTTGCGCGGTCGTCTTTATCCCGCCCCCCGAAAAGGGCCAGCAGTGATTTTGACTCCAGGGGCTCGACGCAGCTCAAATGAAAAACGAGCGCATAGAGGCTAACAATGTTATAGTTTAACCTTGTAAAGGAAGTTTACATTCCTAAGATAGTTGAGTACTTCCAACAAGCGAAAATTACAGCGTTGATTTATGATGTCCGCAATTACGGAGACAGCGATGGCCTTCCACGTAATGAGCTCGATCCGTCCGAGCAGGTTGATGATTACTGCGATGCTGTCACGTATATGACAGGCCTACCGATGGTCGACCCGAACCAGATTGCTTTATGAGGTGTGTCATATTCCGACGCTATAGCTGTCGCCGCGGCGGCGCTCGACAAGCAGGCGAAGCTGGTGATTGCTGTGTGCCCGATGACCCATGAGCCGCTAGGAAAATATGATACCGAGGAGGATGAAGAGCTGCGAAGAATGCTCGTGAGATGTACTCGGGACAGAGTAGCCCAGGTTAAAGGCAACCCTCCGGCCAGAGTACCTACGATGACTCCCAGCAGCCACAGCGTTTTCGGCTGTGTGCACTTTGGAGCCGGTGTGTACGATGTGATGATGGGACTGAGGTGGACTGTCGCACCAAGTTTTGACCTGGAGTTGACCTTGCGCTCTATTCTCCACCAGATCAAGTGGGATCCTATGGACTTGGTGGAGTTTTTTTTTGGATACCCCAGTGATGATGGTGATCCCGGAATCCGACGTCATCTTCAAGCGTGATACCCAGTTGAACGTATGTGAAGCTATTCCTGGACCGAAAGCAGTTGTATATGGTCAAGGGAAAGGGGCACCTTGATGCTTTAATGGGGTGAACATGTTCCAGAGCTAGTGGACGCTCAAATGAAGCTCTTCCAAGGCGCTCTAGCAGGGAATGAGTGAATAGACATAGTCGATCGTCTCCCTTGACGCAACTAGGGGTGGGGGAGAAATCATCATGTATTGTTGAGACACATCGAAGTCTGGCATGTTCCCCTAGTCTCATAGCTGTGAATATCAAATATCACATGAGGAAAACAGACAAATACAAGGATCTGTCAGTTCACCTTTCCAGTTCCAGTCTGTAGATAATACTCAGGTAGAGTAGGAGCGGTACCTAGCTAGCTGTGGGTTCCGGCATTCTAGCCAATCAGAGATTTCCAGGAACGCAGTGAAGGCCTTATTGGGCCAGCCCCTGTCATGTGGTCATGATCTTCAGTAATATGCCGAAGTAGGTAAAATGATAGTAAACATGGAGCCTGGATATGTAGCCGCGAGGGACTATCATTCACCCAAGAGCATGGACATGACCTGGTCATTTTAGAGTTCTGTGTACAATTGGACATGGCTTACATTTATAATACCCAGGGATATACAAAGGTAGTCCCTGTCCTAGGCAAGTATCTAGGATTTGGAACTAAGTTCGTAGATTCCTTAAAAGCCCAAAGCCTTTGAATCTAAGACGGAATGGACTGTTTGGTACGTATGTATGGGAATCTGATAAGCTCGGAGCATCCAGGCAAGAAAACAAGACATAAATACCGGCAATCCCCGGAACTTTATGATGTTATGCTGCTACAAGTAGTATAAAAATATTCCGCCTTGACAGTTTGTGGGACCACATACCTTCCAGGGTACACTCCAGGTTTCCTAGCATGGGTGAGACATAAAATTCTACGGAGCTTTTTTTTTTTATCTCCCTAGAAACAGAGCATGTCTAGGCATCTCACAGTATACATTGACTAGTAGTTATCGGTTCTGTAGCACTAAACCAACTTGGTACTGCGTTAATCCACAGCTATACGGCATCGATATTCTCACTGTTGACTACAAGGGGTTCAGTTTTCCACCAGGATGATGTATATTTGCCATTACCGAAATAGCCAACCTACCTTCTCTCATGGTAAACTATCCATCCTTCACACGGCCAATAAGGGATACCTTCATACCATTAGTTTCAGGCCGTTGCCACTTAAAGAAGGGTTGTGTAGAATTAGATATCACTCTGTGTCATTACTCCATCCGTAGTAGAGAGGTAGGTATACCCACTGAGATTACATGGAAAAGCCAAAGTTTTGGGTCCCTTTTATTCGCCATTATCCTAGGCGGTGAGGACGAAGACAGGCAGAATCGCGGGGGTGTTGCAGTTATCGTGTTATCGTCCAGTTATCTTGTATTTTCTTTTTCCCCTTTTCAGGGCCACTTCTCTCCTTTCTTCCGTTACCACTTGTCGTTGTTGTTGACTCCACATTTGTGTAGATAAAGCAAAATGGCGCGGGCTCCCTTTGTTGTTCCTGCACTCAAGAAACACACCGCGACAGTGATTATGGCGCATGGTCTGGGCGACAGGTGGGTGCTCAGGCCTGGAGGACGTTGCCAATTAGCTAACAACCTTACTTTTGAATAGCGGTGCTGGGTGGTACGTATCGACCTACTTTCTCTTAGGAGACCGAAGAATGCCGAACACGTGTATTAACTGTATTTCACCTGGCAGGATGGGTCTTGCTCAGAACTGGCGTCGTCGAGGCATGTTCGAGGAAGTAGCCTTCATTTTTCCTAATGCGCCCATGATCCCTATCACAGTGGTATGTAAAACTGGATTTTAGGAAGAGCTCATGGTCTAAGGATCCATTCCGTGTGATATAGAATTTTGGTATGACCATGCCCGGATGGTACGACATCTCCAAACTCGGCCGAGATGTGAGCTCCCTGCCCCTATATAAAACCTGTCCGATTGAACTAACCCCTCATTAGTTGGACTTTGAAGAGATTCTCCGCACCCAAGACGAACCAGGTATCCTCCGCTCCCGCGATTACTTCAACACCTTGATCAAGGAACAAATGGACCAGGGCATCAAACCTTCACGCATAGTTCTGGGAGGATTCTCGCAAGGAGGTGCGATATCTTTATATAGTGGTGTTACCAACAAGGAAAAACTGGGAGGTGTGTTCGGGCTTTCGTGCTACCTGCCTCTGAGCGATCGCGTCATGAATCAGATTCCCGAGAACTGGCCCAACAAGAAGACACCTTTCTTCCTTGGTCACGGAACTGTAGACGAGGTCGTGCAGTACGAATTTGGAAGGCTATCTTCGAAGCTGATGAAAGATATCGGATTGGAAAATGTCCAGTTCAATACTTATCCGTGAGCATGCCCATCTTTATACCGGATGACTATGTTACTGATTTGGCATTAGTGACCTTGGCCACTCTGCTGATCCTCAGGAAATTGAGGATCTGGAAAAATTTCTTCAGCAGACCATTCCTCCTGAAGGTGATGGCCAGAGTGCGGGGTTATGACTTGATGATCACAGCCATGTGTTGACCTCGGGAAATATCAGATCTAGCATTGCTTTAGCTGTGGTGCTTTTATTAATTGCAGTATTGTTATCAAGGTACAGCTTAAATGATACGAGCGATAGTTCAAAGAAATAGCGCCGAGCATCGTTCTCCTTGGTATAGATGTTCTGATTTTATCTACCTGTCCATTTGACTTATTCTGAATCAACTTTGCACGTCATTCCTCGTATGTATCGTTTATATACCCCCAATAAATATCACAACTTGAGTAAACCCTACTCTTTCGTTGCCCGCTCAATAGTCTTTTCAATAGAAGCAACCATGGCCTCTGTGTTCTTTGCATCGAAGGGAATCATATGCCTCGAGCCGTGGTCATAGAACTCCGCCTTTGAGGGCTCACACAGACCATATAGATGTACACCAGCATCGTAGAGTCGATCCTGCTTACCTACAATATGCGCAGTAGGGATTTTGACCAGGTACTCCCCAGGCGTCGACTTAATCTGCTCCCTTCCAGAGGGCTCGTACGGTGGCGCGCCGCAGATAAAGACAGCGGCTTTGAAGAGTGGCACGCCATGCGTTTTGGCATGATTGACAAGAAGGGAAAATGCAAGAGCTGCTCCTTGCGAAAACCCCATTACAGCGTCGAATGGACCTTGTTTCTCAATTATGCGCATGGTGTGCTCTATAGCATGAGCGAGGTCTTCACCGGGGGCGGTATTGCGAGGATAGTGGTTGTAGAATGGGGGATCCATCACACCCTTCAGTTCTGGGTTCGGTCAATGAAGGTGTTGCAGTGGGGACGAGGGTAAGTCATACCTGGCTCAGGTTCAGAGTCTAGCCGGCCATTGATATATGTAAAGCTATGACCTTTACCTGCTAAGTGCTGAGCGAGACCGCCTGTCCATAGTTAGGATTGACGACTGATGGGACGGAATGCCATGAAAAGGAAGCTGCGGGAAGTTGATTTTAGTATTACCGGATTGGATTTCAAAAATCTATCTGCAATTAGTATTTCTATGTGGCTAACTTTAAACAATAGTCATTGTTCCACATACTTCCCCGCTTGTACCAGAGCCGTGTAGACAAAGAAACCGCATCTTTCTCTGTTCTGCAAAAGTACGGAAGTATTGTGATTTATCTTGAGCTGTATTATCAAGCCCTCGCCAACCAACTTCCGGCAAATCAAAATCTGTGTCGAGCTATGGAATGTCGATCGGCTGGATTATGTTGTGGCTGTTGGTAAGTCCAGGTACCTAGTCGGCGGATTGCCTGAATGGGAACAGAGCACGGGATCACTCGCTTACGTACATTTAGCTAGCTTTTCGAAGTTCAACCAATACTCCGTACAACATTACTCTACATGGGAGAAACGCACTCTCAAAAACACGCAGCTTACCTATTTCTTCCGGGTCCTCTTTTCATTAACCACTTTTTGGATCGATCGGGAAGCCACTCTGTATGGTTTGCGTCACGAACTCCTTGCGCATCATCCGACTTGTACCTTCATGTGGAGACAACAAAATTAGCTCGGGGTTTATTCAAGGAACCTCGGTCGCCGCTCAGGGACCATGGAAAGTAATCCCCGCGTTGCGCAAAGCTTGCCACCGTCATAAAAAGAAAAGAGAAAAAGATCCGGCTGGTAATTTATAAACGAAGGGACTGTATAGCTCTTCATTGACCATTCCTCACTGTAAGAAACATGTCTCTTTATCAAAATATCGCCGCGGTTGGCTCTTTCGCCTTCCATACCTTGCGTCATCCACTGGATACGTATTTGAGTATTGGTCCTACACTGAGCGAAGCTACCTTCGGCCTATTCGGCTCCTCGTTTGAGCCGAGCAGAGACATTGGTGATCTCTCGGGGAAGGTGATTCTCGTCACTGGAGGTAACAAACTCCACTAAGTTCCGCGTTCGTACAGACTTTGTTTTCGAGCGTAACATACTAAGCTAAGTGGTCTTTCAGGCAATGCCGGTCTTGGAAAAGAAACCGTCCTTCAGCTTGCACAACATAACCCATCTCGCATATACCTAGCTGCTCGAGATGCTACTAAAGCTTGCGAAGCCATCAACTCGATTCAGGGCAGCCTTTCCGCCTCTGTCGATATAAGACACCTCCCTCTTGATTTATCCTCTTTTCAGTCAATACACAAAGCCGCAGAGACCTTTTGTTCGGAGTGTGACCGTTTAGATGTCTTGATTCTCAATGCCGGCACCATGGCGAATCCGCCAGAGCTCACAAAGGAAGGATTCGAGATTCAATTAGGGACAAACCATATTGGCCATTTCTTGCTTACTAAGTTGCTCCTCCCTACACTGCAGAAGACTGTTGCAAGTCCCGCGTCGGATGTAAGAATAGTGACTCTGAGCTCCGCGGCGAGTCATAGTGCGCCATCCTTTGATGTCATGACCTCGACGCCTGCTCTTCTGAGTTCCCACACCTTATCACGCTATGCGGCGTCCAAGGCTGCCAACGTTCTTTTCGCGTCGGAGCTGGCTCGCCGATACCCGGATATCCTCTCGGTCTCGGTCCACCCGGGGACAGTATCCAGTGAATTATACCGCTATACCGTTGCAATGAATGCGGTCTCAAGATTTGGTATTGGCATATTCTCTACCATTTTTCGTAGTGTCTGCACAGGAGCGATGAATCAGCTCTGGGTGGCGGGGACAAAGAGAGAGCTACTGGTCAACGGTGCTTACTACGTTCCCATCGGTGTGCGCGGTTCAAATAGATTCGCCAATGATGCAGATATGGCGCGCAGGCTTTGGGAGTGGACAGAGAAACGGATCGCTGAGAGATCTTGATCCCCTCGGCTTCTATGTGCCTTCTTGCAATACGGCACATGCATATAATCTGTTCGGTCTATTATGGGACTAATCTTAATTGCTCTTCTGGTTGCTGCGCAATTCTGACAGTGCGTAATTGAAGAAATTGCCTGAAGAAGATTTCGGCTTAATTATTGGCTAGCAATTTTTCTTTTATCTTATTTTGATTATGGGTGATTTCCTCCCCCCTTTCTCTCTATCTCTCGGGGAGAGGGGCGGGATCGGACGGGTCTTCTTGGTTTGTAAAGAATGAAGAGGCAATTGGGTGAGATTGTCGAGCAAGGTTGGTGGTGAGGCGCGAGACAGATATCTCCGGACTAGGAAAAGACTCTGTCTCGGAGAATATAAAGATGAATGGTGGGAGTTTTCTTTCTCTTTAGTTTCATACTCCGGAGTATTGACATGCATGATTACGGGTACCGTATGCCATGATCGTTAGGGTTTAGCCGAGCAGCTGCCAAACCTCCCAAAGCCGATGCAAGCCCACAACAAATACCAAACCACCACGAGACAGGCTGGAGAAAAGGGAATGCAAGTTAACGGGAGACAACAATGAAGAAGAACTAGTCCAAAGGATAGAGGAACCACTGTGTAGAATAGGTAGACCGTACGTACTATTCCGAACATTTGTAGTGTAAGCGCCGCACATTTACCACCTTACCCCCCACACAACCAACAGCATCAGCCACTCTGGTTTACTCAACCACTCCCACCCATTGACCGAACTATCTTGAGTCTCATCTTTCGGTACGTGGACTTCTTTCCCTTTTCACAATCCTCAACCTTCAATCCGCATCTCCCTTCTCGCCGGTTAGTGTTCCTGTCCCGTATATAAGTCTTATCCAACTTCCCCTCATTCTCGCTCTCCGGAGGCACATCAGCCACCGCTTTCTTGGCGCTCACACATTCTGCCACAAAGTCTTACCGAGTCCGAGTTTCCACAGATCCAGATTATTGACGTCCATTCATCCCACTAGGTTCAAGGAACATCCTCTTCACACACAATCACCATCATGGATCAGGCAAAGTTGGCTCGCATGCAGGCTAGCGTGCGGATTGGTACGTATACATTTCCTATTTTATTTCCCCCAATCCCCTCTGGAAATAAGTGGTCCTGGGATTTAGTGGCATTGGCAGCGAGAAGGGAACTGGTCGCTTAATCCGGAGGAAATGCGAATACCCGACCGGACGAAGTCTGCAAATCGCCAAAACTTCCAAACCACCTGTCGCAAAAAAAAAAAAAAAAAAAAAAAAAAAAAAAAAGCAACAAATCCCAGGGAGCTTCGGAAACCGAGATGCTTGATCTTTGTTTTAAACGTTTGGATAATGTGACGTGATAATGTTAGCTAATCTTGATCTTCGTTGTGAACAGGGTACGTATAAATTCTTTTCGCACAGTACCACTATATTCGACCACCACCACCCCGACATAAAGAAGAAAAAAAACTCCCCAATTCCAATTTCCATATTGCCCTTGAAAATCTCACTCCCAATTCTCCAAAACCCGCCGAGAAGAATGAATAAGCCCCGACTGACGAACTCTGTAAAAACAGAGGCAAGGGCACTCCCCGCCGCAAGGTCAAGAAGGTCCACAAGTCTTCCGGTGCCGACGACAAGAAGCTCCAGACCACCCTGAAGAAGATGAACGTCCAGCCCATCCAGGCCATCGAGGAGGTCAACATGTTCAAGGAGGACGGAAACGTCATCCACTTTGCTGCTCCTAAGGGTATATATAACCCAACCCAACCTTCCCCACCCGCACCTAGCTTACAAAGCCACATTCCCCTCCTCCCCGATGGAATAACAAGAACATACCGTAAACTAACCATTGAATCTTGAAAAACTTCGAAGTCCACGCCGCCGTCCCCTCCAACACCTTCGCTCTCTACGGTAACGGCGAAGAGAAGGAACTCACCGAGCTCGTCCCCGGTATCCTGAACCAGCTTGGCCCCGACAGCCTCGCCTCCCTCCGCAAGCTCGCCGAGAGCTACCAGAACATGCAGAAGAACCAGGCCGGTGCCGAGGGCAAGAAGGATGATGATGAGGATGATATCCCTGATCTGGTTGAGGGCGAGAACTTCGAGAGCAATGTCGAGTAAAAACTTTGAACCATATCATATCATATCATATCATGGGCTTTTTTAATTGATTGATATAAAAATGTGAACAAAAGACATCAAAACAGGCTTTCTATGTGCTTTTTTATTTCTTCATCTTGGCCGGTTGGCGATGGATTCCATTTTGTTTCCTTGGAAGTTGGATTTCCGGGTTGAAGATTTATGGATCATGACGGGTGGTTGTGCTATTGGGACCATGATCGCGAGTGGCGCAATGGGTGAATATGATGTCTTCAGCATTTTATGAGAACGTACTCAGGCAGTACTGTCAGGTTCTACAAAAGGGTAATAGCTTGTCGCAAACCATTGAGTGACATCTGTATAAATTCTTTGGTACTGTAATACTATAAAAACGTGTGGACAAGGGTCATGCAATCAGTATATTCCTTTCGCCTGCCATGCATAAATTAATATAGATCCCGACCGGTAAAATGCCATGAAATCATAGAAAAGAAGGCCGCCAGCTCGGATAACGTCAACTAGCGCCAACAGCTGTCGGCGGGGTACTATCGTACATGCAAGGGTATTTTTAGGCCAGTCATAGGTAACCAACACCGTCTAGTGGAGGCCTTTGCTCACAGGCGGGAATGCTTCAGGCCCGAAGCTGGGCTTGCATTGACTGACGCTGAAGAAGTTCGCGTTGCCGATGCTAAACTTGGGTGTAACTGAGTTGATAAGAAGCGGTAGAGAAAAGTGGCCGAGAAGTGTGAAAAATCATGATTCCTCCCGCAGTCCACAGATGTCAGTGCCAAGGACCTTGTCGATCATAAACCAGAAGCGCCAGTAGGCGTTCGATTTATCATAGTCAAATGTCCCATCCTCCTTGAGCTGAGGCCCATCTCCCACGATGTCACCAGTAAACCAACTGAGGATCGGTATCGATCGCAAAACACGCTCTGTGACCGTCGGTTGAGGCGGAAGGGCCTCGGTTATCGGGCGCAATTTCGCCCGACGTACGGTGGGAATATGTGTCATGAAATCGGACTCAGGTTTCGGCTCTTGGGGCACGTTCCGTTGTTGAACGGTAGATGCCTGATCCACACCAGTGGCAGTCGCCGAGCTAGCAGTGGGCGTCGAGTCAAACGATGCGTTCTCTTCTACATCTGTGACACTAGAAAGGTTATTCAATGCGAATGACCGCGGTAATGTTGAGCGTTCTTTCTCCTTCGTCTGCAGGAATGTGGTAGAGCGCGAAGTGGTCAAAGTGCGCGTAGCTTTTGATCTGTACTGCTCGGCAGCCGATGACTCTGCAAGGATTGGCACATCCTCTGCAGGTCCCTGGCCATGATATAGTTCACAGAAAACAAGATGTCCATCGATCTCCTGGGGAGAGTAGAAACAAGCGCTGTCGGCAGCGACCGTCGAATCGAAGGTGACCTTAATCCAGTGGAAACCACCTGCATACCGTTTTGATTTGCGGTTCGCGTCCGCCGACAGGTTCGCATGAATAACCACATCACCGCCGCTCAGAAGCTGAGATTGCCCGTTCAAAGCGTTAGGATCAGTCCGAGGGTAATCTTCACATATCACGCCTCTGGACACCCTCTCATACTTATCAATCACTTTCCACTCGACATCCTTGTTCTTGTAGCCGTACAGTATGCATTCAGTAGCGACCTTCTCAGTCTGCTTCCGTGCGTTGTCGAGATTCGAGGAAGATGTCGATTTCGGTAAGGTATTGCTGCGGGTCTTCTCCTCTTCTTGCTGCATAGCAAACAACCGTCCAAACTCGGCAACGTTGGGGTTTTCTTTCTTCGCTGGGGTTCCCGTTCGCGTGCGCGATCGAGCATGGTCATAGCGAGCGTTTCTCCTCTTTCCAAAAGGCCCAGTTTCTTCAGGTGGTCGTCGAGGGTTTCGAGATTCACTACAAACATAGTAAGACTATGTTAGCCGAGCAAGACAAATGGCAAATGGTAGATGGCAGGGGAAAAAGAATCCCAATATACTCACTCCTTGTAGACGTAACCCCAGGGCAGAAGATTGCCCTTGTCGTCTTTTGCGCGCTCCTCGGGAGGAACGAAATGATACTCCATTGTAAAAGAAGGAACTAGCTCTTTATGAATGAATTAATGCAAGGATATGGAGAAAAGGATTTTTTCGGAGTGAGGGTAAATGGATTCAATGGCCCTATGATGGAAAGTAGAGCTTGTTGAGCAAAAGAAACCTTGGTGAGAGAGCCGATCTTACCAAAAGTTTTGGGGCTGCAATAAACAATTGTGTTAGCCCGGGGACGGTCACGTGGTATCCATACCAAATAGCATATTCTTGCCCTGTAGGATATTGTTTCACAAATAGCCCAACTTCAATATCGCAAATTTTTTTTTTTTTTTTTTTACTTTTTCCTCTTATTATACTTCTTCTTTTCTGGCATGCCGTATGCAAAAGTAGCCTAAGTGCTCCTGGTGTAAAGTGAATAGAGAGCTTTATTGTAGCCGAAAAGGGAAATGGTTCGGCCTCAGGTCGAACATCCAAGCACAACAGCTTTCTTCCTCTAAATATGTCCAATATAGAATGCTCTACTCATGTCGTAAGAAATTAATGTACCCAACATCGCCTTTCAATCCGCACACGTCCCCAAACTCCCCTACTTCCGATCTCCGTCGATCTACATGGCCGACAAACTCCTCCAACGGGCAGGACAGCCCAGGCCCAGACTGACAATATGGCAATGGCACAATCTTGTCATTCATGTTTATCCGAAGGAAGGCTTCCCTACCCTTAGGTTCCTCCACCGACGAGGCCGGGCAAGCCAACCGCTCTAGCACGATCCGTCCGCCCATTGGCATTACGGATGAAGTACGCCAGACGCGGTCAGCCACTCTATGCGTAGTAGGCAGGGATGGATCGTATTTCGTATCTTTCAAGATATCTAATGCTGTGATGAAGGGTGCTATATCACCATCATGGACACTACATTAAGAAGTCAGTATTCTCCTTCTATACCCTCGAATCACGATGTCACACACAAACTGAAGAACATCGTGCCAGCTTGCGGCCCAGATCGTAGAAGAGCAGTCGTAGCATTAAGCCAGAGCCAACCCATTACACCAGCATAGGGATTACCCGGACCGGCACGGTAGTAATGTATCAAGTCACGAGCATATTCGAAATTCTCCCAATCTTCACGAGTAAATACATCGCACCAAGGACTCGACCCCCGAGCAAGCGTCTCGAACCCGCACATTTCTTGCATAGCGTAGACTTCTAGGTTAGTGAGGTATCCAAGCGCCGAATTTTGCTCATCGTTGATCAGTCGATTGGCAACAGTTGGGATGTACGCGCCCTGGAACAGAGCAAGCATGTTGGCACCGTTATCATGGCCTTTCGCAGGGTCTTCGATATATTTTAAGCACGTATCACCCGGAGTGAGAGTGTTGGCTCGTCGATCGAACGTTTCAGGAATGATCTCCAGTGCAGCTTTCCCATTCTTTTCCCAATTTAGACCGAACAACCCTGACGCAAAGTGCTGGGCTGATTCGATGACACGGTCACAGTCGCTTGCCCAAAGTCTTGTCATTCTATGGCGTTGTAGTAGATGCCCGTACCGAGTCGAAAATCGGACACCTGTTGTGAATGCCTGGAGCGTGCCAGCATATGGACCAGTTCTGACCAGTTGATCAAAATCTTCCTGCGGTTCATCGGTAAAGTATGACCAGTCGTTCAGAAACGATAGTGACCCATTTAGGACTATATTTGCCTCTTTTATACGACTCAAAAGTGCGAGATGTCCTTTGACATGGTTATTAGGGACAGCTTTTCATGTCAATCCTTCTTGATAGGGGTAGAAACGTACGACTTCCAGCGGACTTGGTTGGATATCTCTCCCCATGACGAGACATCTATCAGTCATTTAGCAAGGTTTCTCGTATATAATTGCAACATAGCTGAAATGGGTCAAAGATATCCTGAGATATTAGGGTATAACCGTACCATATGCACTTGCTCTATGGCACACCCGTTTGGAGGGTCGACACCCCGAGCACCAGGCCCGTCGATCTTCTCTACCCATGGTCCATTGCCACCTAAATGATAGAGTAGATTCCAGTCATTGCCTTGCCATACCGTTCGGCTCCTATTTGACGGATATTCAAATGGGTTGTACCAGGTATTCCAGCTTGCACAATGAGGTGATCCAACCTCGGAAGCGGATGGGCTGCGGGTATAATAGGAAACGCTGACAATTGCAGTTAGAAGGGAGATGATCAATGTCCACGGGGACAATAGACTAGACATGTTAAATGCCGTGTCTTTATGTTGTGGGTCGAATTGTGATAAAGTTGAGATAAAGTGGTCGCAGCAATGGTTAGTGGGATGCAGGGACCAACTGGGGCTTCCTGTTGCCGAGATAATCAACAACCCGCTATAGTAGTAGGGTGTGACTTTGAATGCATGTCCATTTCTGATATATGAAAAGTCCCAGATTAATTTTCACGCTATTCACTAATGACCGACCTCTAGCTTGTGTTTTACAGATTATTCTTCTTAGAGTGTTTTATAATTGCCGTTTCCATAAGCCAAGTAATGAATATCTAGTATATATGTTTAACTGCAAGACGTGTAAAGCTTTTGTCTGGCGTTTTGAGGAAACTCTTTGCCTCTGCCACTCGACCAAAAACCAACGTCGGCTAAATGTCTAACCTCGCACCTCAATATATTCAACATTTCCAAGGCTAAAAGATAGAGTAGCGACTTTCCAAAAGCTGGTGATCCATGAGCCATTCCAAACTATGGTGACCTTAACTAAGGATTTGATAGCAACCCCTTCGCCGAGGCTCGCTCTCCTGGTCGCTATCGAAGCATTTTGCGCATAAAGCAAAGAAAGCGCTCTTGCTCTGCGCCTTGCAGACCTTTAGTTTCTCCAAAGGCATGGAGGGAATCTCAGTGAAACCTCTCCAATTACCTGATATTCATGAATTAGCAGCATAAACACAGCACAGAAAAGAGAATCAAGAACAGATCAAAGACTTTACCATCACTATCAAAGAGTTCGTTCGCATACTCGCTATTCCGAAGCATCTCATTCGGTGGTAGCCCAAGAAGCGCAATCATTTCCGCAAGATGATGACCATCTGAATCATTCTTATTCGAATCCCGGGCATAAATTAGATGTCCTTGTTCGAACAGATCCCAAGGCCTGTAGAAGTGATCATTATCAGAAGTGGTATGTTTTGATCCGACACATATAGCGTACATACCAGGACTCCCAGATTCCAGATATCGAATTTTTTTTGGATCCCAGGTCATCTGTAATAGCACTTCCGGTGCCTGATAGATCGATGCTGTACATCCTCAGATTTTGTACCCGAACTCGACCCAAAGCGAGCCTCACCAAAGTCAGATAAAATAGGACGGCAATCCACCTTGGGATCCCGAGCTTTCGAGAAGAGTAGACCACCCGATCTCCCACAATTTTCCATGGACTTTAGATTGGATTTCTCAACTTCCTCGAAATCGACGAGGATTAGCTCGCCCTCAACATCGAGCATGATGTTCTTTTCTTGTATGTCTACTATGGATTAGAATACGAGTTAGAAAAGCATTAGGAGTACCATACCAGTGTGAATAACGTGGGCCTCCGTATGTAAGAAATCAAAGGAAAGAAGAAGAATATGGATTAGAGTCGGCTTAAGCAAGACATCAGGAAGAACTTTCGCTTTGGCCTGATTCTGAAGCTCGAACAGGCTCGTAGCCAAAGGAGGATGTATAAGGCACTGATAGGAGGAGGAGCCATGGGCAGACTTGATTTGAAAGCCATCCAGCGCTGTGCGGACGAGAATGGCACCTGCATGGCTTGATTTGGGGCTCCCTGAGGTGATTGTAGACCTGTATTTCTCTTACCTTTTCAATGAGACATAGATGTGCTGCCTAATGCCATTTAGATCTCACTACTCTCTGTAGTTTTGGTAAGGCACTGAGACTTACCGTAGGTCTCTACAAAGCCACACTGTGGAATACGCTCCGTAGCCTACTTTTCCAATCACCTGACACCTTGAACGAAAGACATCACCGATTTTCACAGGGAAAACGCGGTCTTGCGAGTACCATGGTAGCACTTTCTCTTCTAGCTTGTTGATTGAGTCGAGAAGAATACTGGACTGATAAAACTGGCGAACTGGCGAACTGGCAGTCCGATACAGGGGTTGCGTAAGAGTCGGCATGATAGACGTAGTATCGTTAATGGACTGGTCACTGGCAGATTGAACTGGACCCTGAGCTCTATATAAATACTGTACTAAGCTTACTGGTATTATCTTAATTAAAAAGATTGAATAAAGTGGCATAGTTCTATGGAATTAGTAGAATTAACAAATCAAGTAAGTCATGCAGATTTAGTAGATTAATTGGCGCTTTATTATTCTGCTAATCTGGTCTGTTTCTCAGGCGAATAAAGACAGTATTTCCTAAGAATCCCCGCTTTGCTAGGCATGGCAAAGTCCACAAGGTAATTGAAGTAGAGAAAACAATCGGCCAGCAAAAAGTAGAATGGTGAGTGGGAAACTCTGTTTCTCGTCTATTTTAACTCACCAGAGATCTTGAATACTATACACTCAAATGCTATAAATAAACCGAGGGCTTTTGTCTCCCAATTCCTCAATCTCTTCATTAGTCATCCCAGCCACTTTCTCATCCTCGAGACCTTGGACCCTGCGAATGTTCTTCTGGCGGTAGTAGTACCACATGAGTCCATATATGATTCCCGCAAATGCCACAAGGCCTAAAGTCACGGCATTTCCCCGAACATACCGAGGAGCTTCATTGTTTTTGTACAAGAACGGCGACATGACACCGCTGATATTGCCAAACGTGAGCTGTAAACCTGTGGCGAAGGTACGCTTTCCATAGCGAGGAAGCGTAGTAGGGAGCCACGCGAGTGGCAATCCTACGGCCACATACAAGCCCAGGGCGATGAGCAACGCGCCAAAATAATGCACCCCCGAAGATGTATCGGAGATGAGTATTCCATAACCAACGACCGAAATTATAGCGAAGATGCAAATGAATAGCCCACGGCGTTGGGTTCGGTCGCTGACCCAAGCGACTATCAGATAGGCTAAAGCGCCAAGCGCGTAGCAGGGAATGGTAAGTGCTTGCACCTCGGGTGTTGTCCAAGAGCCCATTCCCTTGATGATGGTGGGAAGGAAAGTGCTGTAGCCGTAGAGCATGGTATCGATGCCGAATTGCGCGAGAGAAAATGCCCAGATTCTCCAGTCGAGCGCGCCTTCCTTGACGTCGGCCCAATGGAACTTTTGCGCAGATGCCGTTTGGCCCACGTAGCGCATTCGACGACGGACTACGAGTGCCTTCTCCTCTTCATTTAGGTAGTAAGCTGTGTCCGGCTCATCCGCAAGGACAAACCAAGTCACTACGCCAATGAGTACCGTTGGGATACCCTCCAGGATCAAGATCCACCTCCAACCTCGAAGTCCGCTGATGCCGTCCATAAACCCAATCGCATACGCTAGTAGCCCTCCGAAAGCGCCAGCTGCTGCTGCGCTACTGAAAAGATATCCTGTGCGGAGAGCTAGTTCGCGCTTGCTGTAGAATAAGGTGAGGTATGTTATAAGCCCGGGGAACAGCCCGGCTTCCACGACACCTAAGCTCATGAGTATTTGGTAATGCTACAGAACTGGAGTTGCCACTAACCTAGAAGAAGACGGCAGGCGATCAATCCCCCATAATTCTGGGTGATTCCTGTTAGGGTTGCAATGATACCCCATATAATTGAAATCGATGCGATGTAGCGCGACGGTCTAAGTTTCTTGAGGACCAGATTGGATGGCACTTCAAAAAGCTAAATTGAACGGTTAGAAATCTTGTGATGCCCGCAGGTGCCAAGGGCCAGTCATACACAGTAAGTTACGAATAAGATAGACACAGCGACTTGGTACTGGTTGCCAACCAGGCCCAAGTCTTCTTCCAGGCCATACAAGCGAGCGTTACCGATGTTCACTATAAGTAAGACATGTCAGCAGGCGAATGTTCGAATGAGATCATGCAATGGGCGCAAAGAGTATTAGTGTGAGAATAAAACTGGACACCAACCTCTATCTAGGAAGCTGAAAAGGTAGAGAAGCACAACGATTGGTAAAATATGGACATCAATTTTCCAGATCAAATGCTTTTCCCTCTCCTCTTCAAGGAAAGAGGAGCCAGTATCGTTGTCTTGGGGTGTCATCGTGTTGCTGCCCCGCGGGGGTGATTCAATGTCCGGTTTCGGCTCACTTCGGTACTCCATGGCGAGTCCTAAATTGTCCCACGTTTACTTCAGTCTCTATGTATTTGGCCGGAGTGGTTTCAATGGGGTAGGAAGTGCCTTCTTTTTAGAAAGTGAGAAGTCACTGACGCAGTGTATGAACCACAATCACACTGAGTGACCTTGCATGACGCAGAGATCAAATACTGAAGAGACTGGAGTCGTCAGGCAATATTAAACTATCTGAGAGTAGGGAACCCCGCGCTCAGAATGATGGGACCCTGAGTGCGATACTGAGGGCGAACTGCCAAGATCCCAGATCTGCGGTTAACCTTAGATCCCTGAAGATCGAAGTGAGGCAATCGACCAGGAGGGAAGAAGATCATTCAGGAACAAAAGATCGCAGAAGAATGAATCATCTTATTTGATTGATAATGGCAAATTAGCTCATTTTAGACTAGTGGACCAATGTTTTTTTTCCCAACTCCCCACTTATCCATTTAATTGGTCCCGGTGTGGGATAAAATCATTGAAATGGTTTAAAGTTTTACGCTCCGACCGCCGGCTATTATTATTAGTTCTTTTTCTTTGCCTCTCCCAATTGATGGTGCAATATGTATTGTATCAATTTATGTGAACAAATGACGGTATGGTCCATAGTGCTAACCCTTGATAGTAGATTGTCTAACTAAGAAATTTTAAGGCCGGTGGCCAAGCAGCATGGATTTTTTTTTATTTGGATCTATTTTACTTGCCGCTGTCCCGCTAAGCAAAGTCCGCTTTCAATACCATTGCACGTCCGGATGTGGCATGCTTAATACCTTATCAGGTTATCTACCACTCTGCACTTCTGTAAGGAGTTGTCCTAATTGCAGAAGCTCTATCACATAATGACTCTTACTCAAAATACGTAAGTGTCAAGGTGATATCACCATGTTTCTTGACAATAGAGTTGGTTCGCTACAAGAAGTTATTTAGTGCCAGATAAAGGGCCAAGAGTGCAAACCAAACATATTCTTCCGTTCTTAACCTAGGCTTTTCTTTCTCATTTTGACTCTTAATAAGTTTTATTTATTTATTAATTATTATTTTGGCTTTAAAAATATGAGATATCAAGGAATTCTTTTAAAAAAAAGAAAAAGACAACAAGTATCATGTATGTAACGTTACTGACTCTTTGCCGGTTTCCGAGGTTCGTAGAGCTCACGTGGCCAACCCCCTCTCTTGATCTACATACTATTCCTAAATATAATCACGTCTAAAGGGTGGGCCTCGAGCGATTTACTTGACTACCTACAACAGTAATTTTGACGTTAGTCAGAGCTCGTTAAATATGTCAGAAAGATATGGAGATTACCAATCCTTCATCTATGGCCGCGGGGCTATCGAAGGCATTCGACCGAATGTCACTACAGATCCTCGTCTTCTCGAGGAGCAGGCGCGCAAAGCATTAGGTGATCGGTCTTTCAATTATGTTGCTGGAGGAGCCGGTGAAAAGGCCACCATGAACAGTAATCGACTGGCGTTTCGCCAATGGAAGCTGTAAGCTTGCGATTGTTGAAATCAAACGTATGGTGGCTAACATACTGTATATAGAGTCCCGAGGATGCTGCGGCAGGTTTGTGAAGCGCTAACTTCTTCATTTCCGCTCAGCGGCTAATGGTAGTTGTGATATTTATTATAGGTGGATAACCAAGATCTTTCCGTAGAACTCTTTGGCCAGAAGTATCCCAATCCTGTCCTGATGGCACCTGTCGGTGTTCAAAGGCTATTCCACGAGGACAAGGAAACAGGTCTAGCCGAGTCATGTGCAGATGTCGGAGTCCCATATACTCTCAGCACAGCCAGTACGAGTTCCATTGAAGAAGTGGCTACGGCGAACGGAGACGGGAAGCGATGGTTTCAACTGTACTGGCCGCAGGATGACAATGTCACGCTCTCATTGCTGAAGCGCGCGAAAGAAAATGGATTTTCTGTTCTCGTAGTAACTTTAGACACTTGGTCCCTTGCCTGGCGACCGGCAGACCTGGACAATGCTTATGTCCCGTTCATTAAGGGGGTTGGAAACCAAATCGGCTTTTCCGACCCTGTGTTTCGCGCAAAGTTTGAGAAAGAATCCGGCTCTAAGATAGAGGAAGACATCATCGGAGCTTCTCGGGCGTGGGTCTCTGACGTGTTCCCTGGTCATCCGCATACATGGGAGCATATCGCTTTCCTACGGAAGAATTGGGATGGTCCGATCGTTCTCAAAGGTATTCAACACGCAGAGGATGCAAAGCTCGCTCTCAAAGCGGGATGCGATGGTATAGTTGTTTCAAACCATGGAGGTATGTACATTGCCTTTTGACAACGTCGTGTCTATCAAGTATTGACGCGTTACAGGTCGACAGGTGGATGGTGCCATTGGCTCATTGGATGTGCTTCCCGAAATTGTGGAAGCCGTCGGTGACAAGATGACGGTCCTATTCGACTCTGGGATACGGACTGGTGCAGATATTGCCAAAGCCTTATGTTTGGGGGCTAAGGCAGTCTTTGTAGGGAGGCCCGTGATATACGGACTCGCTATTGATGGAAAAGAGGGAGCAAAGTCCGTAATGAGAGGTTTGCTGGCGGATTTGTGGCAGACTATGAGCTTAGCCGGCATTTGCACCGTTGCCGAGTGTTCTCGAGATATGATCAGGAAAGTCCAATATCCTGGAGATGTGACGGCTATGCTGTGATGAGACGATGGCTGTCGTACAAAGGTCCGTCAAAAGTAGATAGAGTATACTTTGGTTATCTAACTTTATATACAAGTTGCTGTGTTATTATAACTACCCATATCTCTGCTTTTAGTTACTAGTGTATAAGTGAAATGTTTGCTGCGACTTGGGTCCTGTTACGATTCGGGTGCCGCCGCTTTTGTGAGGGCAGCACTTGAGTGTTCCGCGTGCGCTCTGGGCCACTCACTGTTTGCTCAGTGAGCACGCACCGTCAGCTCCGGTCGCTCCCATATTGTTCTGGCTCACTCAGTGAGTGATCCTGGAGCAATTCCCGCTCGCTCTCTGTCGCCATTCACGTGACTAGTACTGGTTCTCTAAACCGTGGGCAGACTAATGCTGCTGAGGTCCATCAGCCCGTAAGTTCCTGAGGGCATCACAAAGAGTAGGGTTGATAATCCTTCTGGGTCACCTCACACTATGTCTGACACTAAGAAGCTTCGAGCTGCACTCCGTGCAAGAGATAAGGGGCTATTATAAATAAAAGAGACTAAAGATATTATACTTTAATTATAAACATAAATAAGGTCTACTCGCTTAGGACATTGTCACACCTTCATCTTGTTTCGCATTTATTTTCTACTATATTTACTCTTGATATACGAGGCACGTGATCACTAGTGCCTTGTGGGCAGCGATGGATCCTTGCCTGATTGGGTGGCCTGAATGGCCAAACTAACATATTCGAAAAGCGAACCGCGCATCACCCACCATAATTAAAATTAAAATGATCAAAATGCCATCAATTTGTTTTCCTATAGAAAAATAAATGATCCATCGATTCGGGCAGCTCGTGATACTATGGCCTTGAGTATTGCAGCCATAGCACATAGATGGAGCACGCTTAGGGCCTGATTCAGTAGGTAAGGCTCTATCTCCCTGTATAGCTTCATCTGCATGATTTCTGCGCTCTATTGGATTCGGGCTTCCTGTACTGATATGCTTGCTTCTAAAGTAATCTGCTTAGCAGAGCGCTTTCGCTTTTTAAGCTTCTTGATATGAATCTATAGGAGACACGTGATCGCTTTAGCGGCTTGGCCGGATCACCAACTCTTCAGCCCCTGAAGGCTTTACCCATTAGAAGAGAAGAAGCAGTCAAGATAGTTGATATAGTCGTCCATAGAATTGAGATCTATCGGAATGGCATCCGGTCCTCAGTAGGCTACGTACGTGTAGCTGATACAGCATCATTCTGCCCATCTTTCCCCTGAGATCACAACACTTCTTTTCATGGGTGGCCTGATATTACTCAATTTGATTCTTTAAAATTGCCACATCATTTAGAGCTCGTTCAGCACCTTCAATCAACTAATTTAGTGTAGCGGGCTGAGGCCGGCGGATGCATTCAGGCCTGAGGCCCTCATAGTTACGCTGTCACGTAACAAACACATGTATATCTTGACACGTTTCTAGCTTGTTCTTCTCTCTTATCCAACGAATTCTTTTGTTTAGCACAGCACAATACAATGTGGTTCAGCCCGTGACATTTAGAGTATGTTTCATAGGTGAATCAGGGCTTTTAGACCGATTTTAAGCAGAGTTTTCAGTGTGGATTCTGATTTTTTCAACTGCTTGGTTTTATGAGGTCTTCTAGGCGCTGAACTGCCTTGACTGCTTGGTCTACTACCCGTCAACGTAGATAAAACCCGCTCAGGATTTAGAGGTACTAGACCAGTAGCTCTGAAAGTACTATATATATTGCTGCTAGTAAAGGCCTGGGTATGGGCCATAGCATAGGCTTCCAAAAGATCGACCTTATCGATATGATTATTTCCACAGCGCACTTGGGAATCAATCAGGGCCCCGTATGCGCTTTTTAAAGACGAGAAACAAGCAACATCAAGCGGTTGAAGCTTATGGGAAGCGTACGCAGGCATGCAAATTGGTATAATATCATTCTCCGAGCAGATTTGATCAAATTGAGGTGTCAGATGACTATCATGTCCATCTAGAACAAGCAAACGATATCGTCCTATAGATCGGCCTGTAGTAGCAGGTATAAAATGATTCTGTAGCCAGCGTAGGCCAATTTCATTGCTTGTTCAGCCATTGGGACTTAGTTCAATCCTCAAACCGGATGGAATTTCTCGATTCTCAAATCAGTTCTCCATATACACCTTGCCTTTGAAGATGATATAAGCAGGTAAAACCCATCCATTAGAACTGATACATTCTATAGATGTAACCCATTCCGGTTTCCTGGCTGTACCATAAATGGCTTGCCTTTTGTATCAGACCTAGTGGCTAAATTAGCAGTAGCTATTAGACCCATTGCAAATCCCGTTTCATCGAAATTATAGATATCACTTGAGGCTATACCATAGTGTTGAATAACCTCAGTCACCTGCTTAAACCAAGCATTTAAAGTCTCAGGCTCCTCGGCTTTAGCACGCTTATAGTTAAAGCGACGTGCAAAGCATGTTTTTAGCTCAGGCATTCGGCTGGTAAAGTTATATACCCATTTTTCTCCTACAGTAATAGGAGAAGTAGAATCTCGATTAGAAAGCAGGATATTAGCCATTACTCGCACATATGCAGGCCGAGGTGCTCCACGCTTATCTAGTGATATAATCCACTGTTTAAGGGATTCCTCTTCACTCGTACTCAATTTATGACTATTTGCTCGAGTATCACTTCTAAAAGAGGCTCCTTTGAGGTCACATAGTGTAGTAAGAGGTATATTAAAAACTTCAGCTGCCTTTCTAAGGCTGCTAATTTTTTATTTTATTTTTATGGCTGATATGGCCAGTAGGGCCCTCCCTCCCTGCTCAATGCGTGATTTTGCTGATTTCGGCATTTTTGGGGGTATGACTGATGTTTGAATCACCTAAGAAATTCGGGCATGTTGAAACATGAGTGGTGCGCGGCTAGCTTACATGCGCGGCTCGATTACCGAATACGTTGTATTCACAAGCGAGTGGGCCACCCAAAATGAATGGGCCACCACCACCGATTCCTGCCTGCAGGCGAGGTATTAGGGCCTTTATCAATAAAACAATTTGCATTTCTATATAAAAACTAATTAGGAACCCGATTAGGACATTGCAATCGCTTATGTCCTAGAATATGACGATCACTGCAGCGCGGGGCGCTCGTACGCGTGACCCAACTGCAGATATCACTGGATCTATAGATATAGTATTCTGCGCTTCATGAATCTTATTCTCATACTGGAATTGCTCTAAACCTTCCTGAATATTAAAACTCTCTTCAGTAGCTAGCTGTCTAGTAGAGAGCTTTTCATTTTTAAAGCTGCTTCTTATTAAAAGCGCGTAGTTTATATATTTCTTCATGCGCAAGAATTGCTCTATTTAAGGCCAGTTCATGATCTTTAATAATCTTGTCTAATCGCGTTAGCAAAGGTAAAGAACTGTAAGCATGTTCTCTAAGCAGTTCCCTTGCTGCCGATGCCTGCTTCTCTAGCTGCCTAGTGGTATAGGGCGTTTTAGGCGTTGAATTGGTTAACCAACTGCCTGGTGATGTAGGGGTCTTTAGTCGGACATCTAACTCGCTAAGTACCCTATCCGGACCAAATGGAACTAGGCCAGTGCTTGTAAAGCTATTCTGGGTATTTTCTACTGAAATAATATTATTTTCACTGCAGATTTGGTCAAATTGAGGTGTAAGATGGCTGCCATGGCTGTTAAGAACTAGAAGACGGTATATCCCAGTTATACAACCAGTAGTTACAGGAATAAAGAGATTTTCAAGCCAGTGAAGACCTATCTTATCACAGGTCTATCCATTAGGACTAACTCCAACCCTGATATCGGGTATGAGCTTGTTATTTTAATACCAGCCCTCTATATAGATCTTTCCTTTAAAGATAATACATAGAGGACGTACCCATCCAGTTGAATTAATACATTCAATAGAAGTAACCTATTCCCGATTACTTGGCAGTACGAGAAGCGATTTACCATAGTAATAAGCTCTAGTAACTACTTGAGCAGTAGCTACTAGGCCCATGGTAAAGCTAGTTTCATTAAAATTATAGATATCTTCCTGTGCAATCCCATGTTATATTCTAGTGATCTGTACACGGTCAAACCACTCCTTAATAACTCTAGGGTCTTTATACTTCGCATGTCAATAATCATAATATCGAGAATAGTGGATTTTCATTTCATTATATCATTTAATAAAGCTAGAGACCCAGTTCTTTCTAATAGTCTGAATAGATATAGTACCGCGCGCAGCAAGGAGAATATTGGCCATTTCTTGTATATAGAATAGTCAGGGAGATACTCCACGTTAATCCAGCAATAGAATCTATTATATAAGCGAATCCTCTTCATTCTGGACTAATTTATGGCTGTTGGCACGTGTTTCTGTGCGTAAAGTGATCTCATTAAGTTATTATTAGAGAGTTATACGAGAGATATTATAGAGTGCCGCTTCGCGAATATTGCAAATCTCCTGCTTTTTTAAGCAGGAATAGCAAGTAGTAGACTTCTCTCCTGCTCAGCTAAATTTCTTGAATTTTGACGCGCTTTTGGAGGCGTGGTTGATGGTTGAATTGAGTGAGGCAATAAAATGCGTAAATTTTTAATGAGGTGGCCCACTCGACCAGGAAATACGTTACCTAAGTTAGGGCAGGCGGGTGTGGCAGGGCGGCGTAGGACGTCCGTATGGCTGATCACTGACCCCAGCCCCTGAAGGCTTCACCCATTAGTTAGTGTGATAGCAATCAAGTAAGGAAGCAAGCGGTTGAGATAGTGGTCAATAGAATCGAGTAGTAGCTATTGAATGACATCCGATCCTTAGTAAGCTACGTACGTGTAGCTGATACAGCTTCATTCTGTCCTTCTTCCCCTGCGATCACAACACCTCAAAACACCCGCAAAGCCAAGATACAAATTTTATCACTGACAACCCTGTGTGCATCTCCCTCTTTAAACTATCGCCGATCCTCGAGATTGGGCCGACAGTGGGCGAGTACACGAATGATCCCGAAGCCTTTCAGCTTGGCGATATTGTTATACATCACATGAAGGGAATGTTAGAGTCAGTGCCGTGGAATACAGTGCGGACGCTCAACTACCACGCGACCCCGGAACATTGTGTAGGGGTCAGTTATAGAATGTGTGAATGTGACAACATGTGTGGTACCTTACTAATCATGGACGGTGATATGGCAATTGTCTCATACTGACTTCCCACAATCTGTACCCCTCCTACATCGCTCAAGTCATCCCTACAACCTCAGCTCTTTTTGTCCCTCATATTTGACGCCACCATGTCAAATACTCTACGACACCTGAAACAGGCCCTTTCCGACCTGACTCTCAAGGACAAGACAGATAAACAACGAGAGCAGAATGTAATAGCCCTTCACGCACTCTATAACTCCCTCAATCCCCTTCCTATGGCAGTCATTCCAGATAGCACTCTTGCCACCTTACCAGTGGACCTCCAGATCTTCAGTCCAGAAGAGCATGCCTCTACCACTTTCTTCCGGCCGTTGACAGTAGCTCAACTAGCCAGTTATCCAAAAGACCCGGAGTCGAGTGAGGTCTGTGATCGCCAGAAGTTGAAATACTCCACTCTAGATGAAGGAGGTGATTGGTATAGCACGGGGGAATACACTCTTTGGGAATGGGAAGCATCAATCTGCTACACTCTGGCGTGGGAACTTGAAATGGCGCCCAGGCTAGGAACTGAGTATCCCAAGAAAACGCTGAACGATGTCATAGAATGGCGAGGCAGTGAGTAAGTGCTCATCCCAATTACGAACAATAATGTCCTTTCTTTTCTATTCATTCTCTTTGCTTAACGTCTACCTAATGCTCTGGCTATATGTCTTCTAGGGCTTGGTCTGTTGAAAATCAGTATCTTCCTACGTTTTCCTTATACAATGAGCACTGGAGAGCCGTATACCACTGGCGTCCTTGGTATGACGAAGATCCGCATATCAAAATCTGCCAGTATCACGGTATCATTGGAAGCCCTGGCCAGCTGCTACGAGAGGAACTCCTCATAATTGTTGGCACGATGTGTACTCTCATGAATCGGGAGAAGTTTAGGAAGCATCTAGTAATCCCTGTATGTCTAGCTCTAACTTATACGTTGTGCCTAATATTATCTCTCTGACAGTTTCTCTTTATAGGTAATGATGTTTTCGTTTATTGGTGAGCGGCATGGAAGAATTATCTTGGCTCATTTCAATGGTCAGGGTCAGAGACTTGTAGTCCATATGTCGAAATTGTATCGTTTCCTCGCTGAAGACGAGGATTCCCTTGCTCTGTTTACACGATATGCAGCCAGCGTTGTCGAGCCATCCGGCAATACGAAAAGATTGGTTGGATAGGTCAGATTAGGATGGTAGCATAACAGCCCCGCGTTCTGACTGTGGCATGATAATCGAATCGTGGGTGGTGGTTTTCAAGTTATCAGTAGTAAGAGTAATATTGCAGTGTTTCTTCCGTTTATTCGATCTGGCCTAAAATAAAACCTATATATGAAATAACGAAGAACATTACAAACAGTGGCATCGTTTGTATCACAACACCATACTCATATTGCCATCTGGGCCAATTGCTCAACTCCCCAATCTTCTATTAACAAAATCATTTAAGTCGAAGAAGCTTTTCCTAAAGAACTGTTCTTGTATGATGCAATTCACTACCTAGAGACTAAACTGTTGCGCGTAGTCGCCAATCTTCCATATATCAGCCCACGACCTAAGAATCTCTGATATAAAGAAGATATAGTAGATACTGCACGGTATATCGAACAGCTAGCTCGACAGTTTCCTATTAACCTCGTTAAATACAGGGTATCTAAATTCCGACACAAACACTGGCTTCTTGAAAGTATTTTATAATCACCGAGGTATTTCGGTACAAGGAAGCAAAAGAGGAACCGAATATAAATAATTGCCCTGAACGTAGAAGCCACAGTGAGTCATGTTATATTCCTCAGTCATTTCTTTTCTCAGAGGTTTTATCATATCAGCCTGGGAAACTCGTCGTCTTAGATTCCCTAGAGGTCTACCATATCAAATAACCTCCTCAGGAATCAATGTTACCAATTTTTAAGCACCCGAAAAACCTCTAAGAGCACTTGATGGCACTGTAGCACCGGGCTCGCCGACAGCTCCACGATGTTGTATTTCATTTCCATCTCTTCTGTTGCATATCCAAGCCATAGCATTTTATTTTGTGTGTGATGCAAACATGGGGATGGTAGAAGGATACACACAACATTCAGTGAATGTCTGAAAAGCACAAACACATCTTCTTTTTCTCTCTCCTCTTCCTTGCCTCTCTCCCCGTGCGTTTTGACTTTATCTATCACGACACAAAAGCAGGAGCACCTAACGTCTGAGTCCCCCTTCTTTCTCTTTCTCCGTTGAAATCCAGTCTCTAGTACTCCTATTTACCATGTCTGATAGGAAAAAACGCGACGAAGACAATGAGTCTATTACAGGAAGCTTTTGGCTTCCTATAAACAAATCTCAATGGTGGGCCCTTATCAAGAAGGCTAAGTTGAAAGATAAGACTATACAGAACTTCCTTCCACTACGATCTGGTAGTAAGATCGGTAAGAGGCAGTTCCTTCTGTTGCGGATACTTTATGCACGTTGCCGTTTACCAAGTGAATTCAACATAGAAAAAGAACAGTATGGGCTGGATGGATCGTGGACTGAAGCCGAGATAAGAGTTAATGCCTCCACCGAGTTTACGAATTACCTCAATCTCGTTGGCACCGCGAACCAGGCCGAAAGTCTATCTGAAGAAGATGAAGGCTGGCCCGGGGCATTTTTTCCTACCTTACAGTTTCAACAGAAATGCCTACAGCCCAAGGCGAATGCCGTACCTCTCACGCCCCCAACTACCCGCCTGTCGAAACGTAAACGGATCGCTGAGTTATTTGGCACCCATGCAGGCCACAATCAAGGTTAGTTAATGGTCAAAAGTGTAATATTACGCTGTGTGCTGACGCAGGTCGGATAGAACACCGTGCACAGCCCTCAGCACCGGACATCGCATACGAAGTGGATGATGAGAATATTGTCAACACTGGACTCATACTATTTCTGGAAGCGATCACAAGTTTGATTAAGCCGCGGAAGGTGGAATGGACCATGAAGCACGTTGCACTGAAAGCAATCTTCCAGTCAGCCTGCTACGAGGCACAGCTCGATGGAGCATTATGGACAAGTCTCGGTAGAATCCTTCGGGCCCTCCTGGAGGTCAAGAGGATGGGACGCTATCAATGCGTCTACCGATGTAAATATCACGACGCAGGAGGCCGCAGAGATTGTGGGGTGGTTAAAGCATTCTGCAGGGGGGATGGAAAAGCTTTTGAATGGACAGTAAGTCGCATCCAATTTCTATATGCTAATGACAATTTCTGAGGTATGAAGTCGACTTCTCATATCACAAGATGCAAACCAGATATTCCTATCTTTTGCCCGGGCCGACGTGGAATACTATGACTACCTTGAGAATGGGAACGTTGCCGGCGAACCCTTCTTAAGTATACAAAAATGGGGCCCATGGCTGGTTAATCACAAGGACCACATGAAGCAACTGGCTACCATTTTGGCAGCTATCATTCTTTCGCTGGATGAGTAGTAAGTAGGCATGGTCGGCCTCTGGTATGTAGAAATCGGTGCATATAGTTACTTCCAATCCAGGATCGTTCCCTTTTGCTCTCGGCCATTCCTGTCCTCGAGAGTTAAAAGATGCTGGTCCTGGGTTTCTCGCAGTTCCGCCGTTCGACAGTCTACCGCCTGCGGTAATTGAGAACTACTTGCTTGCTGGTTCAAGGCCTCCAGGAGATTGTCAGACACCTGCGACAGTAGGGAAATTCAATCCACTGTCTGAACCCACGCTGTCCTTGGCTTATTTTTGCATGTTCTTTTTCGCTCATTGGCCACAAGTACTCACTTATTCGATTCCTATTGGTCCGGTAAAGCTTCTTCCGCAAGTTGATGTTTAATTTGCACGCTGAGATAACACGACTGAAGAGAAGATATACCTAAGAGAAAATTCATTACTTGCATTATTATTGAAGAAGGCTTGCAAGTCCCCAAGGCTTGGTTGCAGCGCTTCTAGTTCTATGACCATGGTGATTCACAAGTATGGTGCAATACTCAAGTTGTATCCTTAGCATATTTTATTTTTACCGACAACAGCGCGAAAGAGCCACAATCTCACATGCGTCGACATAGACGACACGATGGATGGAAGAGTACATGTTCTCTCGCTCCAAATATTCATGCGGCTAATTTCCCCTTCTTTGGGATGCTTGACAATTTTCTTAACCAAATCTAAATTCGAGTTGCAATGTTTTGTTCACTAGCCATCCCAAGGCTTCACTTTCATATGCAGGTAGAGGGAATCTTTGTCTACTATAACAAGCTCAGCGCTAACCCCGTCCACTGACAAGCAAAATCTGAGCAAGAGGCCACCACAGAGTATGCAGACCTGGTGAATCATGTCATTCCGGCCTTCAGGGTCTATATTTAGGGTCATTACAGCATCCGAAGTATTTCAAATCTCAAATCCCGAGTCGGACATCTGATTCTCTCTCGTAATATTATATTGTCAATTCAGACATACCATCAATCCCTACGAAGTACAGCCTATGGTTCGTTGCTAAATTAAGAATGCTTATTTCTGTCTTGACTTCAGGTGGGACGCCTGAATGACGCATTGACAAAGCTTCGCATTGGCTTATCTTAGGCAGTACTGCATTAGGGTTACTCTATGCGGTGGGATCAGCAGCCGATCGGCCAGCGGTAGTTCCATAGATTGGATCGGTCATAGATTTTCGATTTTGATATTTGGGAGGCCTAAGAAAGCATCACGCTTGGAGAGCTTTGAATTGGTAGACTCTATACTGAGACACCAGTGGGCTGTGCACCGCATTCAGCTTGTCTCCATCTCACGACCTGTGTTCCACTACTATCTTAAGGATTATAATATGGAGACATCAAGATATAAAAGCCCGCTGGATCTCCTGTTGAGTACCTTCATAGTCATCAACAATTCAGCTCAAACTTCCAATCCCTCAACCCAGATATTCCACCTCCTCTTCACTTGACAATATCAACCAACAAACAAAATGAAGGCCACCACCATCTGCACCATCCTCCTGGCTACCGGCACTGCTCTAGCTGTGCCTACCAAGCGAGCCGAGAAAGCTGTCACCATCAGCGGTCTTTATGCCTCTCAGACCGACAAGTCGGGATTCGTCAGCTTCATCCTCGACGACCCCAACTACGACGAGGAGACCGGCGCTAACGTGAGCTGGTATGCTTCCCTCCCCTCTCCGACCAACGATCAAACTAACAGGCATGGCCAGGGATCGTCCCGGAACCCCCCTGACAGACTCTCGCACCAGTGACGGTGCCTACTTCATCCATTTCCCGGGCGGCGTGAATGATATCTCAGTCTTCACCATGCAGCTGGAGCGGGTTAAGGGCCCCGAGAGTTTCTCGGTCAGCATCAATGACAATGGAAATGGCAGCGCCCCAGGCACCAAGTGGAAATGTGTCACGGCGGTTGGGTCCGTGGTGTCGAAGAAATGTCACTATGATGGCAACGTCACCGTGGTCCCTTCTGCTTAGACTTTACTGGCTGCTGGTTGAGGTCGGGATAAGGTTGATATTGCAATTGGGGGTGGGGGAAGTGTGGTTTCATTGAATCGTTCTTTTGATGTATTTTTTTGGTAGAAGATACTGAATAGAAATTGGCATGATGGTTGATATAGATTAATTACAACATTCCTTGCGCGCAATACGTATAGTAAATCTCCGAGGACCCTGGAGATACTCTGCTTCGGCTTCTTTGGAGGATTCTCTTGAAATAATTACATAAACTATAGCTTCAGCTCTAAATAGTCACTATACTTATTATGACGTTAAAGTAACTTTTGCAATCTATGGTAGAGCTATCTACTATTTTGGCAAACTATATTGGTTGGCAGTGTGAGTTAGAGTAATGAAATCATTACCAAGCTAACGCTTTCTATGGCTACTAATATCTAAACTGAGAATATAGTCACTAATTTACTACTGTATTGTTTTCCTGCGGAAACTTTGCGGCTTTCCCGTTCCGGAACGGGACTAGCTCAGGGCCGCTTTTTGCTTAGTGATTAATCCCGGAGCGTGGGGCAAGACTGAAGTGCGTGTGCTGAGCGCTCCCTGAGCATTGGGCCAGTACGTGGAGCGATTCGGGATCGATTCTGGAGTAATCCATAATCACTCAGCTAAGCTGCCCGCCAAGCTGACTACATTTCAAACAGCAGCTTAAAACTCATAGAGCTAAGCCCACCACTCTTTCAATTAATTGAGCGTATGGAATATCATAAAGCCTCCAATTTATGATTAAGGTCTACGTCACAAGCAGTAAACGATGTGTATCCCATAGAGAATTTTACTAGTATAGATTCCCTCACTAAATAGCTTCTGGCCCCAAATTAAGGTCCTTGATAACTATGCTATATAATTGGTAATTTAACGCATATAGATCATTATTCTGGAAAAGAAAGCTAACAGTGATTGTATAAATCATTCTGAATTAACTCTTATAACATGAGAACATGTATGGTTATCTAACTCTAGATTCTATTGTAGCACATGGCGTAGTTAAAGGATTACTCCTGGGCTTAGTAATTCAATACGTTAGTTAACTAGATCTTTTCACTAGGTAAAAAGATCCACTATAATCAACTCTAATCAGAATTGATTTCCCAGGCGCGGTATATATAGCATCCCAACTTGTCATCTTGGCCGTAAGCTTAAGGTTTACCCGTGACACATGGTATATATCTAGTTCTCAGGTGTCACAGATCAAATAGCGATTCGGCCTGATATATACGCAGCTAAGTATAAGGCTCAGGATGGATCAAGAGAGTAAGCATTAATAATCATGACCTTTGGAATCCATGTCTTTGTAAGTAGCAGAAGAGTGTAGGCTCTTACAATTCACTTTATACTATAGACGTATCTTAAGTGTAAGTACGAAATCAGACTATTAATAATACTTACACTATATGTGGTTGGAATCCTGGTCTGAGAGTAACCTAAGAAGAATTATATATTTCTCTGAAAGTAAATATTACTAGTTTACGCCGCAGCTCTCGATGGGAACAAGTTGAAATAGACCTAATCTTACCTGCTAATACTGAACTCCTTACGTGCTGGCCCTTTATCTTTCTATAAATTACTAGAGGTGTCAATAGTTGATATAATCATAGCTCTGTCTATTATCAGCAGACATAAGTACAGGAAGGAATGAAGATTCGCTACCACTATTTAGAAAGTAATGAGATTACCAATTAAGTACCTGGATATCAATGAATAATGACAAATCAGCCAAGTCAAGGGGTTTTCAGCCTGAGTTGTAAGCGATCAGACTGTGGTAGCCAGGGAGCATGTGTTCCCTCTATTTATATAGGCCAGACTAGCCAGCTTGAGACACTCTGAGCCTTTCCAGCTCATTGATGGAGGGATAATTGCAGTGTCCCGACAATTGGACAAACAATACAGGGCATGATGCCCTTTGTGACTCAAGTAGAGGAGATCCGGCGCGCCTTATGCAAGTAGCTGAGTTCCAGTCATTATTGGAGAAAGGCTGTGACAGCAAGCTCAGGCTATTGTATGGTGGCGTACTACAAAGCCCAAGGCGGGATTATTGGAAAATACAAGATTGTTTCACCACCTTGAGATGCTTCTCGACCCTCAATTTCTAGACCTGGGGCCACTCCGATGGAACTTTTATCAGTAACCAATCAGCATATCCGGTTATATTATAGGTGAAGGGAAGCTCGTACCCATGAGATGAGATCTCGGTCGAAAAGCCGAAAATCATCTTGTGACATGGAATTGTCCATAACTGGGTAGGTTATCATGTTCCTCACTCGGCAAAGTGAGATGGCGATGTCGGAATAAATAAAGCTCCCTCCAATCCGCCCCAAGAACGGGCTGGGTTGCTAGGACGAGGCTGAACGACTCGGGTCCTTTCATGGGACATAAATCCCAAATCACGCATGTAAACCGCTATCATGACTGCATCCCATTTACCGTTGAAATGCAAGGAGACGTATTTGTATATGCCTTGGAATCTCACAAATCTCTTACATACTCTCTGTCTAAACACTGTAAAACAGGGCGATCAGGTCCCAAAAGAAAATAACTCCTTTCTCTCTCTCTACAGAGATTATAGGTTCAGCAGCAATAGTAGCCCAGACACTATCCCTAGCCAAGACTTATATTTCAAGAGTCAAAGAATGCAAATCCATCTATCTACAGACAGAAAAGTCAGGCTCTCAGAGGCGCGACACCTGTGTCTGCTGCATGCTCAAGCCCAGTCACAGGTTGATCCAGCACAACCTTCTAATTACTTTATTATCCATAACCTGCTCTCTCCTTGTTTTATCTTTTTTTTGGCTAGTGACGTTCAGTTCAGAGAAAACCAGGGCGGTGTTCAGACCATCTACTCAGCTGATAGCTGCACGATGGCATACCTAAAGGCGTTGTATTAATACATGTTAGAGAGCTTTAGGTCAGTGATAATGACTGGGATGATAACCGAACCAAAAGCCGCGCTGAGCCTGGCCGAAAACACTACGACCTGAAATGGACCCCTACCTCGAATTACTCTTTAACTCAGCACTATCACAGTATCCCCATCATCCATCTCTCATACTGTAAGATGGTCTAAAGCCGGAACAATTCGTTCAGCCCAAAGCTTCCGCAAAACTTCGAAAAGCTCAATGTTCAAGACAGAAGAGCCGCTAAGGGGTTATTTCTTGCACCGTCACTTCAGATTTACTACCGAGACACAAATTTTGAAAGAAGCTAGAGGCCTGCTTCGAGTATTAAAGTACCGAGAAGCTTACAGTCCGAGCTATTTTGTCTGATTAGGTCGATGATTGACTACGGAAAGCCGCATGACCAAAGCTTCTTGCCAGTGTCGCAAAAGAGGTTGTATGGAGATACGTGGTTAGTGAAGACGATAACACCAACCCCAGCATACCATGCCCCTTTAAGTACTCAGAACGCAATTTAGATAAACGGAGAGGGGTGCGCTAATTGGGATTGGGATATCGAGAGGAAAGCGCACAGGGTAATCAATGAGGTTGGAGTAGATACAGGCTGGAATGGCACTGTACCTCCTGGTGATTATGACGAAGTTTACTAGGAGACTGGATCGTTATAAAAAGACATTTTACATAAGGAATCCATAACCATAGAGGGACGAGCGGGGTGGGAGAAAGCATGGCATTTCGAGGACAAAACTCAGTGATTGAGATACTCACACCTGTAAGGTTGAAAATGGTTCCACACAATCCAGCCCAGCGAATCATCTACAATCTGTGAAGATCTTTCTATCAATGATTGAATCTGGTCAAGGTGTCCAGTGTTAATCGTGCAATAAGTTCCATCCGCTTTCCGATTTGTGGTAGCGTCGAAGGCCCAAAAGTGAGCGACACAACCTCAACTAACGGCGAACTATCAGCTAGCCAGCATCCATTCAGAGACATATAGTACTCTGGAATATTCGGTTCGCCTCTTGATTTTTTGCTGATCGTGAGAAGGAGACGAGCAAGAACAGCAAGCTTCGAGATCATGAGTACCTCCCTGCATTAGGAAGAACTCGCCACGTTCAAGCAAATAGCGTTTCCGGTTGAATCAATCCGGGAAACCAAGCCGTGTTTACTTTGGGAGACGGGCCGCGGCTTAATTTTTGACCGCTTGACGAACTAGCTTTCACTCCTTTCTGCGGTCTTTTTTTTTTTGGTGCGGCATGATGGGTATAAAAGTGCAGACCAACGACAGAGCAGACTCACTCAACGTCGGAGTTATATATAAGCTCCAGTCAAACGTTTTGTTTGTCATTTTCTCTCGACTGGGTACAGAAGGGTTCAGCTCTCCGAAATATCAAAGGACACCGAGGAGAACGTGTCTATCTCTTACTGGAGAGTGACTATTAGTAGAGCTAATAATCTGATTTTCGAGATAGTGGAAATGATTCGATGATTACTGACCTTAAGAGAACCCTGTTTTGCCTCGGCCAAGGTGATCGGCCAGAGGAAATGGAATAGTGAGGCCAATAAACAAATTGTAAAAAAAAAAAAGGAAAGCAAAGAAAAAGAAAAAACAGGAAAATAAATAAAGTCAAGTAGTATAGTGAGGTATGATGACATTCCATAGGCCTGATAACCGATAACCGGGTCATCCTTTACTTTGTTGGGGGGGTGATCACATGCCAGTCGACTTTCAGCTCTCAACATTATTTCTTTTCCCCCTGACCTGGACTGATTCAAGTATGACTTGTACTTGTACCTTGCCGATCTACACTTCACTTTCACTGCCAGGAACCCGGTCACTGACGCAACATCTGACTCTCTGATTTGGCAACGAACACGAAACCCTATCTATCCTATCCTATTTGTCTTATCCCCTGGTCTTCGGGTTTCTGTTTCCTACTCCCCATCCCCACCCCCCTTCTTTCTAGAAGCGTTCGCTCATGGATTCTAAACACCCTTTTAACCCAGTAAAAAGAAAGGTTCCAGCGATCAGTTTAATGATTTGTGATGCCTGGATTATTCGGCTTTATGCCAACGTTGAGGCGAGATGATGCCCAGACCGAGCTGGAAGTGATCCATGGTGACGGCGCAAGCCATGTACCCGCAACGTCGGGCGCCACTCTACTTCCACGTCCGGTTGCTTCGATGATTTCTTTTGTTACCCAGTCCACCTCGCTCTCCCTTCGAGTAGGGACTTTCTTCGGGGGAGTAGCCATCAATGGGGCCAGAGCGACTACCCTGACCGGGTTGGAGCTCAGTAGAGCGGTAATTGAAGGCGTTTTGACAAGGGCTGGGCGGGATGTCGCTACCAGGAGCAGCGGGGAGCATGGGAAAGCAGAAGCGGAGTCTCTACTCGAGCGAAGTGTGAGTCCAAGATCTAGCATCTGTGTTTGCATTGGCTAATTTATCGTTCAGCTTGCCGTTCTGCACAAGTCGGTTACGTCTGCATCGTTCTTCGCAGCTGCGACGTTCCATTTCTCATCCACTACTCTTTCATCTGCCTCAAATATGTCTCAGGCTCTTCTGTCTAGTCTTGATGCATTACTCGGCTCAACCGAGTCCTCAAGGGCAATTGCTGCTATCATCACGCTTATCCGAAGAGAGTTTAGAAACCCCAGCGCTGAGACGATGACTGATGTTAATATCGACGTTGGTGACCTTCTAGTTGGCACAGTTGGTTTCGCAATGCTCCAACGTTGGGGGAGGAAAAACACGGAGAGACAGATACGTACTAACGGTGGGGATGAGGCCATTTGGGACGTTGTCATCTTAGACAATGGCGTCAGAGCAGATGTTGTTGGGATGCAGCAGATACAATTTACGAAACGGCCTCGGCGCGACTTCCAGGACGAGACAAGGCGTTCTTCTTTCATGTCCCCGGGGAATGATGAGGGGGCTTTCGATGCTGTGCAGCGTCCGGCGAGCAGGGGTGATGTGGACGAGAAACATTCCCTTTCGCTTCCTCCGGGAGGCCATCATCAGATGTCCGACGATGACATCCATTTGTATATTATGAAGCAGCTTCCACAAGGTTGCCGTGCCTCGATAAAGTCTGAGCTAGTCACTGCGCGTACCATTACAGTGGATATATATGATGACGACAGTGCAGAAATTGCTGCTCCACCTGGTACAATGGTGATTGAGGAAAGGTTCCATAATGATCAATTCCTTGGCAATGGTGGAGTATCAAGCGTTCACCAACTGCCTAAGCACACTGTTGTTTTTCGAACGGCTCTCAACAAATCCCAAAGCGCAGATGTGAGGTTATCAGCCGGAGATGATATTCCGGGCGTACATGAGATCAGTTCTGACCATGACAACCCGATTCCTACTTTCCCTCCAGGCACTGCGATTACCGACTCATCTTCTGACGCTCGACCAATTGTTGAAAATAACAATCGTGATCTACTCCAGGACAGGTCTCTACAAACCGCACAAACTGAATCACATGTCGAAGGTGGCAGGCACCGAAGTAGTGGTCATATGCCAGGGGCGGATGAACCTGATAAGAATCTCCTTGGACCAACACGGCTCACCGATATGAATACCTCTAAAAGATACCGAACAGAATCAGCTCAGACGCCCTCGAATGAAGTCGCTACTACCTCTAAAAGTTCATTCGGGAAAGGTTCTCTGACAAGGATTGCGCAGAAAGTGAAACCGGCTGGGGTTGAGAGAAGCGACCCAAGCAAGCGGCTGTCTGCGAAGTCTACCATGGTAAAGCCTAATGCATCTCATACTCACTCCACGCAACGCAGCAGGGGTGCGAAAGGTTCTACCCCGGAAAGGAAGTCACCAGTTCATAGGGCATCTACAAAATCTACTGCAGACGCAAAACTGGAGAAGGCGTCACTTCCTCCTAAGACTCGAGCTTCGTCTGTAGCAAACAGAGGCTCACTAAGGTCACCTCTACAAATCTCTCGGCTATCTGTTCCTTCTCCGACTTTACGTGGCTCTAGCGCACGGGAAGTGCCACCTGACAGGAGTCCGATGCCTGAGTTCTACGCAATACATGAGAAGAATACCGAATCGATCATGGAGCAAACGGATGCTTATTCTACAAACCAACGTCCGAGTTCTTCTGCAGGCATGAGAACACATGTTCGCAGCAGTAGTTCTATGTCGGTCACACGATCTGAGACAGACATGTCTGTATCCCTCCACGATAGACGCCCGAGCTCTTCCACTGTACACAAAAGCTCCCACTCGTTTGCCCCCAGCATATATTCCTTGGCGACGGCAGGCTCAGAGACGTCACTTATACTTGCACATCGGTCCCGTAATAGTGCATACGATGATGTGGAAACTATACAGGCCCTAAGCCGTGATGGATTTGTACCGGGAATATTCCCTCAAAAGCATTTTGTGCGAAACATTAGGCGTTTCTGTCGTTTTTCTTCGGCATCCTATGGATCGAATGCCCTCAAGGTCATGGGTGTCCCACGAACGACAAAAGCTCTACCATATCAAGAATCTGATAGTCAAGAGCACAGTGATTTCTCAGACCATACCGGCCTGCCGGCCTCCACGATCCTTCTATCATCTTTCGTCGATCCTGCAGGTGGATCAAATGCTGCTGGAGAGACGGAGACCGGTTTCCCCCTGGTTCATTACCTGTTTTTAGATCACGAATCAAAGGCCGTGGTCCTGACACTCAGGGGGACATGGGGCTTCGAAGATATCCTTACAGACATGACCTGTGACTATGATGATCTTGAATGGCAGGGAAAGAGCTGGAAAGTCCACAAGGGCATGCATGCTTCCGCACAACGACTCTTAATGGGGGGAGGTGAGAAAGTTATGATTACACTGAGAGCTGCCTTGGAGGAATTTCCGGATTACGGTGTGGTGCTATGTGGTCACTCATTGGGCGGGGGCGTTGCTGCACTCTTAGCTACGATGATATCGGAACCTACTAGCAACGGCTCGGGAACAGCATTTATGACTACTTCGTATAAAGCCACCACACAGCGTTTGACTCCAACTGGAGGTAGCGAGCACAGCCATGCAGCTTGTTTTCTTCCGTCGGGACGGCCTATACATGTCTATGCATACGGCCCGCCCGCAGCTATGTCCCCCTTTCTTCGCCGAGCAACGCGTGGGTTGATCACAACCATTGTCAACGGCCAAGACGTGGTACCCAGCCTGTCTTTGGGGATTTTGCATGACATGCATACGGTATCGGTAGCCTTTAAGAGTGATGTTTCAGGAACCAAGTCGCACGTACAAGGCCGTGTGTGGGATAGTTTGCGGCAGAGTATCATCAATAAGTTCTACGTCAACGAGCCGCCTATAGTTCAACATGCTGGCGACGGGATTGGTGAAGATGCTTGGGGTTGGAAAACGCTCAAAATGCTTAGAGAAGAAATGCTCGCGCCTAAACTCATGCCCCCGGGAGAGGTATTCGTGGTCGAGACAATGCGCGTTTTGCAGCGGGATGCTTTCACATCTGATATGAGTGAGGATGGCTCTCCACGGCTAGGTCGTCCTGCAACGAGAGTTCAACTTAAATTTATCCGAGATGTTGAGTCCGTCTTTGGAGAAATGAGATTCGGGTCGGGAATGTTCAGCGACCACAATCCAGCACGGTATGAAGCAAGTCTAGCAGCGCTCTCACGTGGGATCCTAGATGACTGATGTATCATGATTCCGTTGGCTATTTAACTTGATATGGGGGGCGACCGATCGACCAGGACTCTTCGAGTCGGCAACCCTCATGTTATTGCTCTTTTCTTGTCTTTTTTGCCGGTGTGACATGGAAGATATTTTCATTTCAGTGTTGGAAGACACTATCTATACATGCGATCTAATTTGAATATACCCCTAGCGCAATCACACTAGAAATAGAAAATAAGACTTGGATTCAAACATCTTGAGATGAAATTGTCCGGCACTTGTTGAAGGTTGATATCCCGGTTGAGTAGTCTGTGGGACAGGAATATTCTTTTGGGGGATGCACAGCATCCGCGTGGTTGTTTGGGCTATTCAATTTACCTTAAGTGATATCGTCCCCCAATGCTTACGCCTCGTTTTGCCTCAACCAGTACAGCAACCTTAGAGCTTCTGTGACCCGATATCAGTCGTGAATGCGCAAAGATCAATGAGTTGTAGAACAGAATAATGAGCGAGTGAGCGCAGTAAGCTGTTGTGCTTTTGTCGTTGCAAAACCCAACTAGTTCTGCTCGCCCATTGAAACCACTGAGGGTCGGGCGTCCTCGTTGCAACCTAGCCAATCCAGCGGCTAGGGATCGATATTCTGAAGGGATAGAGCCTAATGTATATTATCATATAATCCCCATCACGGTCTATCGTCTGCGTAAAAAGAATCGATACCAAGTTGCGCAAGGGTGGAGCGCAATTGGATCTTCCAATGGCACACTACCTCCAACTTGATTCCGTTAATATACGTCATATAATTAACCATTATGAGGCGGCTCCTTCTTGAATCCATCGAGGCCCTTCTGCTTCCTTTCCTCAATTCGAGCATCCAGGTCGCGGATCTGCCGTTCAACAAGTTCTTTCTTTGCCGCCAAATTTTGCCGCGTGCTCCGAAGAGACTCAATTCGCTCATCTATCGTAGCTTCGCGAGTTTTCTGGACCGACTATACATGCAACAAGAAGTTATTAGCTTATTGTTACAAATATGGAAGCATTGATGGTAGATAGCGCCTTATATTCATACCTGAGTAACTTCTTTTTCGGTCTTGATACCGGCGCCGTAGAGCGTTCCTGCGATGGTGATCGAGGTCACTGCAGCAGCGAGAATGAAACGCCGTGCTTTCAATGTAGAAGCCATATTTGGGAATGGAGGATGGATCTACCCTTTTTTTAGGAATGATCAAAAGAATGTATAGTTTGGGATTGTTGGAGCCGAGACGGTGAATCTCCGCTGTATTCCCCGGAGACTAAGCGGGCGGGCACCGCATCGCTCAATTTTAACCTGGCAGAATTCCTGAACACTTTCTGAGATGGTCCGTTGAATGTTGAATCCTTTGTATGGCTAGTATATCAGAGCCAACAGCTTTTCAATTTTGGTTTGAATCTGTTATAGCGGATAACTGTGGCTAGCTAATTACTTTGAGTCATTATGAATCTGGAGTACTTGATATTCGAAGAGATAGATGGGGTATAACTTTCGACCAGAGGGCCATTTTTCTGACTGCGAGGTTCGGGGTTCTCACTAGCGAGGTCTCCAATGTACCGCTTTCCACTTTAGTATCAACCGACTTTCAGCAAGAATTTTCTAATTTCGCTCTAGTGTATCGGGCCTTACCAGAAGCGGATATGAAGACGATCTAACTGAATTTAGTAATTAGCTATATATGCCTCCAGTGAGTGCCAACGAGAAGCATAATGAGCTCTGGCTCTTATACTAGTATAGGGTTGACTTCTAGTTAGATAATGGGACTATAATTCTCTCGTCCCTAATAGCTCTCGAAGAATTTACTGAACTAGCATGATAACCGCACTTTCATAGCTGTGGGTTTCAACGCTATAGTGATTCTAAGTCTTTTTGATAACTTGGATATGACCTTGAAGGTAGTGAATAAGGAAGGAAACAATCCGAATCAGTACAACAATACCAATACCATCTTCAGCCAAGTTCCAATATCCGCCATATCTTGTTGATACTCTACGAGATGCCTTTGCATGATCGAGCCAGAAAGATGCGGGGTATGTGTTGTCTCCTTGGCGAGGTCAATAGGAAGATAAGACTAATTCTATGATAGGCTACATAACGTTCTTACCTAATAGCTCTTTGGTCTGTTGGAGGCGAAGTTGACAACCTGCATCTACAACAACATTGCAACACGCCCTTTCGGAGACAACCCCCGACACCCTCGGATGTGATCCGAACCACTCGGAAGGGACGCCGTCTTTAAACCGGCGATCCCTGTTAAATTCTCTCAATACGGAGTATTATTTATGCAGCTATCTAGTCGTTCGAGCACTTCGCCCTGCCATGGCTGCCAGAACGCCCATTGGCCCTTTCCGAGCGGGTCGTTTGGCCGTGAATGCATATCGACACCAACTCAACCCCCGCTGGCTGTACCGAGCTGAATCTACTCTAAGCAAACCCAAAAATGATCTGCCACCGCATTCACTTCTGCCAAGCATGGTGTTGTGGCGATCCCTTCTGGTGGCTGCTATCTCATCCCATCCATGGCTGTTGACACCAGCGTTGAGGACCCTCTCTCTCCTAGCACATCCTCGGGTGTCTCTTCTGGATGTGGATAAAAATCCCATACTACGAGGTATCCTTAAGGAAACATTTTACAACCATTTCTGCGCCGGGGAGAATGCTGCAGAAGTTACCGGTACCATTGGCCGGATCAAGCACATGGGCTTCACAGGTGTCATCCTCACATATGCTCGAGAAATTGTGGTCGACGCTTCACCGCAACATGCCAATAATCCCACAACAGCTGAAAAGAACTCAAAGGAGCATACTGAAACGAGAAAAAGCTCTGAGATCGAAGCATGGAGACAGGGCGTTCTGGAGACGGTCGAAATGGTGTGAACTGATGACTTTTTGGCCTTGAAGTGAGTCGCTTTCCCGCTCAAGTAATTTGATTGAATACTAATATCATGCTATCAGACTCACTGGGGCAGGTCCCCAAGTCATGCATGCACTCTCCTCCTGTCAACCATTGCCAGAACAGATGAGTTTTGCTGTGCAAGATGTGTGCATTCGTGCCATTGAGCGCAATGCATGCATCTTTGTCGATGCAGAACAGCAGTCAGTCCAAGCTGGTATTGACGCAGTTGCTATAGACTTGATGCGCCGATATGATGAGAACGGCAACTCTGTGGTATATAATACTTATCAAGCCTATCTAAAGTCGACTCCTGGGACCGCCCTATCACATCTTGGCGTCGCAGAGAGGGAAGGGTTCACTCTGGGAGTGAAACTAGTCCGAGGCGCATATATCAACTCCGAGCCACGCCATCTGATTAATGACACGAACTCGAAGACGGACGAAACTTACAACGCAATTGCAGCTGGACTTTTGCGCCGTCAGTACGGCCCCTTTGGTGTTGAGAGGCAGTTCCCCTCGACAGAGCTATATCTGGCTACACATAACGAAGAAAGTGCTCTGGCAGCTGACTCATTATACAAGGAACGACGTACCACCGGGGAACCGACCACTAAGGTTCAATATGGACAATTGCTGGGAATGGCAGATGAGGTCAGTTGTCGACTGTTGCAGCTCCGTGATGACAGCAGCCAGGCGGCACGAAAAGAGTCTCCTGAAGTTTACAAATGTCTAAGTTGGGGAGCCCTGGGGGATTGTCTTTCTTACCTTCTACGCCGGGCAGTGGAGAATCGGGATGCGGTGGGGAGGACGAAGCAGGAATACCTTGCTCTCAAGGTGGAAGTCAGGCGCCGGTCGAAGAATATGTTTACGCTACGGTCATAGATGAACATTAACGCCCCTTATTCTTCTTCGTTTCTTTTCAACGTGCTACCCTATCAATGTAGTGGCTGTCGGATGATATCCGATATCTCGGCGAAAAGAACCGAAAGCACTACCCGTTAAATCAACAACCATTAAGGCATACTACTTAATAGGAGTGGGTCAGGAGGGAAGCACTACCTCAGTTCAGATTTTCTCATTCTCCAAGTCTATTTGCCCTATGCCATCCACACAACCACCTCGCTATGGTTTTACACTCCGATGGTGACTTACTTCCAGGAAGACGAGAGTATCGATTACGACAGCATCACTCAACATGTCAAAAGGTCTCTCAAAAATGACTTCGTTGGCCGAGTCACTCACAGACGCAACGGCGAGACCACCCATCTGTCACATGAAGAACGAACCCATACCATCCGCCACAATTGGTCGTGGATTCTAATGGCGTTGCCTCTGCCCTCGCGAGTGTCTTCCCGAAACTACTACATGTCGAGGTGATGTGCCTCTACCGGTCTAGAGAGCTTCAGAAGGCCCAGGAGATTCAACGCAAACCGTTGGTTGCGGACCGGGCAGTTTTAAAGCTAGGTGTGGTGTTAAGGCGGCTAGCACAAAGTGGTTTGGTTATGGAGTTGACGGCCACGTAAGTCGTTGCTTCAGGCCGATATTGGCGCTATCTAGGCGGAAATTCTAGATGCTCTTCAAGTTGTTGTGGAATTAGAGAAATAGTTAGAGTTAGCAGTGTGTATTTCTCTTATATGGTATTGATTAGGGTTTAATGGCAAACCGGAATATCTTCCGAACCCACCCCACTTTACTTATTAAGCCAACCTCAACGGCTCCAACCCCGACACCTCTTTTGGAATGCGTCGTCCATAGATATATGTATTGCCAATACTAATACTCTAGGGTTTTTATCCGATACACAAGTCGAAATGGTGGCACAAAGTCCACGGACGACTAATGCGTGAGTACCATCAAGAGCTTTTATGCACCTTCGGATGTACCTCCCAAGTCACATCCATGCAGCACAATACAGTATCATATTGACATTCTATAGGTGCGAGTCCTGTCGCCGACGTAAGGTGAAGTGCTCGGGGGATCAGCCGTGTCGCAGCTGCGCCAGGCATAACTGGGAATGTGTATTTGGCCATGTCGGTCGTAAAAGATATACCGAAGCGTAAGTCCGCTGTTCTCTATAGCAACACCTTTTTTATTGACGTCTCAGTACGTAGGCACGTAAAAAATCTGCTAGATAAGATCAGATTGTATGAAGAACAAATTAGTGCACTTTCTCAAGGTACGCGAACATCTATGTTAGAGAGCCACGGACATATAATGACATTTCACTTTCAGGACCAACAGGGCCGCAAGCTCCCTCTTCCATATCTGGCACCAGCTTTCACAATGGGTCGGCAGCTGAAGTTATACCATATCAAGATAGTGATGCTGGGGTTAGTCCAGGTAAGCTGGCGACTCATTAGCCGTTGTGACTTGGGCTGATGAGATCAGCAACCGATTTGACTCGGGGGCCCGCATTTGAATCGCAAATCAAGTCACTTCTTGATAAGAATCACCAAAGAAGCATATCGCGGCTTCCCGGATATAGAGGCTCCACCGATGTTGTAACACAATGGGTTTCGGCGAGGGCATTGATCCGCGATGATGCCGCACCGACTATCCCGTCTGTAGAGGAGTCACAGCATCTATTAGATCGGTTTCTCTTCTATCTTGGCGTTAGCCAACATTTCTTCGATCCTCGGACCTTTTCTGACAGCATGATGCTGCTTTTCCAAGATGAGGAGATGCGCGAAAGTCAGATGCGTACGACCTGGTTCACTGAATATCTACTCGTCATGGCTATGGCAAAGCTGATGGATGTAGAAGACCCTTCGTCCAAACCACCAGGTGCAAGCCTCTTTGCCGAGGCGATGAGGCGATCGCCTCCATTGCACCAACTGGGCGAAGAAGGGGTCATAGCTGTTGAGATCTTAACACTCGTAGCTACCTATCTTCAATGGTGTGATCGGAAGCATGATGCGTATCTATATGTATGGATGGTGTGAGTTGAGTCCGTACACAATGGCTAACCGGGCTCAGATTGGCCTTGCCTTACGATTAGCTATCGCCTTGGGCTGCGATAAACCAACTCGTGAACAACGCTGCCTGCCTTCAGAGGCTGCTCATCGTGTGAGGCTTTGGTGGACGGTGTATATGCTAGATCGGTAAGCTTATTTGCCTATATATGCAACAAATAACTGATTCGCGTGATGCTTTAGACGCCTTTCCTCCGGCCTTGGACTAGCTGCTGGCTCAGACGAGCGACAGCTACGCGCAGAACTACCTCGACAAGCCATCGGGTTTCAATCTCCTATTGCCCTTGCCATTAATGTCCGCATCGCCCGTGCCACGGATGAGATCATGTCATGTATGTTGACCTTTATTGAATATTTTATACTTGCAGCATCTAATAGCATATCAGCCTTGTATGGAAATGCATCCATCACTCAAATGGACCTCGTCCATAAAATCCAGAAAATTCTCCAAGATCTCTATGAAACCGGCCGTTCTTTCCCTCCGGCCCTCGTACTTGACTTTAATCGTCCTTTACATACAGTGACACGGACAGGGGCGTCGCTATATCTGATGTTATTCCAGGTTAGCTTGATTTAGACCAGCTCGTGTGGTCTAAACTAATCGTCCATCTGGCAGGCCATTATACTCTGCATTCGTCCGGTCCTTCTGCAACGAGTCCGCCGGGAAGTCCAGAGGCAAAACAGTCAACAACCACCACAGCCTGTCCCAACCGTACTAAGCTGTCTGTGTGAGACCTGTAATGAAGCAGCAACAAAAAGTCTGGATATTCTTCATGTATTGAAGCGTCAGCGGACCATACGTATGTTCTGCCCTACACCACCCTGGGCTAGTGCACTGATAATTGCACAGCGCGATATGGCTTCTTCGACCTTGACGCTACATTCTCCACTGCGTTCGTCCTAGTCATGATGGGGATCGTGGACAAATCTCAGGATCAACCGCCCCCAGCCCTAGACCAAGCATTTGGTATCCTCCAATTTCTAGCTAAAGCCGGTAACCTAGCTGCTGAGCGCCGTTTACAAGACATCACACATTCTTGTTTGCACGTCTGGCCAAATTATACGCTCGGGTCGGAGGGGCAGCGTGCCGAACAAATAGATAACGGGTCACCAAGCATGAGTAATCTACCTCCGTTCGGCCCGAGAATAAATGTAATGAATCCTCAAACAACGGCTTCGGGCATTCCTCCGGAGTATACGGCCGAGCCTGCCGGAGGTTGGGAACACGACCGGGATGAAAGCCGACTGCTGGAGACGTGGATGCACGCGGATGCCACTACTGCACTGTTCGACATGCAAGTGGACTTTGATCTAGATCTTTCGGTGGAGGCGGAGGGGATTTACTCCAGCTTCTACGACCCGTCCCTGCCTCTTACCGGTGTAGATCACTCGGACTGGCTAGTGATTGAGAAGATCTTCGATACACAGAATGAGCTATAGGCCTTGGTTTTTTATTCCTTTTTGTACAACTGTATCAGTCTTGTACGTAAAAACATTCTGATCCATGCACATAGCCAACAAGCCCGAATCTTCCCCAATACCGGTACAACATGAACAAAAGCGATCCTATTCCCACACCTATACCTCATTTAAGGGATACGCCACCTCATCCGCCAACTGAAAATCCTACTTGATGCTTCTAATACTCGTAAACCGCGACAGCAAATTAGTACTCGTAGCCTTATCATTCGTCCCACTCGCCCTCGAACCTCCAAAAGGCTGATGCCCAACAACAGCCCCGCTGCTCTTGCAATTGATGTAAAAGTTGCCCGCCGAATGCCTCAAAGTCTTCTCTGCAAGCTCAATAGCCCACCTATCCCTCGCAAAACCTGCCCCCGTCAACCCAAACTTCGCCCCCGAATCCACAAGCCTAAGCGTTTCCTCAAACTCCCCATCCGGAAACACATACACTGCAAGAATCGGCCCAAAGAACCCCTCTTTCATGAGTGAATGTTTCATATCCTCCGCCTGGAAAATAGTCCGCTGCACAAACCATCCCTCCTCGCGATTCGTCTCCCCTCCCGCCAAAACCGTCACCGACGGATCCCTCTTCGAATTCTGAATAACCTTATCCAGCTTCACCCATGCCTGTTCATGAATAACCGGCCCAACAAAGTTCTCAAACCCCTCCACACCCCCCATCTTCAACCTCTCCGTCTCAGCCACCAACTGCCCCTTGGAACTCCCCCTACACAGACTCGGCCACATAACCCTTGATGTCGCCGAGCACTTCTGTCCTTGATAATCGAACGCCCCGCGCACAGTATTCACAACCGCATTCCTTACATCCGCACTCCCATGTACAACCCAAAATACTTGCCCCCCGTCTCGCCCACAATCCGCGGATAACTATAGTACCGGCCCTCCCGGACCCCGTCCGAAATTTGCCCGTACAGGTCCCGGAATACTTCCGTCGAGCCCGTATAATGCAGCCCCACGAACTGTGGATGCTGTAGAATGGCTTCGGTCACCGTCTTCGGATCTCCGGGGACAAACTGGATGACGTTGGCTGGTAGACCTGCTTCCTCGAGGATCTTCATCTGCAGGTAGTTGGAGTAGAGGGCGTAGTTGGAGGGTTTCCAGATTACGACGTTGCCCATTAGGGCCGGGGCGGCGATGAGGTTCGCTGGGATGGCAGTGAAGTTGAAGGGGCTGATGGCGTAGACGAGGCCTTCTAGGGGGCGGTATTCTGTTCGGCTGTATAGTACATCCATTTAGCATCTAGCATAATAGCGTATACCTGTCAATGGGGGATTGATGTCCACGATAGGCGGGGGGCGTGGGGAGAAAGGGTATCCAGAGACCTGCGTCATTCATGGTATTCTGCTGCTAGTAGAGTTCTGAGGCGTACTGCATGTTGAAGCGGTAGAAGTCGCATGTTTCGGCCGCGGAGTCGATCTCGGCTTGCCAGATGTTTTTGCCCTGGTCGAGCATGGTGGCGGCCATTAAGTCATAGCGGTATTTGGTGGAGATTAGTTCTGCGGCGCGGAGAAAGATGGAGGCTCGGTTGGTGAAGGACATGTTTTCTCAGGTGGGTTTCGCGGCGAGGGCTTTTTCAGTGGCGGTATTGATCTAGGGGGTTATAGCTTGGGTGTAGATTACTATTGTTTGGATGTGGGTTGGAGATGCTATGGATCAGGACTTGGACATTGAAGCGCTACATCGAGCCTCTCGTTTTGTATCTGAAGATCGACCTTAAGCTGTATATATCGGCTCTAGGAACCGAAGTATCCACACCTTCGGTTCAGCATCCGATTGTGGTTGCAGGGCAGGAGGACCCCAGAGCGCACATATTTGTGCTCTTTGGATCAATCGATATCGATTTCAGTCGCACAATGGCTTCGGAACTGAAAGCGAGCGTACCCATTGTGACGAGGTGGAGAGAGAATGTTAAGGATCTCACTGCGGGAGCGGCTGGTGGTGTCGCTCAGGTTTTGATCGGTGATTAACAACTACACTCAGAATGATGAATAGAGAGGGCCAACAGTGCCTAGGCCAACCATTCGGTATGCGTGCAGTGAAGAAAACCTACAACAGGTTAGTCTAATATAATTCATCAGATTTGGTTAAAGTCCGGCTACAAACACAAGATGGGGGCAATGCTTTGTCGACCGCTCGCAACATCTGGGCGAAAGAAGGGCCGTTGGCGTTTTATAATGTATGGTTTCTTCTCGGAGCTTTATGAAGTTGGCTAGCAGCTTGATAGGGCTCTCTCATGCCATTATTAGGCATTGGAGCATGCGTATGCTAGTATATAATCCTCCACCTCAGCATACCTAACTAAATTACTCCAGGTCAGCGTCCAATTTAGCTCCTTCCACAGCTTCCGACAAGACATCGAGTCCCACAACAGAGATAACCACCCAGAACACACCCCAACCCTATCCCTAACCCAATTTTACCTCGCCGGCGCAGGAGCCGGAGTAGCCACCAGCATCCTATCTGGCCCAGTAGAACACATTCGCATCCGTCTCCAAACACAACCCCACGGCACCGCAGGAATCTACAACGGACCCTGGGACTGCACTCGAAAGATCATCCGGACAGCCGAAATCCCCGGCATCTACCGCGGCCAGGCAGTAACCCTCCTCCGGGAAATTCACAGCTACAGAGTATAGTTCGCGGCGTACGAAGGCCTAATGGGAATAGCCATGTCCTAGCAGCAAAAGAAACGCGAAGAGTTCCCTAACTGGCAAATTGCCTTATGTGGAGGCCTTGCCGGTGAGGCGCTCTGGTTATTGAGCCATCCATTGGATGTGATCAAGAGCAAGATGCAGAGCGATGGATTTGGGCCCGACAAAAAATACCGCAACGTGCAAGGCGCTTTTCGGCAAACTTGGGTCACGGGGGGTGTTAGGGGACTGTTTTACGGTCTCGGACCGGCTCTTCTTCGAGCTATGCCTGTGAGCGCGGGCACTTTTGCTACGTAAGTAGGAGTACATAATGCCGAAGTGTATCCGATGGCTTGCTGACTAGTGGTTTAATAGAGTAGAGGTTGTTCGGAAGTTGTTGGGTTAGTTAGGTTGGAGGCAATGTGGGCAGCGTATCCATTTCAGGTGGTTGAGCCAATTGACTCCATTAATGTTAGCCGAAGATTGAGCCTAGTAACATATATATATATATTATTTAACCTGCATCCGGATGACGCTTTCGGAGTTTACCGTCTTTTAGATGCCTCGGTGTGTGCTCCATATCCCGATGTAGGAAGAAATATATTAACCGAGCACGGCCGGCTGTGGGGTTGCAGACCCTCGAAACGGTAAAGATATTGCGAGAGACTCGGGTAGCTCGAAGCCATCAGGATCGGGTACATGCAGAGTGACTTATACGGACGGAAAATTTATGTGAGGTCCCGCCGGGCCTAGTTTCTGTGGGGTTTTCGGTCTGGGACTGAGGAGATGGCAAATTAACACGCGGGACCCCCGGACAATTCAACTCTCTCCCCAGCCTTGGATCCTAGCAATGTCGACAAGTACGGAGTACGATCAGCGTCTCCCTGACCAGTATGTATTGTCATACGTTATATCCCTGTACAGAACTTGAGTAGAGACATCTTTGGGAACATTCGGGTAAACCGTGCCCCAAGCCCTATATTCGCCCAGTATTATGTACGCATGCCCAGTTTGCTGTAGTCGTACGATCGAGCAAACTCAATCACACACTGGTGATGCAATGGGCTAAAAGTATTCTTGTCTACATCCAGGAATTTTCCCTAGCGCGTGGGGTGAATTGCCATAGATTACTTGGCGTTCTGCATACTTGACTAGTATATTAGGGCAAGGGTCCCGTCCATGAACATGAGATCAGGTTCCGCCAAAGGTGCTTCGCTTGACAACTCGCAAGATGCTCATCTCAAAAACCCTGCTGGGTGGAATTGCCTTGGGGGCGTCCGTTGTTGGTGTTTCCAGTGCACAAAATTCCACTCGTTGGCCGTTGCATGACAATGGCTTGACAGACATCGTAGAATGGTAGGCCCAAGTAACTGGTGAACGCAAGGCCGTTCGTTCTGACACTTTGGGTACACAGGGATCGCTACAGTTTTTTGATTAATGGCCAGAGACATTTTGTCTTTTCTGGAGAGGCATGCTACCCCGGTTCCCTGCGTTTTTGCTTCGTTCAACGCACTAACATCATATAGTTCCATTATTGGCGACTCCCTGTGTAAGGTGCGAGTTCCACCATGTCTACGCTTCATCTAATGAATTCACCAGACCAGAATTATGGAAAGATCTACTCGAAAAGATCAAAGCCGCAGGGTAAGCAAATCCCGAATTTCTCAAAACCGGTGCACAAAACACTAAGGCGGAATTCAATAGCTTTACTGCCTTCTCCATTTACAATCACTGGGAGTACCACAACCCCAAGCCCGGCGTTCTCGACTTCGAGAGTGGTGCCCACAACTTCACCTCAATCATGACACTAGCTAAAGAGATCGGTCTCTACCTAATCATTCGACCAGGACCATACGTCAATGCCGAATCTAACGCGGGCGGCCTCGCCCTGTGGGCAACCACAGGCGCCTACGGAAAGCTCAGGGATAATGACCTTCGGTATCTGGATGCTTTGACCCCGTACTGGGCCAATGTCTCTGAGATCATTGCCCCTCATCTTATCACTAACGGCGGAAATATCATCCTATACCAGGTCGAGAATGAGTACGCTGAGCAGTGGAGCGATTTTGAAAACAGGGAGCCCAACAATTCTGGCGAGGAATACATGCAGTATTTGCAGGACGTTGCTCGGGAAAATGGCATCGATGCTCCTCTGTTCCATAACCTTCCGAACATGGTAGGGCGATACCCCTGACTAGCTGGAAATAGCGACTCTTTCGCTGATATATCTCAGAATGGTTATTCGTGGTCCAAGGATGTGTCCAACAATACCGGAAATGTCGATGTCATTGGTGTGGATAGTTATCCAACTTGCTGGACCTGCAATGTCAGTGAGTGTCTCGACACAAATGGAGAGTATATCCCATATGTAAGTTGTGCTCTTGTCTTTCTTTAGGATTCCATGCTGATTTATCCTAGAAAACTTTGCTATACTATGAGTAGGTGCCATACATTGGTTTGGATGAGTTGATACTGACTTGCGCTGGAATAAGCTTCTTCAAGAACCTATCGCCGTGAGTTTGCCATAACCCTAAAAGGTGACGTGTTTTAACCCATACCACAGTACTCAGCCAAGCTTCATGCCCGAGTTCCAAGGAGGGTCGTACAACCCATGGGGTGGGCCTCAAGGTGGTTGCCCAGATGATCTTGGCCCGGATTTCGCAAACCTCTTCTACCGAAACCTGATCTACCAGAAAGTCAGTGCCATCTCGCTGTACATGCTGTATGGTGGTACAAACTGGGGATGGCTTGCTGCACCAGATGTCGGTAAGTCATCTCTAAGTGCAGCTTGTGCCACGGTTATGAGGTACTGATGAACCTAGCGACGAGCTATGACTACTCCTCTCCGATTTCAGAGAACCGACTACTCGTTGAGAAGTACTATGAAACCAAAGTATTAACTCAATTTACAAGAAGTATGTCCTTCATGTCCGAGATGTGGAAGCTCGCCAAGCTAACTTCAGGGTAAAGTTGCCCAGGATTTGTCCAAGGTCGATCGTGTAGGCAACGTAAGGGGAAGACAACAAGATTGTAGAACGGACAAAGCTAACCAGGGTTGATAGAGCACGAAATACTCGAGCAACCCAGCGGTTTCAGTCTCCGAGCTGCGGAACCCTGACACTAATGCGGCTTTCTACGTAACTCAGCACGAGTACACACCATCCGGAACGGTTGAAAAGTTCACCGTTAAGGTCAAGACATCTGACGGTGCTCGTATGTACTTACCTTCATATGAAAGAATATACCCATACCTTACTGCGATGGCCCCTTACTGAGTCTATTTGATAAGTCACTATCCCGCAATACGGAACGCAGATCACTCTCAACGGCCATCAATCCAAGATCATCGTCACGGACTTCAAGTTCGGCACAAAGACGCTCCTTTACTCGACTGCAGAGGTCCTTACATATGCTCTCATTGACGACAAAGAAGTGCTAGCCCTCTGGGTACCCACAGGCGAATCGGGAGAGTTCGTCGTCAAGGGTGTGAATACGGCCAAGTTCGTTAACAAGGGCTCTTCCGCGAATGTTAAAATCCATCCCGGAGCAGACAATGTGACGGTATCTTTCATGCAGAGATCAGGTCTGAGCTTGGTTGAGCTCGGTGATGGGGCACGCATTGCCCTTCTCGACCGGTCCGCAGCTCATGTGTTTTGGTCTCCTTCGCTCAACAATGACCCTGCCGAGGCCGGCAACAACACTGGTAAACTCACAGCCCGTAAAATGTTGATCCCATCACTTACACATTTCAGTCCTTGTCCACGGCCCTTACTTGGTTCGCTCGGCTAGGCTCGAAGGCTGTGACCTGCAACTCACTGGCGACATTCAGAACTCCGTAAAGGTCAGCATCTTTGCGCCCAAGTCGGTGTGCTCTGTCAATTGGAATGGCAAGAAGACATCAGTCGAGTCTGCAAAGGGTGGTATCCTGACCACAAATTTGGAAGGCGCTGCTAGGTTCGAACTTCCCGCAATCTCCGGATGGAAGTCAGCGGACAGTCTTCCTGAAATAGCGAGGGATTATTCTACAACAAGCAAGGCTTGGATCGGTATGTTGCCTCCCCAGCTATAAAACTATCCCATCAGCTAACAAAAGACCAGCGGCTACGAACACAAATACATCAAATCCTATCCTTCCAGCACCAAATAACCCAGTTCTCTACGTGGACGACTACCACATCCACACTGGCAACCACATTTACCGCGCCACGTTCCCCACCACCGATGAGCCACCAACCGAAGTCTATCTCAACATCACCGGAGGCCGGGCATTCGGCTTCTCCGCCTGGCTCAACTCAGAATTCATCGGATCCTGGCTCGGTATCCCTGGGATCGGGCAGGGAGAACAGACATTCTCATTCTCCAATGCAACACTCAGCACCGACGCAGACAATGTCCTAGTCATCGTCATGGACAATTCAGGACATGACATGCGCGATGGTGCCATCAACCCCCGGGGTATCCAAAACGCCACCCTCATAGGCCCCGGAAGCTACTCCTTCACCGAGTGGAAGCTCGCTGGCAACGCAGGCTTCGAGAACCACCTCGATCAGATCCGCGCTCCCCTCAACGAGGGCAGCCTGTACGCCGAGCGAGTCGGTATCCATCTCCCTGGGTATCCCTTTGACGAGGCCGAAGAGCTGCCTTCCGACAGCATAAGCCTGACCGTCCCCGGCGCTGGTATCCGCGTCTTCCGTACTGTGGTTCCCCTGCTGGTGCCCTCCGGACTGGATGTCTCCATCTCCTTCCGCCTGACTGCACCCTCAAATGTGACTTTTAAATCTGCAAAGGGATACACAAACCAGCTGCGTGCCCTGCTTTTTGTCAATGGATACCAATTTGGCCGCTTCAACCCATACATCGGTCATCAGATTGACTTCCCTGTTCCTCCGGGTATTCTTGATTATAAGGGAGATAACACGATTGCGGTGACCGTGTGGAGTCAGAGTGCGGATGGCGCCGAGATGAAGGTTGAGTGGAATGTGGACTATGTCCATGAGACCGGCTTCGATATGAACTTTGACGGGACGTACCTGAGACCTGGATGGATTGAGGAGAGGCGTGACTGGGCTTGAAGTGCTACATAATACGATTTTGGGAGACTAAGGTTCCAGAATGAACCATCAATCAAGATAGTGCATTGCGTAAGGTATCTAACAGTATGAGAGCATCATGCATAGTAGAAGTAGTAGTTGTGATGGTAGAATAGATGACAACCTAATTAGGTTAGGGGAACGACCCGCGTCCCAAAGAGGAAAGTCCAGATAGGAGGGGAACTGCCACGCGCGACCGCTTAACCCGATGGTTAGATTGATTGATTAGCGGCGCGTCGCGTCACTTACTGATATCACATTGAGACTGCGATAAATGCGCCGGTGAAGCCGCCTGTGGCCTTCAACCATGCCTTCCTTACCGATAGTTCCGCGCCGCCGACAGCGGAGCGAGGAAGAGGAGAGCAACGGATCGTCAACTGCCCAAGAAAACCCCACGCCCGCGTCAAACAGCAGCAAACGTATCCGTCTCGATCCCAACCAGACCAGTGACGATGAGCAAGACACTGAAGATATCTCTAGTGATGAAGGTGGTGATGATGACCGCATTGTAAATGGCGCTTCAAAGGTGGCGAAGATGGCGAAACGTCGAATCAGTCAGAATGGAAGCCAGAATGGAGCACCGCAAGAGGTGTACAAACCCGGCGCCATCGTGCGCATCAAAGTCATTGATTTCGTGACTTATACGTCGGCTGAGTTCTTTCCCGGTCCGAAACTGAATATGGTGATTGGACCCAACGGAACGGGGAAGAGTACTCTTGTCTGTGCGATATGTCTGGGACTTGGGTGGGGGCCGGTGGTATGTTGAGATATCCCTTTAGTTCAAGTCAATCTCGAACTTTAGCTGGGCTATGGGAGCTGCTGCTAATTAGAGTTCTCGTTCTTATAGCATTTAGGCCGTGCCAAAGATGCCGGCGAGTTTGTGAAGCACGGATGCAGAGAAGCTACAATCGAGATTGAGCTCGCAGGAGGAGCCCGGTTTCGTCAAAATCCGGTTGTGTCTCGAACAATCAAACGTGATGGCAACAAAAGCTCGTTCACCCTGAATGGGAAGCCCGTATCGCGCAACCAGGTGTTGAAGCTCGCGCAGTCATTCTCCATCCAAATCGACAACCTATGTCAGTTCCTTCCGCAGGACAAAGTCAGCGAGTTTGCGGCTCTTACGCCCATCGAGCTCCTCAGCTCCACACAAAGAGCTGCAGCCGGGCCGGAAATGGAAGAATGGCACAATGACCTGAAAAAGCTGCGAGCCGAACAGAAGAAATTACAAACAGATAATAAAGGCGACAAGGATCTACTGGCTAATCTCGAAAACAGGCAAGAAATGCAAAGGGCTGACGTTGAAAGGGTGCGACAAAGAGCCCAGATCAAGAGGAAGATCGAGATGCTGGAGCTAGTTCGCCCCGTCACGAAGTACAAGGAGATGCACGCCAATTTTAATCAAATGAAAAGAAAGAAGGATGAGATTTCTCGTGAGCTTGAAACTCTCAAGGCTGAGCTAGAACCCGCTCTGAGAGCAGTAAATGCGAAACAACAATACTGTTTACAAATAGAGGATGTCATCAAGTATAAAAAGGCGCGCATCGACGAAGCAGAACGCACAGCTTCAAATCTAGGGAAAAAGATCGAGCAACATGAAGACTCAATAAAAGATCTAGACCGCCAAATCGAGTCTGAGAGGAAGAGCTATGGCCATTCTAAAGAGGAACAAACGAAAGTTCAGCAAAGCATCAACAAACTCAACCGCCAATTTAACGAAGAGGTCATTGAGTTCGATGCTCATTGGTACAATGAACAGATCGTAAGTGGGTACCAAACTATGGCAAAGACACACGCTTATTTGTACTACAGAAAGAGAAGCGGCTAAAGTTTCGGGAAATTGAAGAAAAGGCAAACAAAATTAAAGAGGATCGAAGGCCATTGTTCGAAGCACTCAAAGAGAAAACCCGCAAAATCGAGCAATCGGAACAACACATGAAAAGACTGGAATCTCAGGCTGGACGACAGGAGGAAAAGCTGAAGGCTATCTCACTTGACTCCTACAAGGCTTACGAATGGATTCAGCGGAATCAGCACAAATTCGAAAAGGAAGTTTTCGGTCCTCCCATTGTCACATGCTCTGTGAAAGATCCTAGGTATGCCGACGCTATTGAATCTCTGTTGCAAAAGACAGATTTCACCACTTTCACTGTGCAGAGTCGCAACGATTTCAGGTTGCTTCAGAAGGAACTGAATCTCGGGATGGGACTACACGACATCAGCATCAGGACTAGTTCTATTCCCCTAGACAGATTTCCCTGTCCTATTTCTGGCGACGAGATCCGAAATCTTGGGTTCGATGGTTGGGCGAAAGATCTTCTCAACGGACCAGAACCGGTGATCGCCGCACTATGTAGCGAGAATCGGCTGCACCAAACACCTATCAGCCTTCGAGGCATCACGGATGAAGAATATAGCAAGATAGAAAGGGGGTCGTTAACCTCCTGGGTGGCCGGGAAGCAAAGCTACCAGATTATTCGGCGAAAAGAATATGGCCCCAATGCGTCTTCCACCCGTGTGAGACAAGTGAAGCAGGCGAGAGTTTGGACATCCCAGCCAGTGGACGCATCGGCGAAGCAGGATTTGGTTCGAAATATCCAAATTCTCAAAGACGAAGTGCAAGAAATACAAGAAAAAGTAGATGCGGATAGAGCTCAACTGACCCAGCTCGGTCAGGAGCATTCGGAATGCAACGATAGGCGGGTACGATCAAAATTCGTGTTTATTGCGTCTTGACAAATTCTGACTTTACTTTGCAGATTGAACTTGAGCGGGAGAAGTCCGAAAGGCAAACTGCTTTTACAAATTACAGAGCTATCCCCGAGAAAATTCGTATGTTTCTGGCCCCTCTCTTATGGCCTTTTTCTTACGCTTCTGACACTGCATATTAGGCCAGCAGGAACTCCGGTTGAGAGACATACAGAGGATATTCCAAGAATTCAAGGCAAGGGTTCGTGACATTCGCAGTCAACAAGACCAGTTAGCACTCCAGAAAGCCGAAGCAACGCTTGAATATGCTGTATGTACCCCATATCAATTTCATGTCTCACTACTGACACCCGGCAGAATGCGGTTGAGCACCTCCGAATGCGCCACGAGGATCTGATAAAGTTAAAAGTCCGTCATGTTGAGGGGATCTCTGACCTAGAAACATTGAAGGAACGCAATACAGATCACAGGGACAGGTTGGAAGCTAAGATTAAAGAGCTAAAAGAGGCGCAGCACGAAATAAAAGCCACATCAGAAGTCGTTAAAAAACTATTCAAGGAGGCAGAAAAGGTTGTACAAGCCTCCACCACCCAGCCTGACCTGGCAGACTTGCTCCCCACTTTGGTGAATCATACTGTCGACCAACTTGAGGCAGATATTGATTCGGAGAAAGCCCGCCTGGAGCTCACGCACGGAGGAAGTAACAACTTGATTAAAGAATTTGAGGAACGTGAACGGCAGATACAAAAGCTGCGTGGAAAGCTTTCTGAGTTTGAGAACCAACTTGCAGAGTACGACCACGCCATCAATGAGATTCGCGGGAACTGGGAGCCCAGGCTTGACGAGATAGTGAAAAACATCAGCGACGCTTTCTCTGATTCATTTTCTCGCATTGGATGTGCCGGCCAGGTCACATTAGACAAAGCAGAAGATGAAGCAGGCCCCAACGGCGAACCCGGTGGCACCGATTTCGACCAGTGGTCCATCCAGATCCACGTCAAGTTCAGAGAGAACGAGAATCTCTCCCTCCTCGATTCTCATCGGCAGTCAGGCGGAGAAAGAGCCGTCAGCACCATCTTTTATCTCATGGCTCTCCAATCGCTCTCCGCCTCCCCATTCCGCGTAGTCGACGAGATCAACCAGGGTATGGACCCACGGAATGAGCGCATGGTCCATGGACGCCTGGTAGACATTGCTTGTGCGCCCTCTGAAAACGGAGGCGGTGGCCAATACTTCCTCATCACGCCCAAACTGCTCAGCGGACTCGTCTACAAGCCGGGCATGAGAGTCCTCTGCATCTACAGCGGTGAGCACATGCCCGAAGACTACGGGAAGCTTGACTTCCGCCAAGCCATTCAGAAAATGAGAGCCATCAAAGATCGAGAGAAGGGCAAGGGGAGGGCCATCGAAGCTGGCACACAAAGTAACGGCCATGTCGACGTCTACGCTTGATTTACTTTACTATCTATACTTGGGAATAACTCTGTTTTGTGATACCTCTTTCGTTATTATTCCATGTCACGTCCTGGGTTAAAGCTTGAAGGCCATGCCTGATCCAATCTGTACATAGTTCAACTGTCAAATCAGACAATAAAACAACTCCGTCCACGTAACCCCGGGCAAACCAAACCCAACTCTGGCATTTCTTCAGCGAAAAGCTTAAATCTCAACCACGCAATGCTGTCGTCCCATCCAACATGCCATTTACTACTAGGCGGAAGATGGTAGCAATAGGCGAGAGTCGGAGTCTGGGAGTTTGGTACCGCATCGTGGGTGATTCTGGATTCGGTGAGAACCATAACTTTTGTCCATGTCGGGGGTTTCCCTGGTAAGGATGCGTTGTTTAATGGAAGGTTAATTATTTCCATGGTAGGCGGTAAAGGAATAGCTATTTCTAGGGCTTGATATGTTGTTTGACGGAGTACTTAGCGTCTAGGGTTATATCGTTTGAGTAATGACTTTGGTTAGAATGGGTAGATTATGCATGTACTTAGTACTAGTAGGGACTGAGTTGGGAGATGGATTGGTTATGTAAGTAAGGTGTTTTAAGTTCCAAACCATTCATACTTATAAATATTAATACACAGTCCATGATGATATGGACAACATACACAATCGAATTAAGGTATTACAGAAAAAGGTATTACAGGTACAAAAAGCACGCAAGTTATTCGGGACTCAAAATATACAATTCTGTCTCAAGGTCATGTCACATCACTAAAACAAAGGAAAATGACACAAAAGAAACACGTAACAACAATAAGGGAAGACGAACTCCGACAAATGCCTGAGACACCCCTGTTCAAGTTCGTTTTTCTTCCCAAGACCCGTAGAAAACCGGGTTTTCCATCGACGCCTGGTTAATACCAAATCCCAAACCTAATCCTTCCAACAAACCCGTCCATATAATATATACATGAGGTGAGAAGAGAAGGAAAAACAAAAAAAAGTGTATGTATATAAGTTCCTGTCCCAGACACCTGTGCCTTAAACCCCTAAGCCCGGGTAGAAAGTAATAAATCACACGCATAAAAGGGTATCATCGAATCAGAAGGTGCTGCAGGATAGATGTATGGACCTGGAGAGATACTCTTTCTCTCTCCCTTTTTTTTATTTCTTTTTTCTCTTTATTTCCTTAGTTCTCTTGGAATGCGATGTTTTTATACCATGGCGGTGGCGACCGGGCGGCCGGTGTGGCAGCCACGTTCATGACGCTTCATGTTGCTCCGTACGCTGAAGGCCTTGCCGCAGCCGGCGTGAGTGCAGCGGAATGGCTTCTCGCCGGTGTGGCTATGAGAGTGGATGCGGAGGCTTGATGGTCTGGAGAATGCCTTGTGGCATGTGCGGCAGATGTACCGGTCGTGATTCTGTTGATAGGGTGCTGAGCTGGAGGGAGGGAAGTAGTGGTGGTGCTGCCAGGCCGGAGTGACGGGTGTGATCATCTGCTGGTGAGCGGCAGACGGAGGCAGAGGAGCAGCGGACGCGGCGGGCACCGGGGCCGCGCTCTGGTAGGTAGCGGAAGAAGGTCTCTGGTAGTACATGGTGGATGGTGCGGAGGGCTCAGTTGGCGACGAGTAGGAAACCACGCTAGGAGCCGGAGAAGCGTAAGGAGCAGCAGACACGTGTTGGACCGAGCCCTGGCTGGAGATAGAGGATCTGTCGGACGGGGTGGGCAATGTCACGGGAAGTTGCGAGTATGACTCGACCTTGACGGCCTTGCCGCTGCTGACGGACGAAGCCGAGGGGGAATGATTGCTGCTGTGGAAGCCCGATCCAGGGCGCAAAGGTGGCGTGGGAGGGCCGTTCGAGATAGAATCATAAGTCGACCGGATCTCCGACTCTCTACGCGGGGACGGACTAGTTTTTTGACGCTCTGCGCCGGGAGACAGTCAGTCAATGTTCTCGTGGGGCTTGCGCTTGGTGCGCAATGGGTTCACAGGGCGTCATACTTGTAGCACATGTTGATGCGCTATCTGCGCTTTCCAAGAGGGCCGAGATAGAAGGGAGAGAGCACTTGGGCTGGTCCTCAACTGGCGGGGAAAGAGGGGGTTGCGGGGCGCGCGAGTAAGAGAAGTACGAGTCCGTCGACGGGCGCTTGTATGAACCCGCCGAGCTGGGAGGGGGACTGTACGAGGCCCGAGACTTGTAGACGGGCTCAAGTCCCGGAGTGATGAGGCTGGCGAGATCCATGACGGAAGGATGACTGGAGTAGCGAGAGTCGGGGAGAGCTGAGGTGTAGAATGGAAAAGGATGGGAAGAGAAGTTGGGGGTAGAAAACGTGGCTACAGGCGAACCATATATGATTGAGCAAAGACCGGTAGAACGGATCAGACCCAATGCGTGTTCCAGGTACGAGTGGGGAGCAATTGGATTTCTTGGGAACCAGGGGAGGGGCGGATGTTTATAGATGGAGATGGAGATGTGCTGGTTCTGGTGGGGAAATGAAGCCTTGATAATAAAATTATGAGAAAAGAGAGAGACGATCAACCGAAATGTTTAATTATAGAGTGACGGACATCCTCCGTTTTGATCAGAAAAATTGGCGAGATGCCGATGCGAACCTCTCTTTTTTTATATAATTAATTTTTTTTTTTTTTTGCTCTCTCTCCTGAGAAAAAATAAAATAAAATATGTCTACCAATAACCATTAGAAAATTGATACTGATGAGGATTAACCTAAAGGATTTCCCTGTTGAGCGGTAGTATATCATGGGAGAGGGGGAAAGAAAAAATAAAAAATAAAAGAAAAGAAAAAGAAAATTCGAAAAAATAAATAAATATTAAAATAAAATAAAATAAAGAAAACCATGGATTCGTATTACCATACGTGTACGGCGTTATGGAATTTCCCCTAGTGCGCAGTGGGAATTTCATCATCCAGTATGCAATTTACTTCCCTCCGTCTCGAAGCTTAATTAATGGCCAGTGGCCCGGTACCCTTTTTTCTATTTTTCATCCAGAAAAAAAAAATGAGAATAAAATTCGGTACGGTATGGTAACGGCTAGCGATGATTGACCATTAGCATAGATCGTTTTGGGTAGATTCAACGAGAGTCTAAAAAAACGTGTACATCTCCGCTGTCCGCCCCAGAACAGGATGTGGGTAATGTCCGTGATGATTTAGAGACAAGGACCACTGGTCCGAATGGATTGGAATTTCGTTGTTACGAAGGGACTGGATATCTTTCATATAGATTGATTTTAATTTTTTGGCTTCGTTAAATATTTTTTAATATGTGCTATCATGTTCCCCCCCCCCTCCATTTGGAATATGCATCTTTCTTTGAAGCTGTTCCCGAGGGAATGGTACGCTATTTTCCAAATCTCCAGGTGGTACAAAACAAAAATAAATATATAAAAAGGGAAACAAAAAGGAAAACAATTTTTCCAAGGTCACATTGCGACTCTACTCCTGAATCAAATCCCACGCGAGTTGTCGTACGTACACAGATCAACGGGACTTGCCTTCGGGGGGCTCGGCTACAGCAAGTCTACCACACTAGTGCAGATCCACGGACACCTTTCCTTCATTCATCAATCAATCATGGGGAAATGACATCCACCCTTGGCTGCCTTCCTTTCCATTCCTCGGTACCAATAGTTCCCTTCTATCCTTGTTTATCTGAGTATATTGAAAAACCACCAAAACTAAGACCAGTGTAATTTCTATTTAAAATCACTGTTATTAATCAAAATATGCGATGGTCTGATTGAAATCTTTGTTTCCTTTCCCCAGCCGATCGTTCGGAAGTGGATCAGACTGTTTTCTTCCTGGACTGCTCAGTGGTTTTACCTGTCAGAACGATCCCATGCCCCATAAACGGTTGATCGTTGCCGCACGACATTGATTTGTCGAGGCGGACAAGAACCTGTACTCGTCTTCCAACAATAATTGACAGGCCTGTAGATCGTCTGTTTCCCCCCTGGGTCCTCATCGGTCGATAGGTTAGGATAGTGTAGGGTAGTACTGAACTGGTCATACGGTAGTATCATATATCCCTCTGTTAAGGGGAGACCTCGCCCAGGATGCATGTATAGGTAGGTATGTATGTCATTTTTTGGTGTACTGTCCCAAGCGCCCTATGAGAATCAACCACTAGTTAAGCATCATGCATTATTATTATTATTACTTTTTTTTTCTTCCATGTTGATTTGTTATAATATGGTTTCTCCCATCCAGTTCAGTTCTCAATCCATATCCCGATGACAAGGGGTCATCGCTATGATCCTCCATCTATCTATCGAACATACCATCGTTTCAATAACATCCCAATTAGGTCGTTCTTCCCGCATCAACCGAAGATATTCCATGTTTCTTAAAACGCCTCCCTTTTTTCTCTTCCCCTTTCACCATGGGATAAAGCCGAAATCAAGGAATTAAAAAATACAAACCAAGGAAAAAATAAATAAGAAAAAATACCATCCGGTCGCTCGGATGGGTAATGACTCCGTTAACCAAGCCCTTGGGGCCGGATGACGGGCTGGCTGGCAGCTTCAATCCTTTCCCCTAACATGGTCAAGCCCGAATGCAGGCTAGGCTCCGACCAGAATAATTTCTGCTGGGCTCCGTGAATCCTTCGCTTGGGGGCCAAGGGATTTTAGTGGCATGGAGAAACCGGAGATTATCGTGGCGTTGACAGCCAACGAGAAAGAATCATTCATCGATCAAAGCAAAGTTTAAAAAAAGAAATAGTTCCATGCGATGTGAAGCCCTATATGTCTATCCTATACACTATCCTGTTGATCGACTCAGTGACTATTCTATCAAAGGATATTTGTCCGTGTTCTAGACGCAGATTATGGGATTTCACGGAATCCCGTCATTTTTTGATCGCTATCTGTTTTAGTGAGACTTGGGTTTTACTGGATTTTCATTGGCACAATCGTGTAAGTATGATCAGAAAGGCTGGTTGGTTGCAGGATGCAGGATTGATCCAGCCAACGAGAAGGGGCAAAACATGATAGAAGGATGCATTCTCCGTGCATATTGCAAGTGCATGCATGAATGTATTACCATGTACTCATCAGATGAGATGAAGAAAAAATTCTCCCCCCGTGAGTGATCTGTCCGGCCTGCAGGCTGGAATGCGTCTCTTGGACTCGGGCCCGATTTGACTGGTCATGGCGAATGACATCAACAACACACAAGTTTCAAGATGGGAAGTATGTAGTCTGGAATGCCAGGGAAAGGAACCAAAACACCAGATCTAGATTGATTCCCACCCGGCTTACAACCCTCATCAAAGCCTGACGATGGATGGGCGTATGTATCTACCTCTCCACCATTCCAAGGATGAGACCCGAAAACTATGCAACAGGTCTCAGACCATCGGATTGGGATTCCCCACGTAAGAAACACCATACAGACGTCCATCCTCAATTTCCCTTTCCATGAGGATCGACTGTCAGATCACGGGTCCGAGACAGCTGATGCGACAAAGCTTCCATGGAGTGATCACTGTCTGGACTCAGCCCAACCATGGTTCAATATCGGCTTGGCTTTTCTACCGGTTCGCTGTGTGCACGAGATGCCTCGGTCAGATTCCGCCACAAACCCGAAAGGGCTATGGAGACGACATGGGGCTAAAGGATGATCATCAGTGCATCAGTAATCTTGGGAACTAAGACTTCTGGAAGCGAGATCGTAAAATGTTTGTCCCTTTCTATTTGGTTTCTTTTTGTTTAAAAATTTTCTTGTTAATACACGATTCATAAGTTATACATCCCGAAGTGTATTTTTGGGAGGTATCTTTGTTTCTTGCTTCTCTTTGTTCGATGTGAATCCCGGAACTATCACTTTTCCGGGTGCTAAGCGAAAGGTTCTTTTTTTGTTTTTGTCTATCTCATTTTTGGCTTTCTTTTTATTTTATGTTCTTTTTAAAGGAGCGGGCGCATTTCATCTTTATTTTCATTCTATTCCCCTCGGATGATCATCAGATACTAGTCGGCGGATCCTCCCGCCGACGTACTTACTTCTTTCGGGAAATATGTACGAAGTTGCTGCACACTTGCCAATGAGGTAAGGGAGTAGTAGTGTTCCCGTTGCCAGTGTGTTTGCATGTAAAGTAACATCATTTCTACTTGTACTCGGGTACAGTACATCCATTTCCCAGTCAACAAAATCCCATGGGACAAGACAAACCCCGACAAATCACTAGCTTCGATCTCTGTACGACCACAAGAGGTATGACAAGTATAAAAAAAGAAAGAAAGAGAGACAAAAAGAAATCCCAAACATAAAATAGAAATAATGAACAGCATAGGAACGGTGACACAAACCCAAGACGATCTAACCCAAGTCAAAAAGAAACCTCCACCATCCCTAAACAGGCAAAAGGGCAGAAAGGAAGGTTGACGCTGAATAAGAGATTATAAATCCGAGGGGAAATCCCAGTTGGATTGGAGCAGAGACCCATGTCCATGTGTTTTTTGCCCCAGTGCTCCCAAACTTTAATAAACGAAGTTCGGGTAAAATGTCTCGTGGACTAGACTAGAAAGAAACACGGAAATAATATGAACTGAGGGGCCTTATTGCTCAGGTTGGTAAGAGCTCCATCTGTCATCATCGCTTCCATGTTTATCTGGTACTAGTCCATAGTACCTTACGACGCTCTTGTATCTCTTAGATTAAAATCTTAATATATGGCTTCCAGGCAACTGGATTTCCCACGTTCAACCCGGCCGTTTATCCAGGATGGGCTTGGTAACGGGCCTTAACGCTAGGCCTTGGGACCTTCAATAGTTGATTCCCAGGCTCGTGGGAATCATGCTGCAGGGATAATGACAACATGTGTTTCGGTGTTCTCTTCGTCGGTTACGGCGTAGAACCATGTACATAGCTAACTAGCTAGTAGAGCTATCTCACCTCCCCATCAACTTGTTTTAGCTATTGGCTATTGGAGTTGCTTCGTCAGCTTGGATGTCATGCTCACCGAGAGACTCAATCAGAGTTGCCCTCAGGCGGTGCACCTTTACGTGAGTTTCATGATCCACGGCGCTTCCGTGAACCTGCTGATGATCTTCCTCGGATCGGTGGGCGATCATCGACTTACGAGCTTGGGACTGTGCGAGGTTCCAGAACAGGAGAGAACAACGACCAGGAGGATGGGCCTGGCTTCGCTTATACGCGAATCCTTGACCTTTTCGGTTGCCCATCCGCTTATACTTAGTACCAATTAGGGGTCCATGGGCCGCATACGAGGTTGCCCCTTCGCCCTCTGTCTGGGCGCTCATTACTAAAAACACATGATCCTCGTAACTATATCCCGTACTTAATTTACCATACTTCCGTAGGTCCGTATATTCCGTACGCCAATCTTCATCGCAACTTCAAAGAACCAAAAGTATCAAATCACGCTTAACCCAAACTCAAGTCTCAAGACAAAACCCAAAACTTCAACCCTAACCTTGTTCTTTCCAAAGGAACCACCACCACACCCCTTTATCCCAAAAGGGAAAGACGAACAGACTGAAACTCACTTGAACTACCTTTTTCCCCCGTGCCCTGGGATTAACCTTGTTGCTACGTCTCAGCCCTGAAACTGAGTAAGCGGGACAATGTAAAGTAAACTGTATACAGATTCCTGTTCGCTCTTTTTATTTCGCTTCACCGATCGCGAACAGGGAAGGAACACGGAACACAAAAATAAGGGGTAAGGTTAGATTAAAAGAAAGGTTTAAAAGTGTTGGGTGATCGACTGCGCATCGCGGATTATCACCGAGAGTGATACAGCGCTTCTTTTTGCCGTCATGGCCATGAGGGTAACCGTAGTATGTGGGATGGATGTAATCCGTACAGTGCTTACTGTAGGTAGGATGTGCATCCCGCGTTGTGGTACGCTTTCCCGTATTGCCTCGCAAAAGCCACGCAATGAACTTCGCTCTGACCCTTCCAAAAATCTGGCGCGCGTTTGGCTCCTGACTCAAACTTACTGTGTCAGCCTTGGTTAGATGTGGATTCTAATTCCGTCGAGTATACTCCGGAGTATCTACGAAGTAGTACCTACGACAAATGATTCTCTACTGAAGCTTTCTCCGAGGAGATATAATTGCATCCTGCAACGTCACATAGTTAAGACAAGAAATCTCTCTCTCTCTCTCTCTCTCTCTCTCTCTCTGTGTGTGTGTGTGTGTGTGTGTCAGCAATAATGGTGTCTCTTCTCCTAGTGGGGTCTGGGTGGGTTGTTGTACCACCAGAGTAACAAAGTTACAAGACACGCAAAAATGAAACCATGACCCGGAAAACCCTTTTCCCGCCCTTCCGACCGGACAGATTCCGAAGATAAACTTGATAAAGATTGACACTGATGTGCGCTGATCGTCCAACGCTTCCCAACGTCCGCAGCTTTGACCGCCAAATAGTCCCGGATGAACTACTGCAACCCGCTTAGCACAGGTGCTAAGCGTCAATCGCTCAGAAAATAATAATAGCATCGCACTTGTTTAGGCCAAGGTCGTTCCTTTTAGATAATGAGACTAATAGATGGTGTGACTATTGACAGGTCGTGGCAATGGTGGTTACATCATGCTTCAAATAGTTATGTTAGAGGGAAAAAAGCACGCTGAATCAGCGGCTGATCTATTGCTTTTTACCAATATTGAGACCAGAAAAAACGAGGCAATCCGGTCACCGTTTGGATTTCCAAAAAAAGAAAGAGAAGAAATTGTAAAGTCAAAAATAAATAAAAATAAAATAAAAAGGGACGCGCGACCGTGCGACTTGTAACTTAGAGCTTATTGCCAAAACAGGTCACAGCCGTGACGAAGATCGATGGACGGGCGGGTAGAAGCGACGAAAGTCGTCGATCATATACTTAAAACGAGAAGCTTCTCAAGTTTCAGTCTTAAGGCGGAAGGCGGGAGTTGGTGCCTTGAGACCTGAGGCATTGTCCGCGAGGCGAACGGGTGGTGGTTGACCAGTTAGTTCAATGAGTATGGATCAGATCAATCTGTGCACAGCCATCTTCTTGTCTTCACCTATATTTTTGTTCCCTTTGTTGTTGCTTCCGGCCATCGCGGGCTCGGGTTAGGCTTTCCCTTTATGCTCCTTCTCGTAAAAATAACCGATGTTGCACAGGGGCCGAGAGACACATGGTGGCGGTTCCCCTCCCTTGACGATGATTTTCTTGACTAGGTGCCCTATGCAGATGAAATGCAAAATGACGTCTTCTGTACAACCTGACGGGTATACTGATCACATCAGGGTTTTTCTTTTTTTTTCCTTGTGTCCACTTGCCAGGTCTCATGTAGGTACTGGCTGTTGACAGGTGTCTCGCGAGGGTTGATCGTGATCTGGAACAGGCTATCAGAATAGTCAACGTCAGTACCATCATTCCTGAAGATAATTAACAACGGAATGAAGGATGGACGGCCTGTCTAGAACATCACTTCTATCCAATTGGCATGTCGGTTAATCAAGTTATCGGTGTAGATCATCATCAGGGAAGCTCTTTGCCTTGATTTGGTTCGTGGGGAACAAGAAGAAGCAGGAACCAGGCAGCCAGGCAACCAGGGGCTGAGCGCATCTTATCCATACATCACACACGCTTTTAAATTTTTTTTTAAAAAAAAATAAATAAATAAAAAATTCTCTATTATTTTCCCCTACCGTGATTTACAGCCGTGTGATTTTTTCTTTTTCTTTTCTGAAGTGTCCCGCGCCTCGGTGTTTGGATTGTTTGACTTGAAGCTAGGAACAAGTGACCCCCTGACACGACAAGCCGTCCCCTTTGTCGTCTTTAACGAGAACTGCTGGAGCGGGCGTCAGACGATCCAAACCTCTTCGGGGCTAGGGAGGTCTTAGCGTCCCTGCTGGAGTCTGGACCCTTGCAACTTCACGTGGCAGACGTCGGCTCCGCTGCAGCATCGCTCGGCCCTTCCCGAGTTTGGCACCAAAGCCGATGCAACTACCTTAGCGCGACAGCCCACCCTGGTTACGTTACAGCGGAATGAGCCGCTTACCTTGCCTGAATTACCAGTGTAATTTTCACCTTTTTGGCCTTTTCCAACCAGGTGGCTTGTCGCACCGGGGCGTAATATGATAAATACCGACATTCGATGATCTGATCCTATGCTAATGAGAGGCTTAGACGCCAGAAGAAAGAGGAAAAATAATACGATCGCAACCCTCATAAGTAAGGCCTGGCCTCATCATAAAGCATAATAAAGATAGAAAAAAGTGGTGGTACGGGTAGCCCGTAATTTAAACCCGGTTAGCTTTCCCACTTTCTGGCGATCATTCATACATAGAATTAGAAATCCACCATGCCATGATATGCGATGCCGAAGAGTCAACTCAAGCCATTGAATCCAGACCACTTAACGCACATTGCTACTGCCAAATCCCAAGTCCACTTAATTAATTAACCAAGACCAGGGGACAAAGGGACCGTCCCGAAAACTATCATCGTTTCAATCTCCCCCTTCATCTCCATCAGTACTCCAGTATCAAGCTCCATAAAACATGATATTATAATCACCCACACGAGTCATGGCAATGGCCACGGTCATAGTACATACGTACATTCATACCGTCCCGCCAAACCGGTCCCGATATCACAATTTAGAAAACCTAGAGCTATGTAGAATTAACGATCACCCCGCCGTAATCCCAGCCTCAATACCAGACCCATCCCAACCACGGCATTACCCTCGATAGTATCCATATCGGCCGCACGCAGGAAAGCAACACACGAGCGCTCAATAATGCGCCTTCCATAGTTTCGCATATAATATTCAGGACTTGCGAACTACTTTACCTAGAATATACTCGGCTATCGCCAAAATCTAAGACATATACTGTTTGTAATCACACACTATCGATCTAACTATTACCTTTCCCCTTAACTTACTCCCAGTAAGCGTTACTGCCGGAAATAATCCTGAAATCACGGACTTAACTTCCCCACCTAGAGCGGGGAAGGAAAGCGAAGTGTGAAGTTTGAACCCGATTTTCGCCCGGCAGCGAGCGGCCGAAACCCTCATTTCCTATTCGGTCCAGAAACACGGTTGGGTTAGGTTATCGGGTTGGGTGGTTGGAAAGGGGCGGTACAGTGGGTACTGGCTTTTGGAGTTCGGAGTTTGTTTAGGTCTCGCTTGGTAGGTTCCGAGGGTCTTTTTCAATTGTTTCTTTATTTTTTTTTTGTTCTTTTGTTTGGGAGTTTGTTTATGAACATTTTTTGTTTTTTTGTGTTTGTATTGGTTGGTTGTTCATGGTTCGGGATGGGGATGTAATATCTGTGAGACGCGGTTTTGCCCTTTCATTAGGGAACGAGTCAGTTCGGATGATTACTCATACTTTTGTACAATGTGGGTGCGTTGGTGTTATGGTACTGTGTGTATCATATACCCAGTGTGGTATAGTGGCAGGACACGTCAATCGAAAGCTAAACTGCCACGCTTTGGTGAATAATCGCTACCAAGGTTGAGGGTTGGATTGTAATCACATTATTACCGGGGGGGATGGTTTTTCCCATTCCTTGTACTAATATGGGAAAGATCGAGCGGATATTGTAGGGGAACATATTTGTGTAATGACAGCCCCTTTCAAGATCCGGTTTTCGATATTCAATAATGACATTATGATACATAGGTGAATGTTGATCGGAATGAGAATCAAGGACATTCTTCTGGTCATAGCTTTTCTGCCCCATACCAGACGTAGTCTTAGCCTTCGGCGATGCCGAGGTATGAAAGTTTAATCATACGCTTAGTCAATAAAGGGATAGACCATTTTTGATAATATGGTGGTGGGGAGACGATACCGCTTCAGGATTAGTGTTCCCTCCAGAGGGCCGGAGGGGAGTAATATCCGACACGGTGACAACGAGAACTTCAGGGACATGTTGAGGCTCCGTGGAAATCAATAGTCGGAAATGTAATCGTTAGTATGTCTTATGTGGTAAAAAGGTATCATTGGGGGCTTTGCCCCTAATCACTTCCTACGTCGCATCCCCAGCGTAGTATACACGCTGCAACATAGTCCCCATAGGGATCGTATCGATTACTCAAGCGAGTCAAGCGTCATTGGACAAAAAAGCACCGACAAGCAGATCTCCGGCGTGGCAGCGGGCCCTTACCTAGCTGGGTTTAGTGATGCGTCATGCTCGACCCAGCAAACTACACCGGAAACAGATTCGTGGCCGAAAGGCTGGGTCGACTTGGTAACTTTGGTAATCTGGTTGGGGTTTTTCTTTTTCAACTGATTTTAATTTAATATATTCCTTTTCATCTTTTTGTTTACTGCAACGAGAAGGACAGACGACCCGAGCCCCACGCTAGGATCGACACGGGACTTTCCCCTGCTTTTAATTTTAGTCTGTGGCACTGGTTCGTAGTTATTCGGTGTGTACATCATTCAGCGTATTTCGGCTGGCTTTGTTCGGCGTTAATCTACTATACTTTGAAGAGGTCTGATATTCTTCATTCCTTCAGGATGGGTTATTGAGGTCGAGAGTGGCCTGGGGAATGGGGGCTGGAATCCTCCCAACATGGATTAGAGTTGACTTAGGTTCTGGTGTAGAAAGTTTTACAACCATGAATAAAGGGAAATTACACAACTATAGTAGCAACAATTGAGATCTACAATAGATGGAGGGTAGATACGAGATCACACTGGGAACTAGGAGAATATCAAACATCCATGACGTGGCTATAGCTCACCCAGACCTTTTGAAATGCATGCAGACACGTTTTAAGAACTTCATTACATCTACCCTACATCACAAGACTGCATCACCGGATGATCTGATCCAATGAACTGGCTGTCATAGCCACCGATCCCCCTTCATCTTGCATGACAACTGCCGAATGCTCAGGTTGGCCACCAAGCAGCATCTGTCGGCATAAAGGGGAGCAAAAAGGCAAAAAAAAAAAAGGGAAAAAAAGGAAACAAGGCAACCTGACCAATAATCCACGTCTGGCGCTTTGGTTCCTTACCGTCCCTATCTCGAATAAGATGCATTGGATCGTCGCTTTTGCAGTGTGATGGAGTGCGCATGTGGCTGTTTCAGGATTACCACTCCGACGAGCTATCACCAGCATAGCATCAATTTGAATGGGTCCGTCTGTTTCTTTGTTTATTGTATCGGGTGGTATCGCATGGATATCATTGTCCGTGGTGCCACTATATACGAGACTATTCAGATATTGCTGACAAGAGCATGGATACTGCTATATTTGACGTCTTACGCTCCGTTCGACTTCCCCTTACCATGTGGCCTAGTGGAAAATACCCGCCAGGGATATCTAGGCGCCGGTTACATACGGTCAACCTATGCGCTTGAACGGCGTGGAGCACTCGGTGGAAGAAGGATTCCATTGCCTGCATTGGCGCAAGGTCCGTGAGCGAGTAGATGTGGGAGTCATAGCCCGGTACCTCTCTCCTGTAAACAGTAAAGCTTATGTTCAAGATGTATGAATGTATGTACATTCACTGCGCCAGGTCACAGAAAGTCACGCTCGTCGTTAGTCCACAGCACACATCAGACAATGGTTAGCAGATCTGACAGCGTGGGGTTGCAATCCATCTCGCCGGGCGCAACCATAGAGGAAAGAGTCGAGTCACAGTGATGTTCAGCGAGATTGCTAGGCCGCTAATACCTCGTGCTAAACCTTCGTTGATCACCTAGAGTTAGTGTAGTGGGTTTCGTTACTCGGCCGTTGGGATTCTTGTCTAAGACAGAGTCAAATTTAGTGTCATTCCTAACTGGGTGCGGCGCATGAGATCAGTCGCAATGAGTTGGGCACTATATGCAGGGTCATATTGATATTGGATTAAGATTTCACTCTGTACCACGAACGAGTGGATGAATCATTCCTGCGTATATGGGCCCATTCTCTTAGGTCTTTACGATGGTACCTAGATGATGAAGTCAGCCAGGGCGCGAAAGCAGCGAGTGTAAGAAGTGCAGATCCTAGAATAGGACTAGTTCTGACCACTAACTAGGCTGTTGCCTCCAAATAGTTTTAGTGGGATTCTAGTTCTGTTCTAGTCTGTGGGAAGATCAAAAAAAGAAAATCTCCTACTAGGGTGAGCAAGTCCCAATCTCGCATGCAATGCACATCACCTGGTCAAGTTAAGTATCATGGCCAAACGCTCACCGACCTCTTCCGCGGGGTTGGGTCATTAGTACCAGGAATTATGAGAATTACCAGAGGAAAGGATCACTATTTCCCAACCCCGGGCTCGAGCTCGCAAGTGATTGGAGCAGTTACCACCAAAACCATCCAGCCGCTATGACAGATCATCCGCTGCTGCGACCCTATGATAAATCATCAAGGATATTGCATCCACCACAACAAACCCCTGGGATGGAGGCCGAAATGAATAGCGGCCCTCCTGCTTTCTGTCCATCTTCGAATAGCATCTGTAGGCGTTACTGCTGGTCGATTATGGTGGGTAGGATAGGACTTCCTACGAAAAGCATGAGGAGCAAGAGCAGTAGGGTAAGGTCAGAGGGGCGCCTATGCATGTGGAGATCATGCAAGTATTGACCCCTCTCTTTCATCGTCTTCTCGTTACCCCCCACCTCGGGTGAAAATAGTGTCAAGGAGGCGAAAGTTGGGCAGAACTGGAGACTGTCTTCCCCTCCACGTGAAGTTTGATACCCTCCCAAGGCTACGGATCTCGGAGCTCTCTGCTCCCCAGGGACGGGACTGGTGTGTTGACTCGAAACTGAGATGAATGAATGAAGGCATCATGAAATCATCATCAAACCATATGGTTTCCCAACGGTATTCTTAGTTTTGTCGTGCTCGCAAATTTTCGCACCAATCAAGCCTCCATCCCCGCACACCCGATCAAGACGACGGCCATGTCGATCGGAATCGGCTGCAACGAATAAGACTTGCGTCGCGTAGTTAGGGAAATTAACCCAAACAAGACCACACACGACGCATGCAAGAGACTGGACTCGACCCGAACCCGATTCAACTGGAGCCAAAGTAGTCGTGGCAATTTGAATAGAGTTGCGAGTGAGGCACTGACTCAAGTCTCCCACTCAAACCTTGAGAAACTAAATTGCGGTGGCCACACTTGACAACAAATATCGCCTATTCGACATGCCCCATCGGACTGCCCGGTTTGATTGGCATGTAAAACCTCCGAGGGAATAGGCCATGCATGTTTTTCCCATGTTTGATCCGCAACGGAATTGTCCGATAATCTGCGATCAGGCTAGGAAAATCACGAAGCGTAGTCAGGTCATCCAATGGTCATGTTGTCGATCATAATGGTCTTCGATCTACCGGAGTATACCACTTCATGCCTCTTGTTTAATGGACCGCTGCCCTTTTTTTTATTTATTATTTAGCCTTTCGGCTTTTCTCTTTTGATCGACCATTGCCTTAGTCTCATCTATACTATAAATCCCAACCGGGTGGCAGGCTGGCTGGACATCTGCATTCGTTAGTAAATCAGTGTGATCTCTCGACAAAAGCAGCACACCGAAAGTAAGAAAACAGGGCGAAAAAGAAAAAAATTCCACCAAGCATATCCACTAAGAGAGGATGTGGAGGAAAGAGCAAAACCGGATGATCTTTGTTTCCACCGCAATGCAGGAAGGCCTCATATCATCCCGTGATTCTTGATAATTTGTTAATAATACCGAGACATTATAGCCCTTCAGCCCCATATGCATGGCCTCATTTTCTTGTCACACCCTCACTCAGCCGCCGTCGGGTTGTCTGAGCTCTCCAAACACATGGATCCCTAAAGCAACCTGTTCGTGAGGTATTTTTTTTTCTTAAGTTCGCTCTGGGCTAAGTCTTGGTAAGCACGGACAATGACAATGTACGTATGTATGTACCATGGGAGGCACAAGCCCACTGACAGACACGAGAGTCACATTGACTTGTCGCCTTAGAAAACTATCGCACTAACAATCTGCGGCTCGGATCGCTTTCGGACGGAGAGTGATGTGGTGTGACACGTAGGAAAACATCCCAGAGGATCGGTTTGCGATGTGTTATCGTCTATCATGTGCCCGTATTGTAATCTTTTTCCCTCTCTTTTGAACCTATGTGTATATTGCCCCTTTAGGGGTTTGAATTCAGCCGGATGGATTGTCTTGTTTTGTCTTGTCTTGTCATTCATGTACTAACGGGCCTTGTGACACGGCCAAGCTCTGTCTCTCTTGTAGCTTACTTGGCTCTCTTCAATATAGTGGCTTGGTTGCCGGGGTTTTCGTGCCTCGGCTATTGCTTTCTTGTCCTTGTGGAATCGCATAGCTTATGATTCTGAAGAAGGCGTTGTTTCGAGAAGAAGCCAGTATGGTATGCATATCATTATATCAATATTACCTTCGATAGACGTAAAGAACTTTACTTGCGGCTTATATTCAGTCATATATATCTCCGAAGTATCAAACAAAAATGTCAACAAACACATGGAGCGAGACATATTTACCATGAGTTTATATCAAATTGGACACCAACCCCAAAACTTGTATCAGCAACAACATATAGATATAAATATGCAACCACTCTAAGTATATAACTTGTATATGGATGAATTTTGTATAAATCCTGCGTGAAATCGTCAATCGTCATATTTACCTGGCCGCGTCCAACGCTACCTGTCCCGTCAATATCAAGACTAAGCCTCCAAATCCAACCTCTCCAGGATCCTGTCGAGTTTATCCATCAGGATTTGGTAGTTCATCGCATCCTTATCGAACTCGTCCACAGCAATCTCTCCGTTCAAGTTCCGGATGACATGGCTGTGGTCCTGCTCTTTCAGAGAAGGCCGGTCTGTATCATCCGCGTGTTTCACCCCGTCCACAGGGCCCTTGCCTGCAAGGTCGATAGTCTCGATGCCATTTGTAACCTTTTCAACACCCTCAACAGCAGCAGCTGCGTCGGCGATATGCTGCTGAGCCTGCTCCTCTTCCATCATCTCCTCGAGGCCAGCATCGTCGAACCTTAACCTAAATCGCTCACCTAAATAAAAACGAATATCGTCTAGTAACTCGATAGAATCGGTTTCCTGTCTCCCCTGGATACGCGATGCGGACTCTTGAATCAATTCGGCAAACTCCGGCGAATCGATGTGAGCTTCTAGCCGGTAAGCAAAAAAGCGAGCCGCGAACTCCTCTAGTCGTTGAACCCGCGTCATCCACGCAGCTCGAATTATGGCGTATATGTCCAGATCATCTTCTTCCTTAGTGCCCCGAGTTTTCGCAGCTTCGACCTGTGACATGTTACCGCTACCAAGAGTGCTGATCACAACTGCTGCCTTAGTTTTAAGTTTCTCTATAAATAGCATATCTGCTGCGAACAGAACATCAACCGCAACTTCAAGAGGGAAATCGACCCTTTCGGTATAAATAAATGTAAGGATGATCTCCAACACGTCTGGGGAGCAGTCGACATTGATGATATGTAGATAATCTTTTATATGCGCCTCACGAAACGGAGATGAAAACATGGTATGGAAGAATTCAGACCTCAGTAGCATCGCACGGTGGCAGGGAAATAGGACCGACTTCTGTGTTTGCTCTTTCGAAGAGGCCTTGGTATCGTCTTCTGGTCGAGAGGTACCGTTGCTATATCCATCCGTATCCTCAGGAAGCTCATCAGCCTGAAGCAAGACATCCGCGAAAAGAGTGTTGTTGCGATCCCATTTGACCTCGTGAGCCTTCGATGTTTCGACCACCAACTTGTTCTTAAGGACATTACTTCGGAACCAATCCTCTAGTTGGTCTCTTCCCTTCGCCAACTCCGTGGTCCTCCTCTGTCTGGCTAATCTGCGGTCACCACTTTCAAGGATACTATCCACAAGAGTGTCAATCTCCAAATGTTTGGCAATTCTATCGATACCAGCGAAGACCTCTGATTCAGTAAAGCCCGTGCCGGGACCACTCCTTAGTTCACGGGGAGCTTCCCCGAAGTATAAATACTTGATCGCCGCTGTAAAAGCCTGCGGCGGTATTGTGCTGGGAAGCTTCCATGTTGCGGTATCAGGAGCAGCTGCCAACTTGTTATGGAAATAAGGTGATCGCGCAGAGAGTATGAACTTGTGTAAGTACAGAGACTCATCCTCGGCAGTCACAACAATATCGGACGTCCCAGGGTGGTCACGGGTGAGAAGGGAAGAGATGTGAGCCGCAAGAGGTTGAAGAGGATCTGTTGATTTCGAGTAGTCATATTCAAGCAACAAATTCCGGATGCGGTCATTAAGTGCATTATACAAGCATCTATACAGGATTGTACGTCAGCGGCACCCGCAGTTTGGGGGCAATCGCATGGGCTTACCTCTCCCCCTGGAAAGTATCACGCTCACACAATGCACCAGACTCAAGGAGCAGTTGAGCAACCTCATAATGACCACAGAGACTTGCCTATAAAATTCTTAGCTATGAAGTCCATACCTCGCCTCCACACAGCATAGTACGCATGGTGTAGGACGGGGTTGCCGGGGAGAACCTATGCAAGTCGAGACCACTTACCAGGATCAAGGGGGTGTAGTCATAGGGATCGCGAGCATTGATGTTGACTCCTTCTGTGATCTTCTCTTGACAAACTTTAAGATCCCCCTTACGACAAGCATTGCAGAGCTCCCGAAACGGCTCGCTAAGATCGAGAGGGTTGTCGTCCTTTATCGTTCCCTCCTGTATCAGTTTCTTTTCATTGTGTAAACTGATCTCCAATTGATCCTTTCGAAGCACATTCCGCTCAGCCATTGCGAGTGAGTCTTGACCCGATAATGTCTGGAGATATTGAATGCCGCGGAGAGCGGGAGTGTATCGGTTGATGGCATCATCTTATCGATAAGACATGATCACGTGGGATATCTAATCGCCACATAGGAGAGGAGTCGTCGAAAGGGGGAGTCATCCGCTTCTAGTCCTTGCAGAATCCAACGCCAGGATCCAGAGTTGTAGGACAATAAATCCATATTTAGCCCACCAAGCACAGGATGGTCACTTCCAAATGCATTCCGGTGACAGATTCAACAAGACTGATACGGATAACTAACAACAATGGCGGTGATGATGCGAATGACTTCTCACCGCCCTTGCCTTACCGCCTGCTAGATGAAGGCAAGATCAATTGCGCACGCCGTTGCTTAGCAACAGTGCTTCAACTAAACATTCACGGCCTGCGTCCCGTTTCATGCATGTCTACTTCTTTAAATCTACCAATTTTACTCCATGTCCAGAGCCGACCTTGTCGTCTACTAACCAAACAGGTTCAAGGAAACAGCATCAACTCGTAAATGAGCTCTGATCATTCATCCTTTTCCTTCAAGCCACCTATTCGTCCCTAACTTTTTTCCCTGAGTGCTTCCCAGTGGCATAAGCTCCTCGGTAGCCACAATGGCCATTGCATTGGCGGAAGCAGACAAGTATGATGTGCTAGAGAAGATTGGTAAGACATACATACCTGTCTACCTCTGATACTTGGTCGAGGGTCTCTGACTGTGTTCAGGTTGTGGTTCCTTTGGCATTATTCGCAAAGTCAGGAGGAAAACAGATGGATTTGTAGGTTAACTGAACCCCTCAATATGCTATACGAATACTTACGAAAGTCAATCTAGATTCTATGTCGCAAGGAGATCAACTACATCAAAATGTCCCAGAAGGAGCGCGAACAACTCACAGCCGAATTCAATATTCTGAGCTCTCTCCGACACCCGAACATTGTCGCTTACTACCACCGCGAACATCTGAAGGCGAGCCAGGACCTTTATCTATACATGGAATACTGTGGTGGCGGTGATCTCAGCATGGTCATCAAAAATTTGAAAAAGACGAACAAATATGCGGAAGAGGAATTTGTTTGGCGTATTTTATCCCAGTTAGTCACTGCGCTTTACCGTTGCCACTACGGTGCGGACCCGGCAGATGTAGGCTCAAACATTCTGGGGCCTGCCCCGAAACCATCAGGCCTTAAGGGAAAGCAGGCTCAGATGACGATCTTGCATCGCGATTTGAAGCCGGAGAATATCTTCCTGGGTCATGATAACACAGTCAAACTGGGAGACTTTGGCCTCTCTAAGCTAATGAATTCTCATGACTTTGCGTCAACGTATGTCGGCACTCCTTTTTACATGTCGCCTGAGATATGCGCCGCAGAAAAATATACCCTGCGCTCTGATATCTGGGCTGTTGGCTGTATCATGTACGAACTTTGCCAGAGGGAGCCCCCTTTCAATGCGAGGACTCACATTCAGCTCGTTCAACGAATTCGTGAAGGCAAATACGCCCCGTTGCCTGACTTCTACTCGCCTGAACTGAAAAATGTCATTGCCAGTTGTTTACGGGTAAACCCAGATCATCGCCCCGACACCACCGCCTTGATTAACCTCCCGATCATCCGCTTGATGAGGAAGGAAAAAGAAGTCGTCGACCTTGGCAAGACCCTTCGAAAGCGTGAAGAGGCAGCTCTGCAGAAGGCCAAAGAAGTCGAGCAGACATTTGCGAAACTTGAAAAGGAGAGGCAGCAAATGAAGACCGAACTTGAAAGCTCTCTCCGTCGGGAGTGGGAGGTAAAAGCTAGGCTAGAGATTGACCGCCAGGTGCAGAACGAAATCGATAAACTTCGCAAGAGATTTGAGGCCGAGGTTCATGATAGGGTGGCGATCGAACTTGAGAAGCAGAAGAAAAATCACAACATAAGAGACGATGCTGGCCTTCGCTCAAGCCGCCATGGCTCTCGTTCCTCTACTAGCAACGGAGATGACACCGACTTTCCTTCCACTACGGACATTAGTCTATTGTCAATTGAATCACCCGTGCATAAGCCATTGAGAAGAGAGACTCGTACCCCTTTCAATCGCTCAAAAACGGTTGCCGATTCGCCAGTTGATGTGCAAATGGCTGAGCCGTCCCCAATCTCAATTGCATCCCTTTCCCTATCTCCCCGTCGCACTTCAGCCACCTCTTCTGGTAAGAACATCTTTGCAGAAGCAGAGAGACAGCGGGCCAAATGGGAACCCACCTTGGCGTACTCCGATGATGAAGATGATGCTCCAGATCTCCCTTCACCTACCCGGCCTAAAGTCAAACCTGATCCTTTCAAAGCTCCATCTCGCCCGCTCCTTCGCCAGAACACAGCCGCACTTATGCAAAAACTCAGCACACAACCTCCACTTTTTCCAAGCAATCCGTCAAGACTGCCGCAAGCGTCAGGATCTGGTCAAACTGATACCCGTCATGGAGAGCCCAAAGCTAGATCTCCTCACCGACGCCTATCAAAGATACCGTCATCCGCGAACTTGGCTGCTGATGCTGGATCTCCAACCCGCAAATCTGGCTTGAAACAGCACCCTGCAAGGAACAGCGGTGGTGGAGAGGAGATGTTTAAAGCAGTGATGCAGCGTAACATGGGTGGCAGAACACTCGTCGAACTTGCTCAAGCCCGAGCTGGAGGCCGCCCTGTGGAAGATCTCAAGCGATGTGCCAGTGACTCCCGCACTTCGAACTGCTCTTCTGGGCTAAAATCTTCAGATCGTGATCCGCCAGCAGTGTGGGATCCCGAGAAGGATGAAATGCCTAGCCCTTTCCTTGCGCGTGGTCGAAAGGCCATTCGTAACTTACGGTGATGGCATCGACTACTATTAATAGTCCGTGCTTGGCTCATTGCGCCTTAGATTAGCACTTCATTTCTACACAATTGGTCGATTTTGTTGACTTTCACTGGTTGATCCGTGAAAACAACTGCATTTGCATGAGACATCTCTCTTTTTCATACGCTTTAATACTTGCAAGTCATATGGAGTTCTGGTTGGGTCACGTGCATTCTCATGCACAAAGTTGACCATTTTGGGCCTTTGTGCACTTCTCCTGCTGCACTATTTTAACACTACTTCCGACCTGTTTATCCTTTCCTTTGTTATTACGCCGTGATGTCCTTGTTTCTTTGGTTCCCTCCCTTACTACTAGGGATAATGTACAGATATTTGCATTCGCTAGCCGGCTTTTGGTTTCCGCATTGGTTTGGTGCCTTTGGGTCCGAGGATCTCTAACACTCATCTCGAAAACTTGGATGCTTGTTCTTAGACAGCTTTACTGTCCTTGGAGACATTCCAACTTCTGACACTCGTTCGGACTGTACATCATTTTCCTTTTGTCTTCTCTTTCCTGGGTGTTCGGTGGGTGGCAGTTTACCTAAAGGCTTATTGGGTTTAAGGCGTATTAATGGAAGGTTTCTTGTATGTACATACAGATTTTTGTTATTTCTTCTGAGAAGCCCTGCGGTAGCAGCGGAATACCTATCTCAAATTCTCTTTTGAAAAGATGTTACGCAACGAGTGAGGCCTGGTCTTGTCTAGTGTACCTTAGATATCCGAATCATGACCACGCGCTGCAAAACCTCGAACGCTTCATAAAGAACTGGTTATTATCATTATACACTGTCGTACATATCACGCCTCCTCATCTTCAACGTCCTCGATCTGTACTGATCTGAGTTCCTGGTTGAAACGTTTCTCCTCTTCTAATAGCCGCTGTTGGATATCATCATCAGGTTGATCCGGACCATCTTTACCCACGGTTTCTGAGGGACCGGCGTTATAACCTGCTTTCTCCAATCTATCCATTTCTTCCGGCTCCAGCAACTTTCCTTGACCTCGAATAGCTTCCTGTTTAACCCTAACAGCTGCCGGGACGAACTTCCTAACCGCCTCTTGTCGTAGATTTTTAATCTCTGGCTTTGCTTCATAAACTGTTCTGGATTCTGTAACAGGCGGTTTTGCTGGTAGCGCATGCGGCCCACGAGGACCTGCATCTGCATCTCCCTCTCTCTTCTTCTGATATTGGCGAGGAATTGGTGGCGGTGTATCCCGGGGCATAGGAATCCGACGAACTTCTTCATCCGTCTCACTGCTCTCACTATCCTGTCCGAATTGCCCGCGATCATCTCTCCTTCTCTTCCCTAACACACCGTCGCCGCGACCCCTACCGCCGCCAAAGCCGCCCCTCCGCGGCTGTGCATTCTCGAATTTCGGCGCCTTATCGCCTAATGCTTCTCGGGCCTTGTGTACCGCACGTAAATCCCGCTCTAATGCCTCTAGGATCTCCTTATCGCGTGGCCGTAGTTGTTGCCCGGACTCCTCTACCGCTTTGAGATCATTTATCTGTCGTTGAATGCGCTCTGGGTTGCGACGGGCGAGCTTCTCATTCTGACGAGCCTGCGCCTCAGATTTGGCTTTTTTCAAGCTCTTCTGTTTGTCTGCTTTCCGCTGCGCTTGCACTGGGTTGAAGTTGCGTTCTTTGGGCATTTTCGTGAAGATCCTCCCTCTGGTTTAATATATTCCCTTTTTAAATGTGATGGGAAAGTGAACTAAGTGCGTCGCGCCGAATCAGGTACGTGAATAGGACATTAATTTCATCGAACTATTGAAGCTCCACTTTTGTCAGCCATGTAATGTAAGCTCTCATAGCCCTCCATTTTCTTAGCGACAAAAAAGGACTCGAGGTGGCACAGCTCCGGAAAATAAAAGAAACTGCGGCAGCGAACCATGTTTGAGTTGACGAGTGGAAGATATCGGATGAGAGGCTCACCAGCCGATACGGTATCCAGCAAGGTGCATGGATGAAAGAGAATGCAGACAAAACTCGCAGACTAGACCTGTACCCGGCGCGGAGCTACCAATCCAGTCGCAGTTCCAGGACAGCAGTCGCTGGGCTCTAGCCTCACGGGTTGGGCAGCGGGCTTTAGGTACAGGGTTGATCTCGGTTCTGGGGAGCAGATAGGCGACGATGATTGATCGACTGGCGTTTGCAGAAGCGGCTGGTTGATTGCGCTATTGATGGGCGTCGTTGGGAGGGTCGGCTGTGTTGGGAGTGATATCGTAGTGGAGAGAGGAGGGGAATCTTGAAGTCTTGGGGAAGCGATTCGTATGCAAGAATTGTTTGGACTGGGAGCTTGCTGCTGGCTTGCGGAAGAGAAGGAAATGAGTGGTTGGAAGAAGTCGGAAGGCGGAACCACCTTTTTGGTTGTGTGAGTAAACGTCTATCAATGACTACACTCTCCTTTAAAGTATGGGTTTTCTTTTCTTTTCCCTTTTTCCCGGGAGGATTAAATTGGTTTGTTGTATATACTCTGCAGGGATTCTATTAGTACTTGTGCGATAGTATTGTTTGTTTCCTATGTATAAATCTTCTACTTCAGCTAGTTCTTACATGATTCAAAACGTCAATTCTCATTCTATATAAATACATACGCTCTATGACGACTCTGCATCTCCCAAGTAATTAATATTACAGTAAGTGGAATTAAGGAACAAAGAAGAACCAAGAGTGGATTTAATTTATTGAAACATTCTCTCCTTACACGATTTACTATACCTTATTTCCTTTTCCTTTCGATTTTGATCATATGTTCTTTTCTCTTTTCCAAGTGTGTTGCGGTCTCTGCCTCAGGATCCCCATTCCATGCAATATACTCCAACATACAATCTTTCCCCTCCCCGTCTTCAACTCTCCGAGGCTTTCCTAATCACACCTTCTCAGACTCACCAGTGTTCGTGTTAGTCGATTCTATTTAAAGACAATTCCTATCGTCCCTGACCGTCCGTCAGTGTGTAACCCGCGACCGATTCACGAGGAGAGCCGCCGCGGTTGTTTTTCTTTTTCTTGCCGCCGATAATCTGTTTCCTCAATCGGCCTTCTTCTCCCACCATTATCCCTCTTTAGTCCCCCCTCCCCTTCGGCCTTCTCCTACTCCCTAATTTCCCCCAATGACGCCGTAGGATTTCTGCTGAGGAGGCGATCTTACTTGAGTTATTTTCAAAGGAGTGAGTGAGAGAGTGGAGAGAAGAGCGAATCATCGAGTGAAGCCGATTCAGTCCCTTACTCTCCTTCCCTCTCTTCAGCCTAATTCCTTAACATTCGCTCCTGTCAACCATCATGAAATTCGGTCCGTCCCATCTCCACACACCGAGATTGACCGGCGCTTCCTAGACTCTTGTCGCGGTAAGAGCATGTCTCTGCCGGGACCAAATGTCCGTATCAGCCTCGATTCCCGACACCTCGCTTGGCCTCACCTCCTCCGAGATCCAGATCCTCCGACAACAGCAACAGATTGCGCTCCAGGGTGGCCATGCCGCCAGCGGGGTTTCCAGGGGCAGAGGAACGGGTCGAAGCAGCAACTCGAGTTCGCGTGCCGCCAGTGCCGCCAGCAGTCACGGCCGATTGTTGCTGGATCCGATGAGTCTGCGAGCGCTATCTCATCAGTTGGATGCGTTACAGGAACAAATTCGGAGTCGCATCGACTATGTATGTTTATATTTTCCATATAGACCCCCGTTGCCCCTTCTTGTATGAATGCACCAAGTGTCATTCCTCTCTTGAGTTTTTTTCTTTTTTTTCTACGCTGGTTTTGCGCATGCACTGTCCATGTCACGATCCCGGGATCTGGTTAGGAACGTCCAGATGCTGTTCCACAGAGCTGGTCATCCTTGCATATCGTCTTTTTCCCTGGTTCTAACACCCTGCAGCTGGAAGAACAAATGCAGCTTTCTATTCAAAATACCTACGACCGTGCAGGGAATGTTATTCTCAATGCCGATGCCGAGATTGCTCGTACGCGTTCAATTTTGGCCTCAATTGATGAACTGGAGAATGAAATGGCGAAAATTGGACATATCAGAGAAATTGTGAAAGCCTACCGCGGCCGAATTGAAGGGCTCGACCAGCGTCTCGACCAGGCCGCCCGCAGGAGACGTTGATATTCATTCTTGATGATACACTATTGTCTACGATTCCGATCACACATACTTGGATGAAGTCCACTACTTTATGTACCCGAAACCTATCCTATTCACGAATTACCTTATACGAATTTTTGCCCTGGAGGCTCATGTATCGAAATCTGACGACATTGGCTCGACTTCCAGACGGCCTCTTGGTCCCTTCTCATGCTTTTGGATGCTTATGATCGAACGCTCGAGATGATAAATGCGTGTACGACTTGACTCAAGTTTCAGAAGAAAAATGAAGGGAAGTTTTGGGTTCCTTGAAAAAAATTGAAAGGAAATCCCCATGTTTATATACCACTCTGTCCTCGCGGACCCTGTGCTACTATGATTGGTGTTATTGCAGCGTTCTATGTTCATTTCAGTTACCAGTTACAGCGATGTCTATTGTGCAGACGTGATCTTTTCTTTGTGTCTTGTGTCCTTTCTTTCTCTCTTTTTCTTTCTCTCTTCTTTTAATTGGGAGAGGCCAATTGCTTAAAGATGGGTTATCTGCCTCGCGGCAATCTTTGGAGCTTTGGAAGTTTCATGAACCGATACTCGACAGAAAACAACATGGTGTTTACAGCGTAGGAGTTCCCTCGTTGGCTTCTTTTGTTCTTTTGTTTGCTCACCTCGCCGGGCTGTTTAAATGTTACGAGAACCACGCCTTTCACGTTTTAAGTTGGATTTGCCGTCTCTTATCTGCAGTCTCGATTCCCCAATCTGTATTGTTCTCTTTGTGTCTTATTGAGTGGACATTTGATTTATGACCATGTTGAATAACTTCACGGCTGATTGTGTTCTACAGCACAGATGGCTCATGTACAAATGTAATGACTAAGGCTAGCTGCATCCCAATATCATTTCTGTCCAAATTCATCTGATTTGCTGTGCTTTGTGTGTGCGCTGGTGAGTGTGTCTCGCTCGGGGGTTCTTCTAACAATGTCCGACTTATTTTGCATCGACGAGACCCTTTATTCCACTGGCTAGACTAGCGTGTGGTCCGACCAGAGTACTGGTTAGCACGTGAAGCATCCGAGCCCTGCTCGGTGACCATGGGTTTTCCGTCGACAACCGCATAATTCCTGCAAGGGTCCCGTAGCCATTCCACCTAACGAAGTCATCCAACAAAATAGCGGCAGCTCATGTTCCGCCTTTCGCCTTATTGGGCAATCCAGCAACTTGCCGTGGCGACTTGCCCAAGTGAACGGATAGTTACATCTGCACCCGCATAGATAGCGCTTTTAATCGACGACTGGTCACATGAAGCTCAGTGCTTCGTTTTCGGTCCCAATCGGGCACTGGACGGTAAATAGACTCCCGAGAATTGATAAGCGACGTCTGTATCCTAGTCTCCAAATGTGTGCCGCCTCGGTGCGCTTTGACGTGATAATACGCCACCTCAGAAGAAGTAACCAACTGCAATCGTTCCTCGGCTGTCTAGGCTGTTGCGGAGTGGGGGAAAGGTTCATGCAGCTGGTGCTTGCTCCTTTCCTTGCTTAATTTGCTTTCGACGCTCAGAAAGCTTCTTGCTCCGTCTCTCCGTTTGAGGAAAACGCTTCTCCGTCCCACAGGTAGTGCAACGAATGATCTGGACATCGGCCCATGGCTTTTTGCGATCACGGCTCTCATTCCTGATTTCTTGTACGCAACTGACGCCTGGCGATAAAATCGTATCACAGCGCTTGCAGAATGATCTCTTTGTTTCAGCAGATAGCCGCAGCTGTGTCTTCAGAGATACTCCACGCATTTGTGATACAAATACACGAGAGAGGTGCGGAAGATGATCCAGATTTGCTCTGGCATCCGCGCTAGTTGGCTTCTTCTCAGAGGTAGTGACATGGTTCAAAAGGTGTGCTACAATATGTTTTGAAGCCGACTTCGATTGGCCATCTTGACTGGCAACATTTTCGCTGACGAGTTGGCTGCTAGGTTGCTTGGAGGTAGTAGCAACAGACTGTAGATAGGCAGAGGCATTATGTAGATAATCTAACCGTGCTCGAATATGGCTATGGGCTCCTCTAGAAAGACCCTTTTTGCCCTTTGCCTTCGCCATTGAGGAAGTGATACCGGGTCAACAAAACAACAACATGGAGAAAGGATAATAGGAATAGAATAATGGAGTAGGGGTCCAATTGCGATGAAGCTTTCAGTGCCAAATCAACGCTAAGCCAGAAGCGGGAGCCTGGCAGGCGGGCGTGACTAATAGGCTTAATCACGTGATGCAGTCTTTCTGACCTCAGCCTCATCCCTCGCGACCTCAACCTTTCTCTTCATCACCATCGCCTTCCCTTACGTCCCAACCATTACCCGCTTTTCAATTCATCTCCGAAGAATCGAAAAGGGCCATTACGTTCTGATTACGATTGATTCATTGTATTTGTTTTAATTTTTCACCACCTTTAACTCACCGATACCGTAACCCCCCCGAAGATCCGCTACTTTGGGACAAACGCGGCCTCGCGACAACTAGAGTTTTCTTAACATTTTTCGTTCCGCCACTATCCATAAAAATGTCTCACGAGGAGGATCTCATTGACTACTCCGACGAGGAGCTTCAGACCACTGACGCCGCAGCTACTACTGCTGCTCCCGCCGCAAATGGTGACTCCGCCAAAAAGGGCGACCTAACGGTTTCTGGCGGCCGTCCGGACAAGAAGGGAAGCTATGTCGGTATTCACTCGACCGGTTTCCGCGACTTTTTGCTCAAGGGAGAGCTTCTACGTGCCATCACCGATTGCGGTTTCGAACATCCATCGGAGGGTTAGTTGATCACATTCTTTCCCACAAGCTCCCTCCATTGCTCTATGTTCCAACGTCCGTCCATCTCCGCGGGGAATCCATAGTCGCTTTTTGGCCACCTATTACGTCCGAGCCTGTGGGCGGCATGAGGATGTTTGCTTGGGGTAATACACACAAGTCGCTCTGCGCTGGTAGTAGTACCTCGGCAGTTACTACCTGCTGCTTATATATTAGCGAATTACGGTGAGACTGGATTCGCGAACCATCCAGGTAATTGCGCTCTCGGCAACAACGGGTGACTTGCAAAAATGCTATCTGAAAGGCATGGGGCTTTTGCCACCACACCTTGGACGGCAGGCGTTCTCGTGCTGCCTGCAGGGCGCTCTTGGTAGCGATACAAACCTGCAGTTGAATAGATGCCCGATTTGGGCTTTTATTGGTAGTAGATGTGAAACGAAAGTTTTCATGACTACTCGACGACTCGGGGGATGGACGGACTTCGCGACTCGGATTGCTTTCTTTTTCTCAAAGTCTTATGGATCGAATACAAGTCTAACATACCGTTCCGCCTCACTATAGTCCAGCAAGTTTGCATTCCGACCGCCATTCTGAATGTCGATGTTCTTTGCCAGGCCAAATCTGGTCTCGGAAAAACCGCCGTCTTCGTTTTGACCACCCTTCATCAGCTGGAGCCTGTCCCCGGAGAGTGCTCTGTTCTAGTTATGTGCCACACCCGTGAGTTGGCTTACCAGATTAAGAACGAATATGCTCGTTTCAGCAAGTACCTTCCCGACGTAAAGACTGCCGTCTTCTACGGAGGTACCCCCATCCAGAAGGACGTCGAAGTGCTATCTAACAAAGAATCGTACCCCAACATTGTTGTCGGTACACCGGGTCGTCTGAATGCCCTTGTTCGCGACAAGAAGCTTTCGCTGCGTAACGTCAAGGCATTTGTTCTCGATGAGTGTGACAAGATGCTCGACCAGATCGGTGAGTAGAAATGCCAACCAAAGTAATATTTCAAACTTCGTTACTCACATTCGCTATAGACATGCGCCGCGATGTCCAGGAAATTTTCCGTGCTACACCAGCCGACAAGCAAGTCATGATGTTCAGCGCCACTCTCTCCCAGGAGATCCGTCCAGTGTGCAAGAAGTTCATGAGGAACCCCCTTGAAGTCTATGTGGACGACGACACCAAACTCACCCTCCATGGTCTACAGCAGTACTACATTAAGCTCAGCGAGGCCGAAAAGAACCGGAAGCTGAACGAACTCTTAGACAGCCTCGAGTTCAACCAGGTCATTATCTTCGTGAAGAGCACCCTTCGTGCGAACGAGCTGGACAAGCTCTTGCGCGAATGTAACTTCCCTAGTATCGCGGTTCACTCTGGTGTGAGCCAGGAGGAGCGGTAAGTCTGTGGAATGACGGAAACAGTAGTTCCTGTTACTAACGGGTATGCTAGTATCAAACGCTACAAGGAGTTCAAGGAGTTCAACAAGCGTATCTGTGTTGCTACCGATGTCTTCGGACGTGGTATTGACATCGAGCGTATTAACCTTGCTATCAACTACGACTTGCCTGCGGACGCCGATTCGTACTTGCACCGTGTTGGTCGTGCCGGTCGTTTCGGTACCAAGGGTCTCTCCATCTCGTTCGTCAGCAACGAGGAGGACGAGAAGGTCCTCAAGGACATTGAGAAGCGTTTCGAAGTTGCTCTTCCGTATGTAGCCTGACTTTTCTTCCTGACCTCATCTTTCCTATCAGGGACTAATGGTATACGCAGTGAATATCCCGAGGGTGGCGTCGACTCCAGCACCTACATGGCATAAACGCCATGACTGTCAATATACCGTGTCTGGTGCAATTTGATATTTCATCATCTTCTAGTTTGATTCCTCTTTTTCTTTTTCACTTTCCGTCTTATTTCTGTGATATTTTGGCGCGATGGTTCGGTTGTGTTTTTGTTTCCGTCAAGTGTCTTTTGCTGCTTCTCCGTGAGGCACTGGTTGGCAGGATGGGAAAGGATGGGAGAAAAGCATACTCAAGTCATGTTTGATCACTACTAGGTGCCTCAGAGAACATTTAGGGTGGTGCCAGTGCCTCTGATAGGGTGTCAACTGTATTACATATAAATCTCAATTGCTATTCCTCGGGTCGAGTATGCGTAAGGAATTGTCAGATATATCCAATGTAATTGTACGAAGACGCAGATCCTCGAGTGACAGTGTTGGCTAAATATGTTGTCATTCATATATGGGACCATAGGCAAGATGAAACCTGCGGGTGACCTCGGAAGAGCTTGTCAGAAGCAAAGGGGAGCTCGAAGAAAATCTGGCCCGCGAGTGGGATCGGCAGACAGTAAACAAGGCAGAGAAGAGGGTTGACGGCCACCCTCTGGTCCCTGCTCATCAAAAGTACAAAGTACCGTGATTTCCCGACAAACCACTTTACCTCCCCATCAACCCATGGACAACGACATCGTGTAAACCAAAGATTATTCTTACCCCTTTGGGTCCCGTTGTTTGCGGTCAACCCTTTTGTCTTCCCGTTGATCGCTATTAAAATTTGCACTTACAATGATTACCCCGACGCAATCAGCTTGCCCACGCGCGTCAGTGACTAACTACTCCGTACCAGTCACTCACCGGATTAACGATAGTGGTGGTTCCACACTTTCATTTTTGGCCCACAGAAGAAGTACAGTAGCGTATCGTGGCGGTGCCGCCTTCTGCCCCCATGAACTTAACTAACCTAATCAAATCAATTTAATCTAATACCTTTTTTTTTGGCTCCACGTATTGAATTGGACGCAATTAAGCTTCGCGAATGGGTGAGACTTGGGATTGAGTCTTTGACGATCATTTTGTGCCACCGCGCCGCCGCGGGGGAATAATGGCGAAGTCAATCAATATCTTGGATGTTCGCCGATGATTTCATTTATGACGTATTGTAGACTATTAGGGGCACGTTGGGGGTTGTTTCTGATGGAGGGTATTTCCTTTTGTTTTCTGTATGACAGGTCGAAAGCGGGTTGCTGCGTGTTGTAAGATGGGGACTTATCCTTTTTTTCATTTCTTCTTTTTTTCACCTTCTTTTTGGGCGTTAGGAAGAAAAAGGAAGACGACATGGATGTTTGTTCCTAGACTGGTTTAGTGAGGGTGAGGACCAAGGCGAGGTGTGGCTGGGAGGGCTGTTGATGGACATTCTTGAGTGGGTTTAAAGGGAGGGGGGAAAGTTGTGGTCGGTTATTTTTATTTTTATATTTTTTCATTCCTCTCCTATCCGACACCAATACTAACTGGAATCGGTCAAACTGGCCCGATTCAACACTCATTAAGTCCATATTCCAGGCAGCGTTGAATGTACAGATAAGCTGTAACTGTACTTTTTAGTACTACTGGAAGTACTTCAGTATCTATCGGCTGGCTTGATGGATGCTGTGACTAGCCTCAAAGCGGCAATTCTTCCCGCCGCTTTTGAGGACAAGACAAGACTAAGGCCGTGTGGCTTGAAATTGGTTTCCTGTTTTTGCGGATGCCTAAGACATTCGAAGGCATGGCGTTTTACTGTGTAACACTGTAACTGTTATATCCAAGGCGTATGTCTTACGTGCATGAGAGTGGTGCATACGGATGTAACCAAGACGCCAGGTGTTTTATCTTCCCTGTAGTCTCTGTCTGGGCTGGGAAAACTAAGCAGTCTTGGGGGGACCGACTCGATCGATCGGGGGCGAATAGATGTGGGGCTGGTGAATGGTTACCCAGTGTTTGCGTTATATCCCACTGCTGAGGTGTCCTGCTACGTATGCCGTCTGGAGTTCGGTGGAAGAGAGAGAGAGAGAGAGAGAGAGGAGGGGGAGGGGGTGGTGGTGGTGCTGAATTGCAGAGAATGCTCATGGTATTGAAGTCGGCGGCCAAATGCAGTCGTCACGGGATTTTCACCACCAATTCGGCCATGATGTTGTGTAACTACATAAATACTAGTACATGGAATGTGTTGTTTTATGCAATGGGCCTGTCTCATTTTATTAACAGCCTTCTGAAGAGGACTATTCGGGTTTTAGCCGCAACCATCAGACCATGATTGCCGCAAGCGTACGGAGTACATTCTTCGGCTGTTGCGACTTTCTCAATTTCATCACAAAGGCAATGTTGAAGTACGTACTTGAGGAGATCAGAATTCAATCTTTCTCCCCCCGCTATTATTGGAAGATTGATATGTACCTGGCCCACTGGGTGGTTCCATAGATAGAAACAGGCACTAAAGATAGAGGAACATGATTCGTCCTCCGGGGCAACTAGAGTACCACGCTAGATTTCGCCAAGAATGGGGACCCACCGGCGATGTTTGAACAATCGGCTTGATCGGCGTCTTCAAAGGTCTGGACCATGGTTTCCAAATTGTTTTGGAACTTTTTTCCCTCTCATATCTGATGGTCGAGTCATAGGTTGTGTATTGTACAGTTCTTCTTTGTTTTTTTGTTCGGACGTGATATGGATGTTGGTGAATACGCGGAGGATTAGAGTCCTGCTAAATCATAAATACTTACCAGCGACAAGAGTTCGCTGTTACTTATGCAAGTCGACTGATTATTAACTGACTCCCCCATCCTCCACCATTGTTTCAATTAATTTCGGACCTAGGGAAGGAGCACCATGAAAAAGACCCGAAACAAGCCCTTGGCTTCTTTGCATAGGTTTCCTTCCCCATCTCTGCGTGGTTCTCAATCCCACTCCAAACAATGGCCTTTTGAGGGCCAAACAATGCCCAACCACATGGGAGATCTTCCATGCGCTCGTCCCGACTCTGAAGTTTATCTGGAAGACTTCCGTGCCTGGCAGGATGTAACTAACATGCATTCATGCACTGCAGGCCATAAGTAGTAAGGCGAAGTAGCTATCATACATGAATCACGAGTTGTCACTGCAAACAGCCTGTATGGCCTTAGTCATCGGACCCTGGAATTGTCGATCGATCCCTGCTCCAGTGGCATGCCGGAAGGAATCAACACCGCCTCCCCCTTCCCGAAAGGTGTGATTTCCGATCTGGGATGGGATATCCCTTCTTCCCACGGATGAAGGATAAGATTAAGTTAGAGTTGATATTGGTTCGGCAATGAAGAAAGGGATTAGCTTGTGTGTATCTCCCCAATTGAGGGGCTGGAATTAGTAGAAAGCTAAAGGAACAACATATACGGTGATAGCCGTGATTTTAGACATGATACGGGACATATCATTGTGAAGCTCTGTTACACACAGACTCAGTTTCATGGTCATGGGTAATTTTCTTGCGAGAAAATTGTGACTGGTGATTTTAATTGTGGAGGGTGAGGTGACACTTCTGGTGTCAGTGGCTTCTTTGTTCAATGATGGTGCAACCTTGAGCGCGGACTCTTTGCCGTTTTGTAGTGGTTCAACCTGGACGGCATTTTCTGTATATTGTGGGAAGATGAACGGATGGGGTGAAGGATGGAGAGGGACGAGCTGCTTATATTATGTCTCAGGGCGAGGGGGATATGATATGGATTCATGGACGACCCCATTAGTTCTAGTTTTCAGTTCGTATCGGGTTCCTGTGTTGGACCTTATTCTAGCTGGTTACTAGAATCGGGTTAGTTGTGGGCGCTATGGTGAAAGGAAGTCAGGCTAAGCGCGAGAAGTACTTGGTAAATCCATGATTCAATCCCGACTAGTTGACGAGCTTCTCCATCAACTCCCCCAGAGACCAATCCAATGTCGCCGAGGCCGATTACTAGCGGATGAATCCCGGTTTTCTGACCTCGACCATCCAACAAACGATGTGGGTTCGGGTGGATGTGGTCAACGGGAGGATGTGCAGCTGCGGCCGATTGGGTGATTCCTGTATCATGGTTGGCTCCAACTAACTCGAGTGGGTGTTGTCGTGTCTCATGAATCATCCACTATAATCAATTTCAATTGACTTTTTTTTTTCCCTTTCCTTTCTGTAAAGGTGATGACGATGGTGACGATGTCTCTCCGTCCTTAGGAGGGTATAGTTACTTTCTCTATCTTTAGAGCTAATATCGAATTGCGGGTATAGATAGATTTAAGCAGAAAGAAGTAGAAAGAAGACGATTATTGATTGATTTCTATTATTATGTACATAATATATTTGTTCTACTGTGAGATGTGTTAAATTAGGTAAGGATTAATAGGAACTGGAACCCAGAAAAAGAACAGGGAAGGGAGTAAGTAGTATTGTTAGTTATGCCCATGGTTCTCAACCATCAGAAATCCCCCGTTTCGCCTCCTAAATAAGATTAAAAATAAACGGACGAAAGAGAAAAATCCTTTTTCTGTTTATTATAAAAAAAAAAATAAATAGAGGGGGAAAAGAAATGGAACAATGACCATCCATACATAGTCGTAGTATTATTTAAATCTGATATTATTATTTCTTTCTCTCTGACTTATCTTCTCCATTTCCGATAGAAGCGGAATTAATGAATATGACTCCGGTCTGTACGGGAATAAGTCACTCGAATATTTTGATCTGATCTGATTTTAATTTTGATTACTATCACTATTATTATTATTATTATTATTTGATTTGGGATTTTTCTTTTCTTTTTTTTCTTTCTCCCCCCCTTAACATTCATTCCATTTCCATATAGCCTGCGACTGTATTCGCTTGCAGAGTCCTCCCCCCTCTCCGTTGACAGTCATTCGTCTCCCTGCGCTCCGTTTCCGGTTCGAGCCCTGGCGGGGGATCCACGACCGTTAAGACCTGTTGGTGATTGCAAAAAAAAAAAAAAAAAAAAAAAAAGAAAAGAAAAAAAAAGATAACTTTACAGATTCTGCTCCATAGGCTTACTTTGGGCTGCCTTTCCGCCCAGAGCTGGCACATCTTCCATCAAAACCAACTATTCTGCATCCGTCCATCGAATCTCTCACTCTCACTCCCCCCCTCTACCTCTTTTCCCTTTTCCTTCCCTCATCCCCTTTCACTATACTACTGTCTCTCTCTCTCTTTCTCCTTCTCTCCCTACGGTCAATCTCTCCTTTCGTTTGGTTCCTTTCCTCGATCCCCTTTCCATTTTTAATTGTCCTGTGGTGATTCCCCTTACTTTCGTTTTCTTTAGTCCTTTTCCTTATCGCAAGAGTCCTTTTTTTTCTTTTTGAATCATCGCGAATTCGCCCTGGCTTCGGTCGTGATATTGCGCTCTTTCGTCCCGTGGTAGGCAGCGTCAATCGCGCCTCCAGTCGTTGTCCTGGAGTTTCATTCTCCCAGATAAATCTCGTTTCTCGCCTTTATTTCGACTCTGGGTTGGCGGGAGAGCTTCCTTCCATATTTGATTGCTAATTATGGCTCCTCCGCCGCGCTTGCGCATTTTATCAGGTTCGTACTTGTATAACCCTCGGGAAAGCGTGTTGCAATCTGCCTTTGATGACAGATCTCCTGTCATTTTAATAAACGGGCCCTTTTGCAACTGAAAATTACCCGCCAAAACTTTCAGAATGGGCCGTCATCTAACGAGACTCTGTTTAGTCGGCAGCAATGCTATCTCGGCTTTCCTGTCGTGGAGACTTCAGGCGACAACCTCCTGCGATGTGACACTGGTCTGGAAATCTGGTTACGAAGCAGTATCCCAATATGGAGTATCCTTCAAGTACGTCGCTCTGGTATCCCGGTGCTTCCGAGCGATTCGTTAATATGGTGATTTAGGTCGAAAGCTTTCGGCAATGAGCGTTTTAAACCCCGTCACGGTGAGTCAAGTGGTTATCCCCTGCTGCGTACGGTCTTTGTTCTCTGGTCGGACACTGATTGTAAGCCCTTCGAGACAGTTGTTCGGACACCCGAAGATGCTGCATCTCGCGAGAATGCATTTGACTACGTTATCTTATGCGTCAAGGCACTTCCCGATGTTTACGACCTGGCAGCCGTCATCGAATCCGTCGTTACCCCTCAACATACGTGTATTCTCGTAAACACGACGAACACACTAGGAGTAGAATCACACTTGGAGCAGCGCTTTCCTACAAACGTCGTTCTTTCGCTTGTGTCAGGAGTGGAAATCTCTCAGATTGGAGCCAGCGAATTTGAGCATCTGAACTCATCGGAGATCTGGGTGGGTGCGACACATAAACAGACCAGTATTCCTTCCTCGATTCAAAATGATATGGCGGCTGCGCTGGCGATGACACTGGCTTCTGGTCAAGTCGACTGCAAAGTATCCGAAAACATCAGACAGGAACAATTCGATCGTATGATAGGGTGAGTTGTGATAGAGGTTTCTTTCGAAGAATTTCAGTCTCGCTAACTACGATGCTACAGGCCTATCGCTTTTTACCCCACCAGTGTAATGTTCGAAACCTCCAACCACGCACAACTTCTCGAGAAGGTCGGAGTCCGCCAGCTTGTGTTGGATATCATCGAGGAGCTTCTTCAGCTGGCACGTGCGAACGCGTGCTCTTTCCCAAGTGACTTCGCTCAGAAGACGATCGAGACGATGACCGCTAACGGTGCACCGAATACGATGTATCAGGATTTCCAGTCGCGCCGTCCCATGGAAATAGAGACGTATCTTGGATCTCCGGTCAAATTGGCGACTGAATCAGGTGTTCGTGTCCCGCGGATCGAGACTCTCTATGCAGTTCTTCATCATGTCAATGCCATGAATTTGAGTAAGCCCCGGACAAATGAATCTCCCCCACCGGTACTGGCTCAACCACCACCACGGATGTCTTCGGCACCTCCGCCGAGAGGTATGAATGGTCCTATGCGTGGCGGTAGAACCCCCTCCGGAATGATGCCTAGACGCGGGCCTCCTCCACCGGGTATGTCTAGGCCTCCGAGCGCACAGCCTCAAGCGGCCAGAATGCCTCCTCGTGATCCATCATTGGAAGGACTTGAGGAGTTCAGTCACCTCGTCATGTATGATGACGCTGCTTCAGCCGCGGCTGTAGCCGCAGAGAATGGGCTACCTCAGAACGGCACTAACGGCTATCCTGATATGCCCCCTGGGCCTCCATCTTCCGCAGCAGACCTGGCTTTAAGGGAACGAGAACTGGCGATCCGACAGCGCGAATTACAGATTAGGGAGCAGGAAATGGGCATGCGTCGAGGAGGCCCTCGACGCCCTCCACCTCCGAGATCAACGTTTGATGAGGAGGACGAAGATGATTATTTCGACCCAATGGATGCGTTACCCATCCCATCAATCGATCCGGACCAAGTGGATATGTTGAGTCTCACATCACGACGGGCAAAGAAATCGGCTCCTAGCGCCAGCCAATTCCGTAAAAACCCCGAAATCACTGTAAATAACGGCGGCGGCGGTGGCAGCAGGCCCGGGTCGTCTTTCAGTCGATACTTTGGAGGAAGGAAACGTACCAGCGATAGGATCATGCAGGAAATCCCTGGTCTTCACGATTCTCTCATGGACAATCCTATGATGGCATACTCATCTAATCGCTACGGAGCGGTTGACAGAAATCATATTCAGGCGGGATCGCGTGCCAACTCGCTGACAGCCAGCCGAATGGGTGACTACCCGCCACATCCTTATCCAACGAGCAGGAGGAACAGCCAATCTCCGGCGACTCCTCCGTATGGCCCACTCGGCCCTCGAATGGGCCGACCATCAACCTCTCAAGATCAAAGCTTAGGCCCACCGAGCGGTCCTCGAGGCGGCCAACCCTCGCCGCCCGGACACATGCGGGCGCCGGTCCCTAGACACCCGCCTGGACAAGGTAATGCGGTAGGTCCGCAGCAAGTTGAGCAACATTATGGGGTGAGCAACTCGTCTTTAGCCAAGGGCACTCCCAAGCATAGAAGTCTGACCGGAAGTGCGAGCGCCAGCGCGGAGAGTGGTGATAGCGGGGCCAGTGCGAATATTGATTCGGAAACCTCGGCCCATAGCAGCCAAATTAGCTTGAATACCCAACAAGCTGCGACGCCCGTTCGTTGACCGACACAGCCCGCCGTACTCCGTCCCTCCCTTCACTAAACGCTGAGCTCCAGAGCCCTGTTCTATACGTACTCGTCTGGTTACTTCCTGTTCCATTCTTTCCCCCTCTGGTTCGCAGCCGCCGCCCGTGGGGATCCCACTTGGCTTTGTACAAGATTTTCTTTTTAATAAGATACTTGGCAAGGAGGGTAGGAGCGGACTGAAACTTTATATTCTTGTTCAGTTCATTACATATACATCAAGGGACATACGGGACATCTTCTCGTTTTATGCTACTGCTTTGGAGTGGTCGGGCGCGCGTGTTACATGTGGTTGTTTACTTTCCCTTTTTAACTCTTTTCTCTTCGTGGCATTCTCTATTTTAATGAAGGCGAGCCCGAAAGCTCGATCCGACAAGTATGATTTGACTTCTTGCAATTATACCACAAACATCCATTTTCAGTCGCCCACGACTCATCTCATTTTCTTTGGCCTTCTTACTGCATGAAAGAATGTTGTACACTACCTTCTAGTGGGCTTCTTATTTCCTTGTATCTCCAACATCATCATCTCCACTGTTTTGTGACATGCATGCTCTCCTTTGACTCATTTCCTTTTTTTCTTTCCATCCTTGTCCTCAGCCATTCTGTCTGCTTTGTACATGGGCTCTGGTGTGGAGCATCCTAGTAGCCCTGTGATCTCTACGTTCGTGGTCTGGTTTCTGGCGCATAAAAAAAGAGCAGGAGTCTGATTTATTCGGTTGATTGAGTGATCAGAGTTGGCGTGGGTTCGCGTTCTTGCAAGATATTGATGAGAAAGCCGAGATGAAGTCTTGACACGGCGGCTATTTATTCGATTAGGACCATGTCATTGACAATCAACGAGACTTGAAGCTCGCATGATACATAGATGGTTATCCTGCCATGTCACGACGAGTGTTTTGAATGATCCAAACGTTTGCATAACCGAGACAAGGGAGGCTGTCTGATGTATAGTCAAGTGTATGGTGTTGTACATGCATATTAGAGGAACGATAGAAGTTATTTGCTCCAATCCAGCGGATCGTTCCTTTTCTGTTCCTCATCCGTAGCTCCACGTGACCGACCTGGATCCCCAAAGCGACGCCCCACTGATTGTGTAAACAAACCTGAATCCATCTCCTTCAACTTATTTCAAGTCAGGAAAAGAAATTGCGATCTGTGTGCCTCAAAACATAAACAAGCCTGTACAATTATCTATCAAAAAAAAAAATTAAACAAACCGACACACCGGTCCACAATGCCTCCTGCCCATCACTACAGCCACCCACAATCACTCCCCCGCCATTCCATGCTTCCTCCATCTTCGACCGCTGCCACTGGCCCTTCCTCTATGTCCGCCGCCAAGACTCGGCAGTATGCCAATTTACAGGCTCAGTTAGAACAGCTGAATGCCAACCTGGCTGACACGCAAAACCTTCTCCGTATGACTTCTGTACAAGCGGAGGATATGCGCTTCTTGGGCGGCTATGTCGGGGCGCTCTTCATGGGGTCGGCCAAGGTGCTGGGAGAGGAGGGTGTCAAGAGCAATGCGGATAAGAAGGACTGAATTGTGATTATTTGGTAACCTGAGATCCATTGGGTGAGTCTATATTCCTTTTTCAATATATATATATATATATTTTGAGGTTTGCCCGGGTTGATCATTTAATTTAGTCTATTCTATTTACTGACTGGCGAATCCCGACAGATAGCCCTTGAAGATATCATGTTTGCGGGATACGAAGAGATGTCATTTGCAATCGCCCACCTAGTTCTCAACGACGAAGCCTCCTCCGAGGATGATGGCCGGTTCCTCGATGTTGTGATGCTCGTAACTGATACGATTAACAGCGGCTCGTTGGAAAAAAAATCGGTACTACAACAGGTCTTACCTCAGTGTGCCCACTCCTCCAGCTTCCAGAATCAGCGCTGTCTCAGTCAACGGCTTTCCAGTCCAACGCATGGCGAAAGCCCGTAGGATATGGCCGTGCGCGACAACAAGAACGTCTCCTTGTCCACTTTCACCGTTAAAACACGGACCGTGGAATTTCTTCCTGATATCAGCAATAAGGGCATCAAGTCGGCGGACAACATCTTCTGGGGATCTGGTTCATTCGATAGTAGTTAGCGAGCAAGTCTCACGTTAGTAAAAAGAGGGATTGATAATCATGACATACTCTCCACCGGGACATCCATCTCTCCAAATATCCCACGGTGCCTCCCCTTTCGCAGCCCTCATCTCTCTAATCTGCTTACTCGTCAACCCCTCGTAATCCCCGTAGTCCCATTCCCGAACAGCCTCCGTGACCTCGACCTTGGCTTCCGTCCGAATCGGTTCCTCATCCTCGGGCTTCCGCGCCTCCGTCCAAGGAAGTCTCTCTCTGCATCCGATCTCCAGCAACTCCAGCGTCCGCTGCGCACGAGCCCGCGGCGAAACATACCTATACAATTTCACCCCCAGTTAACACTATACGATCTACTGTTGAAATTTTTTAATAGAACAGGAAGGGAAATCATACACATGAGCCAGCTTTTTCGGCGCTATCAACCTGTCATTCCCGACCAGGGCTTTTCCTGTCGCTTTAATACGTTTCTCGCCGTTGGCTGTTAGCGGGAGATCTGTGGTGCCTGTGTGGCGGCCATTGAGGGACCATTCGGTCTCGCCGTGACGGATTATGAAGCAGCGGGGGGCCATTGCGAGTTATATATATATTATATATATAAATATTTTTCTGTACTTAGTGATGGAGAAGACAAGGTACTAACTGCAGTACATAAAGATAAAGGTAGGGATTGGCAGGTGGGGTATTGCGTCATGGGATTGGGTGGAGCTTGGAAATGGGGCGGTTATTGGGTGATGCTTAGCTGGTTTTTTATAAGCATTAGCTCTAGGGCGGCTGGTTTAGGAGTATACTCCATTTAACGATGATACGGTGAGCACAAGGCCAAAAACGGCTGCACTTCAGGCCTTTTTCAGCGTCTTGCTCACCAGCACGGTTCTTATCATCACGTGTGTCTATGCACACGGACGACCTAGCTACTGCCACCCTTGTTTCAGTCAGTCAAGGAGGTGATTATCCAGCAACGCGTTCCCATAGGCCAGCACGCAAAAAGTGTCCAATATCTGTTCCCCCATCCGCTCTGAGTAAATTGGGAGCACTGCCCTTGAGATCCTCCCACTTCCGAAAATTGCGCTCAATCACCTCTGCCATCCCTGATGCATTCAAGATCTCAGCAAGTCGGTAATGACAGTCTAAAAGGGCAGGGCTAGGGAGGTCCAGGTCTTGCGCATCATCTGCTTTCTTCAATTCAATATAGCCACTCTCAGGAAGTTGTTGTCTGTCCAAATTTGGGTATCTCCTGAAGACCTTAATTTCATAAATGTTATCACAATTCTAATTGCACATCTCTCTGTTAGCAAAACTAATAATAGTATATATCCCAGACCGTTGGCTACTTACAGTAGGCTTAAGAGCAATAGAGAATTTCCCAAATTGGGTATGGACAGAGTCTCGCAATGTTATTCCATTTGACAGGTTGTTGATGGTTTCAACATATACTCCCTGTTGCCGAACACGAGGGAAACAGCGCCAGAGCACCTCCCATGCACTTGAACTATCATTTGGTGGTTTCTAGCACTTGTCAGTATATGAATATTCATACACTGAGGACATATTACAGATGATTTGTCCCATGATGCATAAGAAAATGGAATAATATGTGCGCCTTCAGTAGGCCCAAAATTGATATCATCTGGACAGCCAAGCTTCTCCCAGTAGTCAGTGTCCATCTGGCTGGTTATGACGCAGCAATTGTGATCACGTCGGAGACAGAGATCCCGGAAGGCTGGATCACGAGTTTCTGGCTGTTTGAGTGTTGCGGCTACGGCCTCTACATTTGCTTGCCGTCTTGGATGTGGCGATTCTGTGACAGATTGTTGTTTAGAGCGAGCTTTCACTGCTCCCAAAGATTAACTAGAGATGCTTATTGCTTCAGACCAGTATTTCCTGGACTTACTAGGCACTGCAAGGCCAGTGAGTAGATTATGAAAAACATCATAGAGATCCTTGTCCGTAGTTGCATTTACAATATCCCTCGCTACGGATTCCCGGCCGCCTTCCGGTAACCACGTAATAAAAGCATCTAAGGATGGTTGGAGTATATGTTCGTGAACTCGATGTTCAGGCTGGTATTTTGCCAGCCTTTCCTTCGCTGCCGCTGCCAAGGACGGCCAAGTCGCCGAAGACTCAGTGTCAGTAGACATAATTGACAAGTCTCTCTGGAGTCGCTGTGATGAGCTTGCAGGCTTCGTCTCAAGACGTGCTGACCTTCGGCGAGGGGCCGAATTAGATGGAGATGCAGATCTCTGACGCTTTAAGCGGGGAGCCATGATTGGATGAAAACCTGGGCAGGATGAATGGTTGCAAAGAAGTGGAGGACCCACAATCGGGACAAAATGAAATGGCGCTATACCGGTATAGGAAGCACATTACTGGTCAAAAGCAGGCGGCCGTTTCCGGTGCCCCGCCCACCGTGTTTTTGTATACTCCTAGAACCATAGAGGAACTGTAATTGTATAAATTTCTGTATGTTATAGTATGATTCCATTAAGTACCATGCTGGATAGTTGCCTACAACGGCTTACCATAGCATTAATTCTGACCGGCTAGACATGCATATATCAGAAAATACTATCTCTAGAGTTGAATTGAGACCAAGATTTAAATCAGTACAGTGAAGCCGTTCAACTGTATTCGAAATATATGAATATGCTGCCTAGTGTCTGTTCCTCATAAAGGCTACTCTAAGGTTAGCTACCCAGAGTTCTGGAAGTATTATTGAAGTATAAATCCTAAGAGGATGGCTATACCTGATCTGGTAGACATAGGATGCACGTCTCTATTAGTGGATACGTAAAGACAAAAGCAATAGTCACAGCATCTATACATACTGTATATATCTCTGTAAATACAAGACCATGATTTCCTATTCACGTGGCTTACTTTCACCTTGCCTCCTAGAGCAGTATAGCGGCAAGATTAAACTGTGTCCTAATCATGCATCTCACCTTAAGACACAATATTCATATATTCATACACCTGATCTGTATTCCAAGGACTCCATTATCGATGACCCTCCAATAGGCAATTCTTTGTAGCCTATACTATGTACCCCTCCTCCCCACTTCATATCACAAAGACATATACCTCCCACCCATCCATACAAGCCATGCGGCATAAAACACTCCTCATATATCAACAAGGCGCATATAAATCAACACCTCCGCCTAGCTACATCCCCAGAATCTACATACACCTCAAGTAACCCAACAATCCCATCCTCACATAATACTCCTCCCTCCCACCACCCCAAACAATAGCCCTCTCGTCCCCCCTCTCCAAACCCCCAGTCTGGTTCACTACGTACATCCCCCCTTCAACCATACCCCCAAACAAACCAACCAACTAACCCCTGAAAAACAGTAACCGTGCCGGCACACCAGCCGGCCTCGGCAAATCCCTCGCCCAAAAAGTACACTCAGCAAACCACTCCCTAATCGCCACAGCCCATGCCCCTCCACCCTCACCTACCTCTCCCTCCAACGACCCCAACATCCTCAGGCTCCCCCTCGACGTAGCAAACCCTACCTCCATAACAACCGTCATAAACACTGCAGTGGCCCACTTCCACCGCATCGACATCGTAGTCAACAACGCCGGCATCAGCCTCATCGGGGACGCAGAGGGCATCCCAGATGAGGCACGGGGGGGTCCGAGAAACGAACTTCTGGGGTCCGGTGAATGTTGCCTGTGGGGCAGTGAGAGTGTTTAGGGATGTTAATAGATGTCTTTTGGTGGGGGGGGGGGGGGGGGGGGGGGGGGGGGGGGGGGGGGGGGGGGGGGGGGGGGGGTTGTGAGAAGGAGAGACAAGAAATGCTGATTGCTTAGTGGTAGTAAATTCGCACTGGAAGGGTATACAGAGTCGAGTGCGAAGGATATGTTTCCCTGAGTGGAATATCAGATTTCTGATTTTGGAGCAGGGGGCAGATTCTGCGGGTTACGGATAGACATCCAGCTTATATGGGGAAGGAGGGGCCTGTGGATCTGTTGGTTGGGTATTTGGGGGGCGTGAGATCTCAGCAGGGGTGGGCTGATCCGGATGATTGTGCGCGGATGCTCTTTGAGGTTGCTACGGGGCGGAGGGAGTTGCCGGGGAGATTAGTGTTGGGGGCTGATGCGTATCAGGTGATTAGGGAGGATGTGGAGAGGACGGTGGGGGAGATGGGGAGTGTGGGAGGGAAGTCGTTTAGGTGTACTGTGTTGGGGGAGGGGGAATCCTTGGGTGGGTTGAGTTAGGGCTAGCTTCTTTTAGTCATGGTTTGTATATTGCGCATTGAACGGAGACATAAACGTATTCCTTGATTGATAGAGCAATCTTTGGGGGGGGGGGGGTAAAGCATTAAGTTTGATCAGTTCCGAAGTTTCTTGGAATCGAATTCATCCACGCTCTTTAGTGCCTTTGCTGCTGCTTTCACGATCTGCTCTTGATCCTCCAGACCGACGCTGATCCGGATGATGTGCCGAGGCACGCCATGCTTTGCGACCTTGTCTTGATTCCAGTAGTTGGCTAGTTGAACATATGGGATTGCCAATGTGAAATTCGTTCCAAAGCTTGATCCCTTGCAGACATCAAAGACGTTGTAGAAATGCTCGGCTGTGCGCGGGTCGTGGAAGACGATGCTCATCACATTGCCGTAGCCGCCGTTCCTGCGCATGACACTTTTGTATAGGGCTGATGTTGGCGCGATGGATGGATGGTTTACTTCAGCGATTGCAGGATGGGCTTTGAACAGATCGACGAGTGGGAGGGCGTTTCTGTTGCATTGCTGAACGCGCCAGACGATATTCTGGCAGTTTTGTCGGATGGTGTCGAGGTCGAGAGGGAAATGGATGTTATCGTTTCTGGATAAAGTGGCATGAATGGCGTCGTAATGGCGGGAGTGGGAGTTGAGTACCAGGCTGAGAGAGAAGAGTTAGGAGTTTGATGCGTTGATAATAACAGATACTGGAAATTGTACTCACCCTCCACCAGTGACGTTCGAAGCACCGCTGAACGTCTTGGTTAGGCTAGACATCATGACGTCTACGTACGGAAGCGCATCGATATTGACATAGCCGGCAACGGTGTCATCGCAGGCGACAACGAAGCCGTACTTATCTGCCAGGGTACGAATCCGCTGCAGGTTTGGCGACGCCAAGGTGATATTGCTTGGCAGTTCACAGAATAACGCCTTGATCTTTTGGCCGGATTGCAGGAGGGTCTCCAATCGATCCAATTCCTCCTCGGTGCCGTATTTATAGGAGAGACATTCGGCCCATACACCTCGTCGGATGACGTCGACTGTCTCTGGGTATAGCCATCTGTAGGACATCTCATTAGAATTGGTCATTTCAAGGAGGTAACTTTGCACCGAGGTCCATTGTGAGATACCTACCCATACATGGCAACCTTGGACTCTGGCGAAGCTAAAGCCTCCGAGAGCGAGTATATAGCATTCATTCCAGTGGGATACAGGAAGATATCATCGGGGCTTACGGCTTTCCGTCCTGGTTGTTCAGACGTAGCCAGGTTTGCAAGGAATGATTTCACCTCATGCTTGTTAGCAACCGCGGCCCGCATCCAGGTAAGAGACCGCGGGATTTCGCCCCGGCACCTCTTCCTGGGAGATGGCGTGCGATATTCGATAACATCAGAGTCAGAGTCAAGATAGTCCAGTTCCTCCAGACAGAACTGCGCGTGGCGTGTGGATAGACCTGAGCCAGTGTCCCGCCAGAAGGCCATGGCCCCCTTCACCTGATCGGACGGGTATAAGACCGCAGCAAAGTTGGCCCAGTGCGCACTGGTATCTCCTAGATTTGACTCCAGAGGCATGACAAACCGGACTACCTCGACTGCTATCGGATTCTCGGACGGTAATTTCTTGATGGTTGTGGCGCATTGGCGAGCGTCAGTAGCAGAAGAGAATACCATGCAGTTGACAGTTGTGTCGGTAATCTGGAGTCGGCGTAGAACTGCATCGGAGAGATCGCGAATTGGTTTGTTGAGGTAGAACCTTGTGACGTATTTAGTTGATGCCGCTTCTTTGCGAGAGAGGGTATGTGGCTTACTTACCGTGGATAGCTCCATTCGAGTTGGTCTAGGAGCCATTTCTCCTTTCTGGACAATCCGATCACGGATTCCCATGTTGGGAGCGATACGCTAACGGCCTAATGAAAGGGGTTTAGTACTATCACACTCACTAAGAAGAGAGAAAAAAAAAAAAAAA